ACTCCTTAAACGCTAGAAACTAAGGCAAGGAGAAGTAGAGAACACCCAGCCACTAGATATTATACTAGAAGGAGAAGAAGTCTAGGAGGTAGAAAAACTCCTAGTAAAGAGAGTAAGAAAAGGATAATAATAATATCTACTCTACTAGAAAGGCTATGACGAATCCTAGGATACCTAGACTCTAGAATTAGATTTTGAGGACATAGGTAAATTACTCTAGGCTTTTAAAAATAGGAAAAGCTCTCCACCTATAAGAAAGAGGTTAAGAGCACGTAAAGCGCGCATGGAACACAACTATTAAGCATGTTATTAAAAAGCCCTATAGCTCATGAGGGTATCTACCTAGACTAGAATACTAAACTTCATCCAAACCCCACGCGCCACCTGCGCCATACCTACTCCTCACCATCATCACCACCATCACCAGCAACCTCCTCACCCTCATCATCATCATCACTACCATTGGAGTCCCTAGCGTTATCTGCTGTGGCAGGCGGAATGTAGTTCACGGCCTAAGAAGCTATTAGCCTACGTTCCAAGTGTGTTTGAAGCGCGAACATACAATAACCTCTAGGAGCGGCACAAGACCCGCGAGTGCCTTAAGAGCAGAGGTAACGCGGCGCTGCTCATGCAGGATCAGGCTAAGGAATTAAGGACTCATGGTGGGGACCTGGGTCGCCACACCTATTGGGGTTCCGGTGTGAGCCGCGACGCGCCTACGGTTTGCCAGCTCTAGGTTGAATTGCTTCTGGGCCCGCGCGAACTTCAAGCCCGCAGCCTAAATGGCCATGTCGTTCCTGCGAGCGGCGGCGAGGGGCACTGCGGCAACAGCATTACGGTACTAGGTATGGAGGTCATAGAGGCGATTAAGGCGTCCATTCATCGCCTTTGGCACCTATAGGTATCAGCTAAAGCGCACATATAACGCGCGACTCTAAATAACCTACTAAGGTGCAGCCGCCGCGGTTTCTATCCTTATAGTGCTTACAGCGGCGTTCCTTGGTCTTCTTATAATCATTAGGTAGCTTAACCAAGTTCTGCGCGCAGCGCATACAAGTCGCGACTATAGTGACTTAGTCCGCACGCTTTGCGGCATTGCTCTATGCAAAGTCACAGGCATTGTGGAGGGTGGTCTTCATAATGTACTTGGGAACGGGGTAGTTCGAATTCCACACATGTTGTTATTGCTACATTTCCTGCTCCGAGCATCGATTCCTCATCAACAGACACCGCTATGCATCTTGTCCTCACTGGCGCCACTGGCCTAGTCGGTGCCGCAGTACTCGACAACATGTGTGGAATTCGAACTACAACCTAACAACATGTGGTGTGAACAAACATAATGTGCCTGGGAATCTCAGCAAACGACAGCAAACGCCTCTGCAAATCGTCCAGCTCGAGTTCGCTCAGATCTTGGTCCGTCTGTAAAGGTTATTCCTTCCTGAATGAGCGCTAGTCCACTTCAGGAGCAACTTACGCCATAGTCCACAACGGAATTTATCTTATCTCCGGATCAAAATCCGAAGCTAATAGATAAAATCGTCGGACCGCCTGAGCCGGCATATGGATCCACGCTGTTGACCTCATAGCGCATGACATCAGAAAAGGGGGTAGCGGCCGATCGAACACGGCTTCTCCACACGAAGATGAGCTTACACGATCCGGCCAAGGTACATGGTGATGCTCACTGGAAGGATGTTGAGATCAATTGACTTAGACTCTTGCTTGACCTGCTCTAAGACGACAAAGAATCCACTAGGCTGTGGAATTTTCTCCGCACACGTTCGTCCTGGGGGACAAGTCCGAGAGGTCTGGACTGCTTAACTCCCTTACCTCCATGAGCTAATGAGAGCCGAGAACAAAGGAAGCAACACAGATTCTTCTCAACGTCTTCCACACTATAGCACAGAGCCGTTTGCGGATACAAAGAGCCCGGACTTCCGTGTAGTCGCACAAAAACGGACGACTGAACGTTGGATATAAACGTTGCTGGCAGCCTGCAACGAAAAGATCCATCATTCTTTTCCTAATCTCATCCCAAACAGGTTACAGTCGCCCACTGACTTTCACGCTCAATCAAAAGACGACGGCTCTAACTGAACAATAATGGCTCGTGTGTGTCTTATCACTGGGGGTACCCAAGGCATCGGACGCGAAACTGCAGAATTGCTTGTCTCACAAGGGTGGATTGTGATTGTCTCCGGACGGAACACTGCGAAAGGTGCAGAGGTAGGCCTGCTTTGTCCTCTTTTGACCTATGGTTGATGACTTGATGTAACAGGTTGTCCGATCTATCAAAGACAAGGGAGGAGAAGCTACATTCATTGAGGCCGATGTCTCAGACCAACAATCAGTCAAAGCCTTGCACCAGAACGCATTCTCTATCTACGGTCGTCTGGATGGAGCAGTCAACAACGCAGGAATCTCTACTGATAGCCGTATGATCGGCGATGCGTCTACGAGCGAGTTCGAAAAGATGTGGCGCGTCAACGTCTTGGGGGTGTTCTGGTGTATGCAAGAGCAGATCCAGATTATGAAGAAGCAACAATCAGGCCACATTGTCAACCTTGCCTCAATCGCTGGCCTGCACGGTATCCTCTACTCCGGCACGTATGTGGCAACTAAGCATGCTGTACGTAAAACGTCTTATTCGCACTTTCGTTGACCCCACTGACTAGTGCCTTAGGTTGTCGGTATGACTCGTACCGCGGCGCTCGAATACGCACAAACAGGTATTCAGGTGGCCGCTGTTGCGCCTGGGGCGATTAAAACAGACATCTTGAACGACGCTATCGCGGCTGGAGCGTACAGCGAGGAGAGCATTGCTAGCATGTTTCCTATGAAGAAGATGGGAAAGCCACTCGATATTGCTCAGGCGATCTCGTTCCTTCTTCACTCTGATTACGCTACCGGAAGTATCCTCGAGGTCGACGGCGGATTAGGAGCATCATAGAGGACCGCTAAAAATATACGTTCAATTGCAAATACAAAAAATGACTTACCCTTTTTTAATCAGGAACTGTATCATATGTACCAATCGCAGATCCGCTACCATGTTGGAGCTGAACCAGCAGAATTTCGGTCGGGACGACAGGTACAGCCTTTCGCTGGGATCAAGACTGTCTAGCCGTTGACGCTGTCCTTTAGGCAATTGCGTATTACTTCCAATATCCCCATCCTTTCTTGGGTGTGGGCGTCAGAACCCTGAGCATCGACTTCCTGGCGAGCAGAGATTCACCTTTCAATATCAACGTAAATGATACCATCTTGCTGTCGGTAACGGGGGAGTTGTGGGACACAAACTTAAAACTCGCCCACTTCACGCAGACGTTTACGCTTCAACGACCTCCAGAGAATTGGAACGGCATCATCGATTGGGATACCGGTTTCATTTTACAGGACATCTTCCACATGAAGTATTGAGCCCCATGAGCGAGTCGAATGCAATTACGTCTCCATCTCTCGAACTGCCGCACGAGGAGCTCCAACCGCTCCATTCTTCTCCACTACACCACCGCTGCTCTCGCTCTCGTCATCTCTGGTAGCCACAGGCTTGGCTTTCTGAAACGGATAGCGGTCGTTCTTCTCCTTGAACCCCAGGACCAGGAAGCCAATGATCACAACAAGCCAGTACAGGTTATACGAGATGACCGAGCCGTACGTCGCGCTGTTCTGCCACCCGAACAGCGAGTTAAAGATACCCCAGCCGCCATCACCATTTGAAATAGGCGTGCAACAATTGACATGCCACACACTTTGGCGAATATCGTAGCTGCCGGGACCAGCACCTGCTTCCGCTGCACCTGAGCCTGCGAGCTTCACCCATGCATTCATCTCGAGGTCCCAGACACCCTTAGAGAAGAGCCCCGCGGCTACGAGGTATAGAAAGCATGTCGACGCTACGAGGAAGATCTGCAGAGAGGTCCTGTGGCCGCCCAGATATATGAGGTAGCCGATCAGGATGCCAGCTCCGAGACCACAGATCACAGCTAGCGGGAAGGATGTAGCAGGTAGACTGAGGCCGACGCCTGAGATGAATCTGGGTGTTGTCAGCCGCAGTCGGACAAGTGAACCTGAGCCAAAAGACTTACAGCACGGCTTCGATGCCCTCGCGCAAGACAGTGACGAACGGTAGGAGGAACATGGCATATTTCTCGGACCACTGTTTCATCTGTCCTTTTCCAAACCCAATGCTGTCTTTCTGCTCCAGAACTTTTGCGATCTTGACCCTCCACTTGTCCTGCAATTTGCTCACACGCAGGAGCGCAGCGCCCATTAGCGTGATGATGACTGCGGCAACCAACGAGAATACACCTTCGTATATGTATTCTGCCGAATCAAATGCATTGCGGCCGACAGTGTAGAACGTGCCAATGATGCCTGCGGCTATGACGAGACAGACAAAGACACCAAGACCGATGCCCCACCAGATCTGTGCGATGGTTAGATGATCTACAGGAAACGTGGCGCGTCACAGCGAAGTAGTACGCACCTGACGAACGAGCTTCTTGCGTATTTGAGCATCATGGTCAGGACCCAGAGTCTGCTTGAGGAACGCAAGGAGGACAGAGACGATGATACTGCACTCAAGGGTTTCGCGGAAGCAGATGAAGAACACTGCATGTCCTTGTTAGCGAGCCTGTTATGGAGCTTGTTTACGGGAGCGGCGACGCGATGATTCGTTGTCGCAAACATCACGGGCGGCGGCTTCTTCGGCGGGCAGTACACATTGATCGCGATATTCAGGTGACTTACCTGGGACAGCGAAAACGTTCACCATTGTGACGAGCGCTCACGGAGCAAGCGATTGAAGTTTTCAGACTCGTTCTTGGGGTTTCGAGCCTCGGAGCCAAGGGTAAAAGGAAGGCAGGCGGCTTTATCAGATGCGGGATGATCTGATAAGTAAGTGCAAGCGAGGTCGGCTGTCCCAATGCACCCGTGCTCTTTAATCAATACGAGAATCACGCGGGTTTTCTGTACCGCGGAGCGTGCCCTGCCCCGCTCCACTTGCAGCAGGAATCACCGCCGCCATTGGTGTGGCCGGTTTGGACGAAAAAACACACTTGTCCGACGATCTGATTAGCCGTTCCTCTTGTTCCTCTCCGCGGTCTCCCGCAGCCGTGGATGGACGGAAACTGGCATTGATCGCTGCCAAGCTTCGGCCAGCATGAACAAGCACACGCACTAAGCTCCGCCATGCCTCGGTAGTGCCTGCGCCGTCGACCCCAGCCGTGTGTCGATCAGTCCAGGCCTGCCTCTGCCCCGTTATCAGATCAGCGACATCAGATAAAACAGACTACCACTGCACCTGTGCTCGGACGGCTAAAAGACTCGTCAAAACTTTCCATAGCCGGCAAGCGCTAGGTCCTTCTTCGCCGTCAGTCATGAAAATTGTGCACATGTGGAGAGTGAAGTTGGCGAAGCGGCTGGACCCCGCTTCGCCATGGTTTTTTGTTGGCGCCGTGTCATCGAATCACTCTGTCGCAAAATTGGCCGAGGGTGTGTGCTCCGTACTCGGCGCCGAATAAACAACTACGAGTGCAGGCTGCGTGATTTATCAGATCTAGCCGCGCCTGCGCCGTCCGGCTTTATCAATCTAATCTCATCCATCAGCCACCTTAGGCCGCATCGCAGGCCGCCGACGTCTGCCATTGAGTCGATCCACACTGTGGGAGACTTCCCCGTCGTCGCTTGCGAGGATTGTTCGAGTACTTGAGCTCTTGCCTCTCCAAAATGGCGACTCTGGTTTCCAGAATTCTGTTTCTATGTGCTTTTCTCCCTTCAGTGGCACAATGCGCCACTAAAACGTACGACTTTGATGTATCGTGGGTATCTGCGAACCCGGACGGGCTGCAAGAGCGTTCCGTCATTGGTATCAATGGACAATGGCCGATTCCTACTATCAATGTCACCAAGGGCGACCAGGTCATCGTTAACGTGAAGAACTCACTGGGGAATGAGTCCACAAGCCTGCATTTCCATGGCTTGTATCAAAATGGAACAACGCATATGGATGGCCCTGCTCAAGTCTCTCAGTGTGCCATCATGCCTGGTAGCACTTTCACGTACAATGTCACCGTAAGTGACTCCTCGCAGCCATCTACGACCACGCACTGATTTTGCAGGTCGACCAACCGGGTACGTACTGGTACCATTCTCATGTTCGGGGACAGTATCCGGATGGTCTCCGTGGAGCCTTCATAGTGAACGACCCGGAGGACCCGCATAAGGATCTCTACGATGAGGAAATCGTGCTCACCTTCTCCGACTGGTACCATGAGCACATGCCTGATCTTCTGGCAAGCTTCATCAACATCGCCAATCCTTCAGGTGCCGAGCCGGTACCGGACTCTGCGCTTGTCAATGAGACGCAGAACCTTGCCGTCAAGATCGAGCCTGGGAAGAGGTACAAGTTCCGCATCATCAACATGGGAGCTTTCGCAGCACAGTACATCTGGTTCGAGGGTCACACGATGCAAGTTGTCGAAGTAGACGGCGTCTATACTGAACCCGCTGATGCTGAGATGATCTACGTAACTGTTGCACAGCGCTGGAGCGTCATTGTCACCGCGAAGAATGACACTAACGCCAACTTCGCGTTTGTAGGGAGCATGGACGAGGTAAGAACACGAGCTGCGTAGTTTTTCATCACATATGCCTCCCTTCATTTGCCATGCCCTGCACATGAGATAGAAGAGTGCTAACAATACCAGGATCTTTTTGATACTGTTCCTGATGGTCTGAACCCCAACGTGACTGGTTGGCTAGTGTACGATGACTCCAAGGAGAAACCGGCTCCTAAGGAGATCGATAGCTTCGAGCCCTTCGACGATTTTGACCTCGTGCCTCAAGACAAAGAGGAGCTCTACGATCACGTTGATTATCAGATCCAACTCGATGTGAAGATGGATAATCTTGATGACGGAGCCAACTAGTAAGTCAAGTCCAGATCTCATCGACCAACAACGGTTCGCGAGACTGACATGTTTAGCGCTTTCTTCAACGACCAAACCTACGTCGCCCCCAAAGTCCCAACCCTCTACACCGTCCTCTCAACGGGTCCGAACGCCACCAACCCTGAAATCTACGGCTCCCACACCAACCAGTTCGTTCTCGACCAGAACCAAGTTGTCGAGATCGTCCTCAACAACGACGACCCAGGAAAGCACCCCTTCCACTTGCACGGCCACGCCTTCCAAGTCGTTCACCGCAGCGGCGACGACGCAGGCTTCTACGACGCATCCAACCACTCCTCCTTCCCCGCTACGCCTATGCGCCGCGACACGATCCTCGTCCACCCCAACGGCAACATCGTCCTGCGCTTCCGGTCAGACAATCCGGGTGTGTGGCTCTTCCACTGCCACATTGAGTGGCATGTAGCATCTGGCCTCATCGCGACTATCATCGAGGCGCCGCTCGAAGTGCAGAAACAACTCTCTGGCAAGATACCGCAGGATCACCTGCAGGCGTGTAAAGCGGGCAATGTCCTGATGGAAGGCAACGCTGCTGGCAACACGGTAGATGTGCTAGACCTGAAGGGCGAGACAAGCTTCCCTGGGCCGATACCCGCTGGATTTACGGCGCGAGGCATTGTGGCGTTGGTATTCAGTTGCGTCGCAGCATTTCTAGGCATGGGCGTGATCGGCTGGTACGGCATGGCGCCCATCAAGGCGAAGACTGTGTGAGCGGACTACGTTGTACTACCATGGGATGGGGAAAAGCAGTATGCACGGCGTTCCGGTGCGGTATCGTAATAGACAGTCGTAATGCGTGGACAGCACACCTGAAGTCTTACACAGGTCTGCATAATGATGCAATGCAAGCTGTACGTCTGAACCAAACTTTTCAAAATGATGACAGGGCCGCGCACAGTTGCACCGTCTTAGACTAGGTCGCGCATCGGTCGGTAGCGTGCATGTAAGAAGCTTAATGCGCCCCCACGCAGAGGTATCCACTTCGGACTTCGTGTGCTGCCAGCGTTTTGAGTCGCGCGCATCGAAGCAAAGTTTGGATATGAGCTATGGTGCAACCAATATTGCTGAAACGTATCATCTCGGCCGCGGGCCTCTGCGTGTCGCGTGGGTTGCGGGTGAGAAGTTGGGCAGGTTGAGGCGGACTCTGCAGAAATTGTGCGCCATGTGTGGTGTATTCATCGAGCCACGATCCAACCTACGAAGTAAATTTTTGGGTCGAAGAATCACTTGGAACGGACGTTCTCATTGTTGCGTATGATGGCGACACTCAATGTTTGGCACTACAAAGCAGTACTATCCCAAGTTACCATACCTAGAGGCTTGCTCAGGAAGACTACGTGTCTGCGTCAGGCGAGCTCCCGCCTATTCCGTCGGCTCTACCTCAGCGCCGCATCACACCCTGTACTCAACATGCGTCTCGCGTGCTCGACTCTTCACTCAATAAACCCCAAGCGCCAACCATCCACCTCTTGCATCTAGATAAAATGTCCGGCGCCTCGCATTGTCCGCAGGCTAGCGCCTTACCCGATCCAGACACAGCCGCACTCCGCACGGACTTTGCTACGGACAATGTGCTGTGCATTGCATACACACAGACGACCGGAACTCCACGTGGTGGAGGATCGGCTAATCAGACGTATCGTACTTCGAGGTGTGAGGAGCGGTGTGTATCGACACGGGGAGTGCAGCTGTGCGGTAAGATTTTGATATGCACGGCTTGTCTAGGTTTGTATGCATTGGTTACGCAACGTTGTGAGTGGAGTATTCGCGGATCATGCGGAATGTTGGTTTGGAAGAAGATAGTTTGATGGGTTTCATTATTAAGCCTTGTCAGAAAATCGCCTGCCATGTGCCAATGTCGTCCTGAGCAACGGAATATGGTTTCTGCGTCCGCACACATGAAGGACGGAGGTCTGCCAATCAAAGTCCGCTCGGTATAATAACCTAGTTTACAGAATGCAAAGCGTAGACAATATCGTCGTTCCAGATCAAAAGTGCAATCAAACTGTGCCCGGGGAAGGATTTGATTCGCCGTCGATCTCCTCGGGGGAGCATGTCGGGCAGTCGTACAGCCAGCTGCAGAATTGGCGGACTGGATGCTCTGTGCCTACTTGCCCCACGCAGTGGCCCCTGAGACACCACCAAGCCCATTGGTTGTTATTGGCAGGGTCGCGCATGAGGTAGTTCTCGCCAGGAGACCACATGTCGAGTGCGAGGGTGATGCGGCTGAATTGAGGTCCCGAGGGCGCTGAGTTAGACAAAGCGACAGATTTAACCTTGTCATCAACGACTGTCGGCTTTGTGCAATCATTCTCATGAGATGATGAGGAGCCCATCTCCCTAAGCGCCTCTGTTGCATGGTACCAGACCCAAAGAGGACTCCACAAAGGGTCGCCGATGGCTTTGACGTGCAAGTTGAGCTCGGAGATATTTTCGATTTCGGAAAGCTGGCGACGCATCTGACGGGCAAGAGCCCATTCTTCTGATTTCATAGTACGCGGGTCTGACATGCCCAGCATGGTGCTTGTTGTGATGAGCTTGATGTCGCATCGCTTGATCTTCTTGAGCACTTCAGGCGAGATTTGCCAGATGTCCTTCTCTTCTTCGGCAGGTGTGTCGGGCGGCGTGTAGTTGTGCGGAGCAACCGTCATGTGGAAGGTAGCCTTCTTGCACATGAGATCCATGTACTCGGCGTAGATTTGTTTGTTGGCCAAGAACAAAAGGTTGCTTTTGTGACCCGTGGTCTCGGCATCTGTAGAAGACCCGATTTGCGCCATGCTGGATAGCCAGCTAGGCCCACGAGTTTCGGGGCACGGTTGAGGCGGCGGGTAGTAGGGGTCCTCCAGTAGGTTTTCGTACACCATATCTCGGAGCTCTGGCGGTAGTTGCATGAAAGGAAAGGGTGCATCGTTGTGGTTTTGCATCTTGTCGATGGCGTGTCTGAGTAGCGTGATGATATATCTGGCTGTTGACACGAACCATAAAATGGTGTCTCGTGAAATAGTAGACAAAAATCTGAACTGGGACTGCCGCCCAACGCGAGATGTACGATAGCGAGATAGAAGAATATGTGAACCAAAGGAAACAGCTTTGGACTGCTGAAGTAGAACACGTTCGGAGAAGGAAGGCCTTATGATGTCGTTACGCGTGGACTGCCCAAGATCTGAGTGTGGGGTGTTTGTCCGCATCGTGATGGTCCAGTGCTATACTGAGTGTAGCGCGGTACGGACACCGATTAGGGGCGGTTTAGGTGCAGGGTATTGCAGGGCCTCGGCGTCACCTAAAAACTGCGTCAAAGCGGCTGCACCTCAACTGGGCAAATCCCACGACCTCCGCGATCCTGAAAGAGTCGATTTAGCGGTCACCACTGTCAGCCAAACTTTCCGAGCGCGAGAGGTTCGAAGCGCTGGGGTCACGGGAATAGAATTGCTGCACCGGCAGTTAGAGGCGAGTAATATGCGCGGCGTCAGGAGGGATAAGGGTAAGCAGCTCAAACAGAGAGGTAGCAGTGTTAAGGGCGCGAGAAGTGGCCGTGAAGACAATACATTTTGGTTTTGATGTTTGCTGGTGCCTGGCTCAGGCGCGAGTTACGGACCTCTGCGCCTCTGCGCAGCGCGACACCGCCACAAGCAGTCGCCTCCCGCCAATACGAGGCGGTCAAATTTCCGCCGGCTGGACGATGCTGCTGACTGTTCAGGCGAGTAGACGTCGCGTGAAACGCGGAGGTTCCTGCCCAGTGCGCAGTAAGTGTATGCGAGCGGAACTCGGGTTCGTGTCCAAAGCGCAGTAAAGATAATACGTGGACCACTTGTCGCGCATGGGCAAGCAATGCCGATGCTTCGTTCGGCTAGACCTCAATCGGAAGGGATGCCTACAGCGTCGCTGTGCTTGGTCGTTATTGTTGAAGACGCGGCAGCGCTGCTTGCAAGTAGTTGAGTATACGCGGGCCCTAGGGCCCGGGGTGGCAAATGGGGTGTGACTTGGTGTCCTTGTCAATCTGGCATGAAGAACGACTCAGCAGACTGGACCAAACCAGGCAAACGATGATTACCCTGTTGATATATTGATCATATCGAATCACACATGGCCTCTTCGTAAGGTTGCAACGGTGTGCATATGGCGTCCATGTGACTCGCGTTCAGCATTGCCACGATAGGCATAGACTGGTTGGTGGCTTAGCCCAGAGTTTCACCTCACCTCACGTTGCACAACCTCACCCATTCGCTGCAACCCCAGAGTGCTGACCTCCCCACGATCGGCCTCCCCATCGACTTCCAGATTGAGACTCGTGATGCAAAGCATGGTAAGTGAATAGCATTGGCAAGCGTCGTAATGCCTTTGGACGCCGTTCCATAACTCATTACTCAATCATTATCAGGACGCAGCGAGCAGCTTCTAAAGTACAAGAGGTGAAGACAACGTATTAATAGATCAACAGGAACAATGTACTGTGCCAACAAACCATACTCCAACTCCCGACATACCGAACAGTTGTGCACACAAACCAAACCGTGTCATCGCTTTTCCTGATCCTTTTCCATGTCCTTCATGTACATATGTCGGATCTTGTCCTTCATCTTCTGGTCTTCGAAGTGGGCTTGAACCTCCGCCAACAACCACTTCTTGTTCCTCCCAGGCTTGCGGCCCGGCTTCTCGACGTGCGTCGCGAAATGCGCAACGAGGTTGTCGTTCCGGTTGAAAGCCTTGCCACAATGTGGGAGCGGGCAGCCGTGGTCTTTCTTCCCATCATGAGTTCGAATGTGGCGCTGCAGATGTTCTTGCCTAGCGAACGACTTGGGACAGAACACACAAGGGTGTTTTTCCTTCTTGATACCGCGGGGCGTATAGTTTATGCTTTTGCCGTCATATTCACACTGGACCCCATCTTGAACCAAAATAGTTCTGGTCCCATCCGGAAGACAAAGGAACAGCTCATCGTCCGGTCCCACGCGTGCTCCCTTGGCGTGCCTCGACTTCCGGTGCGATTTCCTTCGCGTTAGATCAGAGTATGACCGTTGCTCCTTCTTGACCGTCTTGCCTCCGGTTGACGTCATGTGTATCGACCGTGTCGGTCGTTCCACATGGTCTTCAATATCCGAATCTTGTTTTACTGATGGTGGGGAATTCTCCTTCTTGAAGAAGACCTCTTGCGGTGATTGAGCGAAAGGACGACCTAAATCCTCAAACGATTCGGAGTCAGAGAAATACGGTGGTGCGACCATAACGAAGCTGTTCTCTGTGTTTGCTACGCTTGCAGCTGGCTCCACGTGGACATACTCATCCTCCGCATCCGCCATGGCCCCTGAGGGCGGAAGCATCATCATATGTTGAGGCTGTTCGATCGGGACGTGTTCGGACCAGAATGATTGAGCTCCACCCTCCGGCATGCCGAATGTCGATGCGTGGTTACTCCAGTGTCGATTCGAGCCTGCGTCCACGGTGGTGGACCAACCTTCCCAGGATGAGCTCGCAGAAGAAGTGATAGGCATCTCGAAATTAAGCTGGGGTGCCGCATGCGTCTCAAAGAAACATCCAGAGGCCTGTGTACTAGGGTTTGCATTTTGAAGACTCATTGACGTGTCCGGTGTGCTAAGCGCCCATTGCCCATAGAGATGGTCATCTGGACTAGTGAACGTCTTGGACTCCATCGGAAGACCGTGATAGTGTTGGTCATGCAAGTCTTGAGCCAACTCATAGGGAATGACCTCGGCGACGCTCCTACCGGGGACTGGACTTTCCCCGTGTGTTGGGGTCACTGGCATCGAGTAGTCCGACATACAGCTTCCGAAAGACATTGATGTGTGTGCTGATGCGACGGAATCTCTCCGGGTATCGAGGTTATACAGAATTGGTGGGGTCAGAAGGCCTGAAGTTGGCATCGTCGAAGGCGAGGCATGGTAATCCTCCCGTGATCGGACGTCCTCGAAGCTGGAAGTAGTTGCGCTCATCTTCACAAACTCGAATTCTGACTCGACTGAAGCATAGGATCGTCAGCAGATGTACTCTTCCAGTGGCGACCATATCGACATCATACACTCACACAGAGAATTTACTGAGTCGTTCACAAGCAAAATGCTGATGTCAGATCGATAAGAAATGGTTATATGGACAGGAGAGCAGCGTGCTCTTTTGAATGAGGGTATGCAATAGGCTGGGAATACCGTGCCGAAGTGGCACTGAGGGACACTAACCTTCGTGGAACATATTACAATATGAGGGCGCGCTCATGGACGCGACTGAGGCAGGGCGATGGAATGGGTTGAGCCTCGCGCGAGTAGCTGGACCGGTATGGTGGGTTCAAGGAGGAAAGAGATGCGAACGGGTAACGACCTGGATTGCGAAGCGACTGCAAGGGGCAGTAGAATCACGGACGACCTACACTACCAGAGGAGTGCAGACAACGGGAAAGGTACACGGCGACCTCACGGCAGATTAAAAGCTACAGAGATCCGTCAACTCGTCACAAGCCTGAAGTTTGAGCGACACAAGCGCGAAGGCCTTGCAGGCTGCCAGACAGGAGCCAGAATGACGGGAACTGAAATGGAGGGTCTGACCTGGTGTTCATCGATCGACCGCGACTGTAACCTCAGCCTCTGGCTAACGCCTCCTCTCATGGAATGGTACGTTAGGACCCTACCATGGGGTCAGCCCCCAGCCGAACAGCCACATCGATCGCAGTACCAGGCCCTTCCCTGTCGCGCATCTTCACCAGAGTAAAGCATTTGGCCGCTCAACGACCCACCAGCTTCTGCAGGTCCGGCGGCGGACCTGCAGATTTCACCCCACAATACAGATGTAACGCGAAATGTTCGGCTAAGATGCACATCTTTTCGATAACCTCCAGAATGCACTTCACCCACATGTCGAGCTGCCACGCCGTTGGCTCGCATGCCCTCACCTCCATCGCATTGCTCAAGCTGTTACATGATCTGGTGGTTTGTCCCGACTACCCAGTCATATGGTCACCAATATCATGTATATCGGTTTGTGGTCTTACACACCTACGAACTTCTTTCTTTCTACACAAATGGAATGGTGGTGTGTTTGCAGACAACTGGCGTGAATCGACCTCAAAGTGGTACAACAGCAATGTAGTACAACCCCACTGACTGGGGCCAAAGAATTCTCCGAGTTATGGATAAGCCACTCGATGAAGGACCCATGATTGGCTGCTTCGGATGTTGACATTCTGCTGCAGGGAATGAGGCACTGCGGATGGCGATGGATTCCAACCGACATCGGCGCTTGCAGTTGCCCGTTTTGCTATGTCTAAGCTCAGCCCTGCTATTTACATTCAACTGGATACTCAGTGTACGCTCTGGACTCAGCCATGGGGTACTGTTGAGTGCTTAGAGCTTCTCGAGGTTGAAGGGTATCCGCATCAACAACCTATCAACTGCCCACCAATCTAGATGAGGCGGGTACCCGCCATCGATCCCGAGAGTCGAGATCTCATGTTTCAGCAGACGCAAGTGGATACGCACTCTTCTGGTTAGTTCAACGGTTGCAGGCGGAGGCTCTAGCCGCGACCGATGCTGAATCTCTGCATCCTCGGTTATTCAATACTCCGTTGTGCAACATGGCTGCGATCGTAGTAGGTATAGGCGACCCCACAGGCAAATCACTCGCATAAAGCGTCGACAACGGATTGGATAAATTCTGCGCAGTCCCACTTTCATGATATGCAGCCAAGAGGCAATGACCGAAGACCCAATCGTGTACTACATTACGGCGCCGAAAGAGAAGCGCTTGCACGAACTGGTTCAGACAGGTCTCGCCATCAAGACCAGGAAGTGGTTACCTGGATACGTGGGAACTGTATTCTCGGTCCTTGGACTCAGATCCTGCAAGTTCGAACAAATCCAAACAAAGCGTTACGCTCATGGTTGTTGTCAACGTCGCTCTGATCGCCTTGACCGGCGACCAACCTTGGAGGATGCGGTGCCAATGCCAACTTGCAGCTTGTACATCGATGGACAGAGGGCCCACTGGACATCACTCAAGGGGATGGTGAGGCTCGGTTTTCGGGTTCAGTCTCGCGACAGCTGTCAGGGCCCGCTCCGCAGAGCTCGCGCTGTCGAGGAAGGGAGACCGTCGTCAAGCGCGCGGCTGTTGCCAGGAGCCTGAGGAATTGGCGATGAACACGCGGAGGAAAGTCACTGGCTGCCACGCTGGACGTTGAAGCCCCTCATTCCAACGGTCCATGCGATGCGTGGCGATATGACAGGACGGTGAGACTGATCATGAAATCACTTGCGAAGAATACGCAGACTCGCACACACGTTTCCAAGATCTGGTGGAAGAAGCCAAGGCCTTCTTTTGTGCTCGACCAACATCATCAGTCTTGGACACCACGCCTATCTTGAAACGTACAGTCCGAATGAGGCAACGATCACCCATCCAAGAGCACCATGCAGTAGGCATCGCTTCTGGCTCTGCTTCTGGCTCGCGTCAGGCGTTGAAAACGTCTTCAGGAAGACGCATCTCATCTCAGCAAGGACACACTGATGAACCGTGAGCACGCGTATCGAGCTAATGTACGCACTGTCCTTGTGCAATCATCGACGCAACGCTGTGGAGGCGAGTGGGCTTGCGGACCTTGATATCAGACGACCTGGCTGGACGACGCAGGACAGCTTGTGGGCACAGTGGTAGGTGCGTCCCGTTGCGGGCTGTCCCTGATCACGACAGAAGCGCGTCTCCGCTTCGAGGACAGCACTGAGAACGTCCGCTGCATCAGACTGGCGCTTCTTGTGGCTGCTCGTACCCCTGCTGCGCGGAGCTCCGTCGGATTCCTCTGGTGGGGACGAAACGTCGAGATCCGCTCGTCGTAGATGGATGATCGCGAGACGAGCGTCGGACGTAGGCTCCGACATCACAGCTTCTTGCCGCATTCCGTTGCCTGAAGAGGGCAAGTGCCAGTACCCGTCGTGATGGCAAAACGGTCGGACGACGGCTCATCAAGCCGTTGCCTGGTCTCGATCTCTGGCGTGTGACCGCGACAGGTACATTGTTGAGGCAGCGATAACCTCATGGCCTACGACACGGTCGGCGACGGCAAGCTGCGCATATGACTGACGACCGCAGCATCTCCGCCGTCTGGGAATGGATATGGTATCCTGTTAAGGCAGCACCATCGTTTTAGTGCGGCCTGTTTGGGCGCTGGCCGGTCACGCAACATGTACTGTTCCTGAAGGCTGACTTTAACTCGCAGAAAAACGAGAGACACGGGGTAGCATATCCGCTCAGCTTCCGCAACATTATGCCGACGCCCAAATACAGCGAGATTACCCAGGAACCTCCTTCCCTCCTCGTCGACCATCGCGATTCTCTCTCACCCCAAAGACACGCATGAGGCCGGCCGCCGTTGCCGGCCCTTTGGTACATCCCATTTCCCACGCGATTCTAACATTCGCATGAGAAACATGTTTTCCATGCACCCCAACGAGCTCGGCTTCTCTCACTGGAATCGACTTCCTCTTCTCACTTCCCTAAGCGCGCACTACTGTGCAATACAACATGGCTTGGGCGACCACGAGCATTGATTGGACGACTCCATGCTGACGGCTTGTTGTATTTCAAGATCAGGATTCTGGATCAGCACGACCTACCGCCCAGGTACTCGTTCTTTGAGCCCGGTCATGGGCAGCTGCTATTCCACTCGTTGTCCGCAGCCCTACGTACGCCGCGAGCTTCTCCACGTAGAACAACAACGGCAACCTCAACGCGAGCGCGCTGATCCCTACCGCTCGGGACATGAAAATTTCAGGTGCATATGAAACAGCATCATGAGCTTCCCACCTAGACTCTCGCTTGCATCTCGTTGGAAGATCAAAGGCTGGCAAACAGCGCCACCCTCCAGTGAGCCTCTACGATCCTTTATCAACGCGTACACACATACACTATCTCGCCATTCCTTCCCCACTACGTGCCCTCCACTGTCTCACACAGTCCATTCCCACGGCTCAAGCCGTCAACACCCCGCAACACCTGCCGTAGCTATTTACCGACCACAGCCCGTACCACCTCCCAACGCAGGCGGCTCTCGCGTTGGGCCATCAGCTGAAATGGTAAGCTGCGGAGGTGTCTCGCTCCAGCGCTGCTGTCTCGCTCCGCCCCATCGGTGCGGATCTTCTGTCTCGGGAGTTCGGGAGCGAGCATGCAGCTGGATCCGCGTTTGGCGGCCGGGACGTTGGGAGGGCGGGTACCTGCGTGAGCGCAAGTTCAGATCGACGAGCGCGGTGCTGGAGAATCAAGTGTCTCTGGGTTCGTCTCGAGGGTACTAGGTTCAGATGAGGTGTGAGGTCAGTCGATGCAGTCGCGAATATGAGAGTAGTGTTGGATCGCCGGCCAACGTGACGATGTCTTTGTGCGAAAGCGCGATAGACCCTCACGCACGAGACGTCTGTAGAAACGTACATGCATATGTAGGCCACCTCTCAGAGTTCAAATCCCCGCATCACCATCTGCTTTCCATCTGACTCTGTGTCTGCAATCTGTTCACTCCCACCGCAGCCACCAACCACAATGCCGCTCCCCCGCCCTCCCACCACAACACCACTCTCCTTGAGATGCACATCCCCATCACAGACACCGACCCCAAGTCTCCCATCTCCGCCCATCCGACCCACCGCGCCAGCTACCCAGACACACCCCCTCCACGCTTCCTCCCACACCCGCGCTGCCAGCCGCACACCTTCCCACAGCCATCCTCCCCACGCAGCGCGCAAATCCCCAATCCGATTAACCCCGACCCCACGCTCTGCCGCCCCTGACACGCGCCCAAACCCCATCTTCCAGCGCTCCTTCAGCCGTCGTCTCCCACCGCGGTCCCATTTCCGCCCATGATGCTTCCCTCGCTTCCTCGCAGCGTGGGACGCGGCTGCTCTCAGTCGTTCTCACACGCTCACCCACTGCGGACGCTCGCGCCGCGTGCGGCATGGTCTGCACGGGGGAGCGGAGGGAGACGGTGTGTTTGCGTAGGCACGGCAGCGTTTGGAACGGGTCCAGTATGGGGCACCACTCCAGCGCGCCTAGGTCCTGCGTAGCACAGTACGGCGCGTGTATGGTCAGTCTTGGTCTGTAGTGGCGAACGCGTACTCTCCGTGCGCCTGGGATGTGCACGTGGGGACTTTAGAAACCACAGCGACATTCTCGGCTGCTCGTCTTTACGTCTGTAACTCTTCGATTCAATGCGGTCTATACGCATGCGGTACGACCCATAGCACGGTCTTAGGTACTTTGCCCTCCTGTCTTTCCACCCTCGTCCCCCATTCAAGAAAGAAAAAACATGATGAATATGTCGGTATGCAGACAACCGCCCAAACTCCTTAGCAGGCATCGATCGCCCGCCATGATAACGCCGTCGGCTAATGCAAACATGACATGGAGGTTGCCAACCCACCTTTACCCAAACCCACCCAATCCAATGCAAAATGCAAGCAAAAAAGCAATCCAACATGTCCAATTCAATCATGTCCCTCGTAGATCTAACTCGTGCTCGTCCAGCGCAGCCGCGGACGCGCCGTCTCGCTCGAGGTGGATTCTGAGCAGTGTGTGAGCTCAGTACGTGCCGGCTCGGGGCGGGTCAGAAATACTTTCAAACGTGTGGTCGTCGTCGAAGGCGATGAGCCGTTCCCTGGGGCGCAATCGGTCGTAGAATTCCGGGCCGTGGTCGGGCTCGGGCAGCGTCTGGACGGGCTCGGTCAACGCGTCCGAGGGGTTCGGCGGGCTGATGGTGCCGCTGCGCTCGCTTTCCTCTTGGGTGGTGTCGAGCGTGGTTTTCTGGAGCGCAGCCTCGAGGTCTTCCGGGTCGAAGGGGGTCTCGGTGGCGGCCGAAGGACGCCGCGTCCGGTCGGCGGTGGGCGGGCGCGAGCCGTTGGAGGATACAGAGGACTTGCGGGGGCGCTTGGGGTCTTCGGTTGGGTTGCGCGAGAGGCCGACTGGACGCTGTTAGCAGGGCGGGGTGGCGTGGGACAGGCGCGCTGGACTCACCATTCGTGATGTCGCCCTCGTCGTCGCTGTCCTCGATCAGCTGGTGGTCGCCGCTCAAGCTGGCCCCGATGCCGCTGTCGTTCTCGCGGTAGTCGTCAGCGCGGCGAGGTTTGCTCTGGCTGCGTCTGCCGTGCACGCTGCGGACGCTCCTCCGTGTGCGGAACGACGAGAAGCTGCTCTTCCTCGAGGGCATGCGGGACCCCATGGGCGAGTATATGCTGGCGGTGCTCTTTCGGCGCCAGGCCTTTGCCCAGTCGAACGACTCGAGGTGTGCTTTGTGCTCCGGGGCGACGGGGCGGCGGTACTTGAGCGGCGGCATCTTCTCGCCGGGCTGGTAGACATTGGGGTCGTAGTTCTTGGACTTCTTGCCCTTTACGACCTGGGGGTCGTCGTGGGCGCCGCGGGTGAAGGCGCGACGCAGGCGCGACCGGAGAGGCATTGCGTGGGAGTGGCCCGCGGACGGCGGCCGGCTGGTCAATCGAAGAGGGCGCGGGTGATTGCACTTGGCCGCGGTGGTCGACAAGGCGGTTGCTCGCGGCGGAGGGTGCGTACCAAGCCTGGCAGCGGAGTGCTAAGCGGGCGAGGGCCTCGGAGCGGCCTGGTCCTGGGCGCTGCTGCCGATGCTGTGCTCGGTGGCTTCCTGGCTATGGCACCTGGCTGTTCTGGAAGGCGCATTCGAGGAGGCCGAGTCTGGGGAAGTCGTGAGCGGTGCGAGGTGCAAGTGTGGAGCGGACGACGGCGACAGCGTTTGTTCGCAGTTCGGCGTGGGTCGCGAGCCGGACTTGGGCTAGAAACAGTGGAGAGGGTGGAGACGACGCACGTCGTATGGGCGCGCTGTGGCAGGGCAGGCACGCAGGGCACGCGCGCGGTCGGCAGGCGAGCGTCGCTCCCACTCGCTCAGGATGACGGCGGGCGTGGAGGCGCGAGGCGATGTGGACTGGTATTACTATGGGCCACAGGCCGACCGTCTCCCGTTCTTTGTACCGTCAATCAATCGATGAAGGCGCCAAGTCTGTCAGCCATTCCTGTTCCCTCCGGCCGGGCTTGCAAAATGGTCCAGTGCACTACTTGGCTCTACGTGAACAATGGCGACATGCCTGCGGCGAGGCAAGGCACGATTGACGTTGGCCTGCAGCTCCCTCCGACTCGGCGCGTGGGAGGCGTGCATGCGGAACAGACGGCCGCCTCACTCGCTGCAAGTCGCCCCAGCTGCGCGATTTTTTCCCCCATGGCAGAGCACGACGGGCGCCCGGCGGAGAGTCTGTCGGAGCGAGCAGCGCGGTCCAAATAGTGTTGAGTGCACACAAGCAGCCATCCGTCGTCCCAGCGCCCGGTCCCAGCCGTCTGGGAGCGCGCGGCTCTTGGGGCACCTCCAGCGTTGCTGCAGTCCAGTTGGGCGTGCGGCAGTCACATGACCCGGAGATGCAGCGCGAAGCCCTTGGGACGCACGCCCGGTCCGTTGTCCGACTTTTCGTCACGGTTCTCGAGCCCTTCTGGTTGCCTTCTGGTTGCTGACGCTGCCTGCGTCCGCCCGCCGTTCCAACGCACCAACATGTCATCGCAGTGTAAACATGTGCCCATTTCTGCCCGGACTGCGGTGCAAGTGTGGGGTAGCCCGGCGATCTCTGCGTGCGTCATCGCATCGTGATGCCCTGAGATCCCTCCTACGCCACGAAGGTACGGAAACTCCATCAGCTGCCCGTCTTAGCGTCGATGGCCTGTTCGTGCCCAGCTGTCAGCGGCTGTGGTGTCCGCCGAGCTTCGACCATTCAGCGGCTGTGACGCCTGTGTAGGAAAACTCCCACTCCAGTGCACTGCTCAAGCGAGCCCACTTTGGATGCACCGCCAGGATCACGACGATCCGCGCATATCGCTATGCTTCACTGGACCGAGTTTGACAAGCCTTGACGCTTCTAGAGTTCCCAAAACCAGTTTACTGGTGATGTTGGTCGTTTCGAGCGTGGTGGCTCTTCCTCGTTCCAATGGTTCTTAGCGGGGTGCGCCTCTTGCAGCTAGCTACACGTCTATGACATCAACCTTAAAGCGGCCGCTCCACACGGCTTCAATCATTCCACGTATTAATTGAGCTTCGCCAATTCATTCAATTCTACTTTCAGTAAGAACTACGCGGTCTCCATCCGTGTTCTTTCTGCTTTTGGTTGCTGAGATACCCCAAAGAAGGCAATATGGAGAAGATCAAGAACATCCTGTGAGTTCGAATCGGATACGTGTGGGCCAACGTACTGACAATTGCAGGTCTCACGGTCAGGACAAGGAGGGCGGCTCTGCACAAGGTCGACACGACACTCCTACCACTGCCGAGTTCGACCGCTCGCAAACGGGAGGATTGGCTGGCGAAGGCAGTCACTTGACAGGCGCGAACACGTCTACTGAGGCATCGGGAGAGTAAGCCAAATTCCCCAGTCCCAATCAATCCATGAAAAGTGCTCACCCTCGCCAGGCACCATCCCATTTACGACCAATTCGCCAAAGGTACCGATAACACACCACACTTCTCCAACACTACAAGCATACCGCAACCCACTTCCACCAGCGCGGCTGCTTCAACGGCCCCAAGCTCCACATCGAACCTGCATCCTAACCAATTTCGGCCAGGCCCACATGAAAACATGAGCAATGCAAGCATCAAGTCCGGCGTCATTGGCTTCCCGCAGGGCGCCGATGATAGCCATGCCGCACGACCGAACAACAACCCGTTCGAGCAGAAGCAGCATGGAAGCAATCAGCCTGGCGCAGGTGGCGATCTGTCAGGTACAAAAGCTGGCAGTCAGGGATCGGGTCTCCAACAGGGTGCGGCAGCTGGCACTGCTGCAGTAGGTGCCGGAGTACTGGCAGAACACGAATCGCGATCTCAGCCTCAGGAACCACCTCGCAAAGTGTCGCCTAACGAGCGCGGGCTTTATCCTTTGGATGCAGATTTGGATGCCGAGGATCCGAACTACAAGGCCGGCGGTCAGGCATCTGGTCTCCAACAGGGTGCGGCAGCTGGCACTGCTGCAGTAGGTGCAGGAGCATTAGCAGAACACGGATCGCGGACTCATCATCAGGAACCACCCCTAAGCGGGCCCAACGAGAGAGGGCTTTATCCTCTGGATGCAGACTTGAATGCGGAGCATTCGAGCTCCATGGCTGCTGGTCAACCTCCGCAGATCAATCTGCAGAGACAGGAGTCTGATGTAGGGCCCGACTCTGGTCGGTCGTTCCCACTTGCTGGCGGTGTCGCGCATCAAAACCCGCAGACGAGCACAGGCACCAGTGCACGCGAACTGGGCACCCAGGTGAGGGAAGCTGGACTTTCCGACAGCGCCGGCCGCGAGGGTCTTGCTGGTGCTGCTGCCGCCGCTGCAGCGACATCAGTCATCCCTCAACACGATGGTAGGATCGAACCGAATCTGCAGGCTAAGACCGTAGACCAGTCCGCACCCGAGCATCACTACGGAAGAGATGCTGCGGTTGGTGGAGGTCTGGGAGCAGCTGGAGTGGGTGCTTACGAGGCAACAAAGCATGGGACCGAGCAAACTCAGTCAACAACCCCAGCCCAGTCTGCGAATATTCAAGGTCGAGGATTAGAGCAGCCTGCACCCGAGCATCACTACGGACGAGATGTTGCGGTAGCCGGTGGCTCGGGAGCAGCTGGAGCAGGCGCCTACGAGGCAGCAAAACGCCACCAGACATCTCAGCCAACAAACCCAGCTCAGTCTGCTAACATCCTAGATCGAACAGTGGAGCAGCCTACACCCGAACATCACTATGGACGAGATGCTGCGGTAGCTGGAGGTTTGGGAGCGGCGGGAATTGGTGCGTATGAAGCATCAAAGCGTCACCAGACCCAGCCAACTCAGACCACTGGTCAATCTGCGAACCCTGATGCGTTGGCTGCTGCCAGAGCAGCAGCAGCAGACGAGCACGGCTGGACCCATGAGCATAAAGGACTTGGTCATGACTATAGGGGAGACCCCTGTGACACGCAGCAGGACAAGTCACCTGCAGAGCGTGGTCTTTTGTTCACCTCAGGGCCTCACGCAACAGACACCGCGAACAGGACCGACCCCAAGCTCCACATTCCTGGCGAGTTTCCCAGCCCGACACCAGTGGAAGAGTCGAACGCGTCGTCCTACGTTTCGAGCAAGCCGACTGCAAAGACCACTCCATCTGCATTTGCGGAACCCGAATTGCGCCACACGGGCTCTCTAGATGAGCCCCAGGCTCGATCGGCAGGACAGCCTACATCGGAGCATCAATACGGCAGAGATGCCGCAATTGCAGGAGGCTTGGGAGCGGCCGGAGTAGGCGCCTATGCGGCAGGAAAGCATCACGACAAGGATTCTGCAGATGTGGGCAGCGAAATTTTCCCTAACGAGCCAAACCCATACACCAAGAATCCGGTGGACCCCCGACTTGGCACCACCTCCAAAGTTGGCTTCACAGAGCAAAGATTTGATACCGCGGCTTCATCAAACCGCAGCCCGCGCAACGCTGTTCTCACTGGCGGCGCAATTGGGTCCTCTCAGCCATCCACTCAGGAAGCCCCCAAAGCCCCTGAACTGTCCAATAAGGAATACCCTTCGGCTGGACAAGACGTCAAGTCCGATTCGCAGCACCACTATGGCCGCGACGCCGCAACAACCGCAGGCCTGTACGCCAGCCAGCGCGACGCTGAGCCGGCTTCTGGTCCAGCATCATCTACCATCGGACCTCACAAGAGCAATGTCGCCAATGTGCTTGATCCGAGGGTACAGCCCGATCCTGAGCTGCAGAAGCATAACAACGCTGCTCCCACGGTTGAGGACCCCGCGCCTTCGACTGTAGGACCGCATAAGAGCGATGTTGCGAATATCGTAGACCCCAGAGTGCTTCCTGACCCGCAGAAGCAGAAGGCTGTTTCCAAGGAAGAGACCCGAGACCAGCAACACCACTACGGACGCGATGCTGCCGTTGCAGGTGGCGCAGGAGCTGCCGGCTATGGAGCTTATGAAGTCGCAAAGTCGTACGGCGACCACCCCAGCACGCAACCCAGTGCTGCTATGAACGACCAGCGGTACGACCCTTCAGCCCGTGGTGCACACGCCCCCGGTACTACGGCACCTGCCACTTCTTCTCAAGAGCAACATCACTACGGCCGTGATGCCGCGGTTGCCGGTGGGCTTGGGACTGCTGGGGCAGGAGCTTATGCTTCCAACCGTGACCACCAGCTGGAGCATACACAAGCTATCCCCGGAGGACACGGTTTGGGCGAACAGAGGTACGACCCCTCGGTGTCCACCCAGCAAGCCAGTGCACCCCAGAGCCAGCACCACTATGGCCGCGATGCCGCCGTTATTGGCGGAGCAGGTTCCCTAGGCACTGGAGCGTACGCTGCTACTCGTGATCATTCGCAGCCTCAGCAACCTTCTGCCGCTCAGGGTTATCAGCAACCTTCCGCTGCTCAAGGATACCAACAGCCGCCTATCGCCCAGTCTACCGCTCCCACCCAACAACCCGGTGCGTCTCAAACTCAGCACCACTATGGCCGCGACGCCGCCGTCGTCGGCGGGGTTGGAGCTTTAGGCGCAGGAGCATATGCTGCTACCCGTGACCACCCCATGTCTCAGCAACCGTCTGCTGCTCAGGGATACCAGCAGCCTTCTACTGCCCCCTCCTCGCAAGACCAGACCCAACCCGGCACCTACCCGCCCCAGGATCCCTCCCAAAAAGAAGCCCACACCAAACGCAACGCCGCCCTCGGCGCCGGCGGCCTAGCCGCCGCAGGCGCAGGCGCGTACGGCCTCTCGCAGCACGATGCCCAGAAGGAGCAAGAGCGCCAGCTCAAGGAACAGCAGAAAGCTCAACAAAAAGCCCTGCACGAGCAGCAGAAAGCATCCGAGAAAGCCGCTGCCGCCGACCAAAAGCACCACGACAAGCTTGTCGCGGCTACCGAGAAGAAGCACGCGAAGGAGGCGGAGCACAAAGAGCGTGAGCACGCGAAGGAGCTTGACCGCCGCGAAAAGGAGAGACTGGAGCAGGAACGCGCGGCGCAGGCGGCGAGCACAACGTTCATGGTGCCGCAGGGCGAGAGGGAGTATCCCGATGGCTCGACCGAGGCGCGCCAAGCCCAGAGCAATTCTCCGCCCAAGGAGAAGAAACACCGCATTCTCACCTTCCTTAACAAGAAGGACAAAGACGCCCCCCGCAGCGGCAGCGATGATACCTCTCCACGTGGGTCTCGCGACAGCCCGCGCCACAGCAAGGAGTACGCTGCCGGTGCTGCGGGTGTCGGTGCTGCAGGCGTGGGCGCTGCGGCCCTCGCAGAAGACGACCACGAGGGGCGCTACCTCGCGGAGAAAAAGGGCAGGCACGTTCTGCACAAGGAACCGCCAAAGAACCATCCCGCGTACGAAACACACACGCACGATCCCGTGGGCAAGCGCGAGCACACAGGCACTGCTGGGCCCATCGGCGACCCCAACCTCGTCTCCGGCGACCAGTAAGTTTCCCCCGTCCCATGCGCTCGTGTGGGAGGCAGCCCGGGTTCTAACAATTCTGCACAGCCAAACCCGCTCAGGCGTAGGCGCACATCCCGCGGCCGACGCCGTCGGCGGCCATCACACCGTCACAGAGCCGCATACCGGCCTGCCCGTGAACGTGGACAAGTACGGCGATGGGCACGGTGGCACGGACGCGAGCAGGACCATCCCGGGCGTGCATGAGGCGCCGGGACAGACGACGGACTGGGATGCCATCAAGAAGAAGGATACGCTTTTCTAAGTCGAAACTCGGAGAGGGGGTCGGACGACGGGTGGAACCTAATGCGCCTTTGGCATCAGATTATGCGATGATGGATTGGGTGTAGGCGATGGGGACGGTTCAAGCACTGGCTGCGTTTACGAGCACATGAAAGTATACGACATCATGATTGGCAGGATAGCAAGGTATATATACAAAAGTACTATTGCCGACTATTACAGCGACCGTGGTTGCGTGCCCAGGTTGATTCTACGATGCCCACACAAAGGGGCTCGCGGCGCGACGAGGGAGGTGCCGCGGTGTCTTGATTCGAAGTCGGGTCGCTGCTTTGTGAGGAGATTTTGAGAGGAGGCGAGATGGGCGGGCGGTGCCGTAGGATCAACGTGCGATGGCGCGAAGAGTAAACTCTGGGATAACACGACTCGGGTTGGATAGAGCTGGAACAGAGTCAGCTTGGGAGAGGCGAGGGTGTCGAACGACACAAACATCCAGCCTGAAATGTTCAAAACAATGGTGGTGTCCATCTGATTGTAACGGAAAGTGTGATGGCAGATCGCTGGTATGATTACATGTGAGCCGAGTGGTTTCAGTGAGCAACCCACTCTCCGCGCCGCCCCATCCGTATGAGAGCGCTCTGAACCTTGAATGAAGAAACAGGAGCTCTGTGCGTTAATCTCTTATGGTAATTGTCCTCCTGCTGGTCCTCTAAAATGACATGACCCCTACGAACGTAATCCTCTACAAAGTCTCTGTTTTCGTTGACAGGGCCCATCTTGCACTTCGAATAATTTGCCGCCGCGTTTATCAATTTCCATCACTGTAGGACAGTTAAGCTAAACTCAGACATCTTGCTTTCCGTATCGAGTACTTGTGTCAGTAGAAGGCTCACTTCTCTGGCATTCTTCCGCTAGACACTCTTCATTTGCGCAAGCCAGAGCCGTGTCGCAGAGAGGTAGGCGTCGAAATCATCGGTAGCAAGCTTGCGGACGTTTTCCTGCATGTCTTGCTGCGCGAGGATATCTCTGGCCGTTCGGTGCAGGAACGTGTTAGCTCTTGCATTGACTCTGAGCAGATCTCCGCAGCGAGCGTCGATGCCCCTTCGGGTCTTTTCAACTTCGTCCTAGTTATCCTCTGACACGTCATCTCCACCACGAAGCCCCTGGGTGTCGAGAATTTGCATTGCATTGGACTGCGCTGTTGCTTCTTTCTCTTCCACTAGACGGTCCGTGGCCTACTTGAGACGCAGAGTTTGAGGCTGGGACAGTGTGAGAGCCTTGACAAGCATTCGACGAGAGCTTCGTGGTCGCTGTGGTATTCATCAAGGCCGTCCATGAAGAAGCAGAACTTGGCGTCCATTTCCTCGTTCTTCCCAAACGCTTCTAATGCCTTCCGCAATTCAGCGACCATCCATAGTACGTCGCCAAATACTCTGCTATGTTCGAATAGCCTTTAAGCGCTTCCGTTGGGAAATGACGAACAATGCCGTATAATAATTTCTGGAGTAAACTTGATTCGAACTTCTGTTTGGCTGTGCCGTTGTTCCAAGAATAGTGACTCGCTACCTGGAACTGTGAATTGTCAGCATGCACAATGTACCAGACAGGAAAGAGTCCAAATAAAGGTACCCGCAGCCCGATCATGGCTATACTGTGAAGGCTTTCACGGCCTCTGCAGGCGTCAGTCTCGCGGCGAGTACTGCAGTTGATGAACATCAACCAATGGGTTTAGCAAGAGCTGATGGAAAAGGTGCGTGTTGGTGACGGCTGTAGACTTGGGGCATAGATGAATGTAATATATTGACAACAAGTTGATAAGCAAGGAACACGAGTCCAGCCCCTGGATATCATTCCCATTGACCAACGCCAGTGGTCAGGCACGCCCGCCTTGAAAGTGAAGGAAACACCGCATTCTGAGAGTCAAGATGAATCTCAACCGTGCTCGCTCTCAAACATAGCTACAAGAAAAAAAAAGTCATTTTGTTGGACAGTGATCGTCGTGCGACGTGAGCCACCCTCACGCAGAAGTCCCACGGGCATATGGTTCAGATAGCGTGCGTCGAGATGCGTGTCAACAGCATCCCCGGACTACGGCGCGAGTCAAGCCACCATAGCTTGATACTCGGGCGGTTTGCTGGTCTCAGGCGGCGCGCCTAACCTCGCACTTGCGTGCGCAAGACCACTCTTCGCAGCCTCCTGAAGTTGCGCTTCCACACCTCGACTCTGCTCCCTCTCATGAGGCGGTGGCGAGTTGCGTGATGATGGAATGCGGTGTTCGGATGAGAGGTGCTGTGCAGGCGAAGGGCCGATATGTGAAGGAGTTAAGCCACCCCGTTGGGGACTCAGCATGCCAGCTGGGCTTCCTGTGCTCGCCCTCTCAATATGCATGCCATGGCCACTGCCTGAGCCAACTTCACCCTCGTCACTCTCGCTGTGCATGCCGCTCATCATACCAGTCGAAGGGGGATGAGAGTACGTGCCGCTCCGAAGCTCGTTGTCGCGCACTTCGCGCCATGAACATTTTGCATGCTTCTTGGTGCAGCCCATGCACGCAGTCAGGTTCTTGAGGCAGTCCATGTGTAATCTGCGACAGCGGTCACAGGGTGGGAGGATGCGTTCGCCTTTTGCGAGGCTCTCCATACGGTGGACCATTTCTGCTTTGAACGGCCCACCATCGTCCTTGTCCTGAGGCTGTTGGGCCCGTTGGCTAGCCGCGGGAAGTAGACTTGAAGGCGTATTCGGTATAGGCACGGGCGAATTCATGACCTGGTGGAGTTCCGAGTCAGACATGTGTGATGGTCGCTGTTGGGCAAGAGCTGAAGGTGGTAGGTCGGCAGGTTTAGCAGGCTTGGGCGCCTGAGGTGGTGGCGGGGCAGAGTGGGACAGGGTATGGGAACCCATCGATGGCCGTCGAGCATCGACTGAACCATTTGAGGGTTGAGACGGTGTCCGCCGCTCGGTCGAGGTGTGGAACTTTACCATGAGTTCATGTCGCGTAGATGACGACGCGCCATTTTCTACGTGGGGGCGAGAGTTGACTGCCACGAACCCACCGGGGGAGGATTGCGTTGGCGGATTAGGATGAGTAGGGGTCGCGGCCACTTGCGATGTTCCATTCATCAGCGCAACGTTGGATGGACTCGAGGGGCGGATAGGCGGAGCGGGACTAGCGGTGGCTCTGCGGTCCAGGATGGCTTGTTTCCGCCCCTTGAGCCTGTGATTTAACTGTCGCGTTCGGGCTGCGACTGTTTCAGGTCAGCAATTGATCCGTAGGGAGCGTTGGACGGCTAAGTCGGCACGTTTGGAATGGGCCGCGGAAAGGGTCCGCGCCACACGAGTTGTGCATTTTATGCAAGAACCAACTTGCGCAGAGCAAAGACAAAGACGTACCTTGATCGGCCAACTGGCAGATTTGTCCCAGGTTGCGCTCGAGTATCTCGAGTGTGCCCAGTTCCTTTTCTTCGTCTTCGATGATGGGTTGCGGAGGGATCATCTTCTGTGGAATGCCCGAGGAAATGAGAACAAAATCCTCTTCCGATATCTGCACGCGGCACTGCTTGGTGTAGAACTGGCAAACTCGTATGCCCTCGCTCATCTGTCCCAGCTGGAACTGCTCGGGCTTGTTGCGCGCAAACTCGACCACGTCCAGCCACGTCACTGTAGTTCCATCCTTCCCATGGCTCTTCAAGACGCGCGGCGGGCCATCGAACAAGCGCTCGAACCTCTTGACCAAGATGGGACCGAGCGGACGAGCGCCAAGGTTGCAGGCCATGCTTTCGTGACGGTCCAGCACGCCCTGGTAGTCGCTGAGCAGCGACAGGATGTTGGGAAGCGTGTCGTCATTGGTCAGAAGCGGCAGGTCGTTCTCGCAGTGGCGGGCGAGGTAATTGATCTGGAGGTGGTTGCTCGACGTCTTGGCGGCCTTTTGCGCGGTAGCGGGATGGACGTGGTCGTGTGAAGGGCTCCGCTTGCGCTTGAGGTCGCCCGAGAGCGACGAGCCGTGGTGGTGCTGGTGCACGGCAGCGGTGGGCGCGTCGGCGGCAGACATGATGGCAAAGGTGGTTGCGGCGGTGCGCTGCGCGGTGGGAGGAGGCGGGCGAGAGCTGAGGCTGCTGGAGGGAGGGGAGGGCAGGGTGGAACGGCGGCTAGGCGGAGCAGCGGAGGTCCACGCGTGCGCCAGCGGATGGGCAAGCACAGAGCGCACGGCAGCGGCGGCGTCTCAGCTACTGGGGCGCCATGCACGGCAGCGCACTGCGATAGAGGGCGAGAGGGAACTGGGAGTGAGGAGAGGGAGCGCTGTGAGCGTGGGGACGGGAAGCCGCTGCACACGCAACTGCTGCGCCGGCGCGGGCGTCGGAAACAGCCACAAGGAAGCAGGGCGCGGTCGGCATGGGCGTGCTGCTCCTCAGGCGGCGAGGGACGGGAAGGCGCTAGCCAGGGCGGAGAAGGCCAGCGGCCCCGCCCAATCACTGGCGCCCTGGCCTGCCTTTTCGGCGGCGTCTGGCCCGGTGGATCTGCGATTGCGGGCGACGCGTGCGGGCCACTCAAGCCCGGCTGGAGAGGCGGCGCGCGCTGGCAGGGGCCGTGGGAATAAGGCGGCGGCAGCGGTCGGCATGTGCCCTCCACCGCCGGGACCTCGTGCGCTGCTGTTCTGCGCACGATGCGCTGGACGCGGGCACGGTTGGGTGGCCTGGGGGGTGGGCGGCTGGCAGACGACAGCCCGGCGAACAGAGGCAGGCCGTCGCCGTGGACGCGCTGCTTCTGGCGGCGTCCGACGCGCGAGCCGCTCCCTGGCCAATCAGGCGACAGCAGCCGATGCATGGGCGGGATGCAGCTGCACCGGCCGGCGCGTCCACCTGCGGCATTTCCACGCTTCCTCCCCTGCTCACGTAACCCTGCGCCTTGTGCGGCGGAGCGCCGGCATCACGTGCGCAGGCGTCGGCTCGGGGGGCGCCGGCGCTCCGGCAGAGCTCAGGCCAGCTCGAATTCCTCCACCATTGGGAGCAACGTCACTGCCGGCATTGAGCTCGCATTCCGCCAACCTTTGCTATCTCGAGACCGACCTGAACATGTCTGAGCGCGGCGCATTTCGTGGCCGAGGTGGCGGTGGCCGGGGTGGCGACCGTGGCGGGCGTGGAGGTGGGCGCGGCGGTCATGGCGGGGGAGCTGGCGGCCACGCAGAGCGCCCCAAGAAGGAAAACATCCTCGACTTGGGCAAATACATGGACAAGGAATTGACTGTCAAGTTCAGCGGTGGCAGGGAAGGTATGCGAGCAATGGGCAGACAGAGCCGCCAGCGGGGACTGTGCTGACAGCGTCTAGTCATTGGCACTTTGAAGGGTTACGACCAGCTCATGAACCTGGTGTTGGACGAGGTCAAGGAAGCCGTCATCGGTACGCGCCCTCTTGTTTTGGCCGAGCCCCGCTAATCGCGCACAGATGAGGAAGGAAACACCCGGTATCGCAAACTCGGCCTCATCGTTGCCCGTGGCACACTGCTCGTGGTCATCTCGCCGGTAGATGGCAGTGAAGAGATTGCGAACCCATTTATTCAGGAGGAGGAATGAGCCACTCGTGTTGGCAGCAAAGCACGTCAGGGAATACGGCGAGACATTGTTGGGTCGGCATGGAGCTGCCACGGCAAGCAGAAGCGGGACGACATGATACCCATGCGCTGAGAAGCAAAGGCGAACAGTCCGGGGAGCCCGGAGTGGGTCGTCGAAGAGCAGACAGTGTGCTCCTCTGGAGTGCAAGCAAAAGTCTCTGGCTTATGCCTAGTACCATCAAAGTCCGAGGCACCAAATCAGAAGAGAGTGAAAGAATCAAATGATACCATCTTATCGGAATGTAGACCTTTGATCATGTTCAAAATACGACAAACCAAGCAGCGCTATCACTCTGCAGAGCTTTGAAGATTGAATCTTGGGCAACCGACCCTACCCGACCAACGCCCTCAACGCAGCCTCTCGTGTCTCTCCGGCATCCTCGACATGCAGCTTTGTCGGCGCACTGTAACAAACAAACACCTGAAATATCTTGGCAGTCTGATATTTGTCACCACGAACAATCAGATGGTAGCTCACTTTACCAATCACCAACTGGCATCGAGAGCCATCTCACACTCTGGCTTTGGTCATCCTCCCTTGTTGCCTCGTATTACCTGGAGCAGGGTCTATCCTCATGATTTAATTCTATTCAGGGTGTACGTACGTTCGCTGAAGACCCTGGGCGCATCCACAGCGCGCCCTACAATGCAGTAGACCCTTGGTCCCAAAGTACACACTCAATGCTTTCCTTGTATGCCGCTAACCTATCGGCCTCTTTTGTTAACCTCCACCAGCGCCTTCATCCTCGCGTTCAGCGCCCTCAACGCAGCCTCCTGCGTCACCCCACTTGTCCCATGCAATACCAGCCCCAACGCTGCCCCCACTGCCCCCCTCCCAACCTCCCACACAATCACATTCGCAGTGAAGTGTCTATACAACTGCCTCGCAAGTCGCCTCACCGTCCGCTCGGGGTTCTCCCCTGGCTCACAGGCTCCCAACCTAGGGGTACCTCTCGTGGCTTCTACCAGTGCCCTCATCTTCTTCTCTAAGCACGACAGCGCTACCGCCCTAGTCTCGCCAGGGGAGACGTGCAGACGCTGTACCAACTGCGCTGTCCAATGTAAGTCTCTGTGTGGGGGGCATACTATGCAGGCGTTGATGTGCGTGTAGAGCTTCTCACCCTGGGCAACGGTGCTGTTTGCCAGGCGCTCCATGTCGGGATTCGAGTTTACCCGCCACAGAAATGCGATAGCTGAGCCGATTGCGATCGTGAGGGTGATATCGGTATAGGCCAGACGGCGGAGGGCGCTTCAACGCGCGGGAAAGGAGGGATCATGGCTTGTTCCTCTTGCAGTAACGGTCTGTAGAATCGCTGCAGTTGTGAGTGGGGGGATAGATCTTTCGCACAAGGCCTTGCAATTATAAAGGCTAGAACGGAGGTGCTTGGTCAATAAAAACCCACGTTCACTTGGTCTAAGCCCATGATCCAGCTTACTGCTTGTCAGCCCAACAAACAGCTTGCCCAGCGCAGCTGGGACAGACTAGCTCGGCGAGCAATTAGATTGCGGAGAGCACCTGGTGCATATCAACTCATGGGGCAATGGTCTTGTGTCAGGCCTGATGAGGAGTGGATACATTTACAAACATTCTGCTCTGTTCAGCATCCCAGACAAATGCAAAGAAGCGGAGGAAGTCTGAGAAGGTCCCGCCCCGACCAGCGTGGAGGAAGAGCACCCGGGGCTGATTTTTGTTGCGCAGGTTGTCTCCTGCGGGCGGAGCCGCGGTCGCCTAGCTTGGGGTACAGCATTGCCTGGGCAAGAGCTGGCCCCGAAAGGTTGTGATGGGCCTGTGGATGAGGTCTAGTCAGCTTTGGCTTCGACATTTCCATGCAAGCGATCAGCAAAAAAAAGCAAGAGTGTTCCCAAGCGTGAGTTGCAAGTTTAAAAGCGATAAAAGACGCCAGGCACCTGCTGTTGCATGCAAGAGCCGACCGCGACTCCCAACAAAATTTAGGTAAGCAAAGATAGCTTCAATAATGCCACTGCGTATTACTTCGACTATTGGTCCCGTGATTAGCGATAGATGCCCATCATGATAAGTGAATACAAAAGCCAGGCCTTGTCACAGCACCTGAAACCCGCTCATGACTCGAAAGAAGAACCGTCCCCGTGGTGCATCTTCTACACCACATTACAGTACCCTGTCCGTCTCTCCGTCTGGAAAGATCCCCATCGTCCATCAGACCGATCCATCACCAGGAATAGGAAAAGAATCATCCGCTAAACAAAGCGGAACTTATCCCGAGAGGGGTAGTAGCCTGTACCGCTTCAGCGTGTACGGCGTGTCGTCTTCGTGGCGCAGCCTGCAGTTCGCGTCGATGTCAACATCGCTTGATGTTCGTCGAATTCGCCACCGTCCGGCATGCTTCGCGCGAGACGCTCGTCTCCCCCGCGGAGCGTCGAAGAATAAGTGCTGGATTCAGCGTAGGTGCACGTGGCCGTGCGGCGAGTGTGGCTTGGGGAGATACAGTAACCATCGCTATTGCTTTTTTTTTTTTTTGCATTTGCGTTGCTTTGCAGCAGTGCATTGATGTAGTTGGGGAGGGCATAGTCGATGTCGTGGTAGCCAATCATCCGAGGTCAGTGGTCCTGCACAACCCAATTTCTTGGTCCGAGGGAGAGACGGAGCGTCTCATGCCGCTGATGTCCTGCGCATCCTGGCGCAGGATGTAGCCAGAGATGTCGTGATTGGTGTGGGCAGTGCCCACATGGTGAGTCACTGTGAAGGTGGTTAGCACGTGCAGCCGAAGTGTGGCGCAGCACGGCCTTCGAGGGGAGTGATAAAAGAAGGGAGAATCCGCTGTTGATGCGAGGAATATGGAGAGACATTATGTGCGGGTGGAGAACCGGCGACGACCGGGTGGAGAGCTCTGTGGAGTGTTGTAGACAGAAGAAGGCGTACACAACACTCCACGAGAGGCACCACTCGACGCACGCAAGAAATCCACTAAATCCACACAGAACAATCACCAGACTCGTACACATGCAAAGGACACGGATGTGGAACTCTCTTCTCTCCACTCGAACACAGCTGAAGGTCGGATTGAGGGGTATACTCACGATCGCAGTCAAACTCGCAAACATCGTCTCCAGCCTTCCCCATCTTCATTCCTCCCCCTCTCTTGGTAGTTGTTGCTGTCAAAGACATCCTGGCTGTCGTGTGTTTGTTATGGTGGTAGTGTGTTGCCAGCCAGGAACATTGGGCTCTCGTGATTGTGAGTTTTGCAATGGTGTAGTAGCGGTTGGCAGCTATCTGAGGGAGAGAGGGCATGGCACGGAATGACTGGATTATTATCGAGCTCTGGCCCACACCGTTGCCAAGCAAGCTGCGCCCAGCTGACCACCCTCCTTAACCCCACCAGGCGAAGCGTGCAGGGAATCAGCGAATGGTTGCACGCGCTATGCAGATGATGCCAAGGGTGCATGTTCATTGCTTGTGCGATTGGCGTCGGGGTGCGCTACCGGCGTTGTAGGAGTTTCGGGGTGGTGGGCTGTGCGCACGAAACACCTTTTTTTGGACAAGATCGTGGGCTTTCAGCTGGAGAGGTGCGCGCGAGCCACAAAGTACGCAATGATGTGCCCACAGCCTTACGATGCGAGCTCGCAAATTTGTGCGATAATCTCCGGTCGAGGCACTGCGGTCCAAGATTGGCGCCCATTACAATTACTTGAATAGAGTGCTCACCGCTTCTGACGACCGGCGACAATTGCATTGCTGGAACGGCCGCGTAAAGTGAAGCCGGAGTCCAACCTCTGGACTACTCACGAATCCTCGTCGTGCGAAACATGTGGTCACGAGCACAAGTCGATCGAATGCGTTGCGGAAATGGCAGTAATTGACACAAATATATAGAGGTATCTGGCCTACTGAGCACGATGCGCAGAACTACATGAAATCAACCTAGTTTTATTTTGCGCCGTATTGAGTGCATCTCGTTTTTGGGATCAACATCAAAGGAACCGATAGCCACACGCTCCCAATGGGTTCCGCAATCCTGCACAATCATGACATGCTGTGTGATAGTCGCAGCGGTCGACGTTCCGCTGCGCCCTTGGTTCCCTCGTATGGTCCGGTGGAAGTGTATCGCGAGAAAATTCGTTTCTTCGATAAGTTCTTCCTCTACGATAGTCATCGACGTCGAGATAACACGCCTTCCTTGCTCCAAATGTAGGTAAAATGTGGGGTCCCCGTCGGGGAAATAGGCGACAGAACTGGCATTGGCTTCAATATCCAAGAACACGCTAGATTCCTTGCGCATCATAAGATATAGAAGCCACTCGTAGTTTCTCTGCATATCGCCCCAGCTCATAGAACCACTGCTACCGGGATTGAAGCTTATCTCTAGAGCTCTTTCGTTGACTCTTGGATCTCGTGGGCGCTCGATCCTACGAGGTGTTCGTACAAGATCGACATCTGTGTAGTCGGCCGGCCACGTAATCTTGCCATACCATCCAGTCCACGACCAGCTTGGGAACCCTCTACGTCGCTTCGAAGGCGCCTCTAGGTCCCACCTCAGGCTCTCCGCAAAATTTGGCAACGCACGTTTCGAATTCGTCATCGTACTACTTCCGTTGGGAGACCCTGTGGCTTTCGCAAACGGCACGCCGTGCAGGTGCCGCATGGAATTGGGCATCCGTTCGAATGCCCGGAATATTCCAAGGATTCCATTGAGGATGTCGGACTCATGGGACAGCGACCTTTCTGAGTACTCGCTGATGCGGCTGTAGATGTCCCAGGGGTCGATACCACAGCCGTTCAAAGGGAAAAGACCCAGGCGCCCGGCCGCACGGTACCGCTTGTGGAGGTATGGCTTGTCAGGTGCGTGCATCTTTTTGAAGGATTCCAGAGGTATATCGAGCATTTCGGCGCAGTAACAGCCCTGGCACTCGAAGTACACTTGCTCATCGGTGAATACGAGCCGCCTGGTAGATAAAAGACCTTCTTGATATGTCCATGCTCTTGATATCCATCTGCAGTTTTCAGGCTTCAATTCGGGCTTGGGTATCGCACACATACGCTCATCGCCAAGGACTACCGAGGACGTCGGTGCGCGAAAGCTCCGGTTGACTCCAGGAAGACCGTGGTGTGAGTTTCTTCCTGCAGCTGCTATGATGGTGACGGCAGCCTGTTGATAGATGATATCCATCTGTTGAAACTGGTAGTGGAGGTCATTGGTGTCGTTTTGGTCGATACAGTATTTGTCCACCCATAGCCATCGATATCCAAGCTCCTTTGTCGCGATTATAGCATCTCGTATGGTCTTTGGGTAGGCATGAATTTCTTGTGCAGATGCCTCTTCCTCGCCCCATACGTAGCTCAGCGCAACATACGGTTCATCCTTGTTTGCTGCGACCACGTCGCCGGTAGAACAGTCGATCAGTCTGAAGTTTTGAATGACGTACCCTTTGTGCCCACTGCAATTGTCGCCGTGGAGTTCCGTGCAGATCCGAAGCCATCCTTTCGCTCTCTCGAAGTCGACCAAGGGCTGCACATACTTCAGCCAGACTGGCGGCTCACTGATATGTGAGGCAACATACGGTACACTGCCGGGCGGTGGTCCATTTTCTGAAGTCGACAAGACAATTAATCTGTGGTCCAAGATTTGGAACAGCTTGTCAGGCACATGTCTTGTTTTTATGGAGAAAAGGAAGTACGGGTGCTCATCTGTGAGGTCGATAGAGGAATCGCGTAACAGTAAGTTTACGAGGAATCCACAAAATGTACATGTGTCTGGATGCCAATCTCTGACCAATCCCAGAAGGAGTCTTGGACGTGCCGAAGAACGCACTCCGGCGATGTCAAGGCTTTGGCAGCGGGAACAGAGGCGATCTTGCTTATCAACCGAGTAGGACATGTCTAGTCCGCATAAAGTTTCCAGTTTGTTTGCCGGTGTTTGGTTTCCAAGTCCCGGGGCCAGGTGTTACCAGTAGTATTTGAGGATGCCGGACCAGCCCCGCATCGGCGCGTAAGGGGCACGAACAAACCCTTCCCTTAGCGGTTTTGCAGTGCTCTAGGATTCAAGATAAAGGGAAGCTGTGAATGCAGATCTACAGGCGAGTGAAATGACACTGAGAGTCCGGTGAGCCCCGCTAAATGCACACTAGAACAGCAGGTGTTGGGGCTGAGGTGAGGCGAGCCAATCATCGGTCCAGTGGTGATGTACCCACAACAACCCAGACAAACCTCGCCAATTCTTCTCCCTAGACGCAGGTGGGTTCAAATCCTGTAGTATTGGGATCTGGGAAAATTAAGCAAGTGTTGTTAAATACTATTTATAAGTTGCGTGTATAGTCAGCGTACAACATCACCTTTAGATACACACAATTCAAGTGTAGAGATAGCAAGGACATACTTCTGGGCTCGATAAAACAATCAAGCTAAAATTATAGATAGGAACATTCTATCACAAAGAATATAGTCGGATGATGTTGCAAATCTCAAATGATTCCAGTCATCCATCGAGTCGGTGCGTGCTATTGAATATACGTGTGGAGCTGGTGTTCCTGGACTCCAAGACGAAATTCCCAGACCCAAGAAGTCCAATCTGAGTGAACCAAGAGGCCAAAGTAGTAAATTCATCAAACGCTATCATGTGCATCGAGAACAAAGCTAAGCATGGGGATTCATCCCGTAGAACAAGATGCCCAATGACGAAGAACACCAAACAATGTAGAAAGTCCAATAAACACATCAAGAACAGACGGCGGAAGTGAAAAGCGGTCTTCACATTGCCACCCCAGTCCTTGAAGAATCACAGCAGAAGATCGACTGCCAATCATACTGTAGTCATATCTTTCCTCAGGGATATATCAATCCTACAACTAGCTCATAGCAGCCGCTGCCGCATTGTAACCAGCTTGACTAATGGGCTTCAAGCACCTCGCTGACGAGGGCGCATATTCCTGTTTTCGTCCCGCGTCCGACGCCGTGCCTTCACCACGGTCTGCGCAGGGTTTGTTGTTCCTGTGGCAAGCGATTCTAGATGTCTCGCTGAGAATGGGTAAATGTGTGAACAGTTGCGGTATGGGTACGAGTAGTACTTGCACAAGGCGAGGGTGGTTTTAGTGGCGAGTGATCTCGAGATTTTGTTCTCCTGGTGAATGAAGAATGGCGCTTGATTTTTGGCGGATGTATTGGAAGCGTAGGAGGTCGTTGTGGCTTTGATCTTCTTGCGCACTATTTTCGTATGATAGAGGAATTGGTATAAGATTGTATCAGAGAGCTGCGGTGGGGAAAAATACATAGAAGGAAATTACGACGGATTATATACTCCAGAAATGCTCGTTCGCTATCAAAAATGTTGGTGTGCTCTTGAAGTTGGTACGTGAAGTGCATCAGCGATTGGTGTAGTTTCGATATGACAGGTTCTGGTGTTTGGTGATATAAGAGCGGGGAAAAATACAGATACCAAACTGAAAAGCATTCAAGGTGACAGAGCGTAGTGTAGGCACACATAAATGTGAAAAGAAAATGTTTTCGAGGCTGTGTCTGTAGATAGATAACGACTTCTTCATGTAATTCTTGTGATTGAAGCGCAAACGGTTAAAGAAGAGGCCTACAACTCTGGAGAGTAGGGACAGTACGCTGTGGTGATCTTCTGCGCCTGCTTTGGACATACTACCTGCGACCATGGCTGACAATGACAGCAGAATGAGTGAAGTCGTCCGCTTTGTAGTCGCAGTTCTAGAATCTAAGTCTGTACCAGTTGCACATGTTTTCTCTGACCTTGTCGTCTCCTTGCCGGGAAAAAGGGTTGGCTATGTTCTTGGATACATTGGTGAGGGATGTCACTGCAAGATAGCTTGGCCGGGAGAGTTGTCCTGCGTCTTTGGAACCTTGAGTGATATCGTTGTGAGGGCTTCCATAGAGCCCGTTTATGTGTGAAGCTGTGCTGTATAATAGACAATGAAGCACAACAGTCCCGAGACTTTGGACTCGTTGATGACCCGTTGGCCATCGCACTGTGATGCTGTGTCTTGATATGGCGCAGGCGATTCAGTGGTGATTGGCGTCGTTTCTGCAACGACAACTCCGACTGTTCGAGGCACGATGATGGTTTGAAGGACATCTAACTTTGTGCGTGCTCGGACAAAGGCCAACGAGGGCTTATACGGTATGACCGAACGGAAGTTCAAGACTCGTACCTCTTGTTGAGGGTTCGGCCGCGAATAGAACTGAAATGACGAATACATTTCTTCCCAGTAAGCTACGCACTGAATCTTTTAGGACGCCACCAAGGGTGAAGAAGTAAAGTAATTTTTCAGTTATCTGAGACATTCTCACCTGATTAAATTGAATAAATGTTAAACACGTTGTCAACATCTTGGATAGACAATGCTTGGCTAGCAGTGGCAAGACAAAAAGTACCGGGATGTGCTACGCCCATACACGAGTCGGTACTCTAGCATATGAGAAAGACTACGTGAACACAGAACTACAATATACAGAGATTTCGACGCTCAGTACACTGAGACCCAGTACTTCTCGACGCCCATACTCCATTTTGCGCCACTTATGCTAAGGCCGTATGCAGATCATAAAGCATGAGAATTGTGACAGAAGGAACTTGACACCATCCCAAAAATATTCGCCGGATGGCACTAAAAATGTGGGAGACGCAGGTATGTTGAGGATAATTGAGCATTTTCGGCTGCATCTCCGGATGCCGGCGCCACTAACGACATCGTAAGGTCATGCACTGGGCAGGGCGGTCCATCTAGTGCGTCGCAAGTTGTCCCTCAAGACTGGTACGTATCTCTTTGATACCACACGCAAATTTGACTGCAGATGTGCTGTTTCCTCGGTGGGATTGGTGCCCTGGCCCAGGCGTGTTCAATCCAGGTTTCTTCATTTCTGCGTCGGCAATGAGAAGGTAACTCAGGAATATTTCAAACTCTGCCACTACCTCAAGGTAGACCCCATCGCTTCTTTTCTGTCGTGATATTCCAATCTCGCTCTTTCTCCGTACTTGTTGGACTCGAGTAGGCAGCAGGTAAAATGGCATGTACCATCTTCAATACGTCTGCGTCCACCTCTTTATCTCGATACTCTTTATGGTTGTGCAGCCGCTCGCTAATCGTGCCGTATAGGTCTTTCCCCACGATATAATATTTCTGCTGGGTGACCAAGCCTACGAGCGGATGCCCAGGTTTTCGACTTGCTTTGCAATTATTCCACTGCGTGTGAAACATGTCTTTCCATCGCTGTTTGTACTGTTGGCCTTTGAAGGGTCCTTGTTGCTTTGCGGCAGGCAGTTCGCCACCGACCAGTTTCTCCATCAGCTCGCGGCATGAGACAAGGCAATCGTGGATGCGGTGCTTTCGTTCTGCATCAGATTTGGCCTGTAGATTCTCGCGCAGTTTGCGTTCTGATTCGGCGTTGGCTGCAAGGCGTTCACGGAGTGCCCGTTCCGACTCTGCATTCTTGGCTTCCAGCTGTTCGCGAAGCTTCTTCTCTGCTTCGGCCGTCTTGGCTTCAAGTTGCTTGCGCAGTTTCCGCTCTGCCTCTGCACCCTTGGCTTCAAGTTGTTTGCGCAGCAGACGCTCGGATTCGGCTTTCTTGGCTTCCAGTTGTTCGCGCAGTTGGCGCTCTGATTCAGCCTTCTTGCTCTCAAATCGTTCCCGGAGTGTGGTAACTGACGCCGCGTCGGCTGCAATCTTTTCGCGGAGCGCTCTTTCCGATTGAGCATCGGCTTTCAAGCGTTCAATGAGAAGGCTTTGCGCTTGAAGTTTCCTTGCGTTCTTCAGGTCTGGCAAGCTTTTCTCAAGCTCTTGTAGGATCTGCTCAACTTTGATGGATTCGGTTTCTAAGCCTACAAGCTCAGCGAATAATTTGATGCGCGCGCAGAACCGTGTCCAGCCAATGCGCCCTTTCGTCTCTTTGTAAGTTTCTTTGTACTCACTGAACAGGTTCGGTCGCCTGATGAGGCTACGCACTTGCTTTTCTTCCAGCTGCGATGTGAATGCCTCGTCATCAAACTCTTTCAGGTCGAATGGGAGTGAAGGTGTCTTCCAACCGTCTCGGAGCTTGGCGCGGAACGTGTACCGGAGCAGCATGTGGAACCATGAGCGTGTCACATCGCGCAGATTCTTCATAGTAGCCTCTGGATCTTTCCAAAATGCAGCTTCAGTGTCAGATAAGTCCCTGTCACGCAGGGAGAAGTCAGCCTTGATGTAGTATTTAAGACATCCGAGCCCCCTTGGATACAGAATCCTCCATCGCCTTAGACTTCAATATGAGTGATTCTCACATCAAAGTCTCTTGCGGGAAACACTCACTCGGCATCGTCATTGTCTTCATCTTCGTCATCGTCATCCTCAGAAGAGATGAGCTCTTCCATCCATGGCTTGGCCTTTATGAAAGACTGTAACTGTTGATCCTCTTGGATTTTCGCAGTCATATACGGAACAATCCTCTTTGCGACCTACGTCACAGTCAGTGTGAGTTTGGACACATGTTGTGCCTACGGGCCGATTTTGGCCACGTGACTTGGCGTGGTTCACGAGTCCACGCACAGCCTGTCGTGTGGAGATCATCTGACTTCGTGCAGAGGGAATCCTACTTTACTCTGGTCCTTAATGACCCAGAAATCGAGGCTCTGGAATAGCTCAACTGGCGCAGCTTTGGGCTTGTCGCGGGGTGGATCAGACTGACGCGGTCGCGAAGGAGACCGCGAGGGCGATCTTTGCGAGCGACGAGTCTTTGGCACGAACAAGGAAAACATGTCTAAATATAGGGCCGTCGTCTGAAAATGCGTCCATCTAAGAATATGTATCGCGGTGCTAAGCGGGAGGATGAAGCTGGCATGCTCGCGGCGTTGGCGAGTTGGATCAGCCGAGGGATGAGGCTCGAGAGGCAGCTGGACGTTGAAGAAGTTCGTGCATGAGACGGATTGGGTTGCACGTCAAAAGTCGTACTGCGAACGTAGAGTTGCGTAGGAGACGTTTGTCGTAGGAGTTTGCGTGCTATTGTGGATCCGGCAGCCTAGGGGTCACCTGAAATGGCGGTGACGAGTTGCGATGCGAGGGGTAGCGCGACCGGTGAGTTGGAAGAATGAACGAACACACGACCATGCGCACATGCATGTTTCGGCATGCACCTATGTCCCAGAAGTGCACGGCATAGCACTACCAGCTCTGAGAATGTGATGAGTAGGAGATTCTACATAGAGTAGGCTCCGGAAGGAGTGATCCGCCACGTTTTCTGGCTGCGCTGCACGTGTCTCGATTAGGTTTAGCTCGAGATATTTGTGGATTCCCAAGTTCCCTAGAAGTCTAGATCTGTATGCTTCTTCCACCATCATCGTCCTACACAAAGGGAATGCAGATACTGGAATGAAAACCTGTTTGATGCAACACGATATTATGCGACATGATTGGACATAATACTCATGCTCCTTCTGGCGCTTTATGTGCGGCCAAGAGATTCCAAACCTCACCTAAGATGACGAATCAAGTACAGCCTAATAATACTCGCAGAAAACGTTCGTAGATTTCTCAGGGCAGTCGCTCTTTCACGATCTTCACTTGCCCTGATACCTTCAAGGGCCCTCTTTGATCTTCCGGGTTCCTAGACAAATAGCCTTGTGCTTCATGCATCAGGTACCAGCTGTCCATGCGCAGTTCATTCCTATCCTTTGGTACCCACTCCCCGATCAAATACTCTTCGTTCAGGAACACCTCAGGGGGGCCTCTCGCAAGCTTCCTTTGACGCACTAATACCACGATCTCACCGTCGCAGCGGCACCTCTTTGCTAGATCGAGCGCGGCTTCGTTTGCATCCTCAAAATAATGATACCATCCGATCTTCGTAGACTCTTCTTCATAAGTCCACGTCGAATCCAACTTAGAGAGCCGGAGTTGTAGGCGATATGCATATGTGGTCGGACAACTATTCATACTTGTGGGTGTGAGCGTGCACGATCTTGAGCGTTGTGCGGACGCCGGAATAGTGAGTGTACTTGCTCTTGAGCGTTGTGGAGCTGATGGCAGTGAACTGTCAGATACTTACGATGCTACTGGGTAGGTCTGTTGGTCCATGCTCGCCTAGTCCTTGAGGGCTATTTTTGTTAGGTAGCGGGGAGGCTGAGGCATAGAGAGCCGTCTATAGTAGCTGTTTTTCCTAGGTGATGGTGCGTCTAATGAATGAAGTAACGCACGCTGCCTTCTTTCACGACATCTTGCAGTGTTCATTGGTCAAAGTCCTTCCTTGGGGCATCTATGGAATTCCGTCCCTACCATACTGTATATTTCCATGACCACTCTGGAGTCACCAAAGATCTCACTATACGACGGACATACTGTAATTTCGTATTTCAGTAGCTTTAAGCATGTTGTGTGCCGCTGTCACTGACCATGCTTGACGTATCCGAGCCACAATTTGCAAAACAATCCACCCATAAATTCATTACACATTCATTTACTAGGTCTTCACTTATTTAATCAGGTTGCAATACCACCGGGAGAGCGCAGCTTATGTACGGCTCAGCGCCGATTCATCCATTGGAAATATGGTTCATCGGAACAGGATTTGGACTTCACATATGAACACCACCAGCGTCTTTGTTCTCGAAAGGATGGGGGACGATGTGTAAGTTTTAGTGAGAAGAATTCTCGGGCCGTTAGGAATTCTAGCACTAGTTGTTCGAATGGGCCTGTAGTGCAGGCGTGCGACGCGCCAAATTTGTAATTAAAAAGGCTGAGAATCTGTACTAGAAGGGGACGGAGTGCTGCATGACTCGCGTGCGTGATCGCCAACGCGTGCTTCACGAACTATTACGAACAAGAGTCACGTCCAGGATGTCAATCGGATCTTCATCGTACAGACATTGCATTTGAATCGCAAACACGAAAGTACAGCTACGCCATATACCCGGCTAATATTATGCATGTTGAAAAGGGAGCCGAAGCTCCATAAAGCGCCACCGGCGCCATACGCATGTAGAAAGAAAACAGAGAGCCCAATGCGCCTGTTGCTGTATGCGCCCTTCATGCTTAGTCGCATTGCTATTATTAAAACCAAGGAATAACGGCAATCCGACGCCCATATGATGCAATGCAAATTTGATGGAAAGTTCAGTAACGAGCTGTCATACCAAGCTAATCAACATCCATCGGCTCGGTCGCGCTACTTCCCGGGCCTGTCCGCAGAAGGGTGCGGGCGGGAGCAGCCTTTGTAGAGCTAGGGCTGGCGCCGGCGCCGTTCCTCCACTGCTGGTGGGTCGTGGCGTACGGGGATGCTCCAGATGGATCCGTGACAATGATGCTGGAGTTGGCCAACCCTGATGGCAAAGAATATCGCGGTTGGGGAGGCGCAAAGTATCCGATCGGAGGGGTACCAGGCGTCCCGGGCGTAGAGGACTTGCGGTTGACCCTAGGCCTATTGACGCGCGAAGTCTGCAAGCGCGGCGCAGGGAAGCATGCATTCTTGACACGTGTTTGAAGCTCAATCGCAACATTGTCGAACGGCTTGCGGTCCTCAGGATTCTTCCAACCCAGCTTTTGCTTCATGCACTCGGCCCTACGGTGGCTGACAGTGGAGCCCTCGATGCGGATACCGTTGTTCTCGAAACGCCTGCAGATCTCCGATCGAGTCAAAATCAAAAGCACGACCAGAAGACTGATGTTGTCATTGTCAAGAAGATGCGGCGCAAAGTCACACACGTCGCAAGCAAATTGACGCATCTTGATCAACTCATCCGTGTCCGTCACAGTAACGAACTTCTGTGCCATGGCGAAAGGCCTGGTCATGTCGCGGCATATATGATTATGCAAGATATTCGCAACGCTAGCGACCGAGACGGGGTAAATGTTGTCTCGATCAATCTTGTTGGTAGCGGTTGAGGATACAGTGCCAGGGATATAGATGATCTCGATGTCATCGAATGGTCCACGCAGATTGGTCTTGTCAGGATTGCCGTCCTTGTCCTGGAAAACGTTCTTCTGCAGCTGCAGTGCTTTGCGGGCCGCTATGATAGCTTCCTTAGGGCTGTAGATACCGTGTTCGGATGCGAGCTTCACGGAGTCTTTGTGCATTTCGAATCTAGATAACTTGCGCTCCACGTCTTGAGGCCGAATCCAGTCTTCCGACCATGGTTCCTCTGAAAGAACCTTGTAGAAGACTTTGGTGAGCGCGCGAAGCTTGATCTCTTGATCTGATAATTGACGACCACCAAAGACTATCTCGTCTGTTTCCCGGTAAGCTTTGTCAATGAAGTCCTTGCGGTCCCTTGAGGTCAGCTGAGGAGAACGTGGGTCATCCTTCCACTTCTGGATGATGTCCATGAACTTTTGGTGGAACATATCATCGAAGCTTGGCATTTGAGGAGGGCCTGCACCAGATCAACACAGTGAACTTCTTATCGATCGAGTTTGACTTACTTCGCTGTGGCGGTTGCGGTTGTGGCGGTTGTGGCGGGGAGGGCGAGGTAGCCGCGCCTGCGTCTTGGGCCAATGGAGCAGGTGACATAGTAGCAACGCGGCCCGCAGCCCTATTCACTAGTCCAGGGGGCTTAAGAATGTGCGCGCAGTCGGTATCAATGCGTATTGGGGAGGAGTTGATGAAACTTGATGGCGTTGTGGTGTTGTAGTGGTTGAGGCGTCTGTATACCGTCGGTGAGTGGGGACATGCCTAGGTTCGAGGTGCGAGGTAAAAACATTCACGCTCGCGTAGTTAGCGCCGCTAACCGTCCTTGGCGGGCTTTAGCCAGTCACATGCTCACGCGATGGTCCCTGCTTCGTACGTTCCTGACCTCATCTGAACAACCACAATGTAGGACGAACATTATCCACACAACAAGGCCCTACGCATGTGAAGCACTCGTAATAGCCCGTCTGTTTGTTGCTGTCATGCGCAGAGAAGGCCGTCACCAGTGTTGGAGGCATGGGGGCGATCTGGAGCTTGAAGTTGAGCTTGGCTGCCTAGGTGAGACAAGGCCGCGAAACGTCTCCCCACTTTGACTCAAAATTGCAGCACATTGTCCATTCATTGCTGATCTCGCATTCTGACTAGCACGCCGCGCACGCGATCGCAACACCGTAGTTATATGTAGTATAATGGCTATTCACCAGATCCTACGTACGACTGTCCATTTGCGCCTACGGATAGCGCCGAAAGAAAGACGGTAGATGAGATATAGTCTCTGGAACGAAATCGCTCGAGCCGCCATGGGCATTACTGCGCTGTTGCGCCTTAAGGGCTGTCAAGTACGCTCACTCTATCAATTCCTCCTGGTACAGCAGGGAATGAAGTGCTGAAACACCTGCCTGACTATGTCAGAATCGACAAAGAAAAGTTACAATCAAGCCTGTCGGATGAGAAGGCGTATCTCGGGTGCAAGAGTACGGTGCTTACTTATATGTAGCAATAGGTACCAAGTGTCTCGATTTCGGAGGCACCAAAGCTAGTGCCACTAAAGCCCCGACTCGCTTTCACAATGCATGCAAACTCAAACTTGGATGAGGTATATTCGCGAAAGAATATCGAAGTTTCGCCATATGCCTTGAGGACAGACACTCTTCATGAATATCGGCTGGAAGGGGAAAGGTCTAGTACACGAGTCATGTCGTTTTTCGACGTTGATACCTCACCGTCTTTACATCATAGCCCAAGCTTGGGCAGGGACTGGAGACACTGTAAACAACGTCCATTTCGTAGACTTGGTTGACGAACATATAATCGGCCCAGGAAAGTTGTGTACGCATACATGTAACGCTGGTAGCCTGAGACCGGTAATGACATGAGAACTTGTCATGGCATCTCACCTTGAAGCGACGAAGTAGGATTTTGTCTTTGTCAAATGTTAATCATGTGCTAATATATGGAGGTATTCAAGTCAACGGGACGAACTTGAATCGATTCTTCGCAATCAACAAAGTGGCAATTACCTGCTTCAGTATTACTGGATGCAGTACATGTTCGGGACAAGCTCAGACAATCTTCCTGAAGTCGGCGCAAGGGACAAGAATCACATATACGACTTTTCTATCAATGTTTCTGGTGATCCTAGAGCTTTTTCGGTCACATTTCGGTCGTATTTTACTCGAGCATCTGCGCAGTGATGACTTCTATTGAAACACAACTATTTGGACACTCCCTGGGGAAACTTACCTCTGATGATGCATATATCTTTCATTGCGTATCATTACACATTTCTTTACGTGCGGAGCCTGTACCGACGTGATGATGCTCATGGTAGCGTGCTATGCAATGCGTATGCATTTTCAAGTCTACGCACCCCATCCAGTACGATTTCCTACATCCAGGCGGACCTAGCAAGTTTCTTCGACTCGCTCATGATGCGGCCATAGATACCATGATTTCAATGTTGGGGGCCAAAATCTGGCCGCAATATTCTTTCAGAGACCATATCGTGTTAGGATAATGCAGATCCAAAGAGCTATAGTATACAAGGGCTGGCACAAGCTGCATTTTATTTGCGCACATCTGGCTTTATTTAGTCTTTCTATTTGCTTGGGTACTCACATAAGAGATTCATGTCAGTAAAGCACAACAGCATCACTTCCATTAGATCTGCGCTCAACGCCACATACACTTACATTTATTGGTCCTTGGTCAAGCACCGCGATTGTTCAACAACAGCAACTGTCTTTCCGATCGGACACAATTTGATGCCATCTATCAACGCTCGCTTTTCGAAGACCATGGCCGTGCTTTACTCGCATACAACGTAAGACCTTGCTCGGAAACTCATACCACAGCACTCACTTATACTCCATCTCAGATCACATCTGCAATTACATAAACGATCCGTCAATCCAGGGATCTTCTTTGGTGTATTCACGCTTGCCGTCTTTTTGACAACAACCTACTGGATAATTACCAGGAAGAGGAAGCAGATAAGGATACACCATGTGGGAATAGTGCATCCAGCTACAGACAATGCGGGAGTTCATCGAGATTATATTGAGATGATACCGTTCGTGTCTGTAACGAACCAGGATGCCATGCACGGTAGCACAAGGAAAGAAGGTGGGAAGATCGGCCTAGAGGGGGTCACCGAATCGCGGTGCTCCACCACTATATAAGCCAGATTCTGAGCGTCAACAGACGAAGCAGCAATGTTATGGCTAGACTCTGAAATATTATACTAGGCTGCGGCATTGCCACTTTATCACAGCCCGACATCTTGAACAAGCAATAAAAAACGTTTGAATAGTATACACTAATGTCAATCCACGCTGGTTTATCCTACAAGCCAATGTCCGTGCCCCCAATCCTCTTCCACATCCTGCGCATGTAGCAGCGCCGTCACCTCCTCAAAGGCACCTCTCACCCTCTACACATTCAAGTCAACTGTCTCCGTATACTTCTCCAGACTATCTCCCACCATCTTCTTATACCAATCAGAGTCGTCGAAATCAAGGCAGATTCGACAAGAGGGACCAACTTCGCCTTGGGTACACAGAGCAAAACGAAAGGGAGTGTCTGTGAGCGGCAGAGGTAAGGTGACTTGATGAATTTTTTTTTCTGCAGAGCGTTGAGCTCGCCTAAGTCCAGGCTTCGAGCCGATGCGCTCTAAGGCCGGCAAGGGGTTGGACGCGCAGTAGCGCCAGGAGAGAAGTGCTTGAGGATCTTGTCGATCTCGATTCCGTGAGGAAGGGGTCATATTCCAGTGTAATTCATCGAAGCGCAGATGCGTGCTGTTGCCGATGCGGTCGCTACATCGTTCACTTCAGGGACATCGGACTCGAATATCAGAGGAAACAGGCAATACCATGATCCAGCCGTTTTGTCCCCATCACCATAAATTGATCTAAGAGTCACTGCAGTGTTCGCTGGGCAAGTATGTCGTCAATAACACGTGCCATGAGGAGCCTCTTGAGCGTATGAGCACTTAATTGCTCATCCTGGGGTGGCACGTTATATAGAGAACCTGGAAGAAGCCCGACAACGATCTGGCGTACAGCTCCTATTCCGCAGTTTAAAATAACTGAGATACCTGCCATTAACCTTGGATCTCAAAGAAGCTTGACAATACTCGGAGAGCCTCACAGCATCAAGAATCGTACTCGATCTGTGATCCAAACCCAACATGCCCATAGTATTATCGCCCGCTTCTGCCAACTGCCTACATGAAGCGGTTGGATTTCATCCATGCCTGTTCGTGCAGGTATCCACTACCCTCTCAAGCCAACTCCACATGAACGCGATCCCGCACCCTACCCCGCGGCCTGGCAGCGCGTCCCCGTCAAATTTACTCCCGCGCAACTGGCCAACATGATAAGGGTCTGCGATGAGAGAAAGGAAGAGACCGGGGAATGGGATTAGGAGAAGGGGGAGCAGGAGTTGTAAATTTGGCTCTAAAGAGAGGAGGAAGGGAAGAGGAGAGTCTCCGGAGAGGAAGGTGGTACTGACTGTGGATAGTTCTTGAGACAATCAAGATGGTGGAGCAGGCGGGGGGACATCGAAGTACAGACACGCCAGTATGAGCAGAGAAGGAGAGATCTGGCGGGGTGAATGTGGTGCTGAGATGTACCCAGATCCAAAATGATATGAGGCGCACTTTGAGCTGGTGATCCGGAACATCCACGGCGGTGTATACAGCCAAGCATAACTTGACAGACTCAACCTGTCCGAGTATAAGACCAGTGCTGCATCTCTACGCTCTACTTCCCACACCCCTTCCCACCCTTTGCAACCCCCAAATTCTCCCCATTAATCTTCAATCCTTCCTCGACTCCCTTCACCAGCGCCCCTATCATCGCAGTATCGTTCCTCCCCGCCACCAAACCCCTCAACATCACCCTCGCACTGTTTTGCTCAATCGCCACGCTTGCCAGCCCCTTCTGCAGCGCACTCGGACTCTTCAACTCACGTGCGATTTTCTGGTTCTCAGTGCGTATGGTGATGCCTTCTTGCTGCAGCTTTGCGACTTCAGATTGTTGGACTTTGTAGATGGGGTCGTTCCCTGAGGTGGAGTTTGCTGCGCGGAGTGTAGTGTTGGCGGATTTGGCGAGGTTTTCGAGTGTTTTTAGGCTAGTAGGAGGGTCAGTAAAGGTTACTGGGCACCGGAAGCTAAGAGGGCACACACGATTGTATCTCTTTCATCTGGAGGTCGATGTTGCGCTGGATACCGTCGGTGAGGAGGGCTGTTTTTTGGGGGTCACAGGTGTTGTTCCTGTTCGAAGTGGAGTTTGCCACTCTTAGTTGCAAGGAAGGCAGCGCCAGAGCTGTGCTGAGGAAGAGGAAGAGTATGGCTGGCTGCATCGTGCTTGTTAGAATGTAGATCAGGTAAGGATCAAGATTAGGAAATGTGCGACTGGGCTAGAAACAATGGATGATCATACTTCTTCTATACCGAAAGTCAGGATGCGTCTAGCCAAAAACACGAAACGAACAAGCTTCGTCAAGCATGAAAGTGTCTGACGCGATGCGTCAAACAAGCTCCGGTTTGACAGCAACAACACCAGACGCGGAGGCGTTCCGGAATGAGCATGTCACGATGTTCCATCATGTTTCTTCAATCATGTAAGGTCGCGAGTCAAGCGATTTTAAGCGTCACACTCTACGCCGCTGCGTGTTGCAGCCACTTGGTGCCATTGGAAACGCTGCTGAAACGGACCAATGGAGTACCCAACCGGAAGCTGCACTGCGCGTGTTTGACAGCAAGGTTATGGTATAGAATTCTGAGTGCATCGTGGGGAAACGTGAGATCTTATAGAGCCGAATGAGGTGATATCCTGTTTCGATACTGATAAGCTGGGAGAGCGCCCCTTTCGTACCATAATCACGCAGGGCGTATTTTTGGCCGAGCTGTTAGTGACTTGTTCATCACCTCTGGATGCATGTGATTCCAGGCGGAAAGGCAACAGTAGGAGCGCAGTGCATCGGCATGTCTTCGGAGGAAAGAGGTGGATGTTAGGCTTTGACTGGCGCTTCCCGCGTCTTAATTGTAGCGCAGGGCCGCACCACGACCACATCGTCGTCGCTCGCTTTACGAGCAACTCTAGAACGTATCCCAGTGAATATGACAGCGTAAGACTGGAAAAACTTGGGTCATACCACTGGTAGTTTATGATGATTTCCTCTCGTTAATAATGGACAGGATCAACCTCCCGTCTCAGCCGAACGCACAACGTCGTACGGCACCGGCAATGGAGTGACTGTGAAAGCTAGCAATGCGAAGAAAAGTCCATTCCTGTTGGTGAAATCTGAAGGCTCCGTTCTACCGAAGTCTACGAAAAACGGTGCAACTGGATTGACTAATGCGATATGGACATCGTGGAGACTACTCTGAATCAGGAGCAGGTCATGGCGTGGTATGCCAGAAGTTGGCGACAGCCACTGATCTCCGGAACCTCGTTGTTCAGAAACCTCATCTAGTCGCGGAAAAAGCCTTCTCAACAAACCGCCTCTGGTCTGGAAACTTTCCTGGATCCAGAATACACATATCCATCCACAAAAGTGTGTCCACTCAGTAACATCTACAGATCGAGAAGCATATATCTTTGCTCCTGAAGGATAACTCTACATCCCAAAGCACGCTCTCATCCGGAAACGCCTTTCCATAAGAGCCACGTTAGGCTCTCGTACGAGGAAAACCCTGTATCGAGCCCACTCCTCCCTCCATCCACCCGGCTACTTCAGCACCTTGTACGCAGACATCGATTTGATCCAAGTCATGGCCTTCCAACCTCGTCTAAAAACAGAACCCACAACCTTCACCCCAACGAAGTTCACGCATCTGCTTAACCGCCACCAGACGTCACGTGCGCAAATGTGTGCGCTACAAAAAGACATGCCGCGCGTACGCTTTGGCCCTGACACTTTACCAAGATCCGACCGTCGAATTAACTTACCCTGCACAGTCGCCCGCCACCGTCTCCTCCACCTCCACCTCAAATCCTCCCAAATCTAACGCTCCCCATCACGATCACTGTCACCAGCTACTCAAGCACCTCCAGCTCTTACGAGGAGAATGATTGGGACACCTCTGCACAAGACACCGACTCAGCAGCGCCCGTTAGTCAAAGGCATTTTCAACGAAGAGAACAAGTGGTATACAATGTCTATATGCCTACATGCACAATTCCCATTCCCACTCTGCTTATCATACAACAATGTACTGTGCCACACTATACTGCGTTCGCTACGCTCACTACCTTCTCTCCACCCTCTGGCTTGCCTGCTGTACCACGCCCGCCCCCTTGATCCCCGCCTGCCTCGCCGGCCTCGCTACATCCCCTAACGACTGCATGAATTGCTTCGCCTGCGGACTCTGCTCGTCGAGCTCCGTGCCGCTCGACCCGCTCGCCAAGCCCCTCAGCAGATCTTCCGGATTCTCCAGCGAACTGCGCACAGGCGGGCGGTCCTCGAGCTCGCCGCGGGCCACCTGGACCTCGGCGCCGACGCTGCGTGCAAGCTTGATGTGCACGCGGCCGTTGTTGGTGACGGAGGCGTAGCGCGGCAGGACGTTGATCTTGGCGCCGCCGGGGGTGTGGATGTCGATGTCGTACGCGGGGTCCTCGTTGGAACGGTAGCTCTTGCGCTCGCCAGTCGACACAAACTCGTCGTTGGTGACGAAGCCTGCGACTCCGAGCTTCGCCGTCGTCGAGCGGCTCGCGGTGCGGGACTCGATGACGCGGGCCTGCACGGGTGCGCGCTCCTTCTGCGGCCCGAGGATGGGGTGGTTGGACACGACGGCGTTGGTGCGGAGGTAGCCGAGCCCCGCGGAGGGGTGAGTGGAGAGGGGCGCGACGTCGTCGTCGAAGCGGTAGCGGACGGCGTCGTCGGATTTTGCGTCAGCGGAGAAGGTGGTATCTTTGAGCTTGATGGTGGGGATGCGGAGGAAGGGGACGATGAGGCGCTGGACGAGCTTGGACTGGAGCGGGTTGACGGCCGCTTCGGCGCGGAGCTTGTGAATGCCAGCTTGGATTTCCTCGTGCGAGATCTTGGCCCAGACTTTTTCTTGCGAGGCAATGTAGGCCGGGTCTTCTTGCTGGGCGAGGTGGGCGTCTAGATCGAGAGGGTTCTCGGGTGTCTTGTTGCGCGAGGCGACCTGGCGCGAGGTGTAGATTTCGTTCTTTACATAGTGGCGCAAGTATTTGTTGAACTCGGCCTTTCGGCGGGACAACTGCTCGGTCATGTACTTGGTGAACTCGTCGGCGCTCATGCCGGGAAGCCACGGGCCTTCGTGCTTCCAGCGGCGGGCGTTGTGGCGGGCCATGTCGGGTTGCGGCAGGTTGAAGGGCACGAAGGTTTTCTTGGCTTTGGCATTGTTCGCGGCCACGCTCTTTTTGATCGCTTCCAAGATCACACCAGCCTCGTCAAGGCCTTCGTCCTCCTCATACGATGTCATGTCTGAGCGACGGTCGAAAGCACCGGACGCTGCCACCCCCAAAGCTTGCTCACGCATGGCAGCCATGCCCTTGAGCATGGGCACTGACAGCTCCTCAAACTTCTGCCGTGTCCGCACATGGTCCGAGGCCGAGTCGAAATCGGTAATATGTTCGATGGTGTCCAGCTGCGTGACCTTGACGACGGGGTTTGCCTTTTGCACGATGCGCGAGCGTGAGGGCAGCGGTCGCTTCAGGCCCCAGTCACCACGCGCCAGCGACTTGGGTGTTGTTGCAATGGCCTGGTGGGTCGGGAAGGGGAGTGTCGCCGTGTCGGAAATCTTCTGGGTGCCGGCGCCGTAGCTTTCGGTGACGGGCGGCTTTGGGAGGGGGTTCGGCAGGGAAAAGAGGCGCGAGTTGCGGAGCAGGTTGGCTGTCGGCGACAGACTCTGCCGTCGGAGGGCCATGGCGATGCGACAGCCGCGGGCGGGGCGACAATGGCGGCTGAAGGGGTCGACTGATGGCGCTCCTGGTCGCTCTCACAAAGTTCGAGCATCACCTCCGCGGCGAAACGGAAAAAAATGCCGCCGGCTTGGCGTGCATGCACGCTCAACTCGCAGGTCCACAGCTACGGTAGATCCGACAGGACTCGCATGTAGATTATATATGATCATACGTTCAAATACATACGTGCTCTACTGCACCATAGGCCGGTGCATCACGGCTCACGGGTGATTTCCTTGTCTACTCCCTAAAGATTCCTTCCTTCCTTGACCAGTCCGTGCAAGCACGTCCGCTCTATAAATTCTGGGCGCTTTGCAGTTCTATGTGATACTTGGTCCCATGATCGTTTGAGCCAGACACATGGCGCTTATGGTGTGCAGTCTTCGGTGATTGCGCGCGCTTCCTCTGAGCTCTCCTCGGTGGCGTATATTCTTGATCGTGTCGTTGAGCCCGTGCTTCACCCCGGTAAAGCCTTGTCCCAGTCCTGCTCGTCGTCTTCATCGTCGCTGTCCTTACGCTCTGCTTCCCGTGCAGATTTGGGCACATGGCCTTCGATGGCCATGTGCGACTGTCCCGGGGGTAACGAAGGCGGCGTCGGCTGGAACCTGGCCACCCGCTCCTTGATCTTGTCGGTGATGAGGTCCTTGTTGACTTTGCTCAGCCGGCCTGGCGTCTCGCCGCGCTCGATGGCGAGGTCTGCAAGCGCATCGTCGCGCGCCGCCCACGCTGCCGCGGCATCCTCTTCCTCGGTGTCTTTTGGCGCTGGCGCCGCTGCCTTCTTGAGCCGCAGCGGCAGTGCTTTGTGGTGGTCCTCGGTGTTGTCCACCATGAGCTCAATCTCAGTCCCGAAGTCGCCTTGTCGCAGCCACGCGGGCTCTTCGTTCAGCTGGACCTTGACGAAGAGGGCCCGCCGCGCGCAGTCGTCCGAGCACCACATCTCCAGCTTCTTCCTGTCCACAATCTGCACGCCTTTGGACGTCTCGACAAAGTGCTTCTTCGCGGCAGATGGCGCCTTCCCCTTGGGCCGCGGACACAGCGTGTATCCGCACTTGTCGGCGATGTTGCGCTCCTCGATCAGGCCATCGTAGTCGGAAGGTTGAAAGGGCACGATGGCCTGGCGAAAGCGGTGCGCGTCAGAGGGCGACGGGCGGGTGGGGTCGGCATCAGGCGACGTGGGGAAGTCCATGAGCTCGAAGACGGCGTCCAGAATGGCCGTCTCGGCCTGCTTGCGCTGCTCGTAGATGCGCGCATGGTGGACGGCAGTGCTGAGGTGGCGCTGGTTGACGGCGCGCGCGGGCGGCGGGGCGTTGGCGGCAACGGCAGCCTGGCCCTGGGTGCTCGTCGCGGCGGGCGTCTTCTTGAGGATCGACTTGGGCGGCATTGCGGCGGCAGGCGAGTTGCGTGCACGCGTGGATCGGCGCAGTGGCAGTCGCTTGGATGGAGCAGGCGGGCGTCGGAGCTCTCTCGCCAAGCTCCAAGCTGCTGCCAGTTAGGCAGCGCGGGGCGTCTCACCCACGGCTTTGCATGACGAAGACTCCGCTCAGCACCGAGCACAGGCTCGCCCACCTTTCCATCTGCCGTCCCGCGCACTCGCGCGCACCCATGGGCAGCTCCAGCGCCTGGTACGATCCCCTGCCGTCTCGTTGTTCCTCTGCCCATCCCCGCAGCCCCCGCCGCGCTTAGCCTACGTCGCGGTGGTCGGCTAGCGCTTGCGTACGTCCCGCTCCCACTGACAGCCGCCTGCATCGCAGCCTCTGAACAGCCTCACCACCCCCGCAACCCCCCGATCCACCCCAGAGCCGCTCCCCTGCTCTGGGCATCCACACACCACCCTCCCCGACGCCGCACCGCCCGCGGCCGTCTCCACGATGCCGCCCTTCAAGGTCAAGGCCGTGTATGCGTACGAGTCGCCCCACGAGGGTGATCTGCTCTTCCCCAACGGCCAGATCATAACCGTGGTCGAAGAGGAGGATGACGATTGGTATCTGGGCGAGTTCGTCGACGACAGCGGCACCAAGCACGAAGGCATCTTCCCCAAGAACTTTGTGGAGAAGTTGGAGCCCGAGCGACCCCCGCGCCCAAGCAACCGCAAATCCATTGTACCGGAGCAGCCCGCCGCCCAGGCAGCGCCCCCACCGCCCGCCGCTCTACAGCAAGAAGCTGCTCCGGCGCACGAGGAGCAGCCAGAGCCAGCGGCCCCCAGGGCCCAGCTGCCACCACCCGTCAAGATCCCGGACCCAGCCAAGTCGCAGCCCTCACCACTTTCGCCGACGTCCGCACATAGTGGCAAGGCTCAGGAAACACCACAGGAGCTCCCGCCCGCTCCGAAGCCCGTGCCCGCCGAGCCAGCCTCGGCCGGGACGCCCAAGAAAGCTCCCCCGCCAATTGCAAAGAAATCGGATGCATTCCGCGACCGGTTGGCCATGTTCAACCAGGGCACTACCGCTCCCCAGCCGTTCAAGCCTTCTGCGCCTCCGTCCAGCTTCATCAAGAAGCCTTTCCAGGCCGCGGCCCCGAGGCCCGATGCCTACGTTCCTCCGCCTCGCGAAATTCCCCAGGTCAAGACATACCGCCGTGAGGAGGACCCTGAGATAGCTGAACGTCAAGCGCGGGACCAGGAAAACGCTGAACGTGCAGGCCTGTCCGGCCAGAGTCCCACCGCCGGGAACGACGCCGACGAGGAAGAACAGCCCAAGGTTCTAAGTCTGAAGGAGCGCATGGCGCTTCTGCAAAAGCAGCAGCAAGAGCAGGCCGAGCGTGCAGCTGCATCTCACAGAGAGAAGCCCAAGCGACCACCAGTGAAAAAGAGGACCGAATCCCATGGCCAGACAGATGAGCAAGATGGAGCGTCTCTCGAAAAGGTGGCCAGCGGCGAGCCGAGAGAGCGCGGCTCCATCGACAACGCTCGACCGCCACGTCCTCCGGCTGCCATGAAGTCGCCTGACCTCCATGCGAACCGCGAGCTTCTGAGCGACGCCAACGATGCCGACCAGTCGGGTGCCGGCGAGACGGAAGATGCCGAGGGCACCTCGACAAGTGTCGAGGACGACGATGAGCGTTCTAGACATATAGCGCCCTCAAGAGCTCCCGCCGCGCCTACCAAGGAGCTAGATGTCGGCGACGAACAAGATGTCGAAGAAGAGGAGGAAGAGGAAGAAGAAGAAGAAGACGAGGTAGACGCTGAGACCCGGAGGAAGCAGGAGCTGCGTGAGAGAATGGCGCGGCTGGGTGGTGGCTTCAATCCGATGATGGGAGGAATGAATCCATTTGGTGCTCCGATGGGAGGTCCTTTGCCGCCAAAGAAGAAGAAGCCTTCTGAAAAGAAGTCGACGGACGACAGCGAGCAGCCAGCCGCTCCGCAGCAGCGTGTACCCATGTTTCCGGGAATGTTGCCCGTCAGGAGCCCTGAAGCTGAAAATAAACAGCTTTCTGTAGAGAAGGACGATTCTGAGTCGCACCCCATTAGCGGCTCACACGAGCCGGAGGAGGTTCCTGATATTGAGGATTTGACGTCTCGGCAACTGCAGCGAACTCCAACCGCCGAGCAGCCACCGCCCATCCCAACTGAGCGTAAGTTTATGATTCCTCGCAAGCCGATCAGTAGTTGCTGCGCCCACGAGACTCTCAGTGCTTTTCAGTTATCCGCTTCCGAGACCGTGTCAAAGACCTATGTTGCTTCTGATGGGTCCTCGGAATATGTCATGACTGTCAGCGTCTGTAGTATGTCGAAGAGGATTTGCAACACTAACCTGATTGATTTCAGAACAACTCGCTGACTATGAATCAGGACGGCCTGTGCCACCTCCAGTCCCCAGTGCCGAGTACGCCGGTGCTCCACCCGTGCCTACTTCATGTTAGTACACTCGCCATCATGCGTACTGAGCATGTGACTGATGATTGCAGCTCGACCTGTACCTCCTCATCCTCCAATTCGCTCGCCTAGTCCTGGGTCTGAGTCTGGGGATGAAATCTCAGATGCACCTCCCCAATCGGCGACATCTCCTAAAATGTCGTCAGCTATGCACCCTTCGAAGCGGAGCTCTTACCCTGCATCAGACGAGCTTTCCGGAGATTCGCCTGATAGGCGCGCCATACCGCCCATCCCCATGGGAAGCCCACCATTTTATCCTCCAGGAGCAGGTCGTCCTCCCCCGCCTCCGCCACCAACAGGCGCTCCTCCATCTCGACAGCAGACAATGGACAGCATTGTGAAGAAGGTGGATCGTGAGGGCGAAACCGACTATGAAGGCGATTACGACACCGACATTGCATCAGGTGCCACCCACAAAGATGCCCTGAAGTCGCACGCTAGAGAGGTCAGCATTGGCGACAGCACATTGGCCGGTGATGACACACCTGTTCGTTCACCTGTCACACCTTCAGCCCCTCCGCCTTTGCCTCCATCGGCGCCTCGTGCTGTTCCACCTCCACCACCGCAGCAGCCCCCTACCCGAGCTTCAATGGATGCGCCTCGAGCAGCACCACCGCTGCCGCCAGTGCCCCCGCCTACTCGGGATGTGTACGACGACGATGATTATGATCCGTACAAGTACACCGCGTCACCTCATCGGGGAGCACCACCTCCAGCACCGAGGGGAGCACCGCCACCACCGACAGCACGCCCACCGCCCCCCTCGATGCCACCACTACCCCCATCGATCCCGCCTGTTCCACCACAGCAAGATGTCGAGTCCGAGGATGAGGACGATTTGTATGCGCCTCCTCCCAGGAAATCGCACGACCGTCCACCACCACCGCCGCCGCAGGTACCTCCGCCTCAGCACGCACCTCCACCTCCTCTTGGTGTAGACCGGACTGCACCAGCACCCCCTCACGATCGTGCTGCACCACCTCCGCCGCCGCCCGAGCCATCTCAGCCACCACGGCCCTCAATGGGACGGAAATCGCTGGATGTTAATCGTTCAATGCAGGGCCGTGCTTCAATGGACCAGTCCCGCCCATCGGCGAGCCAGGAGTTCATTGCCAGCGATCTCGACCTCGGGATGGCGAGCCACTGGTGGACCCAGCCGAACATGCCGCCCCCTTCGGTCCAAGGACGGAAGGACGTCCTCTTCGATTTGGATGAATCTCGCTCCGGCAACTCCATAGAGAAAGCTGTCTTCGTTCTGTACATGGACTACTCCCAAACCATCATCACGGCGCGCTTCCAAGCCAACGACGTATCAAACGTGCAATTAAACCAGCGCCATGAGCCGCCGCCGCCCCGCCTGCGCCAAGACCAGCTGGAAGCCGCACACGAGCGCTTCGGCCAGCGCATTGCCAAGGACGTCGAGACAAAGCAAAACACCGTCGTCGGCAACGGCACGCCCCACGGGCTCATCGACGAGCTCCTCCGGCCCTATACAGATGCCTTGAAACCCGTCGGCACGCGCGCCTTTGGCGCCCTCGTCTACGCCAACCTTGCCAACGCGAGCACCCAGCAGTACGACGAGATCCGGCCCGGCGACATTGTGAGTTTGCGCAACGCGCGCTTCCAGGGCAAGCATGGCGCCATGCACGCCAAGTATAGCGTTGATGTGGGGAAGCCGGATCATGTGGGTGTGGTTGTCGAGTGGGATGGGAAGAAGCGGAAGGTGCGGGTTTGGGAGCAGGGAAGGGAGAGTAAGAAGGTTAAGCCAGAGAGCTTTCGGATGGAGGACTTGAGGAGTGGGGAGGTGAGGGTGTGGAGGGTTATGGGGAGGAGCTGGGTTGGGTGGTCGTAGATGAGATGAGGAGTGGTCCGACCGGTGAGTGTGAATAGCATAGAATAGCCGCGTAGGAAGAGAAGGGTGGAGGACGTGGTCGAAGACGTGTCGAAGACGTGGGATGGTACAGTGTAGTCATAGGGCTTTGGGGTAGTGTATAAATTTCGTCAATCAGGATGGGAATTGTGTGGTGTGGTGGTGTGTCTCTGGTCCTGCTTCTGCAATTATTCCTTGCCCTTGTCTCGGTCATCGCTTTCTGCTTCTGGTTCCAACTTAGGCTGACTAGACGCCCTCTTCGAAGCCTAGGCTTGCTTTGCCTGGAGGCAGTGTCTGTTCGCAATCTCCCTGTGCTCCGCGGAGGCCGAGGTCGACGCGCCTGTCAGAAGGCAATGTGCTTGTGAAGAGGAAGTGCACGATGTTGGAGTGGCGACGGAGACGGGGACAGCGACGGCGGCTCTGCGGAGTGCGGGGCTGGACTGAGATGACGCAGTGCTCTCGGTGCGCCTGTTGCCCTGCGTGCTGTTTCAGATTCGACCTTGCTCTGTGCGCTGCGCTCGCTCCGTGTTGCTCCCTGTGTGCGTCTTGCCACAAGCTGTGAAGCGGCTTGGTGACGGTGCGTACGGAGCTTGGGTGCCGCCTTCTCGCGAGAGGCCTCGGGGAGGTGGTTGTTCGCTCGTGTGTGGTGTTTCTCATGCAGTGGCTCGCTGTCTCCGGTACTACTTCTTCTTGAAGGTGGGACTTTCGAGGGAGACTGGAGATGAAAAGGATGTGTCCAGAGCCGTTCGGGTCCGGAGGCGCGTACGCGTTGAGGATGGGGCCTGCGCTGCGGCAGATGCTGGGCTGCAGTCCGTGGGTGGAGAGCTAGTGGACTGATCGCCGTGAGTATGTAACGCTGGATGGTGAGGAGTAGGGCGGGGCAAGTCGCGTTGTTGTACCGAGCACAGTCCTTGCTTGTTGGCTTTCAACTGCAATTTTCCCTCGGTTGCGGTGCATGTGCCTACTATCTTGTCCTCGCTCGTTGATAGTATACACGGTGCGGACTATGGCCGTGGCCTCAGTTGCAGCGTCGCGAGGCGTGGAGCGGAGGGGGCAGGATGCTATGCCGCTGCGGTAGTGTCGTGATGCTTTCAGTCGTTGTGGGGTTTGTATCAGTCACCAAGCTGTTCTGTTGTTGGAGGCACACATTGCTAGAGACTCGGTTCAGTACTGCTTCAGAGGTTCGAGGCGTTGCTCTGGCGAGCCGGCTCGCCAGTGTCGCAGTGAAGTGAATTGTCCACTGTGTGTCTCCATTGGACAGATCGAGCTTTCATTGGTGGGATAAGAGGATAAAGTAGTGGATATAGGGTAGTTGTTAGATCTTCTTGACGTGTTCTGGTCTGGAAGTGCGTACTTCTAGCACTGAAGATTGCTCGAGCGGGGTTGCGATTTAAGGGATTAGTGTAGTTGTGGGCCGCGCTACGAGGGATTTATTGTTAGTTGTGGTAGAGGTCTCTGAACGCGCGGCGGTCATCTGCAAGGGAGCTGAAATACATTCGAAGCATGAATGTGTTGAAGCAACTTATGGGAAAATTATGACATGAATATGAGAAAATGGGAAGGATTGTGATTGGGATCTTCACACATGAGTTCGGGTATTTGGAGCCTCCGTTTTGCCTTTTGTAAAAGCAGCGCAAACATGACATGACGTGACACACAGATATGTTGCTCGGGCAGCGCTGCTCGCCTAGTGTCATGCGTGATCTGAAAAGATTCTCTTTATGAATCCGCGCAGGTATCATTTGAAACGGGTCTGGCGCTGTGCACCTATGGGATATTCTCCGATGGGAGCGGATGACCCCAAAAACAGTCCGCAAGACAACAAACACTCTATTATACAAGGGCTTTCAATACGCTTTGTTGGAGGCAAATCGCGTCTGCCCTGATGCTCGTACACTCAGATCACGCCCTCTCTCGTCGTAAAACCCAGTCTACTTCAGAAGTCTAGTTCTTGGGACAGTCACGTTTCACATTCATCTGGTGGGGCGTCTCTGTGATCTCCTTGAACCACATCTGCACCTCTTCCAAGCGTGCATCCGATGCCTTGCAATACATCTCCAGGCACCCGCGAACCCACAGGTTGTACCAGTGATCACCGTCGCGAAGGGTTGCGTGGCTATGGTTGACCACTGCCACCGGAAGGAAATCCAGTTTCGGGGTGCAGAGGAGGACAAACAAGAAGAGCATAGAGCTGTGCTTTTCCATGTCGAGGAGGTGACGCCAGCACCTAGACTGATCACCTTTGATCTTCGGGGGCTTGTCCATATGCTTCTTTGTGTCCTTGTCGTAGTTCCTGAAGTACGTCGCGGCCAGTATGATGACAGGTTGTGAGTTGTCTCTAAGTGCGGAAGTTTGCGTTTGTCTAAGCACATGTTCCAGAGTTGTCGTCCTCGGGGATTGTGGGGAGTCGAGGGTTTGCAGACGATTTCTGTAGATTCGAAAGCATCAAGGGCGATGGGACGGCTTTTTGATGGAAAGGGTCGCGTTACAAGGTCTGCTCGAAGAACTGAAGTTGTGCGGCAATCCACCGTGCCATCGATACGGGCAGGCCTAACTTTCAAGCAATGCGGCTGGCAACTCGATAAACGCCAGTGAAATTATGCTTGATGGCTCTCAACCCATTGACGCCATCGCTGCCATAGGAACGGAAATATCTTTGAAAATAGCGGACTAGCCGATCGTAGCAAATATAGGCAGACTTACATATCTCGCCCAGCTTTTGTATGGGAAGGAAGTGCTGTAGAATTCCCTTTTGCCCGCTCATGTATCAAATCTGGTAGACATGTTGAACCACTCCATAGTGGGCTGAGATGATAAGATGAATGATGGCGTATGAGACGAGAATGAGATTGAGTTGAGTTGAACATGGCGCCTGAGAGTACGCTGGGAGTACGCTGGGAGCTCGCTGAGAAATATTATCCTACCGAGCGGAACATAGCATATAAGGAGAGACTAACATTCTTCTGAGCTAAATAATCCACTCAGCATCATCTCAATGTCACGGGATTTTGTAAATGTCACACAAGTACGGGTAAATGCTTGTTTGCTGATTGTTCGGCCAGCACCCCTTCGCTTTTCCCTAGTCAAAACTACTGCTCAGTTCCACCGTTTCCATGGCGCTGGGACTATAATTGCTTTTGGATATATTGTCTAGACGGGATCTAACCGTGAATGTGGCAACCTTCACACTTGCAGCAAGAGACTGCTCACTCACGTAGCACCGCGTTTAAGCGAGGCGTTGGACGCGGCGGTGAGGAGCTCACACCCTCCCACAGCTAAAACTGCATCCAAGTATCCCACTCTTGATCCAAATCAAAGAACTCATTCCACATCCCCTCACCAAGCTGTCCCTGCTGCGAGACCATGCTTGATTCCTCGCTGACCAAATTTTTCGGTGTCGGTCCGACGAACACAGGCATGGGCGTGGTCACGGGCATTTCTTTCGTCTGGACCACATCAAGTGGGGAGCCCGATTTGGGATACATCCATACAGGTATCGTGCCCGAAGCAGGAACAAGATTACGGTCCGCCCTAGTATGAGTTTTAGCCAAAACAGCATTTATAGCCTTCACCGCCGTCCTCGCCTCCTTCGAAACATCCTGCTGTTTCCCCCAAATCTCTCTTGCAGACTGCAGCGCGGCAATAATCTTCTCCAGAACCTCAGAGGTACAAAGTGATGATGTTCCCTGCCGCGACTGAGTGATGTCGTCATCTAGATTGTAACATAGTATGATGGTCGCCAGCAAGAACTCAGCTTGTATCAGCGCAAATATCTTCCACCGATCCGCATACAACATACGTCCTGGCTGTGTGTGCTCGAACAACTCTGCCTGCAGCTGTAGCGCTGCGTACGCTGCATCGAGACAGGTGGTGTGGGAGGCAGTGTACTTGTCATTGGATTTCGCGAGTATCATGAATTTGCGGTGCAGCGTCATTGAAGCGTGGTAGAAGCTCATGGCGATGTACAACCGCCGGGTGATGAGCTCCGTGCCGTCCATTATCGAGCGATGGAGCGGCTTAATCTCGAGCACTGGGGGTTTCTGCGTGAATGCGGCGCGGAGGAGGGCGTCTAGACGTGTGGCTTCGGCGTAGTCGCGCTGTTTGGAGGAGGTGGTGAAGTCGCATATCATGCCATACACCGTGACGATTCTGCTTTTGTAGATAAGGAATTGGGACAGTGTGTGTTCGTTGAACGGCCTCGCTGGTGGAAGCACGGTGATAGTGTCGTCGAAGTCATCGTCGAGCAGATTCCGCGGTTCGGCGGTGTCGCACTGGGATTCTTTGATCATGCGGGGTAGGCCTACTTGGGAGGCTGTGGCGATATCGAATTGAATCAGCACGTACCAGGTGCGGCGCCGCATTTCGGCTTCGAAAGGTTTCATTTCTGGGAAGTGGGAGCCGTCGCGGTGGTAGCCCATTTTGAGGGCGACGCGGATGATGGTGCCGATCAATTGCCAGCAACCCTGTTGCGCCTCCTCGCCTTGTGCATATTCGGTCAGGAGAAGAGTCAACAGCGCCTCGATGGTATGAGGTGTTCCTTTCATGTAGTTGGCTAGTCGGAGACACTGTATCATCTTTTCTCGATATGTGAGAACGATGCTCTGGTACTCTAACAGTGTGTCCTCGTCCAGCGGATTCTCCCCGGCGTTGATATATAGCGCAGTGTATGCCACTATGAACATCATACCGAAAAGTATGGTCATCCACATGGTTGGAGTGCCAATAGGGTCTTGCCAGAACTTCTCGTACTGCGTGAAGAAGACCCTTCGATGGATGATAAGCGTAATCGGCATGTCCGCGGCTTTGAAATATTTCGCGATCATGCTGTCCACGGTGGGCCGAGCAGGTAACGCTGCAATGAGCTCCATTTTTGTGGCCGGATAGGTATTCAGAAAGAACAGATCGGCTCCTGGCAGTCTCTGCACTTCTTCTTCAGAGGAGTCATGGCCATGTGCGGCCTCTTCTTTGGCCATGTCTTTGAGGTCATTGATTTCTTCTAGGATAGCTGTCCAGTGGTCACTCTCAACGTAAGAAGACGTATTCTTCTGCAACACCATAAGTCCAAAGTCGCTTGCAGTTGTCGAGCCCTCTTCGGTAGTGATGCTAGTATTGGAAGTCACTGTACTATCTGGTGTCGATACGGGCGGTTTCTCTTGCTGTCTTTCCGCTAGCATTCGAACGAGTGCTTCGAGATGATTAACTCGCTCTTGAAATCTGGACTGGTTTATACTATTTCCTGAGTCACTGGTAGGGCTATGCGAGCGCTGAGAAAATGGGAAGCTGCAAGCTGAAGCCTGGCCTAGTCGGATGCAACTTTGGCAGGGCTGTTTGCGATCGCAGCGCAGTCTGCACTTTTGTCAATTTGGCACTCCTGTTCAGGAATGCGGAGGACTTTTACTTCCTTCTCCTACAAAAATCGCATGAGAGTTGCGGTTTGTCTCTACCCTTTGCTCGTGTTAACAGCCGCCCTGAAGACACGGATGAAGTTGCCATGTTCTTCCACTTCGAGCCTTCGCCCGAGCTGGCCGATCTGTGTGTATTGGATTTCAGGTTAGGAGTGACATCGGTCGGTACTCAGTGTTCTTCCGTTGCATTGCACGGAATGTTGAAGCGGGGGATTGTGAGGGCCGCTGTGCTGGTGTTCGAGGAGGATAACGAAGTGGGTCCAAGCGGACGTCCGCTGCGTTTTGATTGGTGCGATCGTCCGCTTTCCCTCCATGTCTCTTTCCTCCCAACGTCAACTACGACAGAGACTTGAGACCACTAGGATCATTCATATATCTGGTTGCGATGCCAATATTTTCAAAGACCCGCAACACATCAATCCTTCGTTTCGCCACCTCCCTCGCTCTCAGTACTCAAAATACCGAAGCTCAACCCTATCTGACCAATCAAATCTTGTCGACCACCATGCCTACCAATTCCGCAGCATGGATGCTGGGTCCCAAGCAAGAACTTCAAGTCAAGGAAGCGCCGTATCCCAAACCGGGACCCGGTGAAATCGTCGTCCGCAATCGAGCTGTAGCGATCAACCCCATCGACTGGATCCTTCAGTCTCAAGGGACCGCCATGGCATTTGGCTGGATACAGTACCCCTTCGTGTTTGGAAATGACGTCGCCGGAGAAGTTGTACAAATTGGAGAGCAGGTGACTCGCCTCAAAGTCGGCGACCGTGTGACGGGACAGGCGCACAGTGTGGACAAGCTTTTCAATAACTCTGCGTACGGAGGCTTCCAACAGTACACGATTCTCCTGGAAAGGAACACAGCCACTATCCCGGAGACCATGTCGTTCGAATCGGCGTCGGTACTCCCTCTGGCTTACGCGACCGCGGCGGCTGGGCTCTTCGAGAAGGATCAACTGAATCTAGAATACCCTCAGCTCGACGCAAAAGCAACTGGGAAGACTGTTCTCGTGTGGGGAGGATCTACTAGCGTGGGCTTGAGTGCTATCCAACTCGCATTGGCCGCTGGATACGAAGTCATCTCCACCTCTTCACCTCGGAACTTCGACTTGCTGAAGTCGCTCGGTGCCAGCGAAGTGTTCGATTACAACGACCCCAAAGTCGTCGCCAATGTCGTCATGGCCATGAAAGGAAGGACGTCCGCAGGAGCTCTGGCAATTGGAGAGGGCTCCATGTTCAGGTGTTTGGACGTGCTGGGTCGCTGCAAGGGTGACAAACATATGGCAATGGCGACTTATCCGGTACCATCGCACCCGAAGCGGTTCGCTCTGCTGCACACGATATATTGCTTCGTCACATCGATGATCTCGATAACCGTCAAGTCCAAGCTACGAGGCATAACGACGAGCTTTGTGTGGGGCTCAGTGGCTCACTCGCCCGTGGGAGAGGCCGTGTATGCGAGGTTTTTGCCTGATGCCCTCGCAAATGGCAAGTTCAGGGCCGCACCGGAGCCGGTGGTAGCAGGGGAAGGACTGGAAGCGATTCAAGGCGCAATCGACTTGCAAAAGAAGGGCGTTTCGGCGAGGAAGGTGGTCGTGAGCCTGAAGTAGGTTTCTCTGGTGAATGGAAGGTAGCTGTACGTTTAGGTAGCAATTTCAACTTGACTGTTTCCCCCACTAGCGCGCTTTCTGTTTCTGTATTGCTCTCGCTCAAGCTCTCAACTCAGCAGCGCCGGTTGATTGTGCAGTCGGAAATCCTCAGTACATGCAGCTTCGATTGCAGCATCAGCACGCTGTCTCTCTCCTTTGAAGCCGACTTCAGAAGTTCTCCTATTTTCGTCGATTCCCGCACTTGAAGCCCAAATTGACAACCACAATGCCACTCACCCTGGTCCACACCTACGCGGCGGACGCACGCCAGACCCGTTACCTCTTGCGAGACACTGACGATGGCAGCATCAGCTGGGGATACTCGTATGACCCAGTGTCCGAGATCAAGAGCACTTCTCCCCAAGACCTCGGCACGCGCGGAAATCTCGACCCGGACGCATTCTGCACCAAACTCACCACAAGTATGACACCATATCGCGCTCCTCTTGACAGCCCACTCATCATCAAACACCACAACTTCATTCGGTATGACCGCTTCGAAGACCCGACCATGCAAACGCACATCAAGGCCACGCAAGAGCGTGAGATCTGGGCCGCAGAGAAGTATAGAAGTGCACCACACCCCAACATCTGCGAGTACAAGGGCGTCATCACAGACGTGAAGGAGCGCGTGATTGCCACAGTCTATCGCCGCTACGACACCGACCTGTTCAACTTGATAGAGGACTAACCCTACCTCGACGTTCTGGCTTCACAGCCATCGAATGTCTGGCCCCCAGTACCTACTCTTAGCTATATCTGTCCGCAATCTATTCTGGCATGGAGCACATCCACTCTCTTGGCTTGCTGCATTGTGACATCCGGCCTGGAAACATCTTCATAGACAGCGACCCCATGCAAGTGGTCCTCGGCGACTTCGACGGCACAAATACGCCTGGAAATCAGCTGCATGACCGCTTCGCGCAGGAGGCAGCGAACCATGCGCGAGGCAGCGTGGTGGACGCGGGCATCGATGTCGGCTGCTTTGGGGATATCGTGAAGTGGCTCGAGGACTGCAAGAAGCGCAGACTTGCTACAGCAGCCCGAGTTGTATCAGGATAGGTCGTGCCGAAGCTAACAACTTTTGCAATGCTCACCGTAGGAGGCAAGGGTGGGAGACCTTTTATGTCCGGATAAGCATTTTAGTCATCCCGCGTGCCCACCCAAAGCCGTGGGCCGTCGTCTCGCCCGCGCATTGCGTAGACCGAGGCCGAAGTGCGCCCTGGCATCGCACCCACATGGCTCTTGACAGCCCTAAGCCCATCCACAATGCGCCCTCCGCCCTTCGCTACCGCACGAAGATGCGCAGATGCACGACCAGAAACTGCGCGGTTCTTGAAGCTGCAATGTGACGCGCTCGCCTCGCGCTTCTACTTCTCCGAAACGATCTGCAGACGCCTAGCCCGCGGAGCCATACCCGAACTGTCGCCATCCTGACCTCTTGCCGACCTCCAACGCCGGAAATAACGTACCTGACGTCCATTGCTCGACCATCGACATGCGCCAGCTTAAAGGCATGCACGCCCCGCCCCAGGGCCGGGTATCCCCCCTCGTGCTCAGGGTCACGACTTCACAGCGACAATGGCTGCCGAGATGGCGCATCCCGGTCCCGGTCTGCACGCGCCGCCCTCGCGCACCTCTGGCGATGCCGCGCCGACGATGAACCCCGAGTCCCCGCAGAAGAGCGTCGAGGACTTCAGTGCGTCCAACAACAGCATCCTGGACATGGAGAGGGCGCAAGAGAAGGCGAGTGACGTGCCGTTCGTGGATGCGTTTCTGGTCGTGTTCAATGGCCCAGACGACCCCGACAACCCCAAGAACTGGACAACGCGCAGGAGATGGGCGATCACCGTGGTCGTTGGGATGTTGGTGTTCACGGTGACCTTTGCCAGCTCCATCTTCTCGGTCAACATCGGCATTGTCGAAGAGCAGTTCCAGGTCACACAGGTCGTCGCAACATTAGGCGTCGCGCTCTTCGTTCTGGTACGTTTGCCAAAGGCCTCCAAATGCAGGGAACTCACACTATATAGGGCTTTGTGTTCGGTCCCATCGCATTCGGCCCCATGTCGGAGGTCCTCGGACGCCGTACTCCCCTCCTCTACGGCTACGCCCTGTTCGCCATCTTCCAGATCCCTGTCGCTGTCGCACAGAACATCACCACCGTATGCGTTGGCCGCTTTCTAGGAGGCTTCTTTGCCGCGGCACCGCTCTCCGTGGTCGGCGGCATCCTAGCCGATCTCTGGGATCCCATCCCTCGCTCGTATGCCATCTGTATCTTTGCCGCCGGTGGATTTGCCGGGCCCGTAGCAGGCCCAATCGCGGGAGGCTTCATTGCAGAATCACGTCTAGGCTGGCGATGGACGTCCTGGGTCACTCTCATCATGGCAGCCGCTGTGGGCACTCTGGCCTTCTTTTTCGCGCCCGAGACGTCTGCGCCTAGAATCCTGCAGTATCGAGCCGCGGCTCTGCGCAACGAGTCCGGCAACAGCGAGTACCACGCGAAGGCAGACGCCGAGAAGCTCACCTTGGATAGAGTCATGACAGTGTACCTGATCCGCCCCTTCGTCATGCTCATCCAGGAACCCATCCTCGCCCTCGTGACGGCCTACATGTCCTTCCTCTATGGCATCGTCTACCTCCTCTTCGAAGCGTACCCTGTCGCCTACCACGAGCAACGCGGCTGGTCCCTCGGCGTCTCGCAGCTCCCCTTCACTGCCTTCATCGTGGGCATCGTCCTCGGTGCCGCCGTAATCGCCTACAGCACCGCCACCAACTTCACCAAAGCGTTCAACAAGCACGGCAAATCCATCCCGGAAGAGCGCCTCCCGCCCATGATCGTCGGCGCCGTGTGTCTACCCGTTGGGCTGTTTTGGTTCGGCTGTAAGTCCTCCCCTTCTCGCACACCAACTCCACAAAGTGGATGCAATGATTACACATTTTTAACACTGAGATCCGTCCCTGAGGATCACCACGCAACAAACTTACCCATGAACACCCCACCAACTATGTTTCTGCCTACAAGCCCATCCAGGTCCATCTCTAACTAGTTACACAGGGACCGCATCCCCCGCCCAGTGCACCTCCTGGGTCCCCTCCGTCCTCGCGACCGCTCTCATCGGCATCGGTTGCATGGTGCCATTCTGGCAGGGCATGTCGTATCTGATCGACTGCTACGGTTTCTACGCCAACTCCGCGATTGCCGTCAACACCTTCATTCGCAGCTTCTTCGGCGCGTTTTTCCCGCTGTTCACGCACGCCATGTACACGAAGCTGGGGGTGGCGTGGGCGAGTAGTTTGCTGGCGTTTGTGTGCGTGGCGTTCTTGCCCGTGCCCGTGCTGTTCTATGTTTATGGGGCGAAAATCAGGGCGAAGAGCAAGTGGGCACCGGTGATGTGAGTGGGCATTGAGGGGGAGAGGTGCGTTGGGGGCGTTTTGAAAGGGAAAATGGGTAGGCGCATGCATGAGCATATAGACGGCGTTTGCACCGCTGAATGGCAGGTGTCGATGCAAAGCTGGGTATTTTTGGCTTGGCTAATTTCAAGAGTTTTTCATGACTTTTCCAAATTTTGAAGCTGGATGATGACGGATCGCGATTCCTTGTGTTCTGACTGCTACCCACAGTATTTTGTTCGGTTTCGACGCTGCCCTGGCGCATTGATCGTCGTACTACACGCTAGATTCCTCCGAAACCCGCCGACGTCCTAATGCCAACAAGAAGCAATCACTTGCGTACCGCCTATCTCTCAGCTGGCTGTGATGGTGCATCCATATTTCCACCCTCCAGTATATCCGCCCGTCACTCTGACGCCATATGCCAGGTCTCTGGAGCAAGTCTACCACGCCAACCCCTGCTATTCTGGAGAGAGATCTGCTCGTGAGGCAAGCGGCGTCATTGCTCAACCTCCGGGTCTCGAGTGTCTTGTACGAGCGCGGTACCCATCGTCGGTACTCGTGTGATGCACTGTGCATATTCACGCTTATTCTTTTATGTTGGGAGCAACGGCTGATACTGATATTTCCTTCCGATTTTGTACTGTGGAGAACGGGAGGCAGAGAGCTGGGTGTGAGACCTGGAGGCTTCTTCAACGGGGGGAGGCGTGGGGCAAATCAGTGGTGGGGAGTAGGTAGACTGCTGCTGCTACTGCTGTTGTGTGTGGTCTCGGAGGGACGTTGGCTCGCCGGACACCCGGTGCGGACACTTGTTGTGTCCCCGCTGTCCGTACCGTGGGTATGAGGTCCGCGCTGGGAGGCCCCTGGGAGCTTAGGCTTCGGCGTTTGGACGACGAAGATGAATGTGGACGGTACAGAGGACCAGATCATCGTCCTATCTATGGCCGGCTCAACTCTGAGCTTGCAGATTGGCGAAGATGTTGAACAGGCTCAGAACCATGGCCAGACGGATTTCCGGCCTTCGTGCCGATGAAAATGGAGGTTCGGTGTCTTTTCTGTGTTATGGCTTTGATTTGAGTTATGTGTGGTGTGAAGGCTTCGTGATGATGGAATTGCTTAACGATCAACTTGTCAAACTGTGACTTGATAAATGTAACAAGTCCTACATGGTCCTACGGCGGGATAGTTCTACCTGATGTACCGCACTCATAGCGTTTTCGTTGTTCCTTGCAACCAAAGCAAAAGGCACGATCTCCTGAACCGCCCAAAACGCCTGTTTGCACACGATCTTATCTCCATGCGCACTTGTAGCTCTGCTCTTCCCTCCCTCTGTAAATCTCTTAGAAACCAACTGCTTGCGTCCGTGATCGACGTACCCCTTTTTCACGCTATCGAACCGCTGCCGTGCAGATCAGCTAATATCGTGAACACACACGATGCCTGCGCTGTATCATCCAATCGAATTGGGAATGCGAGAAGCAAGTGCGAGCATCACAAGAGTACGCCGAGGTGCACTAGCCTGTCATCTCTTCGCATAGATGTAGCCTGTTATGGTGTGATGAGACTAGGCTGGCTACATGACCAAAAGCTGCAAGCGAATTGGAAGCTCGAGATGGGGATCGTTCGCCGGTAGCTTGAAGGACGAGTCCCGGTCCCTTGGCATGTGTTTGAAGTAACAGCATGAGCACGATGGTGTAGTATGTCGTATCGCACGTGTTTCTCAGCGTTGAAGGCACGGGAGGATCGATGGAGGTCGGAATGCTTGAAAGCGGTGCGGATGCCGGTGCTGATTGGGCAGCTTTTCGGTGTCTGCCTTTCTGATCAGCCGGAGAACGATGACGATGCGATAACGCCCGCAGATACACTCTGCATGCCTTCGTCGCTTCAAGAGTGCAGAATCTCAGGAGACTGGTAGCAGTACTGAAACGATTGCAGATGGTGAGGCTCGGTAAGGTAGACGTAGCATGATGTGTGTGAGTGGAATGCAGATTAGCAAGGATCACACATGCGAATGGGTCTGGGAAGCGCGAAGGCTTGCAGAATGCTTTCCTCTAGCGACTATACGCCACATGTAAATAGACAGCTGTCGTATCTCCTCACTTCACGCGTGACGAGTGGCCCGTCAACCACCCTCAACCCACCAAAACAGTGCCAACGGATCACCCTGCATGTGCCCCCTTGTCCTATATAGTCTTTATAACCAGCAGCAATTCTATCATTCAGGACTGTGATAACATATCATGCGAACAGATGGCTCAGCGGTCCCGCCGCCAGGATACGGAAGTCATTTCCTCGGGGATTCGAAGCCCTTTCTTGTTACTGCTTGCAGTTCAACTCCGTGCTGCAAAGGTACAGGTACCTATTTCAAGGATATTTAGTTGTCTCGCCGCAGGGAATAGTTGATGGTGGTGCACAACTTGTGCGCAACTCAGCACTGTGTGTTGTTGCTGGGACCTTTGCTCGGTGCAGTGCACATTGTGTATTGTCAGCTGAACTGAGGAGTGCCACATTCTTAGAAACTTAGGGTAGTTCCACATACTTTTGAGGCTAGGCCAATTATTGTGTAGAGTGAGTATCTATGACAGTCTCGCTATGTTAGTGGAGGCCCCACCCCCTCTTGGAGGGGCTCAATTCGCTTTGTGGTTCCGCTGGAGAATGAAAAAAGCTACACACCAGAAATTAGAATATCCCAAAGTCAGAAACGTACATGATACATGCGCTTCGCGAACTTATGGTATTGAACACCCAATAGTTGTGCACCCGCCCGAGGAATTTTCATTCATGCAATGAATCGTCTCCAGGTTATGAATCAGTGTATTTGAGGTAACCCTGCTTCCTTAATTCTTCACCATCCCCTCTTGTTCAGACACCACCGCTAGTTCATTATTCAACTGTAGATCTCTAAAGAAATCTCGAAGGTTGAGAAAGGTCTCCTGTATCTCATGCGCCGAACGATCATCAACTATCTGCTCATAATACATGTGAATGTTGTACTCGCGAGCTCGCTGGCACCAATCCTCTTGCACCTCGATACCCGCCAATGCAAGCTCTGCTCGGAAAGCCTCACTGCCGAGCAGCAAGAATGCCAAAAACTGTAGCCATGTTCCGCCCTTGAACATGAATGGTGCATTTCGGATAAGCGCTTTCAGTGCCCCACACCATTGGGAGTAATTGCTGTGAACATTGCCTTGGCTGAATGCGTCGTCTTCAAGGCCCTGTAGTGGGTTAGGTGTCAAGGTTTTGAAGATATCTGCTACGCTGAACGCCATGCGGTTTTCTTGATCTGAGTAGTTCTTCTCTTTCTCAGAAATCATATACTGGTCAATTTGGGCGATAAAGCGAACTTTGGTGTCCCCGAGCAGAATATCTGACTCCGTGAACCCAAAATCACAATGCAACTCGGCCCAAGTCGCCCGAAGGATGCTCGTCGCCGACATCTCTTCAGACCATCTTTCTCCCAAGATATACTTGATTCTAGTGGTGTCCTCCTCACTGGCGAATATAAACTCCCCGTCCTTCAGCCCAGCAGCCCAATCTTGCTCGAGCTCCTTCACAGCATTGCGCCTGATAGCCCTCCACATCTCCCATTGAGAGTCTTCACTGTCATTCTCCAAGCATGTCGTATCTTTAAGCACTATCCACTCGCTGCCATCGCGAGCCTTAAATCCGAATGTACTTCCCTCGTTCAATGCTTCTCTCCACTCTGCAGCAACCAGCCCGTTAACCTCACTCGCGTCTTCCCAGGTAGTTTTCCATTGCACTTTGTACAGAGTCTTTGAGGGATTGAATGGATGTTGGCGCGATGCGAGGATACGACGAGCTGACCATTGACTGATTCTGTCGCCACTGGTCCCTACGATGCGCGTACGATTTGTGCCTCTTTTCTCCGGCTTACTTTTCCGCCCACGAGATGCGCTTGGGTTTTTGCTGTCGCTCCCGGTGTTTCGTTTGGGAAAAGGGCGGACGACGTGCTTTGGGGTCGGGCGGGCGGCGCTCTTCGCGGCGGTATAAGGAGTATGGCGCTTGCGGGGAATTTGGTTATGCATGCGGCGTTCTAATGCAGCTTTGGACATCCCGAAGGGCGAAGATGCAGCCACCATGCTGGGTGAGTTTGGAATTTTGCACGGAAGTTGATTCCTTGATGAGTGTAGTTATATAATCAACATGCATGCAATTGGAAGCGTTCGTGTTTATTGGCAATCAACGCAGCACACAGTCTGATACGCTTGATTAAGCTTGCCATGGTCACGCAAATTCTCAGCAAACGGTTCACTCCGGTGTGTAGAGCTATCGTCTCGTGAAAAGGGAGTTCCTCGTAACGAGTCACCGCGTGACACAATCAGTTTGAAATTGATCCTCTAACAGTGAACAAAGAAGCCATTATTGTTTCTCTTTTCTAAATTCACTTTCATCCGACTATATACTGACAAACCGCAGGTAGCGCACAGCAAGGATAGTCTCACACAACATAGATCCATGCACTCTTGCCTTATACCCGTCATCTCACACGTGCGGTGATACAATTGTCCCGAATCTCAAACACCTTGTACTCAAAGTTTATAGTTACCACGTCCAAAGATACATGTGAACAAAGAACGATCGGAGCATATGAAACTCATCTCTGCCCATAAGATCTCCCTACACTCGTCTACAGTCTCGAGACTCCCCCAAATCTAGTGGAATAGATTGAGAAAATGCTCTTTGTCCTCAAGAAAGCTTTTATCTCTAAATTGGTGAATAATAAGCTATTCGTGAGCTTCGATTAGGACGTATTTAATGCAGCTACATACAGTCATATAAGACTTTCGACCCTCGATTTCCCAGTTCAGTCAATTCATGTTGCCCACCCCCCTAATGGTACACTACCTGGTCCTCACGATCGTATACGTACGCTGCATCTTGTCGTGTAAGATTAACCGCAAGACCCCTGATGGAAAGTAGATAGAGTTGCCTTGGTTCGAAGCCAACTCCACCATTTCTGATCGAATCTAACAAGGGTAGTTCTTCCGTCTTCTCCTTATGTGCCAACTTCTTCTTCATTGATTTCCTCTCCGCTGCCTTGGCACACTTCATGGGTCCGTCATTTCTCAATGTTCCGGGCGCATTTTAGCCAAGCATACGGCTACCGAGAAAAACAATTATGTCATTCCGCCCCCGTCCAACCTAGCTACGTATCAGACAGCCTTGCAGATCCACACTTAATACATAGACAACAGTCAAGTCGTGCCACGAAGCCGTAGATGATCTATACTACTTCGTCTTATTTGAAGTGCGATATTCGACCATTCACATCGAGAAGGATGTGATTTGAGGTTCATTTGAAACTGACATCTCACATGAGGAAAGCCAAGCTGCACTACGCCGCAGAGGAGGATTGGGATCAACCAACAGTACCCGATCAACACAGGTCAACTGATACAAGTATATACATTCTCGCGCGTAAAAACGAATAATTACGCAAGGCTTTACTATCATACGAAGTCAACATGTGGACGTCCAACAAATCAAAGTTGCTACTTTTTACAGCATCAAGACTCCTCACCACGGCGCTTGCGCAGAATTCCTCCTGCCAAGGCTATGACCGAGGAACCGGAAATGTGAACTCAACCGGCCAGCACGAATTCACTTGGAACTCCTCCTACGCCACCGACGACCCATGGTATGTCTCTGTCCTCGTCGGATTCCGGGGGTCCGAATGGAACGATGTGCAAGACATCAAAGCAAATAGCTACATCTGTACCTGGAAACGTACCCAACGATACCAAAATCTGTCTCTACCAATACACCAACATCAATGCGACGTTAGAATCCGGCGGGGAGAATAACTGTAACGGCGTGATCAGCTCGGCGTGCGTTGATCACTTGGTCAACGCACTGGGCGAGCTAAATGGTGGCGAATGTCCCAGTGAAAATACCGGGACGACGTCCGATGCGTTCAACAAAGCGTGCCCCATGTTATACGGCGATTATGCGTTCAGTATGGCTCTCCCTCCCTCATTCATAGTCATTCCCTGTTCTCGCTATTTACATGTCTCCCACACAAGTGGACATTATTTTTGATCTGGCATTTATGGCTTGTGTGCCTCTAGCTAATAAGTTTGCACAGGCTCCAAGCCCCTCGACGTAACCAACGACACGTGCGCTTACACTGACATGCCCGAGGTGCAGATACCAGACGGCTACAGCACGTTCGGGACGATCATGGGCCTTGAGCCCTTCAAGACCACCCGCGTAAGCGCCGATGCAAATCAGGCGTATGACATCTTGACACGCCAGACGATTCGTGGACCCTGAATCGAATTTGGTGCAAAGCAGCGTCGAGTTTGTGTGCATGACTGCGAATAAGACGGTGGAGGGGAGCCGTGTGCCGGAGAAAGAGAAGCCGTGGGAGAGTGCTGGGGCTGAAGTGAGCGCTAGGATGGTGGGATGGGCGGCTGCTGTGGTGACGGCGGCGATGCTTGGGTTGTAAGACTGAGCTTTGAAGACAGCAAGGATGTCAAGTCCTGGGATGATGGACGTCTAGATCTTTGATCGATATACCTCATGCGGAGTGAGTAAAGCGGCTTCACTGCCTCTCACGAGGAATGAAGCATGCATGTAAAGCTGTCATCGCAGGCACTCGTGCACTACTAAACTCTTCTGAGCTCCTCTTTATCCCTATGACCTTTCAGATCTGTTCCACCTTTCTCTCCCCTTGATACCGCCAAGGCGTCTTCATAAACCTCTTCGGCTCCTCCCTCGCCCCCTCCTTCCAATACTCATACTCAATCCACGCATCCTCCACCATCTGTTCATCCATAGCAGCTAGCCACCTTCCCAGCTCCGGGGCCAACGGCACGACCCCCGTCTCTAGCACGTACTGCTCCCACAGCTGCATCAACTCCTCAAACACGGCCTTGTACTCTTCTTTTCCAGCGAGGTCGAACACCTCGCCCGGGTCTGACTTGAGATTGTACAGCTGCCACGTTTCTGTCCCGCGAGGCTTGGGGATGAAAACAATTTTGAAGTCGCCCTTGCGGACGGCGGCGCGTCCGCAGGTCTCCCAGCCTTGGATGAAGTCGGCTTCGTGGATGGATGGGGTGGTGCCCCGGATGAAGGGCATCATGGATTTACCGCGCATCGAGACGATTTCTCGACCACGGTATTGCGGCGCTGGGTGCGATGCGCCAGCCATATCAAGGATTGTCGGCATGATGTCCATGATAGTCGCGAAGTTGTCGGTGATGCTGTTGACTTTACTTGCGTCGAGGGTGTCGGTGGGAAATCTAGCGAGGAAGGGAACGCGGACGCCACCTTCTGTGGTATAGGCTTTGTATCTGTACATCATTAACAGGATGATGACAGGGAATGTTCGTAGGTCATACAATCTACTCGGCGCAGTAGCGGCCTGTGCCCAGCGCGGGCCGTACCAAATGAAGCTATTCCCATTTCCCAAGTTCTCATAGCTATTGTCGTAGTATTTCTGCAGATGCCCCATCATCTGGCCTTGGACAATGGGATAGCTTTCGTATGCGGCGCCCTCCGCTCCATTGTCGCTCATAAAGCACACAAAAGTGTTGTCTAGCTCGCCAGTCTCCTCAAGATGATCGAGTACGCGACCGACGTTGTAGTCAATGCACGACACCATCCCCGCAAAGCATTCCATAGCGCGGCTAGACATCTTGCGCTCAAACTCCGACATCTCATACCACGCCTTGACTTCGTCTGCGACAACTGGGTGCGGCGTTACATCCTCTTTGATCATGCCCAGCTCCTTCAACTTCTTCAACCTCTTCTCGCGGAGCACGTCCGGCCCCTCATCATATACGCCTCGATACTTATCTATGAATTCTTTCGGCGCCTGGAGTGGCCAGTGTGGTGCGGTAAATGGAAGATACGCAAAGAATGGTTTTTCATCGTTTGGGTTTTCAGCGCGCCATTCCTTGAGGTACGAGATAAGCTTGTCACCGTAGCCATTGCTAGAGTACCAGCCATCCGTGAGTTTGCGCACGTACTCGCCATTCTCGGAGTGCAGCGCGATGAATGACATCGTCATGAAGTCGGGGATTTTGTCCCCTGCGGCTTTTTCAAGCTGAGGCTCGTAGGCATAGTGATTGCTACCTAAGGGGAATTTAGTAAGTTGAATGGCCATGTAGTCACTCATTTCAGGTCAAGGCATGGAAGGTTGAATCCACAGGGATATTTTGGAACAATTGAGCTTCGTGGGTGAATATGAAGCTTTTAGCGGTAGTAGAAAGGCAGTGCGAAAAACATGATCATGCAATTGTAAAAAAGGAACGCAAGACGTACAGGCAGGTAAATGCGCAAAAGATTTATCGAACCCTCGTACTTTCGGCGAACGATCAGGCGTGAGTCCCAAATGCCACTTTCCCGATATGAGAGTTGCGTAGCCGTTATCCTGCAGAACCTCGCTCACTGCTCGCGACATTAGCTTTATACGACGTTAGGAATTGCTCCGAGGATTGGTTTCAAAACCTGTGTGAACGATGACACGACCCCCAGATACTCCATGGTATGTTTGCAAAGAGTTAAGTCATGTGAGAAAACATACCAGCGACAACACGTTCATTCAGATACCCTTCATATCCCGGCATCCCTCTCTGAGGGGCAGTCGACATCTTGCCACTCGGATCGTTCTGGCCGGAGATATTGGTCCACTCGATGAGGTTGCCTAGGCCGGCTATATGATGGTCTGTGCCGGTCATGAGCATGGCTCGGGAGGGTGAGCATGCTGCTGCGGCGTGGAAGTCGGTGAAGCGGATGCCTTTTTGGGCGAGCTAAGCGGATTAGCTATTCAGCATCTTTTCAGTGCAGAGAACAAATTCACTCAAAGAGCTTGAGTAGTAATACAAGTAAGATTGTGTACCTTATCGAGATGTGGTGTTTCGATCTCCCCGCCGAAGCATCCGATGTCGCTGAACCCCAGGTCGTCTGCTAGGATGATGAGGAAATTTGGGCGCTTCTTTTCTGCCATGGTCATCGATAAGCGTACTTATGAAAATATTTCCAGAACTCTGCTCTGGCACTCGCGTGGGAGGTCTATGCGGGCTGTGCGTTGCTATCTGTGGTAGAGGTGAGGTTGGCGTGATCGAATCAAGAATGCGCGCGGCCGACTCCCGTCGCGTACTTCCCCTCTTCTCGCTCTATTGCTTAGCGCGAGGCAATCTTGCCGACGCCGAGTATCTGTAACGTGCGAGACGCGGAGCCCTGAAAGACCTCGTCCTCGGGGTCGTCGACGGAGCTTTCGCCCGGCTGCACTAGGAGGAGCGGAAATGAAGCTGGCGGGAACAGAGCAGGTCAGGTTCGGACGACAGGCACGAAATGAGGCTCGCACTCCGATTTGTATCTCGCAGCGATGTAATGGGGAATGTTTCGAGTGCGCCAATCACGGTGCTCGCCGTCCGACGTCCGCCGTCGACGGACGTTCCTGTGCAGTATCCATGCTAGTGCCCTGCAGATCTCCCCGCATTGTACTAGGGTCGCTCAAAAGGTCTACACAACCGTCATAACCAACGTTGACTCTTATGCAGGGCCAAGATTGCGTGATGCACTCTTTCAGCGTCCAGGATGGATGCGTGTAGGACCCGTGCGGTGGTTTAAGATAGGTTGCGGTCGCCACCGACGCTTGTGGGTACTCAGTCACGCGTGAACGCACGACATGCAACCAATCGACGCTGGGAAACGTGCGGGCATACTGGCTGGGGACCGTGGTCTACGTAGGAGGCTTCCTCTTCGGCTATCACTCGGGAATGTGAGTGTCCCTCATTGCTGCGGCTCAGGTTGGTGGGTAGGGTGCGCTTTTGGTGAGCGGCGAGGCAGCGCCTGCCGTGGGGGAAATTTCGCGGTCGCTTTCTCCAACCGCTATCAACGCCCACGGCCCTCACCACAACCACCACCATCATTGCATGCCCTTGCTGGCCCACGATCGCTAGCGTCGGTACGGGTCGCCACGGAAGACGCCCTCGGCGTAGCTAACAGCTTCGCGTAGGCGGCGTGCTGACCCTGCAGTCATTTGTGACCTCCTTCCGGGTACGATACAGCCCACAAGACTCGCGTCAACAGCCTTCGCTGCAGCAACTGGGAGCCTTCCTCGCTTGCTTCGTGGCCTGGCCTGTTACGAACCGGTATGGCCGTCATAAAACACTCGCGCTGGCCTCGGCTATCTTTGTTGTCGGCGCGGATATTCAAACGATCGACACCCACGCAATGGGCGCGTTCTACCCCGGACGCGTCATTGCGGGCGTTGGCCTCGGTGCAGCAACCGTCGTGAACCTCATATACAGCTCGGAGATGACCGCGAAGCACTTGCGCGGACAGATCGGTTCATTATTCCAGTCGAATTCCACCATGTGAGTCGCGCCTTCTCCCCCTGCATGAGGCAAGCGTCAATCACCAACCTCGCGGCACAACGAAGCTAACACACGACCAGCGGCATTTCCATGTCGTACTTGGTCGACTATGACCTTTTCAAAGGCATCTCTGCCCAAGGAGTCAATGCAATGGCAGATCCCCATCGGGCTGCAGATCGTCCCCGCTGCGCTCCTTGGTCTTAGCATGCTCACGCTCAAGGAATCCACTCGATGGCTCACTCAGAAGGACAGACACGAAGAGGCCTAGGAGAGCTTGAAGTGGGTACGCGCAAGCGACTCCGCTGAAGTAGCGGCCGAGATGGAAGGGCCAGCATTGGCGTCAAAATCGAGGCACGTGAGACGGAAGGCTTTCAGGTCAGAGGTACCGCATCAACACCGATAGTGAGCGCGCACATAGGCTGATTCGCGAAACTGGAGCTCCTTGAGGGTTCCAACTTCAAACGCATATTTATAGCCTTCGCCGTCTTCGCCGCCGAACAAGCTACCGGGGCCACTGCTTTCGCCTATTTTAGTCCACAATACTTCAAGCTGCTCGTGGGGATCTCCTGTTAACGGCTGTTTTCGGCTGTCAAGGTTGTGGCATGTTCAACTTTCGTCTTATTTCTCTCGGAACGAGTCGGTCGCCGACAGGTGCTCATATGGGGCGCCGTCTTCATAGCCGCATGCCAGATCAGCTACGCCGCCGTGATTGGAATTACCCCAGCACCCTCGAACGGCAACACCACACCAAGCGGGATCGCGACGGTCGCCTTGATATATCTCTTTCTCATCGCATACAACTTCAACTGGGGTCCCCTTCCTTGGCCGTACATCTCAGAGATCTTCCCGACACAGCTCCGAAGACCTGGAGTAGCCGTTGGAGTGTCTTCTCAATGGCTCTTCAATTTCATTTTCTCTCTCGCCACCCCATATATGATAAGATATGGGATGGGGCACTTTCCTCCTCTGGGGTCTTGCGAATGCCTGCGTTGCCTTCGGTACCTTCGCATTTCTGAAGGAGACAAAGGGTCTGTCGCTCGAAGAGATCATACACGACGACTACGGCCGCGCAAGTAAATTTGAAGATGTGGAGGGATAGTTCACTCATCCTATTCATGCGAAACGCCCTGGAGAGGATTGGCAACGTTTTCCTTTCTCAAACAATCTTCGATTTCCGGAAGCGCGCAACTTCCGGGTGTACATATCAAGCCGACATAATCAGAAGCATCGTTCTGTTTACATGTCGCAGATAGCGCATGTGATGGTGTCTGCAACTCTCTAAACGATCTCATCAACTGTATCAAGTCATGCCACTAATTACTTACGATAGATATTACTGAGCCTGGACGCGAGTTTCCTAAGAATCCCAAACCCGGAAACAGAGGCATTGTCATGCCTCCTGGTCCAAGAATCTGCTTCGATCATAGACATTTGACTCTTTACATGAGGATCAACTAGGAAAAGCCGAGTGTGGACATTTTCTTCATGACTGGGTAAGTTTTCGAATACTTGTCCTCGCACCGGGCCCTCCAGATACACGAGGCGAGCAGACGTCTTGAATTGAAAGCAATACGCTCAAGCCTTTTAATAGTCATGTCAGCCACGAGTAGTCTATCAAAAAGGTACTAACCTCTTACGTGAGTGCCAGGGCTACTATCCCTCGATTGCTGCCAGGGCCGGCCAAGGTCTGCTGTAAGACCAGATCCGAGAACTTATGGAAGCATTCGACTCTACAGGAGATGTGTCTGGCTTCTGTAAGTTCCATGTAATCAGCTGTTAAAGCTACTTATCCCTCTCGTTTGCATCGCTCGCATATGAATCATTCTTTTGTCTCATCCCATTCGACTTCTTCGCGATTTGCAACCACACCGGACTCAACTCCCGTTCTATCAACTCTCACCCCAAGACCCAGCAACACACCTCCCGAAGTAAGCGACCTCTACCCTCCGACCTGTCTGTGAGCAGGTGACGCACTTCTCCCGCGCAACACGGCTGCATGACACATGTCTCCACGAACCTCTCAACACCTCGCCGTTCATGAAAGACAGTCATGCGCCCTCTGCTACGCGGAAGCGGTGTTCTACCCTACCCTCTGGATCTGGTTTCGCTGGGTACTTGTGTGCACCCTATGGCTGCAGGAGATTGTGTTCGTTGGTTGGTTTCCTACGGATTCAAGGTGGTATTCTGGCGCTGTGGATCTCAGACGAGTCGTCTGGTGTTGGATGATTGTCATGCCGTTGCGCTAGACTCGTCTGAAAGTGCTGGGTGCTGCCTCCAAGCTGCTCGCGCGGTGCGCGGTGTTGGGTGTTTGTTGTGCCTTGCGTACGACTCGCCTTAAATTCATATCCTTTCCTTGAGGCAGACTGAGAGATTCGATGAATGAGGAGGAGGGTTGTGGTGTGTGATACGATTGTGAGAGGCGATGAGATGTACGACGAGGAAGGTGGCACCCTGTCATATCTTGTTGATCTGAGGTTTTTTGAGTGGAAAGATGCTAACTCGAAACATTGAAGCTATTGTTCGATCGGCTTCTAACCTGGTTGCTGAAGATGGGAGAAAGCGCTGCCCCAGGTGGCTGTTGTAAATGCTAGCACTGCAATGCGCGCTATGGCTCGTCCGATAAGTGGCAACGGATGCGTGCATCTCCGCTTCCGGTGACACGTAGCAAAATCTCATCTCCGCAATGGACGGGCCGGACCATCCATAACTTCGATCGCTCCCGGCTGGCTTCCGTAGATTCCCATATTATTATGGTCCTGCGCCGGCGAACTAGACACTGGCTTGTTGACAGTGCTTGGACAATGCGGCAAACCGGAGGATCTTAACTTCTCGTCGTTCGAGATAAATCTTGTGCTACTCAAGACAATCTGGTCCTGAAGTGTCATTTTCGCCGTTCTCTTCAGCACATTGTCTGTTCCTGGATTTGTCAGCACAAATTCAAGATGCAGATGAATAAAATTCCGCGGAGAAGATCAGTCCATCAGTTCGAGTGATTGAGATCATTGCCGCACCGGGCTACGTTGAAAGTTTTTAACTATCGTCATGGGAAAGAAACGAAACACAAGGAGGCATGGGACGACTTACGTCTGGAGTGTTGTCTGCAAGTATACGTTTCTGCACCTGTCAGCGTAAGTCCCAAACTCCAAAGGATACGGAATCATGAAGAAAACCAGATCATCACATAAATTGAGATCTTTCTTGTCCACACGGGTCATGTCGGACAAAATTTGTCGTAACGGGACAGCACAGAAACTTTGAAAGCGTGTGGAGCGACTTACAATTGTTTGTAAGACCAGTGCAACGGGCTTTAAAGGTCTGCATCGTATTCGACCCTAGGACTGTCAGCACGAACTCGGAATACCGAAGACGATGCAGCCGTGGAGATGGTCGGTCCATCAGTCCAAGTGATAAATAGAATTGCCCATACAGGGTTATTCATGACGGAATGAATCGTCATGGGAAAGAAAAGAAAATTCGGAAGCGCATGGGGTGGCTTACTTCTGTGGCCGTGTCCATAACGCCGATTATCCTAGGTCTCAAGGAGCACTATCCGTGTCCAGGCCTTCTCATGCGAGTACTACCTCCTAAATCCCAGATGGGCGAGACAGCTTCCTCGATTCGGCAAGTGAGGATCCACTTCTTTCGCGATGCCAGATGGCATATGCAGCAACTAGGATCTCCAATTAGCGGGTACAACACGCAGCACCGAACAAACAACACGAAAACTCGGTACAATCAGGCAGCGAAGGTTCCATCATGAACTACATCGGAACACACATGCGGCTTGCGCCACCGAAGTTATGTCATCACTGTAAAGAAACAGAACGGGGGTACGGGAAGAAACTGACCTCGCTGGACCTCAAGGTCGCGTTTGGACCCATGTCTCCTGTGGCTGGCAGCGATTCCGCTGGCCCACATAAGAATTGCGATTCGAGGAAGAACTTCGGGCCTATGAGGGATAAAACCAATATCTCGTTGCCGGCGGAGAATGCTTGTCGACAATCTGCGCTGCTCTAGGTCGCGGTCTCTACAACATCAATGCTACCATCGGTACAGCATCTCATACCTCGCTTCGAATATGGTCGCGGTGTTCCTGACCGTACAACAACGTCTGTCGCCCTGATAGACGTCTACGAATGAGTCTATGGGCAGCTGGCTGATGGCTCGTCTTGCTCTTCAGCCCTGGGCTTTCTAGCCTACAGTATCAATCAGTCGCTGAGCGTCCCGGCCCAAGTCTCAGTTACTCGCGCCAATCCATCTGAGAGTGCGGTCGTCCTACTCGCCCGGTTCTTTGGCGTCGTGCCATCGGTCGGCATATCGCCCCAATCGATTTGCGGAGGTCTCGAGTGACCCAAGCCTCGTCTTCTTGTTATTATTGTTCTTCTTGTGCGACAACATGCGACAAAATGATACTTGCCGGTGCAGACAGGGCTCATCCTCCAGAAGTCCATCCTTCTGTATATCTTTTTGTTTCAAGCTTGGGCTCGGGGTAGCTTCTCAACGAAACGATTCCGTCGGCCCGTACGCGGAACTTTCGGCGATTATGGAAATATTGTGTTAAGGAGACATGAATCCTGTCGTACCTGCAAAGGAGTCAGCGGGCTCCTAGCTTGTGCGGACATTTGGTCAATTGGATGCTTACCTCTACCCTCGAAACTGCGGCGAGTGCCAAATGTGGAAAACTCCTTGGAATGGTCACTCTCTACCCCCGTGATCTGTGAGACATATTCGCGGCCGCCTGCTGCTGGAAGTGTCGAAGAACTCACCAAAAAGCACCTCCACTGGCTTAAAAGTTACTGATATGCGCGAATGCTGAGCGCTGGGCTGCGTAGACCTGAGAGGACACTTACAAGTCGCGTTCTCGAGCTTCGTCTGCGTCGTTTAGATGCGGGCGCGGTGGCTTGTCAGACTCGTACAGCAAGCAACGCTTATGCAAGCTGGTGATGGTGGCATTTAATCGCTGCTACTCTGTTGTTGCCGTTAGTCAAGTTGGTTGTGAGCTTTCATGAGAACCACGGAGGTATTTCTACCATCGAAGCTTCGCCGACGGGAACAGGTCTCGAGATCGCTCCTCTAGGGACCCACTGAGAACAACAACTGCTGCGCGGCATTGGGCTGAGGTCCCTGAGCGACCTGAGGTTCTCGTTTGTGTGGAAGAATTCTGTGGACGCCATACTCCACATGGTACAAATTGACCCCTGCGGGAATGCTGGGGCGGCCGTAAACAGAACCTGGGGTGTAAGCCAAAGGCGAGCAGACCAGGATCAGAATAGGAGATCATTGGTTCATGCGAAGGCCCTTTAGTATTCTCGCACTGTGTTGCTCGTGTCGGTATTGCGATCCAGTGGTCGGGCGACCGCTGTTGTTGACCTGCTACGGGTAGCGACGTCGCAATATCCTTGGAAGCATGTCAGTTGCTTACTTGCCCCTCAAGTACCTTGATCTGACGTTTCCGGTCATGTTGCGGTTATTCTGCTGTCCTTCGCTCGTCTTTGGTATGTCTGGCACGGTGGGGTGACTAGGAGAGACGGAGCGCGCTTGGTGTGAGCAAACCGGTCCTCCTTCACGGGCTGTGCCTTACTAAAGGGCTCGCAAGTGCATCATTCGGCATCGCTGCGCTGTAGAAGTAATAAGAGTATCGGGTCTGCACGCACGGTGTCGAAATGTAGCGTGTGAGTGCGGCGATGCGGGCGGCGGGGGCAGAGAGAAAAGGAAGAAGCGGAAAACACGTACTCGACAAAGGCAGAAATACGCAGCGTTCCATCCCTGACCCATGGACAACCTGAAGACTCGAAAAAACGCTGTTGTTGTGGGTGTCGAATCGTTTGGTTGGGCAATCGAGGTCGTCGTGGTGATGGTGGTGTAGACGAGGCGGAGACGTAAAGGCGAACGCAGTCTGGCCGGTCAGCCACACAGCAAAATTGCAGGCGCCGGCGCTGGCGCAGCACGACTCGTCGGATCCAAGCTTATGTTTGCAAGGCCATTTGAATCCATGATGCCATCCGCCTAAGGTGTGCGGCGGCCTGACGGCTTGAAGTCGAGATGCTATGGCGTCAATTCGCCGTGTTTGCTCCGTAGGCGCCGATGCAAGCACCCTAGCCGGCTTTGCTTCTTGTACAAGCACATATAGGGCACTTCTGATTGCTAGGCACAGGCACAGAGCCGCCTTCACTATGCATACTCTAGCCGCGGACATTCCTGTCCGCATCACGTACTACAAATTAGCGTCAACAGGACCACGCGGAGCTCAGCAACGTATTGACCAGGAAATTTACGAGCGCTTGACAGCATATTATCGAGAGTGCACCTTTACCTCCAGGACTTCGGATAAGCCCTCGTATATTGACCACCTTGAGGTAACCTGAGCCCTAGAGCATGAGTATGCCCACGGCGTGGCATGGACAGCCGTCTCCTGTTATATTCGAGGCTATTGTTTTCCACCAAGCTCCAGTGCTGCGATACAAGATGAGGTACCTCACGATAAGCTGGGATTTCAGTCACAATTGCGCCTCGTGATGCTAGAGAAGCTTCGACAAGCATACAATCCAGGTCGATCTGGCTCGGCTACATTTGATTGAGCTAAATGAAGAACTCAAATTCATGACCTGTCAAACTCGCGGCCTCCTTGGATGTCACGGATCAGAGCCATCATCGTCTTCCGTCCATTCATTTTATATTACACTGCTCCATCAATGAGCGCCTCTCTACAAGCTCCCACATACCATCCGAAGAGCGTACTTCGATATCGCCAATCTGGACACGAAGGCTCATTCCCTCTCCCACAACAAAGTGCCCAGGTTCTCCTTAATCTCCTTCCATGCTCTTGGGGCCATGTCCTCTAGTCACTTTCCTCCACCAACTCTGGCAACAGTGCATTGTTTGCAAGCCGGCCAGAAGCTTTTGGTTCAATACTGGTCTCTCCCTGCGCTGTTCTTAGGTTGTAGCCGCGGTTCAAATACGCATGTCCAAATTGTCTTGATAACGTACTTGCTTGGGATCGGCGGGGCGCTCCTTCTCTTTATGAGCCCGATAGTCTGAAGCGGTATCTACAATTTCTTCAAAGAAGCACTGCACTCCGGAGGGGTCTAGGGTGATTCAGTCTTCGGCGAAGGTGTTGGCTCCGGGATTGACACCTGGTGACGCAACGGAGAACTGTAATGAAAACCATGTTTTTCTCATGCTTCGCCGTCATTGTCGAAGGCTTATATCTTTTCACATGGAAGACACCATACTGGAATCTATAAGAAAGAGCGATAGCGCTGTCTGTGGAAGCTGCCCCATACGGCGTACATGATGCAGAGTCTACGGTTATGCCGGACGTCATTCTGGCAAGCCCAGGGTCTATCATGCATCTGGTATTTGTATCCATATTCAAGAGAACGGTCATTTGGTAAAGCCTCAAGATTTCACCGTCTATGATAGCAGCGCGCTTGTTCTGCCGTAGACTGTCTGAATTCAAGAGTACAGGTCTGAGGCCAGCGCCATCATGTTCCTGTAACCACCCTGATAATACTGGCTCATCAAATCCTTTGCCCTATCCTCCATGTCTTCGATGCGCAATCCCGCAAACTCGAGATCATCCACCCGGACACGGAGCTGTCTCAAATCGCGCTCCAGCCGTGCTCTAAGTGTGTCAAAGAAATGTTCCCATACGGCTGCTTCCAGGCTCACCACTACCCTTGGTCCTCCCCACCGCTCTATCTCTTCGTAGACAGCGTTACAAATTACCCGAAGCGATATCTCTTGGCGAAACTCGGAGTTGTTGTTGCAGAACGAAGGCGGAGAATTGAGAAGGCCGGCTTTGATCCGATTTAGGTGTGTTCCAAGCGGTCTACTTCTATGGCCTTCCCTGCGGGAATTGAACTTATTGCTGAAATAGTTTGCTGCGCAGGAAATTGTCTCTTTGAAGCCCATTTGACGAGCGGAAGGGTCGAGAATCATGCCAGGGTCTTTGAAAGGCTCGAATCCTATCGCCGCCACGGGCAAGAAGGACGGTGCGACGAAGAAGATAGAGTGTACTGGGAAGTTGTTCAGAGTACCCGTGTTCGTGGACCTTGTAATGACTTGAGGATTGACGTAGATGTCGTATTCGCGGACCCGGATATCGCAATCTTTGAGACGCTCGTTAGCTTACTGTCGTCGCAGGAAGAGGGTAGCATACCGCTACTCAAATAAACCAACAAGGGTGTGCTGAGGATTACAGAATGGACGCATTGGCCGAAGTATAGGGCCTGCAGCTTGGTCGTGTTGTCCACTCCGGCATCACAAAACGGGTTTTGGGCTGCAGGTGCACTAGGGCGCTCATACGTGAGATTGTGCACGCCTTTAGCATACTCGCCCTTGATGAACCTGTGGTTGAACATGACCTCTCGCTCGGTGGAGAACAAAAGATTGACGACTTCAGCGATCCGAGAGAGAAATTGCAGCCATTGCTTCGCGCGGCCTTTATCTCCACAACTCCGGAGCGCCTCAATGATCCCCGTTGGGGTAGGTGTGACCGGCATTTCGGCGAGAACGATTGGATCAAGGAGAAGTATCTTGGTTGTTCTATCAATTAGAGTACAGAATTCGAAAGTTCGAAGTGGGTTACACCATAATGTGAGGTCGCGAAGCCCTTCCGAGGTGAAGTCAACCGCAGTGGCGCCTAACGCAGATACGCTCCCCAGCGACAGACGCACTACTAGCGCGACTTCCTTTTGCTCTCGCCATACATATATTTTCCTGCTGTTTCCACTTCCACACCGCGTACTTCTCCTTCGCCATGGCGTCGCATGCCACAATCCCCGAGCAGCTCGCTATCAATAGCGTCTGCACCCTCGTCTACCAATTGTTCCTCATTTCCGCCTCCGCCGCGCAACGCTACGATATCTACGACATCAGAGCGCTCGCCGATAAGGAGGAATCCCAGTTCTTGCTGACGCTCCGTCACTACAAGCTCGGCGCGGCATACCGCCTTCCTGACGTCGCTCCGAACATCAAGCAGGCAATAATCCTGCATAATTTCTGCAACTACAGCTAGATCATCATGAAAGATCTGCTCGCCGACCTTCTTTGCATCGGTAAGTAGCCTCGCAGGCTCTGAATAGAAGTCGCTTGACAACCCCTATTTCGCGCTATCTCAGAAAAGAGACGTACGAGATTGGGACGCTCAGACGGCTGCCACATAGACAAAAGGTGCTGCTAGACAGCGATTTGCTTTAATCTAAAACATCCACTTAATCCTACTATCCGAGTGGGCGTATTTGATGTTCTGCGGAAACCACGTCTCCAAATTCACGTGCAAAGCAAACAATGCTTCTCCCACACCATCATGTGCATCACAACGGCACAAGGCTGCTTTATTCTCGACTTGACGGGGGAGCAATTCGGCTTCGAGAACGCTCTCTTGCTTCCTGAGAATGAGTACCTCGAGCTATATACTATGGACAAGAAGACTTATTGCGTCGGAGAAGTTGAGTCGTTATGCGTGTACTCAGTGTCTAAAGGAAATGAGTGGTGGCACCAAGCGCAAAGAGACTTGGAGAGGCTGGAGAGGGAATGGAGGGCAAGTTTTCCCGTGGTCAGATCCAACTGGAGGGCCTAGTGTCAGAATTGGAGAGGGGTTTCTTGAGAGGACGCTTGAGGGAGATGGTGTACTGGGGGATCCGAGATCGTGAGGATCAAAGGTATCGTGGCTCGTATGTCGCTTACAGTGAGTGACAATGAAGAGAGAGTTATGATAGCAACATTTGAAGTGAAGTTTTCAATTCGAAAATACCGTGTTGCGCTTTTTGAGGCCCAAATACTGTCGTGCGGGCAACCGCGCTCGCGTAGCCTACTAATCGCCACGCACTTTTTTGTGCGTTTGAGCTCGATTATGCTGACCTCGTTCACCTAACTCACAGCGGATAGCTTGCTTCAGAGCCCCGCTCCGTCCATTTTATCACTATCACTCCCACACATCTTGTTTTTATGTCCACCAACAGACCTTATAGGGGCATATATATTATCCAATTGCAATTGGGGGTACCTCTGACCGTGCGCTGGGTCATGTCTTAGTCTATGTAGTTGTTAGGTGGTTGCTGAGCGTTCCACATCGCAGTAGGTAGTTGTTCACTTGTGAGGTGTGCTAACAGTTCCATTCGCAAGAGAGACGTAGGACCTGGTCAGTTTTCGAACTCTTTTTGTCGCTGCAAGTTTGCACCACCTGAGTCAATCAAATCCTGAGACAGCCCATTTCGTGTTGGCTACCTAGGTATCTGTCCGTTGTTTACTTCACTGCGACCCCGCCATGACTGGCTGATGTGCACACGGCAGGCACCCCCGAGCGCCCCAAATTATTTTTCACGAAGGACTACATGCCAGTAATGATTGTGTTGTGCCCAATCTCTGTTCTTCTTGCTTGTCCAAGCCTAAGTATATCATGGCAGTAACCACGCACATCACCCTGCCAACATCCATCACGGTCGTTTCATTACCTAGCATCAAGATCTTACGGCACAAAATTATCTTTATATGGCGGTGCTGTTGCATAGACAAGATACCAGAAAGCAAGCTCTAGACTCTACCGCTGGTCCGTTTATGTCGCATCAAGCGGCCATCGGCTGTCCCAACTTCTCCAATATCACACACCTTACGCCGACCCTGTTCTAGCATAGTCAGCATAGCACTTTGTCACACGGTGGGATGAGTACAGCTACGCGAGGAATTCCGAGAACGGAAAGCAATTTTAAGGGCGGTGACATTGCCTTGAACACACGTGTAACTGCAAAGTACCAACTCTTCGCTATGCCTTCCCTTCAGCCTTCTCACGTGCCAACCTCCTCCAATTCTTGGGATATCCCCGACTGATTCTCCATTCCTCACCCTCTTTCATGACCCGCTGATACTGGTCGAATCTCCATCCTCCAGCATTCTCGTCCAGATGGCCGATCGCACCACCAAAAGCCCACGAGAAAGTACCTTCCGCCCTTGCCCCATCCGAGGCTTCAAGAACGCCAAGCGCAACGTCTACCATGAAATTCCTCTCATCCCAGGCATAGAAGACGCAGGCCGAGCAATTGCTGCAGAAGTAACGCTGAGCGTCAGAGGAAGACGCAAAGTAAGTGAGCGATCCTACGGAGGGGTCTTTGGCGTCGACCAGCGCTCTGAGGGCATCACTTGAGTCCGGAAAACCTGGCACCTTGTTGGGGAAATGTATGTCCTTTAGCTCGGCAAAGGCCCAGTTCCAAACATCTACTCCTCCAAACAAGCGACACGACTCGCACGCACAAAAACCCGCCAGCGCCTTGTGTGTTTTAGGATCGACAAACCAGGGCAGGTCCTCATCCTTTACCCCGTCGTAGCTAGGTGGTTCCCAGAGCAGATTGACGCCACCGCACCTGCACCAGATGTGTACCGGGTCTTTGGTCTTTGCCTCGTAGCCTGTCAATTTGTCGTGCGAAGGCCAGTCGTACGGTATAGCCTCAGCAAGTTGACCGTTCTCATCTTCCGCACGCCCTTTGTAGCGTTTAGCTTCGGTGCCATCTGCGTTGGGCTTGCGCAGCCACATCGATGCGCCTCCGTCTCCGGTATCGCCAACGAAGATATGCTCTGTGGTCTTGACGAGATCACTGGATACATTCTTCAATGTGCCTGTAAACACTCCAAGTTTTTTGTTCAGGTCTTGTGTGTTTGCGAAGAACAATGGCGTCGAGCAAGTGGGGCAGAAGAGGATATCGTATTTGGGCGAGAAGTTGTAGGCTTTGAGGCTGGAAACATCGACGTTGGCTCGTTCTTCAGGCCAAGGGGAATCTTGAGTGTACATCGCACCTGTCGCATGACGACAAGAGTCGCAGTGACATGCCCATCCTTCCAAAGGGAGATTCGACTTTGGGACCTGAGTTGTGAAGGTGTTGGCCTTGCAGAGACAATTCGCGGTCAGTGTAACGAGATCTTTGCTGGGAGCCATGTTGGATGTGAAGACTGGACAATCTAGTGAAAGGCTGGCATCGGGGACGCTGTCAGATTATAAATCGAACCAGGCAGCAAGATACCCTGGCGCGCCTTGTTGTCGTGAAGATCATCGCGCTTCGCCTGATAAGGTATCGACGACCGCAATTGGCGGGAACATTGCGGGGTTTCTCGTATTCGAATTGGCGAAGAACGCGAAAACACGTGAACACCTGTCGAGGCCCCACCTAGAACAGATTAACGTTCCTATTTCCATTTGCGCTCGCACGCAGCAACCAACCATCACTTTATCCGACAACACGTTCATATGCCTCGCTCAAAAGCCTGCCGCGATCATGCCAAGACCCACCCTCGTAGCGCAGACCGCGAAGAGACTTGAACATTGAGAAGACTGACGAGAAAAGGAAACTCCCGTCATCTGCCCTTACGACACCAAGGGTCCTATTGCGGAGCCGCCTCCACCAATGGAGTTCTGGGCGCACAGTTACAACATTCGTCCTGAGAATTGTTTCTTTGTTATGTATCACTGTCCTGGGACTCGAGCTCAAAGCCAAAAGCACCGCACGCGGCGAAAATTCCAGATTGAGCCTCAGACAAGCCGACCTTGACGAATAGTGGCACAAGTGCTTCAATATATGCCTACGTGGTCATGAGTACTTCCAGTGCTGCCGGGACTGAGCTTCCGCAGTCCAGCTCGAGCGAATGTGAACAATCTATCCCAAGCGATGATACGCGATCCAGCTCAAACCCGGTCACTCAAGTTAATTCGATTGAACAACCTTCTGAGTCCGCTGAGAGCGACCCTTCGACTGTGACATTTTCGAGCACTTCTAGATCTATAATTCCCAGCACCAATAGCACAACTCTAGACCCACAATCAGAGACCAAAATTGCACTTGGTTCATATTCGAATAGCTTAAAATCTCTCGATCACAATTTCCCCGTGCTCAGATGATTCCAACTTAAGCTCAAGCAGTGATATAGCTACTCCTACCTCGTCTCGGACCCTGCCGTGCGACGTCTCTCAAGAAAATGAATCGTTGAGAGCGACTCTTCCATCTAGTTCATCTACTTTCTCTTTGGAGACAATAAGCTCGGCAAGCGTGGAGACAACAAGTCCCGCAACCATCCAGACATTGAGTCCGGCAAATTTAGATATAACAGGTTCGCCGAACACAGAGATAGCCTCTTCGTCGAGCACGGGCACGGCAGACTCAGCGATGGCGGAGAACCCGAATTTTGGGAGTACAGAGACGACGTGTATAGCAGATATGGGAAGTGTAGTTGCGGCCGGATTATCCTCGACGTCTGAGAATGCTAAATCATCATCCATTGCAGAGCCCGCGAAGTCGTATCGGAAACAGTGTTTGTTTTTACTACCTCGATCGCTAATTTATTCGACTCTGTAGCTTCCCATTCACACAGTGTCGCTGCGCCACTAAGCGTATCTAGTATTCCGCCCAAATCGAGCTCTGCGCTTGCCAAATCTACGACTCCGTCTGCCAGCCTAAGCGTGGACCAATTCACCAAGCCAACCTCATCACAAACTTCAGGCACCACGCGAAGTTTTGGTGGCACCACACAGAATCTCAGCTTGAAATCCACAAGTCCGTCGAAAGTTGAGCCTTCAGTACTGGCTACCCAAGCGAAACTCAGAGCTCTTGAGCAGTACACCGCGATGTTATTTGAACATATACGGCGGCATTTCTTATCAGCTTTTATGCGCAGTGGCAAAGACCACCATTAATTAAGTTCGATCGGACCTACTCCGGCGTTCAAACCGCATGTTGAGTTCTGATGATATCCTCAAGTGCTGAAGCTGCAAGCTGAGCGCGCGCTAGAGTTTTCTCTCACGCGGTTTACGGCTGCTGATAACTCACAATCGAGCATTTCCTAACAGTGCGAACGTGATCGTTCAACGCGACGAGAGTGTATCACCCTTGATTGAACGTGACCACGGAAACTGCCCGCATGTTTACCCGCCATCTTCCGGTGCATCCGCTATCCAAATGCAGCCGACCATGGCACCTTAGGGTTGCACTGTCGCCCAATCTTTCTTTTCCCGTTATCACATTTATGTCTTAGAGTCCGTTCAGCACGACACAGTGAATGAGTTGTAGCTGATGGCAGCTTCGTGTGTGGCGATGAGACTGAACGAACATCCAATCAGATGCTGCATGTGCGTAGACGAACATTCCACACAGTATCACCGCATCAATATCTGAACGAAATACATCATCTACATTGGTTCATCATATATTTCTCTCGTGGACTAAAATAAGCATTGGGTCCGCAAGCTTACGAATGGACAATTTCATAGTAGTATGCCTCTCGCTGGTTTCATGAATGCAGGTTGCTGATCGTTCCCCTGCTCAGGCTAGCCATTTTCGTGCTAACTGGGATCGGTAATAACGTAGGCTAGTGTCAGCACTAATCTGCACCAGCACGATGGAAAGCTCCCGAGGTGCAGCCTTCAGGATGCAGCCTTTGTACTCTTCAGGGTGTTGATCCTGCCCTTTCCCCCCTTGCCACCTGGGGCATACGAGCACAGCCGCCCTGCAGCCCGACATCACAAAGGTCCGAGCACACAAGATATTCTCAGGCCCTATAAGAACAGAATGCCCGATAGGCACTTCGAACAGAATGTGACAGCCATGTTGCCCTTTGCGATTGCCGCTTCCGCATTGCTCGCGATTTGGTCTACGCCAGTGGCAGCTGAGTTGATCCGACACGATTCGTCTTGGTCTCCCGATACTACCCTCTACGCAACGGCAGCGAATATCACGATCGACTGCCAGTCGCGTCACTCGGTACTTCTCAATGGATCTTCTCCTGGACCAACGTTGTATCTAGAAGAGGGGAAAACGACATGGATAAGAGTGTACAACCAGATCCCTGACCAAAACGTAACCGTCGTACGAGTCTCTACCTTTTGAAACAAGCATTGGCTAATTGCGAAAGCACTGGCATGGTCTCTCCGCCAGAGTAGCACCATACTCCGACGGCAGTCCACAAGCGAGCCAATGGCCTATCGCACCTGGGCACTTCTTTGACTACGAGATCCACCCAGAAGTAGGAGAAGCCGGGACGTACTTCTACCATTCACATGTCGGCTTCCAAACAATCACTGCGGCAGGACCATTAATCGTAAAGTCCTGCGAACCAGAGCTGTACGAATACGATAAAGACATCATTATGTTCCAGCAGGACTACTACAATAAGACCGATGCTACGATTGAGAAGGGTCTGCTTGCGAATCCCTTTGTCTGGAGCGGAGAGACGACCGCGATATTGCTGAACGGACAAAGCGGTAAGGCGCAAACGGACAATGCTACCGACAGCAGTTGTCTACCACATATTATTGAGGTTGAACCGGATACAACGTATCGATTGAGGTTCATCGGTCAACAAGTCATCTCGCTGGTTACGCTAGGCATTGAGGGGCACGACAATCTAACTGTCATCGAAGCCGACGGATCAACTACTAAGAAGGCATATACCGACCATGTACAGGTCGCTCCAGGACAGCGCTTCTCTATTCTGTTCAAAACGAAGTCAGCCGAAGAGCTCAAGCGACTGAATCGTACAGACTTCTGGATACAATATGAGAACCGCGATCGACCTGCTAGTGTCTCTGGCTATGGACTGCTTCGGTACCATACTGAACAGAGTGGCTACTACCAAGACAACGTCACTGCCATCTTGTTGCCAGAAAAGAAGCCTCTCACCCTTCCAAAGGATGTCACAAACTGGCTCGAGTACACGCTCACCCCGTACGATACCTCGTCCAACCCATTTCCTCCCGCAAGCTCTGTCAACCGTACCATCGTCATCACAGTGCAGCAGAAAGTCAATGGGACAACACAGTGGGCACAGAACGGCAACATCTGGAAAGAGTCAAACATCACCTACCCATACCTCACCGAGATCTACAAGCGAGGCCAGTCCGCGATACCAAACTACGAAGCAGCGCTCGCCAACTACGGGTGGGACCCCAAAACGCTCGCATACCCGGCTAAGATCGGCGAGATCATAGACATCGTATGGGAGAACAACAACGGTCCAAGTGGTGGCTGGGACATCCACCCGTTTCACGCCCACGGTCGCCACTTTTGGGATCTCGGGTCTGGGAATGGGACATACGATGCGACAGCAAATAATGCGAAGCTGGAGAAGCTTTACAATGAGAGCGGCTGGACACCTGCTTTGAGGGATACCACGATGCAGTATCGATATGCGGAGAAGGGTGTGCCACATACCACAGCTGGGTGGCGGGCATGGAGAGTCAATGTCTCGGAGCCTGGTGTGTGGATGATGCATTGTCACATAATAGCTCATATGATTATGGGAATGCAAACGGCATGGGTCTTTGGAGATGAGGCTGATATCACGTCGAGGGCGCCTCAGCCATATGTGGCGGGATATTTGGACTTTGGGGGCAGCGCATATGGGAATGCTACGTATGATCCGTTGGTGAATCACTTCTTCGGGTAAAGGTTGAGCTGTAATAATGAAAGGATCAGGAAGCAAATTCTTGGGCAGGAGACAAACACCAGATTTCATTAGCTCAGCAAGAATCTATCCTCGGGGGAAAGAAAGCTGTTGCGATCCGCCTAAGTCCCGCACGGTCTCGTCGGACGGCCCGGGCATGACCTTCCTAAACTACCCAACAGTGGACTCGGACACGTTTTCTTTCACATTCTGCACAGCGTATTACCGTTCTCGTGCGTAATCGGCTGGGACGCAGACCTTACTCAGTCGTTGCGCTCTCCGTACATTCGGCAACAGATATGACACAAAGACCCGAGCCATTCTTGTGCTCGCACACATACCGCCGGACAACGCCATCAATCTTCTCCTTCACGTGGACCGTAGCTCCTGGCAGCCTTCGAAGCGCTGAGTAAATCATGACAAGGACGTTCCACTCGTGCTTGGCCAGTGTCTTCCAGGGCTCCTCGAGCACGATCAGGACTTCCAGATTCCACGCTTCATCGACGCTCGACTTGATACCCTGGTAGACGTAGACGTGTGTGAAAGGTCCGAAGGACGTGGTGTGTTCTCTGGGGGCTTTGGATTGGCAGAAGGAGACCTTGTCGTAGCGGGTAAGGGCGTGAACAAGGCTTCCGAGTCGATTGACGAATAATGCAACTACCTCATCTTGCAGGTTGTTCTCGGTAGCGGATATTGCGACATGGCGCTCGTAATTATGCGATCCAACTCGTCGGGCCAGCCACACTAAGGATAGTATGTCGATCTCGGAGTACTCGTCTCGAGAGGTTCCTGACCCCACTCGAAGCCACAAAGCTGCAGGCTGCGCGCCAGTGGTGCCAGTCGCCAGGAAGGTCTGGGCAACGGGTATGTTGAAGTTGGGCCACTTGATTACAAAAGTCAGACCACGAAAGTACGTATCCAAGTACTCTTTTCGTAGCTGCTTGTTGACTTGCGCGAGAGCAAATGCGCTCTTAGGGACAGTGCACTTATCGAAGCTGTGGAAGTCATGTGGTTTGCTTAGGATATCGAGGATGACTTGAGTGTATATCATGTTTCGGATCTCGCCTGGCAAGTCCAGGAAGGATTTCATCTTGAGCGGACGGAAGAAAGAGTGATGGAGGTGAAATTTCGCGCTCTCTCCAAAGGCTACAAGTCAAGGTGCGATGAAGTGAAGAGGGAACGGCTTGGCGGCGGCGATGTATGCTGCGTGCGCACTGACCTCAGGCAAACGGAGGCACTGGGAAACCCAGGCAAGGCAGGCCTGTGGTGCCACTAATGTATCCACGATCCATTGGCCAGACGTATGGTCTGTACATCTTAGTGAAAAGGCAGGCGCAATAAGTTATTGAAACACAGTCTAGGACTCTGAGGGTGTGTGTGAGCCTAAGTTGATTTGGGCCACTGTGAGGACCCACAATTTGGTCCTGATACCGCATCGTGGATTTTCACGTTCAGTTAGTGAGGAGAAGCCTGATCTGCGGTCGCTCGCGTGTCTATCATCTTGTGGCATAGGTTTAAAGGGACAATAGATAACGTCCTACTCCTTAGAACACCTTGATTTTCCAATCTTTCTCTACTACAGCCACGGCTCTCTGACTGTATAGGAAGTTTTTATGTACATATTAATCTCAAAGTCACCAAGCTCTCCGTGACCGGAAGGCTGATTCCAATTTTCCCACAGTCACCATGTTCTCAGCTCCTCCACCTCAATCTCTATTTCCTTATGTGCAGCCCTCTTGGCCCCCAAAGGCTCTTCAAACTTCCCATATTCTACCCTATCACGCAGGTTATTATCTTACGGGTGCACGACCTGAGGCCAACCAGTAGTGCTGTGGGGTCTTTCCCATTATCACCTTTCCAGGAGACAATCTCGCTTGCGCCATCTTCGTCTAGTCTATGCTCCATGCTAGCATAGAAATACCGAGAGCCAAATGCATTTGCAAAATTAAGGAGATGTACAGCCTTCTCGAAGAGTTCTTGCTGACAATTTCGTCGTGCTTGTGTTCGGCAGACACATGTACATGGATCTATGGCATCCTTTATGTCTTGAATACTGACTGTTGTGAACACTTCATGGTATCTTTGTGGATTATCCCTGGAACCGTCTGATTCTCTAAATGCTTCATCCGAGTTCACAGCTGGGCCTTGATCGTCAACGGGATTTGAGCTTTCCCGTGCCACGTTCGGCTCGCTATGTGAAGCAGACATAATGGGCCTGAGTTATGACTCAACATCCGCTCCGTGCGCGCTCAATATATGCCCAAAACAAGTTTTCTCCAAGAACGATCACATTAAGAAAGGGGTATCTATAACTCCCAGTCACTCCCAGAAACACCACGTCATACCCAATCCCACGCCGAAATTCTCAACTCCCCATCACCCCATTGGACCTCTTACCACCTCTACAACCCCCTACTCCGCCTTCAACCACCCAACAAGTCCCTCATGAAATTCCTCCGTCTCAGGGAAAACGAAGAACCGATCCGGCACCACCTGCCCCCGGTCATTCCACACCTTCTCATCCCAGACCAAGAACGCCGGCATAGGCAACTTCCCCAGTCCCACGCCCATCCCCTCCCGCTTCTCCTTCTCAAAATCTAGCGTCACTCTGCCATCCGCATTCCGCGTGCCAAACGCAAGCACCTTCCTCGCATGCTGCAGCTTCCCCATGAACGCCGTGCGCGCCTTCCAAATCTCCACATCGCCCGCCTGAAACGGGGCGGCGAAGTTCGGCTGGCTGCGCTGCGCGAGGATAACAATGACGAAGCCGCGCAGCGGGCTGCCCGCAGGCGTATTGCTGAAGACCCAGCGCGCGGTGCCGAAATCGGCCACGCGGTCACCCGGCGTCATGAGCTCCATGCCGAGCCGCAACAACGTGTTGGCTTTGAGGTAGATGCCCAGCTGGGCGGCAGCGACCCAGAGCTCGCACAGGTGCTGAAGCTCCGAGGCGCAAGAGAAGATGGGCGGATCACGCGTGTAGAGCCATTTCGTTAGTGCGCCGAAGGCTTCTGGTGTCATGTTTGGGAGCGCGAGAGGTGCCGTTAGCCTCGCCAGGAAGGCCGGCGTGAAGCGCGGTGAGTCGTCAACGAGGATGTTAGTGTGGATATCGAAAGGCATCTGTGCTAAGCCGACAAGGAAGCGGACGGGAAGGCCGGGGGCGTGGGGGTACATCGTGTAGGGGAGGATTGGGCGCGTGGAGGTTGCCATGGTGCGGTTGAGCATGGGGATGATGTCCCAGCGGTGCATGAGTTCGGTAAAGTCGAGCGCGTAAAAGAAGTCTCGAGCGGGGGCTTCGACGTCGTGGGTCGCGAGGAAGGTCCAAAGGTCGGGCAGGTCGACGAGGTCGATCGTGAAATCAAGATCGTGCGTGATGCCCTCTCGTCCCACGCTGCGGGTGGTGCCCAAATATTTGAGCGGGGATGCAATGGATTCGAGCGTGGACTTCAAGCCCCTGCCCAAAGCTTTGAAGAGCTGCATAGTGACCTGCCGATTTGGCGTAGGTGGTGAAAGCTTTGCAGACTTGACCGCACGCACAAGACTATGTTTGGCGGACTGACCATGTAATGAGCCACTAAGCGGGAGAGCATTCACCTCGCCATGCCGTGACCTTCGGTGCGAGAAGTCCTCTTCACCGAGGCTGATGATGACCCTCAGTGTGTTCGTATTGCAACAGCCGTTGTCTTCAGGGTGCCTACATGTAAAGCGAGATATTGTAACCACCAAAACGTCCCCGAGTTATACATGGGGTTTGTTTTCTATTTGTTAGAAGTGTTTGCGGTTGCTGATGTGTATATTGGTAGCTTCGTGAACCTACATAAGCAGGAAGCAAGTCCTGACCTGCTGGCTCATGAGCAGAGACAAACATAAGAGGCATAAGACAGAACAATCACAGTTTGAGTGCGACATGAAAATGAAGACAATATGTATATTCTAGGTCCACCAGAGCATCCTCACTCGTAGCACCTACTCCTTAGGGTGCCGAGCTCAACTCAGGGTATAAGGAAGACGAAACGACCCCACACCCGCGCAAACCGTAAGCAGCATCATTCTTAAAGTCAATGAAGACAACCAATCTGTATGCAGAACGCTTTTGATATGATAACAGCAAGGAAAAGATTTAACCGTGAGACCAACCATGAATCATGAAAACGCGGCACATGCCATGACAAGCATGACGGCTCAGCGTAGGTATTATCCAGCACCACCAGGCGCGAAGAGGGGTATACTCCAAGACAAACCGTGACAACATCACGTGCTCTGCTGAGCGCGTGGGAAACTCAAAAAACAGAGCAAGAGTAGGAAGCGCAATGAGACAGGTTCACGCGCTAAACGAAACGCCAATGCTTGCCGGAAAAATACAATCTTGTGGCAGCAGTCGAGATGCAAAGAGCGAGATGATCGGGATCATGAGGCATTGTGTGATGCCTCACGCGCTATGGCGCCTGAGGATGGTCATACACCGAGATCCGCACCGAGTAGCAAACGTGGTAGGGTCGGAGAATTACTAGGGGCTCATTTGAGGGGAGCTCATACCCATATGCGGGTGCTGCTTCCTTTGGTGGCGAAGCAGGTTGTCGCGTCGAGAGAAGCCGACGTTAGGGCAACCAGGAACTGGGCAGCGGAAGAGCTGGTTTTGGGACGCAGTAGATTCGTCATGAGTTCGTTCATGGCGGTTACGGTCTTTGGGGTACAGGAACCCTTCTTTGCAGTATGAGCACTTGTGAGGCCGCTCAGAACGAATCAGATGGGTCTTCTGATGACGTCTGTCAGAACGTTAGCATCCAACGACGATATTATTCAGCACCCACACGTGCGCTAGAGGCACTGCTCGTGAGCGACAGGCAAGAGTGATGCACAGCAAGTCTACATGCACGGTATTGGCACGTCTACCCCACAACGCCCATCCGCAAAGAAAGAGAGTGGGAGGTCTCACTTGAGATCGCAGGAGCGATCGAATGTCCTCCCACAGCCTTCATAAACGCATGGGAAGCCACACGGTCGCGGTTGCTGTCGCTTGTGGCCCGGCCGCCGTGAGGTAGTCTCTGCCGTCCGATCGCCGGGCGTGTACGTATCTTCGACGTGCTTCAGGACAGTATTGGGATTTACAGTGGTAGCGTCGTTCTCTAGTCGACGAACGATCTCATTCACGAGCGGCTGCCTGGCCTCTTCTGCGTAGGGGTAGGAGAAGGGCATGTCTACGGGCATGTGGTCTGTAATAGGAGCGCTGACGGCGTAGGGGTCGTTATTCGGCCACTCTAAGTGCTCGTAGAACGGCTCGACTGCGAACGGTGGTGTCTGCTGAACCTGGTAGGAGGCCTGCGGCAGTCAGCGACTCGAGAACAGTGCAGTGAGCGAAGGGTGCTTACAATGGTATGCAGGCAGGCACCCATGGGCATGGCGCACAGCTCGCAGAGGTTAGATAGGATGCCATCTGGGTCTGGGTACAAGGACCCAAATGGCGCAGACATCGTCGGGTCCATGACGGGGCTCGACGCTGCTGCAGTGTCAAAGAGGAGAGCAAGTACCACCGCAACCACGAGGAGCGTGTACATGCTATGAGTGGGAGCCTAAACAGTGAGGAGACGACAATGAGGGTGGCAGAGCACGGAGAGGAGGGCGACAGCGACAATGATTGCGCGAGTCAAGGGCGGGGAAGAGTGTTGGCAGTGTGGAAGGCAGGCGATGTTGTCTAAGAAAGTTCGGAGGGAGGGCGCAGTGTTGCGCGCGAGGCCTTGGGTGGAGGGCGGCCGACTGAGCGTCGTATGAACGGCCTCCCTCCAGACGATTGGCGGAGTGCTGTGGCTGTGGCCGACTTGTGGCTTTCGCATCCTGCACTGTGCAGAGCGGCTCTGTTGTCTGCAATTTCGTCAGTCCGGTCGTTAGCAGTGATGGAAGTGCATCTCGATGTCGTGTGCAAAGACACGGTGAGGTTGGAGTGACAGGCGGTGGTGCCGTCGGGCAAGTGCATTATCCAAGGGGGCGCCAATCCTCGATCCGCCAGCCAATCCATGAGGGCTGGCAGGGTGGGGAAATTGCACTTGACTCTGTCATCCTCGTGATCGCCTCATCTACTGGTATAATCCTCTGTCAACATGCTTGGGACTTTTGGCCTGTATTGTTTTGGTGCAGCGCGCAGTCGTGCAGTGCTTCCTCGGTGAACCATTTGGGAGAGTTCGATCTGGTACTAATCACGTGGAAGCGCGTCCTCCCTGAACGCGTTCTATATTTAGCGCGTCGATCCATCATATCGTGTACTTGGTATTTCGGCGCCGTGTAGAATATCGTTTCTGATCACTGTGACATACAGCACAAAAATGCGTGATCTCACAGTTGTTGAAATGACATCCGGATTCATGGCTCGTTCGAATACCGCTCCGTCTTGCATGAAGGTTGGGGGTGCAGGTCTAGGCAGGCACTACCGTGATAAAATGAGACAGAAGAGAAAGTACATTGTGAGTGAGGAGCAAGGACGATGGATCCTTCCTCCCTTCCTCGCCGCCATGCCCGCTATATACACATCCGTCAGCGCGGCCTCCTCCCAAGATCCACAACAAGGCAACAGTTTCAGCTCCGCCGCGCCCAAACTTATTCCTATTCCAGGTACGTCAAAGCAAACAGGAAACCATCAAGACCCATCCCTCTTCCCGTCAGCTAAAACCCGCGTGTGGCAGGCCTCTGGCGCGTCAGCCTCGCTCGCTTTGTCGCTTGCTTTCTATCAGCCAATCATCAAGCCGCCCCACCATCGTTATAAGACGGCCTCCTGGACGCCTGGCAATCATGGGAGACCGCAACCCCGAACATGCGGTGCCCGCGCCAGCTGTTGCTTTGGAAGGGGAATCTACGACTCGCTGCTCACCTGGCAAGCGAAAAAGGGCTGATACAGCTCAGAGTGCGGGAACGAGCATAGACGCTCTCAACTCAAACATCGTTGCAGCAGGCAGCGAGACACAATCTAACGGATCAGCAACGCCACCGCCTAAGAATGGCTCGAAATGGGTGGAGTCGGAGGTGTCAGACGTCTCCATGGGCGCTGACGGTGCGCAGTCCAGCGATTCTGTAACACCACGTACAAGTGTAAATGGTGGAGCGCAAGAGGCAGAGGTGCCGAAGATCACCCCGAGCACGACAGATGCAACCCCAGGCGTATCAGTGACACCATATTCAAATGCAGAAGATATAGGGAAAAGGAAGGAAATGAACACTGCCGACGTACCGGCCAAAACGTCTTATTTACCGACCGCCAGAATGTCTCTCTGGGCAGGGCCCGTCTACATTCACATCGGTGACCATGAGGCGATCCCTGACCATGCACCACCTGGTATGCACCGTAACTGGATTCAGTTGTGTGAGCTGACAACATCCAGCAATGCGGTTCCTGAAATCCTACCTCCCGGTCGTCGAGGGGCCTCAGGCCGAATCCCGCGCTGCACATCACCACCCAACCGCCATGCGGAAAGTCAACAACGATCCACCGCAAGTCATGAACAGTTCCACCCCTGCGTTACCGGTGCAGGGAACACTCCCCATCCAATATGAAAGCAAGCTCTTCCGTGCATGGGCTATCCCCAATACGGGCGAGCCGACGATGGACGCTCCCAGACAGACTGTGCTTATGGACTAGGGGACCTCCGCCTTCTTCCTGAACAGAGGTGTCGAGGGGGATTTTGCCAAAGTAGGCGTACCCAAGTTCTCGATTCTGACGCTGGAGACGGCACCTGAGGGACGCGGCAAACACGGGCTGTGGCTGGTGACGAGTCAAGATTGGATGGATCAGGAACTATTGGAAAAGATCAATCAAGTGGTGCTCAAGAACATGTTGGATGACTTGAAGGAATTGGAGGAGGAGCTAAAGAAGCAAGATGCGGGGTTTGCCTCAAGTCCGCAGGCGGCCAATCCTCCTGCCGAAGGGTCCGCGGCTCAATCTGCGCAAGACTCGTCGGTAGACGAGACTGTGGATTCTTTGATCAATATGGCGCGGGTCGCGGGACTGTCCGACGGGAAGATGCTTCGTTTGATGGAAGAGACGGGCGAAGAACTTGGAGACAGAGAACGTGCACAGTGGCCGGGAGAGATGAAGAGCCGCTGATGGTCTAGCTGATCTGCAGTGGTGAGTTTTGCATCGACCATCTGCACGGCATAACGCAGGTCCTTGTATGTAGCATAAGGGGATTCGAAGCCGTTCAGTCTTGCAGCTGGATGCCGCCGTGTGCCGTGTCTTGCCTGTGAAATCGCGTGGCCCTTGATCTCCACGTAACAAGAGGTTGCCTGTAAACGTGTATTCTTGTCCACGTGTCCAAGGTAAGAACGAAGAAAGAGGATGGATAGGACAGATGAGGCTGATGTCGAGATGAGCACCGCCAAGACGTTAGCATGTGAAGACCTGCGCATGACGCGTCCACGGGTGGATTCCAGCATCTATCCTCGGAATCCTGCGCGCTGCTTCTCAACACGCTATAATGCGTGACCCTGCGCACCGCAAACGACCGCTCGCAGTCCCGCCCCCCGCAGCCGAAGTCCGCGATACTTGACAGTCGAATGCCCCAGCGACCACTACCTCCGAGTCGCCGCAAGGCTCCGCCGCCTCCTCCTCCACGATGACGTCTGTCTTCTCGTCGCTTGTGCGCCCGCCCAAGCTGCTCAGCAGGGCCTCGCAAACAGCCCCAGACACTCTCACGAGTCTGCCGGTCCTCGCACCGAATGCAGAGGCGAGCGACAGCAATCTGCGCGACCTGAATGTCGCGCTGCAGACCCTCACCGACATGTTCCCGGACCTGCAGCCCGAGGTCTTCCGCGAAATGCTTTCCTCGCTGGGGCCTGAAAGCAGAGTGCAGGTCGTCACGGAACAGCTGCTGCGCAACGGCGCCAAGTGGGCGCGGGGGCGATACCGGATGCCCGCAGAGCAGGAGGAGCAGCGCGCTGTGGCGCACAAGTACAAGTACCGCAATGTCGACCCGGAAAAGGACACGCGCGGCCTGCCGCTGGCAAGAGAAGACAGGTTCCGGTCCAAGGGATACAAGGAGGCGGCGAAGGAGGCCCTGTATGCCGAGTTCAAGGGGTTGAGCCATGCGACGGTCAAGGCGGTCCTCGCCGAGTACAACTGGAGCTACACACAGGCACGGCCAACGCTGCTGATACTGTCGAGCCAGAGCTGGCGGCTCAGCATCACCAACTTCCTCATGCGGAGGAAGGCCCCCAGTGCGGATGATCATCCTCTGGTCATGTGGCTTGCGCCGGATGCCAAGACGGGGAGAGGGAGGAAACCGCTGCTGGTCAAGACGAAGAGCTTGGAGCTGGATCAAGAGCTGTACGAGACGCTGATCGTGCCGGAGCTGGAGAAGCAGCACAGAGAGCAGATGCAGCAGGACCTCGAGCTGGCGCTGAAGTGGAACGAGGACGAGGCCGAGGCAGAAGGCGAAATGTACGACTGCGAGTGCTGCTTTATCCCAAGCACCCTGCAGCAAATGTCCACGTGCGACGTCGACGGCCACTACATCTGCTTCCGGTGCATACGACACTCTATCAGCGCCGCGCTGTACGACCAGGGCTGGGCGCGCAACATCAACACGGAGCTCTGCACGCTCAAATGCATCGCTCCCGTGACGGACAGCGTAGACGACTGCACCGGCTGCGTCCCTCTCGCCTTCGTCAGGCGCGCTCTCCTCGAAGAACCCGACGGCGAAGACGCGCTCCGGAAGCTCAACGAGCGCTTCACAAACGAAGCAATGCTCAAGTCCCGCCTCCCCCTCGTCCGCTGCCCCTTTTGCCCCTACGCCGAGATCGACGACCTCTCACTACCCTCCGCGCACTTGCTAACCAGCCTACGCTTCAAGCGTATCCCCCTCCTCTTCGCCTCAGTCCCCCTCCTCCAAGCTCTCTGCTTCCAAGCCGTCCGCTACTTCGCCTTCTCCCTTACGCTCATCCTCGCCTTCCTCATCGTCCTCAACAGCGCCCTTCCCACCACCTTCCCGCTCTTCTCCCCCGTCCAAACTGCCCTGCGCCGCGTCCACCTCAAGCGCCGCGGCCTCCGCTTCACCTGCCTCTCGCCCGCGTGCGCGCGCTCCTCCTGCCTCGCCTGCTCCGCCCCCTGGCACGACCCACACGCCTGCTACTCGTCGCAACTCACGTCCCTCCGCCTCACCCTCGAGCGCGCCACCACCGACGCCGTCAAGCGCACGTGTCCGCAGTGCAGCATGTCATTCGTCAAGTCCGAGGGCTGCAACAAGCTCGTGTGCACCTGCGGGTATGCCATGTGCTATGTGTGCCGCGAGGGGCTGGCTGGCGTGGGGTACCAGCATTTCTGCCAGCATTTTCGCGCGGTGCCGGGGAGTAAGTGTGCCGAGTGCGAGAAATGTGATTTGTATCGGGTCGAGGATGAAGGCATTACGGTGGCCAGGGCGAGGGAGAGGGCGGAGGCGGAGTGGTGGGATGCGCAGGGGGGGAGGGCGCAGGAGGAGTTGAAGGTGAGGGCGGGGAGGGAGAGAGTTGGCGTGGACGAAGATAGCAAGTGGAGGTGGTGGGTGAGGTGGGAGGATGTTACCGGGTGGGTGGAGAGTGTGGTGGAGAGTGTGGTTGCTTAAACAGTAGCACGGGAATTGGCGTCAAACTGTGGGCTGAGAAACGGTTTCGTTTGGTCTGGCTTTTGGTATACCCCGTTCCTTTATACATAGAAAGTTGGCTCCTGCGCCTCTGGTCGTATGAAATGTAATCATAATTTCGTGTTTGCTGAGATAGCACCGGCGACAGTCATGGCTGTGTCTTGGCATTGCTTTCCTCCACCACACCCAACTACGTCCACGCACACACAACGCTCTGCTAGCTGTCACAATGCCCGGTGAGGTAATTCCTTGTGGATGCTTTACAGTTCAACGGTCGACAAGCGGGTACTACGTGGTGTGAGGTGTGTAACATTTTTGGACATGATTCAAGTGCATAGTCCAGATTCCGAAATTTTGACTCGGGCTAGCATGGTTTCGTATCATGTTAGCATAAGTAACACAGCACAGCGCTGCCAGATGAGAAAGCTTGACCCGTCTCAGCTCCATTGTGTTAGCCGCCAGTAACGCGGAGCCGCGTGGCTTCGTCGAATGCAAAGTCGTGGACAAGTATTTGTTATACAGCAGGTAGGGTATTCTACATTCTATTCCATCGCATCCAGCACATCCAATCCAGTACATTCGCCCCATGCACACCACCATCCCAAGCCTGCCTTACGCCAAAGGCTTCACATCCTTGACCTGCTCCTCCGTCCACTCCACCAACCTCTTTCCCAACGCTTCGTCCCTCGCCAACGCGCTCTCCTTCCCCGGCACACCCACAGGCTCGTAGTAAGACCCGCTGACCACGTCGGGGCTGGTAGCCGCCCACAAGTGGTTAATGATGCCCACGGACACGGGCACGCAGAAGAAGGGCGCGATGGGCGCGGTGAGCTTGACGAGGAGGGATTCCTTTTTCAGGGCGTCGGCCATGCCGGTGAGGATGCGGCCGGGGTGCACGGCGGCGGTGGTGAGAGAGGGGTGGAGCGTGGAGAGGTGCCGGGTGAGGTGGATGAGGGCGAGTTTGGATTGGCCGTAGCGTTGGGAGTAGTCCTGCGTCTTTATTAGCACGTGTTGTACTGTTGTACAAGGGCAAGGAAGAGGGGAAGGATGTCTACCATGGCTGCGCATTCGCCCTTCAGGTTGTCGAACTGGATGCCACCCTTGGGTGCCATGGCGTGGCCCTCGCTTGAGACGACGACGACGCGGGGTTTCGAGGCTGCTGGTGCGGTCTTCTCGAGCGTCGGGATGAGGAGTTTGGCAAGGAGCGCGTGCCCCAGATAGTTGAGGCCGAAGTGGACTTCGTAGCCCTCCTTCGTGGTCCCCTTTGCGACGCGGATGATGCCCGCGTTGAGGAACAGGATATCCAGCCGCTCTTCTTTGGCCACGAATTCAGCGGCGCACGCTCGCACGCTGTCAAACGAGGTCAGATCCAGGTCGAGGAAGCGGACTTCTGTTCTCGGTGTCGTGGCGTCTTTCTCTTGCTCGTACGCCTCGCGCGTGATGCGCTCGATAACAGCCTTCTTCTCTACATCCCCCCGCGGCAGGTCAGCGACGTATATGCGCGCCGGGCGTCCATACTTTGCGAGTTCAATGGCAGTCTGGCGACCCAGGTCCCCCGCGGCACCAGTGATGAGCACGACCTTGTCCGCCAGCGAGGGGATATCTTTTGCAGGCGTGAACTTCGCGCCGCCCTTGTTGCCCGACCCGAAGAGGGTCACCTTTGCCATTTCGCGGAACTCAGGCATGATGAAGCTGGATGCGACGAGGACTATGACGCCCGCGAGGACATTCAACGGCGTAATATAGTCTGACATTGTCGGTCTTGGAGACCAGTGGGTACGTCGGCGTTGAATGCAAGGAGTAAGCGTGGGATTTGTGGATGCAGCTCGGAAGATAGTGCTCAAGAACCCGCACTGAGACAGCGCCGGAAGGAGCCGCAGGCAGGCGCTCGGGCTGGAATGGGCAGGAGGAGCAATAGAGTGCGTGCGGATGGGGAGAAGGCGCAGCAACGTTAAATCCACCGTCCGCGGCGTGCGCTAGTGCAGTGGACTCACCACGCCGCTGCGTTTTGCATTTGGGGGCTGGGGGCTGTGACTTTACTTGTCGGCAGGCCAGGCACGGTGGGTCGGAGTTGTACACACATGGACCATCACGCTATGCGGGCGCACGGTAGACGAGTATTGGTGCAGCCGCTGAGGCAGACTGCGCGTGGGTCTCACGGCGGGTAAAATGCTTAATCCTTGTTTGGTATAAATTTTTGCTAATTATATACTTTTTTTTGAAGTCTAGTATGGTTCTAGTATGAAATAGCGCCGTTTAGCGGCGCTTTGTATTCTTCCCCTGCACCACCTGGCTGATGCTAGCTTGGTTCTCATCATCCAGTCTAATGCAGCGGAGGCGAACTGGGAGCCATCGAAGGTGAATATGCCATTGGGGGCGACTTTGGTCCTAGCGTAGACGCATTTGCAGAGTCCTTCCTTGTGATCTCGCTGGTGGAGCTGACGCTGGGGTTTCTCCCGAAGGTAGAGAAGTCGAGATCCATCGTTGCTAGGTGCGGCTGTAGGTGGAGGAAGGAGTCGTTGCTGTTGATGGTGGTGCCTTCGAGATCGGCGAAGGTGGTCAGCAAGTCGTCCTGGAACTTCCTCCACTTGCTCTTTGTGCTGCTGTTGCCGCTGCCGTGTGAGCCGGACGGCCGGGGGCTGTTGAGGTCCATGATGCGCTGCTTTTCGGCGAGCTGCTGGCGGTAGTTGGCATTGCTCTCGTCGCGCTTGCTGGACCAGAGCGAGCGGAAGGAGATGAAGCAGGCGATGATAAATGAGACGACGAACTCGATGTACCACCAGAACAGCATCCAAGAAGAGTCAATGACTTGGCGGTTAGTCTGCGTGACGGACTTGTACACGCCACCGAAGATGCTGCCGCGGACGATGGTCACACCAATGGTGAAGCCCACGAGCAGGAAGACGCTGGAAAGAACGAGCTTCTGGCGCCAGTTCAAGCCAGTCTTCCAGACGATCAAGATCGGGAAAGCCATGACTATGATCTCCAAGTCAGTTATGTACGACACCCGAGGCGATTGGGTCGACTTACTGATCAGATCAGAGAGCACGTCGATAACAACCGAGACAATGTAGAGGGTGTAGATTTTCTGCACCCTCGACTCCATTGCGCAGGTCACGGTGATGTGCATGGTGCTACCCAGCATGCAATCGTAGGGAACCATTCCCAGGTTGATCACTCCACAAGCCATCACCACGACCAGTGCCACCCACCAGGTGATGAAGTAGGCCTTGATCTGGTACCCGATGCGGTAGAAGAAAAGGAGGAAATTCAGCTTGATCATCCACAAGCCGATGATGCTCAGGACGATCGCGATTGCGTCTCCTTTGAGTCCGCGAGCCATTTGGTTCATAAAGTCCGGCCCAGGAGCCGCCAGCATGTTCTGTACGTGGAGAAGCGCATATAGATCCCCTAAGTAGACCTGTAGAACGGCGGAAATCGCAATGAGGACAGCCACCGCCCCGACCATGAGATAGTCTTCTACGAACAGGCGTCGGAAGCACATGAATCTGATCCAAAATCGCAAGATACATGTGGCTATACAGATGCCGACTCCAACCCAGACGACAATCTGTAGATGGTGTGGTTAGCGAATTCCTTGGGCAGGAACAACTTCTTCGCTCTTACCTTGAACGCATGTTCCGAGATGAGCTCCTTGGTGGTCTGGTAGAGAGCAGCAGCCTCTGCTGACGAGGACGACGGCATCGCCATATCCATAGACATATTGTTCGACTTGCGCAAAGATGCAGCGAGCACGACTTGACTTTAAGAAAAGATGCGATGCGACAGAAGAAACACCTGGTCAATGCAGATGAGAAGATCTGAAGGATTCTAGCACTGAATATACCAGTAGCAGGATGCAGCCCACGTTCTTTAAACTTCCGCCCAAATGGGCGCATTCTTGCATCCTACCCCGTGCGTCGGTGTTGCTGGTACATCTGCGCAGCAGCCCCGACCCCAAGGCAAAATTCGCCGACGAACCGGGGGGTCTGCAGCATGCAGCAGCACAGCCCAGCGCTGGGTCCAATACCTCCTCCCGGGAATTAATTTGCCGATGCTGACCACAGGACATCTTGTGTACCACCCTGGCAGTGAATTCGCTGTCAGCAACGGAGAGTCGCACCTTTGCAGTAATGCCCTCGCGCGCACGCTGCGGGGGCCTGATAACGTCCGCCCGATATAGACGATTTAGCGCGCCCGCGAAGGCTGTGGGTGCGGGAACGCCCAACGCAGTTTCACGAGCCGTGTTCTAGCGCGCTCGTTCGTATGCGGGATTGTAAACGTCTGCGCTATTTTGGGGTCCAAAACGTGACGATCGAAGGATGGAACTTGTTGTGGGCGATCTTGTACCCCACGAGGTGAGCTCTGCGATCGTGCGGACTTGATCCTTTTCGCGTATGCATCCAGGCACCGTGACCGCCCTTGAGTGCGAAGGGACGATGTCGGCGTCGGACTTCGACGTGGTACAAGGGGTAGTGATTTACACCTTGATCTACGAGGTGTGCTACGACTTCCAGATAGTGTACATGCACACGGGAACTTGTCCGTCTTGCGGCTGCTGAAAACTTGCTTAGTGTGATAGCTGAAGTCGTTCGCAGAGGGTGCGTAGGTAAGTGTCGCTCACCAACCGTCGACTTCATCCACTCGAGTTGATTCGTCTCCAATTTTAGTCTACCATGTCTAGCGCAGTACCAAGCGCGTTCGCACGAGCCGTGCCGTGGAAGGCACCTAGGTACCATATTAATTAAGAAGGCTGAAGCTAGAGAACGTTGCGCGGAAAAATATGGGGGCCACGCTAGTTGAGGCGGTGCCCTTGGTTCGCGATGCACTCACGCCAGTGACGTGACTTATCGCATCTCTAGCTCGACTTCCCAGATATCAAATCACTACGGACCCACATCTCTCGCCCCAGCAGCCCGCCGATCCTAAAAGTCCGTCCACGCTCTCCACACGTGCCGGCTCACGGCCTCGGCGCCGTGCCTCGAAACGGCAGGCGCTCCAGCGAAGACGTTCCCATTGAGCTAGTCATGTCACGTTATTTTCTTTATATTCCCGAGATCTTATGGTGCGGCAGCGAGATAGTGTGAGTATACCCTGGATAGCTATATTTAGTAACAGTGTAGAGTGGCAGTTCTGGCTGTAGCGAGGCAGAATTGATCGCTGAAACTGGGTCCCATACACCCTTTCCATCACTATCACAAGCAAATCGAGGATGTTGCTTACGCTGGGTACATGCCGCGAGATGCCGTAGCCGGAGCTGCAGCTTGGTTGTACAATTGATAATGACTTCGCTCCCGGTACCTGGTGCTCACATCCAGGACATAGGCACTGTACATCAAAGCGTCACAGCATACTTTTCCGGCATCATGGTCGAACAATCTCTTACATCTTTTACGTTTTTCAATGTTGCGGTAGCAGATTCTTCCATTCCATCTTTCACCACAGACGATGTTTGGCGGATAGCCACATTTGCACTTCCCTCTTTTGTTACTTTGTCTTTTATTCTGCTCACAATTTGGGAATACCAATCATGGAGAAGACTGTCCCACATTCCAGGTCCACCCGCTGCGCATTTCACAATTTTGTGGTTGCTGAAACATGCGTGGGTGGGAAACTTGTTCCCGTCCATGGTTGACGCGGGGAACAAATATGGCGATCTCGTTCGCATTGGGCCCAACCTTCTGCTCTGCTCAGATCCGGATGAGCTTAGGAGGATATCAGGCATTCGGACCAAATACACCAAAGGACCGGCTTACGACGCTGGACGTGTGACAGAGGGTGATCCTCACGTGGCTTCGCAGCGCGACCCTGCCAGACACAAGGCGTTGAGGGCCAAGATGGGCACTGCCGTAAGTTGCAATTCGTGCACATTATTTTTTGAAGGTGGTCGAGTCTAATTAGATACTAGTACTCTGTTGACGTACAGCCCGTCATTGATCGCCAAATCTCCAAATTGATTGATCTCATCGATAGAAAGTACGCCACAAATCGCACATCCACCAACCCCACCGCAGAAGGTCGCCGAAACGAGACCTCTGCACGAATCATGAATTTCGGCGAGAAAATGCACTTCTACGCTCTCGACTGCCTGGGCGCATTTGCCTTCGGTGAGCCCTTCGGCTTCCTTCAGAAAGACGAGGACATCAACCGTATGACCCAAATTAACGACCTCTCCTTGCGCATGGTCACTGTCGCCGGCCTCGTCCCCTGGTTATCCGGCTTGCGCACAATGTGGCCATTCCGCTGCCTCGTTCCCAAAGAAGGCGACAAAGTCGGCTTCGGCATCCTTTTCGGCTTCGCAAAGAACCTCGTCGACCGAAGGACCGCCCCTGATGCCAAACCCAAGAACGACATGATGCAGGAATTCATCCGCAGCGGAATGACCCGCGATGAACTGATGCAGCAAGTCTACATCCACATCATCGCCGGGTCCGATACGACGTCGAACTGGTCGCGCATGGTCATGCTTTGCTTGTTAACCTGCCCACCCGCATATATGGCGCTCCAGCAGGAAATCGATGCTGCCACAGCTTCGGGCGCGCTGAGTTACCCCACAGCGACAGATGCTGAGAGTCGCTCGTTGTCCTACCTGGACGCCGTGCTCCGCGAGGCAATGCGCATGCACCCGCCCTCGGTTTCGCCATCGAAGCTGTCACCCGAGGGGGTCGACACTGTATGCGGATACGCAGTACCCGGCGGCACTCAGATCGGCGCCAACGTCCCCGGCGTGTTGAGGTCGCAAGCAGTATTCGGCCCTGACGCGGACTGTTTCCGTCCGGAGCGTTGGCTAGAGGCCGCCGAAGAAGAGGATGGCTATAGGCTCAGCCGTATGAAGTCAACACTTGCGCTTGTATTCGGTGCTGGCAAATTCCAGTGCATGGGGACGCACATTGCATATATGGAAGTGCGGAAGTTGTTTGTGGAGTTGATGCGGAGATTTGATTTTGCGATTGTCGATAACAAGAGACCACTCCACGTTGAGTCGCTGGCCATTATGGTCGTACATGACTTCAATGTTAGAATTACACGGCGGACAAGATTTCCTATGTTAGATAGAGAGGATGCGGAGGCTTAGACTGTATGGTCGGATTTCCTTTTAGATACCCAATTCATCACGAGATATTCAGACTGTGAAGAGATTGCTTAGCATTTGTGAACTTTATGTAATGTTTCGTCGTTGTTTCTTGCGATAGATGCGTATGGTTCATGGGCTGTTATCACACTGGTGCTTTCACGGCTTAACTTTTGTCGCTTTGGATGCATGACTTTCGTCGACGCTGTCGCTATGGGTTGATGGACTTTGTTGCAATGGATTGTCGTTCTGGCTCGTCCTGTCAGGCGCGTTGGTGTCTTTCACGTCCCTGCCCCTTACATTTACAGGTCTACTAGTGCCACACTGATGCCATCTCCACTTAGGATGTTGGCAGAAGCGCTTGGTTCCGTGTAAGCTTGGGATCCTCGGTTTCATGATCACCCCAGTTGGCATCCCATCCGTTAGCGACTAGATAATCCTTCCATATCTCGTCTTCGTTGTCAAGAACTTTCGATCCGTCTTGGATAACGAACCAAGCATTCAGGGCACCTAGGACAGCGAAAGCTGATCCGACTAGGAACGCGACCTGATTTGACTTGTTGGGATCGGTATACGAGGCCATGATAGCAGTAAAGACCTGGTCGATGTAAGCATTTTCCCGGAGCGTCTGAAGAAGAAACTGCTTACCTCAGTGCCAATGGCTGCTCCAGCCTTCGAGCAGGCTGAGATGAAGCCCATGGTGTGACCTCGCACCGAGGTGGGAAAAGGCTCGGTAGCTGTAATCACTACAGTGCTGCAGAAACTTAGAGACGAGTATCAGTTGACTTATCAATTGGCACTTACCTTCCAGGGCCGACTTCGCCTAGGGTAAGAAAGATGCCGTATAAGACGATGAAAAGTGGGAACACCGTTTGTATCTGCGTACCAGCACCACCGAGTACGAAACCTAAAATCGCCTGAGCAGTGTACCCAACACATTGCGTCTTCCTGCGACCAATTTTGTCCGACAGGTAACCACCGAGGAAGGGGCCAGGTAGATAGAAAGCGTTGATAACAACGCCCCACCCTAGATTTTGGAGGAGCGAGTTCTCAGGGTTCATGCGAGATACGATAGTCGAACCGAAGATTCCAAATGGAATCGAGATCCAGTTGTATAGGAACCAACCCAGAGCAGCGCCAAAGAGTCTTCGATAGTACTTCTTGGCGATCAGCACGTAAGGAGTTCTTTGCTTGCGAAGCGCTGACTTGCGATAGGCGGTTGACACCTTCATGCGCATGCGAAAATAAAATATAGAGAGTGGAGGAACGGCACCGACCGCAAGAGCGGTCCGCCAGACGATGTGGTATTTGTCGACTCTCTGGTTGACGCAGAGCAAAAGTAGCAGTGGCACCAATGCTCCGAAGCAGTAGCCTAGACCAGCTGCGAGATCGCCAATCATCGCGAATAGGAAGCCTCTTCGTTTCCTGAAGTGGCCTGCTTCATCAGAAGCCTCTAAAGCACCGGCACCTATTCAAGTTAGCAGGGGTGCAGTGGATGATGATTTCGAAGGCATACCAGCCACAGGGTATTCTCCTCCAGCGCCAACGCCGGCAATGCCACGAGCAACGACGAGCATCCAAAACAGGCCGAGTGGCGATGTTCCACTCGCACCAGTGCTCAACGCAATTCCAAGTAGGAGGATCAAGGTGGTAAGTACTGCTCCTGTCTTGCGGCCCAATTGATCGACCACGACACCAAATCCGACCATGCCCACTATCATTCCAATCAGGAAAGCGTTCGACAATCGTGCCTTCATGTCTGATGACAGAGCATCGGGATAGATGACCGTCAAGAGAAGATTAAGATTGCTCATGACAGCAGCGTTGTAGCCATCGGACCCCAAAGCAAGACCAGAGAACAGCATCATCAGGTACACCGAAACCTTGCTGTAGAAGGCTCGGGCGGTGCCCTTCTCGATGACCGATTCGACATCACCAACATCGACAGCTTGGTCTAGCTTGGCATCCTTCTCGTCGGCGGATGTCCGATCGTGGATGGTGGTGATCTCGGGGGCTGACATCGTGCCCTTACTTTCCCAGAGAGTTGGTAAATCGTTCCAGAGCTACGGTTCACACATGCCGGCAGAGCGTCCTTAAGTAAGACTCAACTTCGTAATGGGTGCTGATAGGCATCAGAATCGGCAATTGATCAGCTGCTTTCCAAGACTCCATCGCGCGGCTCCGACAGAGAAAAGCGCGCGTTTCCAAGCGGTATCGAGCAAGCGATTCCGCTTAGGTGGCATCTTATGGGTGCATGCGATGTACGTTTCCGTCGCTCGAGAATGCCGATGAATCATCGGGTATCAGATACCGGAGCCTCCTCGTGGCGAGTCAGATGGAGATGTGAGTGCGGAGATGTCCCGAAAGTGGGGAATGGAGGTGATCTTTCATTTGCGACCCGTGCCCAAGCAGGTATCATGCTGCGCTAACCTCGTTCTGGTATAGTGATAGGGTCCGGTAGCCGGAGGTCAGCGCAAGAATGGGGACGGTATCATTTGATTTTGCCCAGACCAATGCTACTACATAATCAGTATGTGTCCAGTATCCGCCGAAGTTGTTACGCGGGTCTTTCTATTCGATATGAGCCGTGAAGGCCCGCATGTAACCTCACGTCGTCCAGATGCGCGAATCGCGTACTGCGACTTCGGACCGATAGCCTTGTTATGTTCCTTGAGCTGCGTTGAAACTCAACTCTGGGTCACTTCGTGCTTTCTCTTGGTGATTTTCATCACGATAAGTATAATCCGCGTAAGTACTTTGTGGACCAAGCACAAAAATCTTTGTCTAAACGGAGAACAGGTGGACGAAAGTCACGATGCATCTCCTACCGATTCGCATCATCTACCATGCGCCCATTACTCTGAGTGATGGGACTGTGCTCTCAGCCATGATCTGGCTGCCAGAGAACGCAGAATCTAATCCGGTACCTGCTATTTTAGAGTACTTGCCGTACCGCAAACGCGATATGACAGCTGAGCGTGATGCAATGAACATGCCATACGTTGCGGGCCGCGGGTACGCCTGCGTCCGTGTAGATATGCGCGGTACAGGTGACTCCCAAGGCTTGATCTTGGGCGAGTATTTGAAGCAGGAACAGGACGACGCGCTTGAGGTCTTGCAATGGATTGCAGCGCAGAAGTGGTGCACTGGGTCTTGTGGAATGATCGGCATATCTTGGGGTGGCTTCAACTCGCTGCAAGTTGCTGCGAGAAAACCAAAGGAACTGAAGGCCATTGTTTCGATGTGTTCGACCGACGATCGATTTAATGACGACATTCACTATATGGGTGGCTGCCAGCTGACTGAAAATTTCACCTGGGCAGCTTCAATGTTCGCAATCAACTCGTGTCCTCCCGATCCCGCAATTGTAGGAGACCAATGGCGAGACCTCTGGCTGCAGCGCCTCAAATCTGGAGGCTTCTTCGCAAAGGAGTGGCATGAGAACCAAAGACGGAACGACTTCTGGAAGCATGGTTCCATAGGCGAGGACTACAGCTCCATTGAGGCCGCGACTTACCTAGTAAGTGGATGGCAGGATCCATACACCAACACAGTCTTCAGGATGCTAGAGAATCTCAAATGCCCTAAGAAGGGTCTCGTGGGTCCTTGGGGTCACAAATATCCAAACTTTGCGAAGCCTGGCCCGCAGATTGGCTTTTTGCAGGAAACGGTTCGATGGTGGGATAAGTGGCTGAAGGGCATTGACGACACGGGCATCATGGATGAGCCTCAGCTTCGGTGTTACCTGCAAGATCCCGCTCCCCCGGCTCCTCACGACAAGTTTCGCCCTGGCCAGTGGGTGGCAGAAAACAAGTGGTCCGACGAAAAGGCGCTGACGCGCCGAATGGGCCTGGTGCCAGGACGGCTGACCGAAAAACCTTCATCTTGTCGCGAAGACGCAAAGATGGAGATTTGCTCCCCGCAAACGCTTGGCTTTGCAGGGGGAAGATGGTTGATATTTGGGGTAGAAGGCGAAGGCCCATCTGATCAGCGCCTGGAAGCTGGTGGCAGCCTCGTTTTTGATACCCAGCCTCTGAAAGAGCCCCTCGATCTGCTTGGTGCAGCTGTTTTGAACGTCCGCATTGCCAGTGACAAGCCCGACGCCTTGTTAGCTGCAACGCTTTCGGAGGTTTTACCAGGTGGCGCTGCCACAAGAGTTTCCTATGGTCTGCTCAATCTCACTCATCGCGATAGCCATGAAGACCTCAAAGCACTTGAACCGGGGAAGTTTTACGATGTCAAGCTGAAACTCAACCACTTTGGGCAACGTCTCGGTGTGGGTAGTCGTCTCCGCCTTGCATTATCCTCCACGTATTTCCCCATCGTCTGGCCATCTCCTGAGATGACTACACTCACGATCGATACTGGATCCAGCTCCATTGACTTGCCCGTACGCACCGACAATTCGCTGGACTCTCAGCTCAAGCCTTTCAGACCAGCAATCAATGGCTCTCTTGCAAAGACCCAGATACGCCCTGCTAACCACAAGAACTTCGTGAAGCAAGATTGGGATACTGGACGCACGGAGCTTGTGGTGGATTGGGACGACGGCAAATGGGAAATTGAGGAGACTGGATGGCGCTTCGGGTGGACTACGCCGATGGTCATGGGCATCCATCCTACTGATCCATTGTCTGCGGAGGTATACCAAGGCATGGAGAGGGAATTTGAACGTGGCGATATTAAAGTCGGTTTCAAGGGTTGGACGAAGATGAGGGCGACAGCTACCGAGTGGATAATGACTGCGCGGATCGACGCATGGGAAGGAGATAAGGCTATATTTGGACGGGACTATGATTTCAAGGTTCCTCGCGATCATGCGTAGACTCTTAGCTTAGACGTTCAGATGCGCGAAGTTCAAGACCACGTGCTCCGCTCAACTTCGCGATGTTGCCGAATTTGGTGAGGAGCCTGGTTTTGAATCCTAACAGACGATCGGACAACATCGTGGCCCATACGTCTCCTCAAACTTTGCTCGACAAGGAAGAGCACAAGTATAACGTCAATTGTTTTTGTAACAAAATCATATTTAAAGATTGATCTGATTAGCCGCCCGAAGTCACCTCCAGCTGAACTGTCACTTTCAGCTCGCAGTAGAAGCGCCTATATACTGTTGAAAATATTTCCCTACAGAAATGATCTGATTCTACTATTTGCTGATTGATGACCGATGACTTAATGTTGGTAAGGTCATCGTCAGACCTTATAAGGTCTAATGCCCCTACTTTCAGCTTTTGACCTAGAATCGTTGTCGAACGAGTTGATCTTAACTCCTTGTGCTCTGTAAGTCGAATCTCTGATGGAAATAACATTGAATCTCTCCAGAGTGGAACTGCCACATAATTGCTTGGACCGCATTGGAGCAGCTTGGGATTTCCGGGATAACGTATTGTGATATATGAATTATGTTTCGTTGTGATATTTTGATGAGTCTTTTCAGTTTCCAGGAAATTACTGCTTCGAGATATCGATTTCTGCGATAATGGATATGTTTCTCGGACATGAGCATTCGTCCATGCCTTAGTACTTGGATACGAATAAGGTTCTATCGCTGAAAGGCGTTCCGTCCATTGTGAATGGAAAGGATCTGTTATTAGATGTCGCAAACCAGCGTGTACAAAGTGGAGGTGGCTTGCAAAAGCCAAGGAGCTGAGACATACACCACCCTGCCCTAACTCACACAGGCTTTGTATCCGTATCTGGGTTGTCCGCAACCCAATGCGTTCTTTCTGTTCTCTGTACCAACATACAATCTCGCGGTTTTTCTTGTCAATCGTTTTCTCTGTCCTACATGTTACTGTTCAGCGTAGCATCTTCGTCTTATCATATCGTATGTGAAGTCTGGAAGCTGCAGTGCTTGTGGCAGCTAGTTGCTCGCCCGTGACGAGGCTCTGAAATGTGTGCCCATGGCATGGAATTCAGCTTAAAAATGTCTTTTCGTCGCTGGTCCGAGTGTTGGTGTAATCGTTTCCATCATTCGCGATGATCCTGGCCAGTAGATGTATCTCTTCTATCGCAAATTAATTACCCCACGCACCAACCTATAATTCCCTGGTAGCGACCTCCAACACTCGGATGAAATCGCGTCTTGGTTCAACGGCAGTTCCACATGCCCCACACCGATAAGGCAAGAAGATTAGACAGGGTTTACCCTAGGGTTTTCGCCCGGATCCTGTCACTTGTCATAAAGACAGCCGTCCTTACCCCTGCTATACTTCGGTCTTTCTGCACAACTTGGTTTCGACACTGTTCAAGATGTACACGACAATCTTGTCTCTGCTTGTGCTGTTGGGCGTATCGCGTGCGCAGGTGGCGCATATGATGCGATTCGCGTGTTCACAACTTACAGTTGAGAGATTGGATCCGTTGGTGAACCCGGGCCAGATTGGAACACCTCATACGCATCAAATTGTGTCAGCATCATCTTCATCTGTGTTAAACTATGGAGCTAATGATCGTTAGAGGTGGAAACTCTTTCAGACCAGACATGGAGCCCGTGAAGTACGACCTGCCTACAGAGTCTACCTGCACAAGCTGTACTTTTAGTGAAGTAAGTGTCTCCGCATCAAATCTGTGTGATGCATTCATCCCGGCTTAGCGCTGACATATGGCAGGACTTCAGGTAGCCTGAATCCAGCACCATCTGGAACGAACGCCATTAACGCAACATAGCAACTACTGGACCGCAGCGCTGTACTTTCGTGCCCGAAATGGGACGTACAAAAGAGTGAAACAGGTCTCGAACGGTGGCCTACACCAAGACGGGGGCCATACAGTTTATTACATCCCGACGTATGATGGTGTGAGCAACGTGACGGCCTTCGCTCCGGTACGCGCTCTCTACTGTATATCGCTAAGGCTGTGCTGATTCATTAAAGGGCTTTCGTATGCTCGCGGGAAATCCCATGCTACGTAATACCACAGGAGAATCTCGAGGTATTTGCCATCGCTGTTTGTTCAAGGACCAGCAACCGTTCGGTGGCGCGCCATGCACGGGTAATGACACGACACACCTGCCCGATCACCAATGTGAGGGCGGAATTCGGACGCAAGGTAATTGAGCTTTTCTCTCTCGGGAATCACCTGTTCTGATGCTCATTGCTCACGTTCCCAGTGACATTCCCAACATGTTGGGATGGCAAGAACCTAGACTCGCCTGATCACCAGGTAAGTACACTTCCGGTCGTTGTACGTCCTGTTCTCATTTACCATCCAGTCGCATGTCGCATATGCCACCATTCCCTTCGAACCTTACGCCGACCCCGTGGTTAGCCGTCCATATACTCCGGAGTTGGAACGTGGGAAATGTCCCGACACGCACCCAGTACATTTGCCGCAGCTCATGTACGAAGTGATTTTCGACACCACGGAGTTCAACGGAGAGGGAATGTGGCCGGAAGACGGAAGCCAGCCACTAGTATTCAGCATGGGTGACGCGTCAGTGCCTTGCGTCGTCTAGATCATGTGAATGCGATAAACTAATAGAAACTAGCACCGGACACGGGAACCATGGTGACTACATGTTTGGATGGAAAGGAGACTCCCTCCAGCGCGCAATCAACGCGAGATGCGACAACGATCATTGTAAGGAGCTGACGAGGCAGACGGATGAGGAGGCTATGAAGTGTAAGATTGCACAAAAGGCAGTTGAAGATGTAGGAAATGACAATTGTAAGTTGAGTCTAAGAGAGGGGAGTAAAGTTCGCTAACATTGCTTCAGGGTTAGAGACTTTGCCCGGAGGAGTGGAAATCAATGATGGAGTGAATGCGTGAGCAGGACGACACAGCTGCACATAAAGCAGCGACAGGCGCATTATGCGCCGCTTTTCTTTTGTGATAGACATGATTATCTTTCCAATCCTAAAAATGATCTTGATGGTTCCAGCTGTCATGATAAAAAAAAGGGAACATGTCGCGTCGCGGTCACGGTTTCCTGGCCAGGTTATCGATAAGCTCTGCACATCATAGGGTGCTACAAGCACGCAAACACTTACGTCATCTTCACCCTCAGGCCTGCATGGAAACAACTCCTCCAAACTCACTCCAACGCTCTCACACCCTTGAATACTCATCGCTGACATAATGCCTACCATCCTCATTGTCGGCGCTACTCGTGGTCTCGGTGCGAGCCTTGCCAATGCCTACAAATCGGATCCGAATAATCACGTTCTAGCGACGGCGCGAACCGCAAATCCACCGCCCAGCAGTACGCACTTTCGTCTTCTTAACTGTGTCGCTGAGCTTCTCTTGCATGGTTCTCTTTCTGCTCGTTGCTGATGCCTTCGTGTCGCAGCTAAGAATCTTACTTATATCCCTGGTATCGATATTGCTACTCCAGATGCCGGCAAAACCCTACTCAATTTCGTGCATACGAGGTCCATCTCTCACATAGACATTGTGATTATCACAGCAGGATATTTTGCCACCGAATCATTGAAGGAGCCGTCGTTCGAAGCCGAGGAGAAGATGTACCGCACCTGTGTCATCGGGCCTACGATCCTTGTCACCAACCTCGCTAACGACTCCAAACTGCTCGACTCCAAATCGAAGGTCATATTCGTTTCCTCCGAGAGTGGAAGTATAACGCTGAGGCACGAGAAGGAGGGTGGCGGTAACTATGGGTAAGCCACCCTGGCCTATTCTATGGAGATGACTTAATATGTATAGACATCATGCCAGCAAAACTGCTCTCAACATGTCTGCGAAACTACTGAGCTTAGATCTGAAAGAAAGGGGTGTTGCGATAGCCGCTGTACACCCAGGCTTCATGCGAACGGAGTTGACTAAAGGCGTGGGATTTGATAAGTTCTGGGATGAGGGCGGAGGTAAGTCGCGCATGCATAAGATGATAGCTGGAGCTAACTTCAGACAGCCGTGACACCAGATGTTGCTGCAAAATCTCTCGTGGAATGGATTTCGACGTTTGACATCAAGAAGACAGGAGAGTACTGGGCGCCTCGAGGGCCGGCGTGAGTACCATTGTGTGGACACTCAGACACCGCTAATTCGTCTGCTAGGGACATTGGAACCGCAGACGTTGTGCTCGGACCTAAGGATCAGCTGTCTACTCCTCTCCAACTTCCTTGGTAGTGTACGCAACATACCACCAGCTCGCGAACTTTACGATCGTACTAAGACCTGAATGAAATATCATGATTGTTAAATCGTAACGCTTAATATACAGTGTGCAAAGACCCATGCAGTGCAATGTGTAACTGTCCTCCATAAAAACAGTTGCATGTCGCTGAGGGCAGTGACTCCGGATTAACTCAATCAGACATCGGTAGCTCGGACTTGGGTGCATTATTATGTGCATCGGCAGTTAGTGTGTTTCCACTTCCGATGCTGTCCTTCCGAGCCTGTGGAATCCAAGTCACGGAGTCACCCAGCTTGTCTGCAGTCAAACCGGCCGAGCCCGGATTTCTCATGCCGGCCTCGAGCTGGCGTTGATAGCTGACGTTCCTTAGGCGTTCGGCCTCCTTCGGTGTGAGGTGCAGCTGTCAAAGTGTTAGCCATCTGGTCAAATCAGTACCGCTATATGCCATGACTTACATAGACCTCAACGCCGATAGCGTGCATAGCCAAAGCTAACCATAGGGCCATCCCGAAGCACATATTAAGAGCCGCGCCGATCTCTGTGGCCCGACCACCAAACCGTGCGTGAACGACCGCTTGCTGGAGGGGGTCCGACCCATTCACGTACGATGCGCACTCTGGGTACGCCTCCAGTGTCGCCTCGTCCGAGCGCATGGTGTAAGCGATCTTTGCGCACGGCCATACAGTGTAATACGACCCTACAGCAGAGATGATGCTCGTCGCGATGATGAGGATTATGCGGTTCGTGATGATCGACGCGGCCTGTATCGCGTCAGTAATCACTTGTCATTCGCAGGAGAAGCATGACGTACGTAGAACCAGCCTCTCAGCATCCATGCCCTGTGCTGCTCAATCTGCAACTTCTTGATATTCCAGATTGATAACATGAAGCAGATGGTGGAGCCGAACCCGACGAGTCCAATCCACGCCTGAGTGTCAATGCCGCCGTTGAATGCGCGTCTGGCGATCATCAACGCTCCAACAGTAGACACGATCCATAGTAGCATCGCGAGCCAGCCGCTAACGCGGTGGATGATAATAGCCTTGTGGCGTATGGCAGGTGTGAATTGGAGGATGACCAAGATGCAGGCGGGAAGAATCCCAGCGAGGTGCAATATGATGCCTGTCTTGTACCAGTTGAAGGTGCGGTACCAGTAGCATTCTCCAGGGGCGGCGCCGATCATGCTGTTGGAGCCGCCCGAGGGACAGAAGACGCCACCAAAGTTGAGGTACATGAAGCGTGCTAGGGTGACTGGTGGTTATGTTAGAGGTGAAGTGGAAAAGGGGAGAGGTAGAAAAGGGGGACATACAGCCAAAGAGTCCACCAGCGAAGATGAACCATAGGATGAAGTTGTAGGCTTTGGAGAAACCCAAGGGGCTGTAGACTTTACGGGCGAAGGCATTGAAGCCATTTTGTGGAGGGGGGGTTTGTCGCACCATGGTAGCCGAGCCGAAGGTTCTGATAGCTTGCTTGACAATATGAATGAAATTAGTGCAAGGTCTTCGAGTATGAGAACTGGGATGCGTAGAGGCTGTTGTTTGTATCCAGAGGTCGGGACCAACTGCATAACTTTATATCAACTCGAACTCCCGTGGTACGCATTGCTCAGAAGACAATCTCCCCGAGCCGTCGTCACGATCACCATTCCTAAGGGAATCTGCTTCCATCATGGCCATTTCTCCAGGCACAGCCTTACTTCTCAATGTACACCCGCATAGGACAAGTCCGCGATGATACAGCCCTACGGCCAGACCAAGACTCCCAAGACGCCGATTAGTGCGCGATACAGGCGTTCAATGAGCGATTTAGGGGTTGACGGTAGCTTTGTATCGTTAGCGCAGTTTTTCCTACACACGGCAACGGCTGTGACGGCGCTTGCATGCGAAGTTCGCGGAGGGTTGTTTGGCCGGGGTAATGCGAGATCGACATCTACGTCATAGGACTTGGCCTAATTCAGATTAGCGAAGCCAAGGAGGAGAAGTGTGGAACGGCCGGGGGGTCTCTAATCCCGTGTTCGCAACATACTCACCGACTTATCTGAATCCGGATGATTGCGCGACAGATTGATACGTAATGCTGCAAAACATCATAAACTAACGAAGCTCACGACATGGTGGGAGTTCCGGGTAGAAGCAAGGGCTGCATAACGTGTCGCAAGCGAAAGAAGGGCGTAAGTTGTCGTGCAAGCGTGAATGTGTCCACGAATCGGAGTGTTGATACCTGCAGTGCGATCTAAAGCAGCCTTCATGCGGGCAGTGCGAGGCTCGTGGGATCACTTGTGGTGGTTATGACTTGGATAGGATGTTCGTGCACGCAGCTGCGCCTTCGTATCCTGCACTTGTTGCGACAGCACCACATAGGACCGGGCGTATGCAACTTGGTCCGGTGAACATGCACGCGTACAACCCAGTACAGCTGGGTACTTCATTGCCTCATGGCCTCGCCAATTCAGCATACCGAGAAAAGACACTGGAGATGTTCTTTTCAATGTATTTGCCCCAGGGCGACCACAATCACCGCGACCTTCTAATCCGACCGAATAACGTTATTGATTTGCTGTCAAGCACGTACGCCAGTGATGAAGCTCTGAAGCTCGCAGCCTTAGCGCTGGGCACCTCCATGCTGGGCAGAACACGAGGAGAACAAGAATGGGTCAGACAAGGCAGAAGACTTTATGGGCAAGCATTGAGGGAAACGCGCAAAGCACTGATAGACCAGCAAAGGGCCAACTCTGATGCGATGCTTCTAGTCCCAAGGGTAGCGGCCATTTTCGAGATGCTCTTCGGTGCAGATGTCAACCCCACATTGCAAGCGCAGAATTGGCGCAGGCATGCCCAGGGTGAACTTGCAATACTCACAGCACAAGGGCCATATAGGTTCCAGGATGGAATCGCGCATCATATCTTTGCGGATGCCCGGATGCCGCCTCTTGTCGCGGCCATACGAAGAAGGAAAGCCTCCATTCTGAACGCCATCGAGTGGAAGACGATACCCTGGGGGAAACATCCTAAGGCGCCCAGGGATTGTTTGATTGACATTCTCGCTGGTATTCCGGAGGTGTTGGAAGACATTGATAATTTACGTTGTAGTCCAAATGATACGATCGCTCGCGCCGACATTACGATTAAGTGCAGAAAGTTGGAATTGCAGCTTCAGACCTGGACTACAGCAAACGAGGAACTCCTGGCGTACCCAGACACAGAGGACCCTACCGAGATAACGTTCAGAGGAAATGCGAGAGCGAATCTCACTCTGCTCTTTTGGACTGTGGCCATGTACACATACGGAGCGCTTGCAATTGTGTTACGGCCAAAGATGCCGACATCTTCTCAATCCTCCTTGATCACGTCCACTGACGCACTGTTTTATGCGCGTCGGATCGCTCGTTCCGTACGCTACTTTTTCAATCCGTTACGTGGAATCTCGGGCGCTACCACAATTGCCTTCCCAGGGGGTACCGCCATGCTATGTCTGATACACAGTGGCATGGAAAGAAACAAGGAGTATCTCGAATTAGCGCGTGGAGCTTGGAGCAGCCTTACTCCGTCATCTGGCATACAGGATTTCTTGAACAGCATGATGCTCGACACGGCTGCAGAGTTGAAACATGGGCTGCCGAGGTTAGGTGGTGAGTTTTGGAACATTGAGGTTGCTTTGTCGAGGAAGGAGTGATCGCGCCATGAAAATAGTCTTACGGACTGAGGTGCCGAGGCTCAAGGATCTTACTCAAAAGATACCGATAAGGAGCCTTGAAATCCCAGTCAAAACGACATCCCAATCACCAGTCCACCCTTGTATATCGTTTGTGCGGTCTATCATCGTAGACTAGGCCTTCGTCTAATTCATTACATTAGGCCCGCCGCCTTTTTACCCGCCGGACTTCCATATGCGGTTTACAGAGACTGTCTGTTTTGGGCAGCTCGCTCTCTTCTCGGCAAGGTGCTATACTATACTGTATTTCTTTCAATGCACGTATTCATGCGCGGATGATATCGATCAGGAAGGGGATATTGCACCTGCGTTTGTGGTGTTTACATGAGGCGGGGACGCCTTGGCGGCGGTACAATACTCTCACGCACCTTATTGATCTCAGTCTGGTGCAGCGTAAAGGTTTCGAGGAAGCACAGTGCAAAAGCGTCAGATGAATCTGCATAGCACACAGCTCGGCTTCGCGCGGTCTTCCCGATACTCATGTCGCTGATGATATCGTAGCGCCTGCGTTGACACTATACTAAGACAACATCGCCCCCAAATTATATTGCGAGCACATTCTGGCCTCTGCAATACATGGGGTTTTCGGGAAACGCTTTACATTACCCTTTTCGCGCATACGATCGATGTTCTAGCATAGTCATTGATCTAATGATGTTGCTGGAGACTATACACCGGCAGGGTAAATGCATAGAAAACAATGCGTCTTGCTATAAATACTTTGCTTTGTTCTGCGCCTATAACAGAACCTGAGGCTCTCAAATCTGGGAACGCTCGTTGCAAGATGAAGACCCTCATTGTCGCTGTTGCCCTCAGCAGTCTCGCATTCGCAACCCCGCTAGCCCCGTGGGAAGCATCCGCACCGCCCCCAGCGGGGACTACATTCTATCAACTGCAAGCAAAAACGTGCGTCGCTTCCTTCTCACATCCCTCATCCCCCATACCCTCCTCACTGCTAACACCAACTGACCACCTCACAACACACAGCTCCAGCGCCCCCTCCGCCAACAACCAATACGTCCAGTACCCCTCCAACCCCTCCCAGTATCGATACCAACTTAGCAAGCCTGGCGGAGAGAACGCCGGCACGCCCGCCAAATTCTTCCTGAGAAAGTACGAAGCGACAGGCACCTACGCTATCCACAACAGCGACGACACGCGGCAGATAGCTCTAGCGGGGGACGACTCAGTTCTCTTGTATCTTACAGACGCGACGAATCCGAGCGCAGGTAACATTCCTGGAGGGCAGTTGATGGAATGGGCGACGTTCACTACAGAAGGGAACGTGTTGGGCGTGAAGGATGGGAGTGCATTAACGAATCGGACTTTTGTGGCGGTTAGGGGCACGAGTGATTCGTGGTTTGTTGCGCTTTATGACGGTGAGTCAGAGCTGTTTGGGTGGTCTAGTTGAGTGACCTTTATGGAGATGAGCGATGGCTAATTATTTGATATCCAGGTGTGAGTAGCTCGAGGGAGATGATCTATCCGATCACGCTCAATCTTGTCAAGGTGGCCTAGATGGTGATTGAGACGTAATGAAAGAGGTGAATTATAGGCGTGTGATCGGGAGTGAGATCGCTTGAAGCTCTAAGGAGATTTTACTCTCATATTGTCCAAGCCAGACGATCAATCATGCCCTTTCACATATCGCACATGCTCTAAAAGATGAATTAATGCTACCCGCTAAATGATGATGTTGGTCGCTGCGCCTCCAGTGTCGCAAACCTCGATCTTGACTTTAATACCATGGATACCGGTTACAGAAGCTCGTCGAATTCTGATGTCGGGACCATGCTCTAAATTCGAATGTGGCACGAAGAATTCAGGGTGTCCTGGAGCACTGAGCACCGTGGCGTATGTGCAAAGTTGTTGAGGCCGAACGGAGACGGTGCCGTCCCGAAGTAATTATTCACATCTCGATAGCGACCTTTGGGGTAATACTGCTGTAAAGTGTAGCGATTCCGGACGTTTGATGAGCCAGTGTATTCATGTGCCTTGAGCAATTGATCCTCACACCAATGGGCCCGGCTCTGGACACAGAACAGACCGTTACAAATTCCCAGGACCCCGAATAATGTTTCAAGCGAGGGAAAATCCAGACTACAGGTACTTAGCACGGATATGGGTAAGGTTCCAAGGTTCCAAGATATTATTTTTTAAATTTTCAGAATTTACATCACGTGATCAGAGACACGGCAGCCCTAGACTCTCTTCAGGTCACATATGATGCTCATGGAGCACCATCGATGACTCTAGCTTACGCAAAGCTCGAACAAGACATGCGATGCCGTACATCATTAGATTATGGTGCGCATCGCATTGAGAGTGCGCAGCGCTCGATGTCGTCAGCGCCAGCTCGGCTAGCCGGCAGGAGGACGGAACGAAACGAAACGAAACACCAGCGCATTCCACTCAGCACCCGAAATAACATTGCAAGTGTGTATCAATCATAAAGAAGTCGTTATGTTCCATTCCGCTACGCATTGCCTCACATGAGCGTTGTCTTGATTCGGAATCCACACTTCCGCGTGAGACGAGCTATCCGCCGCCGCGTGGCATATCAGGTACGGTTGAAAACCCGGGGAGCATGTTCGAATGCCGGTTGCGAACGGCTCATGACACAAGTCGCATACATTTCGTCCTGGTTCCTGCGTTTTCCCTTGCTCCCGATGACCTGGTTCGTTGAGGCGCAGGAAAGCCGCTTAGCAACCATCTCATTAGGCTAGTTCTTTGAGGAGAGCCGCAAACAGCTGCTCGAAATAGTTCGCCGCAACCTGATCTGTGATAGCCTGTGTAGCTTGTGCCACGGTTCGTGGCTTTCAAACCCTGCGCCACCGCATCAGGCAGGCAGAACGTTCCTATTCAGGCTTAGGTAGTAGACGCCATCCACCTAGCCGCGCGAGCAGTTGGTGTGGTTCTTCACGAAATGCTGAACAGACCGTCTCGGGGCCAAAAAAAGGCGTCTGACTAGAAAGCTTATGAACCAGTATGCCAATGAGGAGTCATTTCGGAGGTAATTTAGGCGCTGAGCTTTCCCGCTTGGAGATCTAACGGCTCCCATAGCCATGACCTAAAGTCTCGCGCTACCGTTGCCATCAGCGCCAGTACGACATTTCTACAACGAATCCTCGGTAACCAGAAGTTCCGATGCCTCTGTGGCGCAGATTTGTAAGATGCCGTTGCTCGCGGGGTTAGCGGCTCACGATGCGTTGCAGCGGTATGGTCAGACCCTCTAGGTTACAAGGCAATGCAACGCTTTTGTTCGTTTGCGGATGCTTGATCTGGGTCCGGCCCATATGTTCAGCATGCTATATAACACGATGGAATCTCCTCGTTCACTAAAGCATTGCAACAGCACTCACTTCACATTGAACAGCATACATACATAGCACTATTCATCAGTGCTACACTCTCACTTAAATCACAACAACCACTGGCACCAACTATCGATCACAGTATATCCACCAACCATTATGCGTTCTACTCTCCTCTTCTGCGCGGCAGCGCTTGCTACTTCCACCTTCGCTGGCCCGATCATCAAGAGAGGGAACCAGGATCAACCCCATCAGTCTAACGACAATAACGGCCATCGAGATGGAGGGCATGAAAACCAAGGAGGCTTCTCCTTCCCCCTCCCTGACGGCTTCCCTAACCCGAGCCCCGACCAGATCAAGAATATCCAAGACCGGGCTCATGGCACACTCCCCAATATGCCTCTTCCGACTGGTCTCAGCGAGGACGGCATTACGAACTTCAAGCTGATCGCTTTCAACGAGCTCTTTGAGGTGGCCTTCTTCTATGAATTGGTCCAAAACATCACCAACGAGGTCGAAGGCTACAAGTTCGGTGCGGACAAGGACCAGGTTTTGCAAAATCTCAACGTCATCCTTGCCGTTGAGGAGCTACACGCTCTCGGTGCCAACGCCATCCTCCAGGCCAATAAGCAAGATCCCATCCAGCCCTGCAGGTACAACTTCCCTGTCTCGGACTTCGAGAGCGCCATTGGCCTCGCCGCCACCTTCACCGACGTTGTCCTCGGGACGCTCCAGGATGTTAACGATATCTTCGCCCAGAACACCGAGAACGGCCCCGTGCGTCTCATCTCCTCGGTCATTGGCAACGAAGGCGAGCAGGAAGGCCTCTTCCGCATTATCCAGAAGAAGACAACGCCTGCACAACCCTTCCTCACCACCGGCACCCGCGACTTTGCCTTCACGGCCATCCAAGGCTTCGTCGTGCCCGGCAGCTGCCCCAACATCGAGGAAATTCCGCTGAAGACTTTCAAGCCCCTCAACGTCGTCAGCCAGAACATCCAACCCAAGGACCAAGAGCTCGAGTTCAGCTTCGATATGTCTGGTGTCGATGTCGATGTTAACTCGCTTTCTTTGGTCTTGATCAATGCTCAGAACGCGCCGATCGTTGAGAAGCTCGAGAACATTGAGGCCAAGGATGGTGTTGCTACCTTCACCGCAGAGTTCCCCTTCGAGAAGTTCCTGCTGCACGGTCTTACTATTGCGGCTGTCACGCACTATGCGGAGTCCTTTAACAGCCCTGACGATGTCGCCAAGCAGACTATTTTTGCTCCTGGCCTCATCGAGGTCAACTAGATAGCTCGACTGTCGGAGCCCAAGAAGTTTGTGTTATGAGTTTGGCATTCATTGGGTTCCTTTTTGTTATCAATCATCCTTAGCATTGCTCTTTGCATAGCCACTATAACTAGCTGTAATAATTGCATTCTTACACCTCATACACAACTCAACGTATTTTCGCCTTAATCGTGCCATTATTTGCCACATCATATCAGTGGATGGGTGCCCCACCCGTGCTTCGGCACGTTAAAGATCCACTTCATGACCATGACCAAGAGTTCGAACTTGATAAATCGAATCACAGAATCGATCCTATCTCTTGGCTTCTCAACATTGATCTTGGTATGCTCAATCGCATTGTCGGCAAAGATAGTAGTTCCTCTGTGTGGTGGATGCCCGGTTAGGACAGGATAAATAGATAGACCCCCAATCTAAAACCCATGGCGATGTGGAACGTCCACTTCCCCACCAAACACTGGTAGATGAGCGTAATCAACAAATCTGGGTCGCTGGGGTAAGGACTTCTGTTTTTGGCTGTTGACGGGTACATAGCTCCATGCCTCTGGAAATACCTACGCCATTGACTTCACTGAAGTCGTCGAGTTTTCATCGATCCAGCTCTTACCCTGCAGACTCGCAGTTGCAAATCGTAGGACTAAATGCTCAAGATGAATTGGAAACTCCATTTCCTAACGGCCAGCGTGGCGCATGCGGCGTTACGTTTCGGCTGCTCTACAGTCTCAGTCCAGAGACTCGATCCACTTGTCGAGCCCGGAGCGAACCCGTCGTCCCATGTTCACCAGGTGATGATTCCTCACTCATTACCCTCGTCAAAACTCTAATGCGTGCATAGATCGTGGGTGGAAATGCCTTTGCACCAACGATGAAGGGCGATATTGGCGAGCAAGCAAACTGCACAACTTGCGTGTACACCGAGGACTTCAGGTACCGAAAATCTTTGCTCATCATGCAAGAGATTGTACTGAGCCCCTTTAGTAACTACTGGACCGCTGTGATGTACTTCAGACACGAAAACGGCAGCTACAAGCGCGTGCCACAATACCCGAACGCGCAACTTGGGTACGAAGGGTGCGTCTGTACTAGACGTTTCCGAGTAGCGTTACTGACTACCATCTGTCCAGGCACAACGACACCAACATCAAAGGCGGCATGACGATATACTACACCGAGAAGGACTTTTCCAGCGACGGGGACCAGTACATCACTGGCTTCGCCCCGGTGCGTCAACCGAAAAACTCCACATCGGAAAATGACCACTGATTTGCTCCTACCACAGGGCTTCCGCATGACCGTAGGCAGTCCTACAGTGAACAACAAGACGAATGGAACGAACCCTGGGCTGGCGTATACGTGCCTGCAGTCGATACTGACGCGCGGGTCGGAGACGCCAGATTTTCCGAAGAAGCCCTGTCCAGCGGGTATTATGGTATGGATGCTCCTAAACCCTCTCTTTGAAAAGCAGGCATGAGTTTCAAAGCTTACCAGCAGTCCAGGCCATCCACCATTTCCCCGCCTGTTGGGACGGCAAGAACCTCGACTCCCCAGGTACGTTTCCCCCTACCAACGCCTCCACCCTACTCACCCCTCAGACCACCAGTCCCACATGTTCTCCACGACACGCGGCCACTTCCTCGAAGCCGGGCCGTGCCCCGCCTCCCACCCCGTCCGGGTCCCCCAAGTCGCCTATGAAACAATGTGGAACACGACGGCCTTTGCGGACATGTGGCCGTCAGACGGGTCGCAGCCGTTTGTGTGGAGCTTCATGGGGAACGGGTACGGGACGCATGCGGACTACTTGTTTGGGTGGAAGGGGGATAGTTTGCAGCGTGCGATTAATGATACGTGCATGTTTCATGGGTGTGGCAGTCCGGGCGTGCAGGGCGTGCTGAAGACGCAGACGGTGGAAGAGATGAACAAGTGTGAGGCGAGGACGGCGGTCGAGGAGGATGTTGATGGGTGGTTGGATGAGTTGCCGGGGATGAACATGGGAGGGGTTGTGTAGAGAGACGGAGAGATAGGTGTGTGTGTGTGTGTGGGTGTGCGTTTGGACGTATTGATGGTGTTGTAATACCACAAAGAGCAGGAACGTCGGCGCTCCGTATCCTGCGTTGACTTGAACTACTAATACGTTTATGAAACTATATAGTAATAAGTCATCGTGGATATTCACAAGACCTACAGTAGCCCGCCTCACGATTCATCAATCGTTTTCGTTGCCCACTGTGGACCAGTCATGTAGCAGTTCGCTAATCTTACTTGCCATTTGCGCGCTCCCGCGTCTCAGTCGAGGTTCCCTTTTCAAAAACCTTCTCCTCCACTTCTTGCGCGGCCTCGGCTCCGATCGTGGTCTCGTAAGATTTGAACTTCCACGCTGCGACCTTGTTTGCGAATAGTTCGTCGATTTCTTCCAGTGTTCTACAGCGAGGATCAGCTTCAATGCTGCGAGATCAAGGGAAGTAGGGGATAACTTACCTTCCTTTCATCTCTGGCATGCAAAGGAAGAAGAACAAAACGCAAAGAAAGTTTCTATAGTCACCGTTAGCATCGTAAACATCCGTAACGGTCGGCCATACTCACGACCCAGCCCAAATATACCCATACTTTGCGCCCTATGCTCCGTTAGCTCACATTGCAAACAAGTTGTTCCAAAAGAACTCACCCAGCCAAGGTTCTGCGGATTGATAAAGTATGGCGTACAAAACGCATTCAACCACGCCAAAAAATACCCAAAGCTTGTCGCACTCCCCACCGTCCACGCCCTCAACCGCGTACTCACAAGCTCCGTCGCAACTGGATAACTCGCCGCGCCAACGCACATGTTATAGCCCCACTTAAACAGCGCAGTGAATCCTATGAGACAGTTGAGGTTCGCCTGCGTGCCGGGCGCGACGGTGGCGGAGACAGCTAGGCCCAGTTGCGAGCATCCGCAGATGACACCCCCAAGCATAAGGATGGAGCGCCGGCCCAGGTGGTTCCGCATCAGATACATGCCCATGTTTACGCCGACGAATCCGAGGCAGGTCGCCATGATGGTGTAGGCAAAGGCGTCAGAGACGGTGAGGCCGGAGACTGTAAGGAAGTAGGTGCCGTAGGAGATGACGAACCAGACCCCGGAACCGGTTTGGCAGGCGATCATGCCGAAGCAGAGGAGGGTGCGCCGGAGATCGGTGCCTGAGGCTCTGGATTAGTGGGAAGAATGTGTGGGGAGATGGAGGTAGGGATACCTTTGAACATATCCAACGCGCCTACCGTGGTTGCGAGGCGCTTCTCTTCTTCTATGCCTTTCACCATTTCTGCCCATTCTAGCTCCACAATCTCTGGTGCGACCGATGTACCTCGTAGCGACTCGAGCGATTTCTTGGCCTCGCTTTCTCGCCCCTTGGCAAGTAGATACCTTGGACTTTCCGGCACAAACAACAATCCCACCGCCAAGATCATCGGAACTATGAACAGTGTCCCAATGGGAATTTGGTAGGATGCTTTGTCGAGCCTGGCTATACTCCCGTGCAAATCGTCAGCTGATTCACGCAAGTTGGTGTAGGTACGGAATGTCTACATCTATGACATAACAACGTCGTCCTAGGAGATCATACCTTTCGTTGCATTCGTCACCGCAGCCCCAACAATGCTCCCTATATTAACCCAATACGCAAAAAGCGCCACGATGACCCCCCTCAAATGCGCCGGGCTCGCCTCGCTCGTATAAATATTGCTGAACGTGACCAGAAACCCGTTCGCGAAGCCTAGAATCAATCGACCTATGTAAATAGCTGCTGGTGTGGTGCTTGTGATCTGAATAATGCAGGCGACGCCGTTGAGCACGCAGGCCACCCACAGCGCGACTTTGCGCCCGAAGAAGTGGCTGAAGGTGCCTGCGGTCAGAGCGGAAATGAAGGAGCCGAGGGTTAGAAGGGAGGCGATGAGCTGTTGGAAGGTGGACTGTTACAATCTTGTAAGTAGTTAAGAATGGTAGTGGGTGAGGGGAGGGACATTTACATCGATTGCATACCCGCCTGGAGCTTTAGGGCTCGCGTAGCCGAAGACACGTAGGAAGCCGGGCATGGCTTGCAACCCCCCGACAGCGGCGCTGTCTAACCCTATACTCACGGGTACAAAGTCAGCTGGGTCAAAAAAGTGGGTTTGTGTATAAATTGCCTATGTCTAAGATATAGCAATTTTATACCGAGGATCGTACCATATTGCAGGTTAGCGATGGAGACGATGGTGCAGATGAAAAGGCATTTTCGATTTGCCCAAAGAGAGGACTCTTTTAGGGCGAGTTGCGGCATGGTCCGAAGCTCAATTGTGGATGCAGGTTAAGAAACGTTCAGTCATCCAATGCAGTTGATGTAAGACGTTTCGCGGTTGAAGGTACATGAATGAAGTAGCGACCTGGGGCCAGGTATATCGAAGGCGATTAACCGAATGGTAAGTCAACTCTTGGTAAATCATCCCCCATCTGGGGCCCCGCATTCTCATCCTGAAGGTGATTCGCAGGAAATGCATTTCCTGTCTTGCCCAGAAAGACTACGCTGGAAAAGGTTTGGGTTGCCTCGGTATTGAACTGCGCGCACGCATCTTCTCCACGGCACAGACTCTAAGCAGACAGGCAGGTGGAGTGGCTAGCGGTGGGGCATGCGTATCTTCAAAATCGAGCGAGAGAGAGAAAGAGGAGAGGTGGGTGAGAGAAGGAGAGCGATGTGGGGTCGTTCGGCGAGCTTGGCAGACGCGCGTGCATCTTCTACGACAGGCAATGGCAGTGCCCAGAGCATGTCACATCATAATTCACGACAGCCAGGAAGAGGCCCAAGAATCAGGACATACACGAGACAGAGTCTTCCTGCAAAACTTCCATGCTACACGATTTTTAACAACTCACCGTCGAAGGAGCCACACACAGTCATACAGCGAATGTAGAAAGTCGTGACCCTACTCGGTCTGCCGCCAGCTTATTCATTCTCCCGTACATCGATGACCGTAGTCTTGAATTTGCGTGCCGGGATCTTGCGGTTGAACATGATATCCACCTCGCGGTACGACCGATCCTTGAGCTCCGGTAAGAAGAAGAAAGCCATAACGTAGCACACAAATGCAGTCCCGCCCCAGATATATCCACACTTGCCTGCTAGATTCCATCCTGTTGGGTTCAACATCTGACTCGCAAGGTAGATCATCGGGATCTCAGCAACGTAGTACGCGCCTCGTCCGACACCGGTACTCAACGCGCGGAGCCTGACAGATGATGTTTCGGCGATGATGCTGTATGAGATTGGACCGAGCGTGCCAGCGTATACGAAGGAGATGATAACGCCAAGGCAGGCCTGCGCGTAGTTTGTGGACGAATTTTGTTTGATGCTGGCGCAGATGCCGAGAAGGATGAGGAAGGTAAAGTTTGCGGCCGTGCCCCAGAGGTATATTGTGCGGCGGCCGAACCAAACGGAAAGGAACCAGGAGCCGATGTTCGCAACGAGGCCGAGGCAAGAGTTGATTAGGTTGAGCTGGAAGCTGAAATCGGTGGACATGCCAGCCTCTGCGAACGATGTCAATACACGTGATGAACCAGAAGAAGTAGTACTCACGCTCGAAGAAGAAAGTCGCCTGGTTGGCAATCAGATTGCCGGCAAAGTTCTGCGACGCGTACATCAGACAGGTGATGGCTGTTCGCCTCAGGTCCGTGCCTTTGAACAGGTCAGGAAGCTGCGGGTGTCCGCCCTTGAGGGCCTCGATTTCAACTGTGCGCTCCATCATAGCAAGGGTGTCGTTCGCCTTGGTTTTCGACTTGGCACCAAGACGCTCAATAGATCGCAGTGCTTCGTCTTTCCGTCCTCTGCGAATAAGCCACCATGGTGACTCCGGCATAAACCATATGAGAATCAGAAGAGGGGTCTAGGTCGTTAGAACGAATATTGCATCCCAAGACTGAGAAAAAACTTACTGGGAAGACCCATTGCAGAGCAAGTGGGATTCTCCAGGCCCACTGGTCATCACGCTTGTTGTAGACCCACGTCACAGCTGCGACGATGATACCACCGATAGACCAACTCATTTGCAGAGTGGCCGTACAAGCACCACGAAGAACGATGGGGACAATCTCCGAGGCATACGCAGGTGAGTTTGCGATGAAGAGACCCCATGGTACACCTTCAAATGCTTGACCAATGGTGAGGACAGCGAGTGAGTCGGCCTTTGTTTGGTAAGATTGGGACGCGAGTTAAGCCTACAAAACTTACAAAGAACGAGATAAAGATTGTAGCATTCATCAGGACCAATCCTAAGATGGTGGTCCAACGATAGCCGAGGCGATTTGTTATGGGTCCAGCGATGAAGACGCCCACGAAAGCACCACATTGTCCACTCTGGAATAGAGCGCTCTGCCACTTGGTCTCGATGGTCTTTCCGTTCGCGTGTTCAACGCCGTATCTTTCCTTGAAAGCGGTTTGGGCAACAAAGTTACCGTTCAAAAACATGTCGAACGACTCCATGACCTGGTGGGTGTTAATTTCGGCCGGAAATGTAACACAATGCCACATGTGCGCCGGAGAGCGTTCAAGGGTGTCTTTGCTTACAATAGTAAAGCACATAAGGAATGCCCAGAAGCAAGCCATAGGATGCGACTTCACAGCCTGCCACGCCGTCATCTCATGCTCCGCATTCTCTGCGTCGTAGGCATGGCTCATAACGTTGGCATCGAGGGCCAAGAGCTCAGAGTGGTGTGCAGTCTTCTCGTCTGCCTTGCCAACATCCTCGACAGCTGGATCGGCCTTCTCTTGGAGTCCCGACATGTTCGTGGAGCTGCTGCCTGAATGTACCAAGCGTGGAAGGAGATGACAAGTTGTTGTAAGCAACGCGCGATCTTTGCGCTCGCAGGTGAGTGCTCCTCTTAAATATCTCCCATGTTTCTGGGTTGCAATTGCATATGCAATATGCTTACCCAGTCACCGGGGGCAGCACCAAATCGGCAGGTGAGGCACTAAGCGAAACGGGCAGGCAAGCCGTCCCTCGTGTGGTTTCCTGGGGGCCCCGCAGCTAAACTCACACAAGGATGCCGCGAACCGCCCGCTCACTGGTGGAAAACAGGGCATGGGCGCTGCTTTCGTTGCAACTCAAGGTTTCTCAAAGCAAGGCGCGGTGCCGGGCTATTCCCCAGTCCGACGCACAGCAGCCGTTGGCGCGGGCCACGGCACACTACCTTACCCCTCCTGGAGACCCACCCGGTACGCCTCCTCGATCACTATGGTGGCGTTGTGAACGTCCTCGAAGGTTAGTTGAGCAAGCGGTTCTTGCGTCCCCGATGTTGCATGTCAACTGGCCACCTCACCGTCTGTTTACCACCGACTAAAAACTGCATCTGGTGACCAGCAGCCTTCGTTGCACCACTAGCATTTTGGCATTCACCAAATGTCAATCGTGGGCTGCTGTTGGTCCGCTTCTTGCAGTTGCAGATCCGCTATCCTAGGAGTAAGCTGTGTCTGCGGGAGCAGATGACATCAAATCAATGGAGTTCGATAGGGCCAACCATGTCGCCGACTTCTTGGCTAGGTATCGGTGGGGAATCTGGTTCTTCTGCAGCATCTTGTCTACATTTGCGCAGGTATACGCTGAGTGCATTGGCAGAATTCTAGAATCAGTGCACAAAGAGACCTGTGAACTTGTTCAACACAAATGCAGTGCTGCAAACTGGAGCTGCTCGTGTAACCCAAGCATCTTGGATGAAGACGCTGTAACCAAATCGGATGAAGAAGAGTCAAGACGGGAGCCTCCGCGAGCTGACCAGGGCAATGGCCTTGGTGCATGCCCGCATTACTTCGTAGCTTGCTTCGGAAGCGCACCCGTCGGTATATTTCCGGTGCTGTTCTAGCGCGGCGTGTGGAGGAAGCTTGGGTGGAACAACCTCAAACTTGGAACAATGAATCCAACAACGCGTGGTCGCGGAGCGGAGTATCGCCTGCTATCGAATGAGCGGTCAAGAAGATCCGCGCGAGACCTTGGATTCCGGGAAAAACAGGCTACTTCTGTATCACAGCTGCCGCTCGCGTAGCATGGGTAGGATGAGTCTGGAGGGTCTCCGGTCGCGCCCTCGCGCGATATCCAGGCTCGATCGAAAAGAACATGTTTGAACGCGAAAGTGAGCGAAGTTGATTGCAAGAGTGATGAAGGACAGACCCGGGAAGGTGGGGCAGCGGCCAACGGCAACTGCGGCCTGGGGGCTCTTTCCCACTACACTCACTCACCAACATTATCAGGCAAGTACCTTCGGTACATACAATAGTGTACATTCTACAGGCATATTTACACAAGGGGTTGTACATCCGTATCTTACGCAGTGCGCTCGCTGTGCACCTCCTCCTCCTTCTCCTTCTTGGTCGCTTCGTACCGCTTTCCTCTGAAGGCATAAAGGCCAAAGTTGCTGCAAGTTGCGTCATGCGGATCGAGATCATTCAGGTCCCATCTCAAGCTCCTGAAGATGTTCACTCCGGGTTCGAGCAACATATCCATCTCGTTACCGTAGCGTTTCTGCAGGAACCCAACATCCTGTTCCAGGTCACTCGGTGAGTAGGCCGTGGCGATGATTGGCACTTTGGTCTCCAAAAGTAGCGGTATCGTCTCCTCCCACTCATGCAGTGAGGCCGGATTTCCGAAGCCCGGATGGAAGCACACGAAGCAGTCAAAGTAGGGGTCGTAAGGAACGAAGTGACCCGTTTTGTGCATGGTGTGGTAGTACTCGACGTAAGTACTGATTTTCATGGCGTTGGAAATACGGTCTTCAATCACGGCACCGAAGGGGTTGTTTGCGGTGCGCTCAGGGAGCGGGAGCTCTTTCTCGCGGTTTGCCATGCTTTCCGGGCCGATGAAGTGTAGGGAGAATTGTACGCGGTGGAACAGGTACGCGAGTTGCATCCACGTGTCTCGCGGGAGGGAAGATTCGGCTCTTGCGCCGAGGATGAAGAGACGCACCGAAGGCGGGGCGAGACGGGCGTTCTTCCAGGTGTCACCTCCACCAGTTCTGGGCGGATGGAGGGTGTGGCGCAGAGCTACACGCGTTAGCCAAGATGACATGGAGGGAGGTTAGTACTCACCACCGAAGCTCTTCAGACCCTCCGGCGTCATGCGTCCACCTTTGCGGATGTTGTACGGGCTAAGCTCATTGATGACACTGGCGATGGTCATAGGGTACGTCAGGAGCTTAGTAGCCTGGCGCATCTCGCGATCCTTGTTCAGCGCATCGTAGTCTCGGGTGTACAGATAGGTGTCCCAACTGCTCATGTTGGTTAGGATTTCTTCAATCTGCGGCTCCGCGAACTGAAACTCCTTGAAGAAGCGGCCACTATGCAGATCGTGGTCATCCTCATTGGACTGCCGCAAGACATCACACACGTCCAAATGGTTCTCGTAGTCGTCTGCCCAGTGCTCCTCGCAGCAGTATACGGGAATGCCGCAGTCGGGACACTCAAAGTCGACGTGGGCGGGCGGCGTGCCGTCCGAGTTCTTGCGCGCCTCGTGATCATCGGGATTGTTCGGGGCCCTGGTAGGCTTGTGATCAGGGTGCGGGCAGTAGGCGTGTTGTCGCATATAAGCTGCGCGCTTGCGGATCGCAGGAATGGGCGAGTGCGTGAACGAGTGGAAGAGATTGTCCTCGGTCAGGACCATCTTCCGACGGTGGCCCTCCGGGTCAACATATTCGTACGGCTCGAAGGCGCCCTGGAAGTTGCGGTTCGACGTGGTCGAGATGCTCCGTTTTGGCAGCGAGAGCTTGGGCTGTGCAGGAACATTGCAGGTGGAGTGATTTCGCTGCAAGAATCCCTGGGGGGCGATGTGCAGCGCAGACGAGGGTAGCAATTGCGGCCGGGCGGCTTTGATGAGCGAGAGGCACCTGTTGCAGGTGTACGAGGGCCGCATATTGGGCAATTGGCTTCGGGCGACGCTGCGTGTCCGACGCGATGCTTGTCCATGCAATCATCGTTCACCCGCGCCAAGCCGCTAGGCACGGAGGAACCTTCGCGGAGCATTGCGGCTCACCAAGCATCACCACGATCAGTTTGTGGCACTCCGTCGTTGCAACACCGGGTAGGCAAATATGTTTCCTCGCATACATTACCTGCACGAGTCCGTATCGGGTTCCCGCCGTGGCATCCGAAGTCCTTCCTCTTTCTCCAGCTCACTTTACACATCCTAAGCAATACGGACGCCTGTGCAGGATGCGCATTGCCGACAGCTGTATTTACACGCGTGCATCCAATCACGGAGATGCAGAATGCAATTGCTGCCCCATTGGCGGCCGTTATGCCGTGCCTCCCATCTTCCGCCCCGGATCTGGCCATACTCGTATTGCAAGGACTTCAGCCTTGCTTGACACCTCTCCAGCTTCAAGCTCTGAAAGCAATAGATACATTCATAAGATAGCGCCCAATTGCAACGTTACTTAATTGACCTCATCAGGCTACCGAGTTGAGTACCTTGCTACTAACAAGTCCAGCTCCACGAAGTACTTTGATAGACCAGGCTGAAGATCTGCTATTCCTATACCATATGCGTAGCAACCCATGTTTGTCCGTAATCCGTCTGCAGCAGCTCCGACCAGGTACCAGGGGCACTTCAGGCTTTAAAACAAGCTCTTCGGCCCACTCCACTCTGACGGCTGCTGTGCTTCCTCAACATCAACCTACATTTTCTTTACTTACGCTAGTTGTAAGGCATGAAGCTCGTGCTAGCGCCAACAATAGCCATTTGGCTATTGGCCGCATGTGCGGCAGCGTCTGGCCCAACCAAGATATACATCGACTCAGTGCCGGAATACAACCTTCTTCAATCTTGCGCAGAGCATCAAGTCTCTCTGGTTGTGAGAAGCATGGCGGTAACTCATAACACCTGGCTCTCATATCGATCTTATACTGACCGTCCATCAGTACGGCTGCGGAGATGGGTCCAAAACGACGTCGTATGCTTGTTTCTGCTATCAGTCTTCCGCATACTACAGTCGCATGATAAGCACAAAAGTAACTTCAGCTTGCTCCAAGACTCGTGGACAAGATAGCAGCGCGGTCGAGGTCTTCAGCAAATACTGTCAGTTGGCGGAACTTGAGGAAGTCACGACAACAGGTGGGTGCTGCCATAGCAAAGGGAGTACCACTATCTCACAGCAAACTCCAGACTCCGCACTCTCCGAAACCACCTCCTCCTCATCATCAATCCAAAGCACATCACAACCTTCTCCAGCATTAACACCCGCAAGAACCACACCCTCGCCAACAAACACCCCCAGCTCCCAGACGAGCGATCCGCTTCCACCCCAACCCGAGCCTGAGAAGAATGACAACACCGCCGCCATCGCCGCCGGCGTCACTGTACCCGTCGTTCTCATCGCATTAGGCCTACTCGGCTTCCTTCTGTACCGCCATCGTCAGAAACACAATCCTCATGCTGAACTCGCGGCTTCTGCACAAGTGACTGAAGTCTCTGGAGCACCCACAGTCTACGGAAAAGACACGTATGGGCATGCGGAGTTGGAGGGTGGCCGTCCGCAAGAGCTGGATCCAGGCAGTGCACGAGGGGAGCTGGCTGCATCGCCAGGGGCAAGCCGAGATAGGAAGATTGAGCGGCTTCTAGGGAATGGGAGCGGACCTTGAAAGGATGACTTGTGGTTGTCTAAGGTGCAACAAATGATGGATAGGATCGACTTCAAGTTTCCTTGGCTCGTTGGTGGCAAGATCAGATACGGACATTGTCAGATGAATGTTCCGATACCGGAAGCTCCTCCATCGCGATAGCAAACGGATTCGAGATGTTGGTGAAGAAGACAGAATCGAATGTCGCAATGCATGCTAGAAGTCAAACGCAATATTCATTGATAACCCCGCTCGGGGTCTCGTACGTCGGGATTCAACTGAACAACACATCCCCAGTGCGTGTGTTGGGGTTGCATCGCATTCGTCCGAGTCGGACGGTCACGAAGTAGTGCTTTGAATAGCTCTAAGTGATCGCGCACGTAACTCGTCGTCTACAGCGCCTGCCCGCGTTTTGCCCCGCACTAACAGCTATGGCAGGTTGCCTCCAACACCACTTTTGAGCTTCATCCCGCACTACGTTGCTAAGCGTGGGAATGGCCGCTCCTCCGGCCCACAATTCTCGATTCGGTCGTGACTATAGGGCGTAACTTATCTTTTCCGCAGCGGGGATACGTAACGGCCGGCTCCGCCTCAACGCAGATGTAGACTTACATTCCAGCCAGAAGTTTGATTCTGTAACATACAACGACACACTAGGTCCCTCTCCACAATGGCGCCCTCCGCGATCTCCTCAGATGCCGTCTCTAGTATCAAGGCCAAACAGCCCATTCCCAAGTCCAAAGACGATCCCGCGAAGCCCCAGACCGCACTCCAGGCCATATCCCAGGGCGTCAGCCTACCAGGTATCCCGACTTTCCCGAGCTTCGCACCCCAGCGCGCATGGCTCCTTGCCCATATGGCTGGCGCGTTCCGCGTGTTCGCGCGCAAAAACTTTACGGAGGGCATGTCCGGGCATATTTCGGTGAGGGATCCGGAGTTCCCCCATGCGTTTTGGACGAACCCGCTGGGGAGGCATTTTGGACTGCTGAGGGCGAGCGATATGGTGCTTGTGGACTACGATGGAAAGGTTGTGGGGGGCAATAGGGCGAGGCCGTCAAATGCGGCGGGATTTTTGATCCATAGTGCGGTGCATAAGGCGAGGCCGGATGTTCATGCTGCGTGGTGAGTCCCTATGGCTTCGTTATATCATGTACTCATGATAGAGGAAGTATCTCGGTGAAACTGACGGTGGACGAACAGCCACTGCCACGGCATCGCAGGCAAGGCCTGGTCCGCTTTCGGCAAGCCCCTCGATATGATTAACCAAGACGTAACGTACTTCTATGGCGATGCGCAGGCTATGTACCGCGACTTCGGCGGCGTCGTGCTTTCTCCGGAGGAAGGCGAGAAACTTGCTGCTGCGCTTGGACCCAAGGGCAAGGGACTTATCCTACAGAATCACGGTTTGCTCGTAAGTGACTCCCCTACCCGAGATAATTCATAGTAATACATGCTGACTTGACAGACGGTGGGCGGCACAGTAGATGAGGCTGCGTACCTCTACACGCTGATGGAGAAGTCATGCGATGTGCAGCTCCGAGTCGAGGCTGCTGCGGCTGCGGGGTTGAAGAAGATTATTGTGGACGACGAGGCAGCCGAGTACACGTTTCGCATGGCGAGTGACCCTGAGGCTCTGTACTGGGAGTTCCAGCCGGATTTGGAGTATGAATATGAGATGAGTGGGGCTGTTTTTGAGGATTATGTAGCGCCAGAGACACTGTTGGATTAGGGCGGCACAGTGGCTAACACAGAACATAGTAATGTGTACGCACCCAGTCCCGTATTTACTTACACCACTATACGTGTTCAGGATCATAGTGTCATAAGTTAGCGTAGATGCTCACAGTGGGGTCTACCTCATAGGTTCACATTTTGATACCCGGCCACTGTGGCGAAGAGGTCAATTTGAGTAGATTTTCGTGTCATCCGATCTTCTCCATTGCTTCTTTGATAGACCTGCGGTTGTTGTCTATTGTATCGCAGCGCTGCTGCTAGACTACTGTATACCTCTGCTATTCTTAAGCGCGCTGCTCCTCTGGGAGCCACTCTGTCGGTCTGTCAGAGTCAACACAACCCTGAGGTCGGAGAGGGAAAGGGCGTTATATGCGGACAAAGACGAGGAATGACCGGACTTGTTCAAGAAAGGGCGGGTCGATTGAGAGAAAACCTGTTCTGCCGTATGCTGAGTGGGTTGGTTGAGGAGTCCTTTACATGGTTCACAGCGAGAATAGTGTTGCCAAGGGCACAAGAGCCGAAGGCGTTCTGTGCGATTAAAGGGTGAACGCATGCGAATCTAAGCGATCATGTTGATGACACAGGGCAGAAAGCTACATATGTACGGAGTTCCTTGGGAAGTACCTAATCTGAAGTGGTGTGAGATGTGACGGGTTGTTGTAATTAGCATACCTCCCGTCTACTACAATGCATCACCTGTGAAGAATTGGTGTATTCATAGATTCCATAGTGCCAACGACGACAGTCTCGTTTGCACTTCAACCTTCCCCGCACAGATAGCCGCGGCTCAACCTCCCACGCTAACAGTAGGAGACAGCCGTAACACCGACTCTCACGATCCTCATGCTCATTAATTAACGACATATACCTCTATTTTTTTGGTCCCGCGTTTCTACAGTACTGACTTCATCATGACTCCTCCACCCTTGTCGACTTCTTTAACCACTCTCCTCAACATTCAGCACCCTATCATGCTAGCTGGCATGGATCAAGTCGCAGGGCCTGAACTTGCAGCAGCTGTGACCAATGCTGGTGGATTCGGTACCTTAGGTGGAGCGCGGTACACGCCGAAGATGCTGCGCGAGATGATTGCAGAGATGAAAGGCTTGCTGAATGACAAGAATGCCCCATTCGGAGTAGACTTGCTACTACCACAAGTTGGCGGAAGCGCGAGGAAGACAAATGTAGGTCCAGATACTGAGTAATTGAGACAATGCGTGGGGTTTCCGATGAGAGTGATGCTTGCTGATGGATGTTTGCAGTACGATTACACGAAAGGAAACTTGGCCGAGCTATTAGATATTGTGATTGAGAGTGGAGCGAAGCTCTTCGTGTCAGCCGTGGGCGTGCCTCCACACTGGGCAATCGAGAAGTTACACAAGGCTGGAGTGTTGTAGTAAGCGCGTCACCGTAGCTTTTTGATTACAATTCACTGACAGATCGAAGTGGCAACATGATCGGTCATCCAAAGGTATATTGAGCTCACCCCACGACGTTGACTGCAGCCTCCATACTTACGCCCGCAGCATGTTCACAAAGCCTGCCGTGCAGGTGCAGACATCATCATTGCGCAAGGTGGCGAGGCAGGCGGGCACACTGGCGACATAGCCACCAGTGTGCTAATACCCGCCTGCGCCGACATCTGCAGAGAATACATCTCCCCACTGACCTCCAAACCCGTGACCCTCGTCGCAGCAGGTGGGATTAACGATGGTCGGAGCGTTGCTGCGGCCCTCATGCTCGGAGCGAGTGGAGTCTGGATCGGCACACGCTTCATCGTCTCAAAGGAGAGCAAGGCACCCCAGATCTTCAAAGACCAGGTCATCGCTGCGGATTACGATAGTTGGGTCAAGTTGACCGTTTGGAGTGGGAGGCCGCTAAGAGCGCTGAGGAACCCGTGGCTGACGGACTGGGAGGTCAATCGCCAGCAGGAGATCAAAGAACTTATGGACAAGGGGATCGTGCCGGTGGATTTTGAGTTGGATCGGTTGCACAAGGAGGGCAAGTTGACGGACGAGATTGAGGATGCCGCGGCGTTGAGGCAAGTGATCGCGCGGTCTCCATTATGTTTACTTTGATGCTAACTTCGAGCGTGTAGGCCGATTGGCGTAGTCGGAGGGTCGGTAAATAAGTCGGGGCAGTCTGCGAAAGAGATTGTGGATGAGATTGTGCAGGAAACTGTTCTTGTATTGAGCAGCGCGGCTTCATTTATGAATCAGGTGGCAAAGCTGTAAGAGGAAGATGCGGATTGTAGGAGTGCATGCCACCCGCAAAGGATTTCTTATGTCAAAGTTTTGCAAACCTTCACAGTGGCTGACAGGAAGAACGAAAACCTCTGAGGATAAATTATAAGTTTAGAGTTCTGAACAAATAAGGTACAGCAAGTTTCTAGAGGATTAGCTGTACGCTGTGAGTTCAAAAAGCGACATATATAGTGAGCTCCCACAGAATGAGATATATGCTGATACTCTTGTTTTGTGTCAGTCACTGTGCCCTGTCCGACCTGGCCACGAATCTTGCTCAGAATTTATCCCAATTCTCGTCAAACTTAGCCAACGTCTCCTTTCCAACCCAGATACCTATCTCATTCCCCACATCACTCGCGAACTGGAAATGGATGCCCCCGAAGACCCTACTATCGCCGTTCTCATACGCCGCAGCGGTCAGATTCGTGATGCGTCGCGTGATCACACCTACGTTGTCGACCGTAACATTGCTGCTTAGTGTCACATTGACACTATCTCCGCCGTTCCAGGCTTTGATGACGGCGGCTGCTGCGCCACCGAAAGTGGCATGAGTCGAGAGGTAATCTTGGTGATTTGGAGTTGGGGTCAACAGGGGAGTCCAGTTAGGGTCCGAAATATCACGTCCGCTAGCAAGGTAAATTTCTGGATAGCGTATCGCAGTTACGGGGCGCCAACTGTTGTGGAAATATCTTGGGTGATGGAGTCAGTGTGCTGCTCTTAATATACTCAACGGGATTGGGTCGAAGTGGAAGAACTTACTTGGAGTCCCAGCTGGCGATTGCGGCGTTTGCTAAAGCGTAGTTGAGTTGAGCGTAGAATTTGGCAGAAGCGAGGACGTCGGTTGCAAGCTTGTCTCCGATTACGTTGTTTGCCAGACGGTTCCATTGGCTTGGTTACATTAGCATCTGGAGTGCCTAAGGATGTTACAGAAAACTTACATGGGGCTGCTTTCGCGCCAGAAGTACGCAGTTTCGGTATCGTATGGCTTCCTCACAGAAGAATTCCTGGCGCCTTGCGCCTTGACGAAATCGATGAATGGCTCGTATTCGGGGGACGTCGCATTCGGCGGAGCTGGAGCTCGGAAACGCTTCACGTCTCCCAACCCACCAAATAGACGGATAAATTGCGCCTGTGGTGTGTCTGGGATCGGCTGACCACCTGGTGTAGCCTGATAGACACCTGGCCGTGCTGGTTTGGGTACGTAATCGACGAAGAAATTGATCCCGTCGTCTGCGCGTGCTACAATGACTTCGTGCGCGGCTTCCCGGCCAATCTGCGTCGCTTCTTGTGCCTCGTTGGAGGAAGCGTCCAGGCCGATGGAACCGAGGACCGCCTTGAGCTTGGAGTTTATCGTTGCATAGAGTCGGGTGCCGTGGAATGTCCAGAGGAGGCTGTCATGTGCGGCGTGGGATACTGCGAGTTGTTGGAAGGCGAGTGATTTGCCCTTGGTTTCGGTGGCGGCGAGATAGACGGCACCTTGGATGATAGCCTCGAACCAACCGGATGGTGGCGATGGAAGACCATTGATGACGGTTCCATTCACGAGAATGGCGGATTGATCGACCCTGGTTCAATGTCAAACATGTGAAACAAGTAATGTTTGTATTTCGCATGGGTAGGTCATTGGAGAAAGAGATCATACCAATACTGAACAATGTCCCCGCTGTACGCCGCTTTGGCGGCAGCTGCAAAACAGGCAATGGGAAGAGATAGCCTCATTATTATGACTTAGCTTCTGAATAACCAAGCTCCTCGCCTGAAGTAAAGAAAAAGAAGTCATAGCAGGACTCGACGCGACTTATATACGTCCAATGACGGGTGATGCGATACGTTGTCGTGATTACGATGTGCCGCCACGGGCATGGGGACTTCGTCAGATTGGCGGGCAATATCGCCATGCAGGAACAAGCGATGTCGCGTTCGCCAAGTGTACACTCTACATGGCCAAGATCCGAAGGTGTGTGATGAGGGTTGTGGCAGGGCAGCTGATTCGGTAGAAAGGAAGAGAGCCGGGTACGCACGCAAGATCCAAGAAAAGTCGCGTAATCCCAAGGTTGTCTACATAGGTAGGTACACCTTCCACAGTGGCTGCCAATAAAAATGAGAATCCACTCTACTATGAACATCCACACTGACCTATCGTATAATGAGCTTACAGATGTATAATAGAGTAAACTTATTCAGGATTCGGAGTGCGAATAAGTTCTCAAGTTTTATGTTATCCACTTTATTCTACTGCGCGAACAAGCATTCAGGCATACTCAATCATGATTGTCCAATGTGGGACCCCGTTCCATTTACCTACGAGAACTTCCTTGAGCTCCTTGACCATGGCAGACTGTGCCATCTGTTGGGCACAGAATCCTCAATTGCGGTCAAATTCAGTCTCAAATGCCATGCTTTTCATATTTGCAGACTTGTTTCTTTTCTCTTTCTCCGCGAAGCCTGCTGCAACTTTCGGTGGAAGTTCTTGTCCAGCACATACAGCTATTATTCCATACCAGTAGTCTTTGTAGATGCTTACCATAGCTCCAGATTGATCTTCTTCCAAGCGAACTAAGTCGTTCAAGCCTTCCAAAATCATCGGGGGGTTGGCGGCATTGTATCTATCAAGTGGTTCGTATATCTTTGGCCACCGGATCGTCAACATCGCCCAAAAGGCATTAGATCCGCCAAAAGTCTCAAAGAAGGTCTAGTTCTGTTGCGGTGACGCTAGGCTGTTGTAGTCCTGGAATCTGATCCCTGTGATGTTGTGTCTTAGGCAATCGTAGTCCACTAGCCTTTCACTACTATAGGTAGGAATGAAGGGGTCGATAATCTAGCAACACATCGACACAGCATGTGGCGATGCACGATGTTGTAAATTGGCTAGCATCCAATGGTAAGTCGATGGGATGTCAAATCAATGCTGGGGGGGTCATTTCCATGGGGGGATCATTTCCAGACTCATCTGAAAATATCGCAGTCGAGGCTTCAGAGGGAATTTCTGAAGGCTTTTCCGATCTTGTAGGATTCTAAAAATCAATGTATGTCTTTTCGTCACCAATGGTAACATCGATTGGCTCGTATGGGTAAGTGTCTGGGTCTACGCATTGTACTGCGAATTTGCAAGCATAACTGGAATTTGCGGCGCTCTAGGTTCACCACATCACAGCCATCGACCACGAGGTGGGCTACCATTATGAAAGAAAGTTTGATGGCTCTGTTTTCTTTTATCACATTCAGCCAGGTGTTTGGGGTGACTTCGTGTCGTTCGTTCCATCCCAGTACTCTATGTGACATTGCTGAATCTGAGGAAGTCCAGGAAGCGCACAGGACTTAAATTTGACCTTGAGCATGCCGGAGAAGGTCTGCGAATACTTTTTTGGGTGACTCAGTATATCGCATTATCGCAGGACAAGTGCATTCCAACATCCGGGCCCTTGGGGCCCTTGCATAGTTCCAATAGAAAGAAATACTCCACGCCTAAGCCATCGTCGATTCTGCTGTAATTTTCCGGTATGCCGTCTTCCCAAGTTTACCTAAGCCCCTTTGGTGCAATACGTGAGAGATACAATCAACTCACTGCGTGACAATCACCAAAGAGAATTGTATCTCGTCTTTGACGGCTTCCAACCCTCTCGTCATACGAGTTATTAATTCTTTATGTCTCCAACCCAACATGGCTCGCTTGAACTAAGGCCGTCTTTCCACTTTCGTATCAATGCTCAATTTGTCCAATACCGCTGCCAATTGCTCAGCGGTCGAGAGACAAGACTCATATAGGGGGCTGGTCAAAGGAGGGGAACCGATTTCAATAGGAAGTGGGGAACGATATGTACGACATCGCGCGCAACCAGATGGCCTCGGGCCAAGAAGTCGAGTCGAATGAAGGCATAATTAATTCATCTATATTCACACAAGAAAAAATGTCAAGTCCATTCAGAACAGAAGAATCAAATCCAAAGACCCCCAGCAAGCCTAGTAGGCGGGTATCACAAACGACTGAAATTATATACGCCAAAAATCCGTACACCAAAAGTGAAACAATAAAACTCAGTAGAGAAGGCAGCAGCCTCGAGAACATGTGTGCTCCAACGTGAGCAAAACAAACCGAATTCTGAGCTCGCATACAAACACTGCACCTAAGGGTGCTTACAATCAGCGCACGGGCGTCTCAGGTACCTCCCAAATGTCCTTGGGCTCATCCTTGGGCTCGACCTTCGGCTCGGTGCTGGGCACAGCGGCAACGCCGTTCGGACGCGGCGCAAATGGGATCGTTCCGCTCGAAGAGAACACAGGAAGAGTATTACGTGTACCTGCCGCGGACGGTGAAAGGTTTGAGTTCAGATTCGCAGGTATGTTGGCAAGCGTCGGGACGGGAGCGGCAGTGTTTGGCGGGAGCCATTGCAGCGCGGTCTGGGCTTGGGTCTCTGAGGGCGGTCGCACCGTCCCGAAGGTTTGCGTGTTGTAGTTTACGAATCCGTTCATGTTGGTTGGCGGAGGAGGTGGAGGTGTGTCCGGGCGAGGTGGCGAAGTCGTCAGAGGGAGCGATTCTCTCTCCAAAAAGGGCGGGACTGGTAGTTGTTCCGGCGTGATGCTCATTTCCATGAGCTCAGTCGGGGGCTCGAGCATGCCAATCGATTGGCGGGGAGATTTGGTAGAGCCCTCCCTCAGAGCGATAGACTCGTGCGTCTGCTCCATATCTATAGGTACCGCCTCTGGGACAATCGGCTGTTGCTGTTTCAAAGGCGTGATGGCTGCTACCTCCATCTCAGATGCTTGCGGTGCAGCAACGGGAACGGAAACTTCGATTTGGTTCACAGAAGATGGAGGCTGGGCGGTTTTCGGTGGCCGGCCTGGCGCTTTCTTCGCAGATGGCTTAGTTGTCTTAGGAGCAGGTGCCTTCCGCGTAGCCTTGGCTTTCTTCTCCGCCTCTTTTGCCTTTTCTCTGGCATCGTGCTCTTCCTTGGACGGCATGTTCAACTTGACGCGCTGGACACGAGAGGTGAGCTGGTCCATCTCATTTTCCTTCTCCTTGTCAATAGAAGCAGCTGTTTTACTTAAATAATTAGAAGGTACACGGGGGACAGGAGGCCGGCTCTTTGGAATTCGAGCTGCTGCTGCTGTGCTTGGGGCCCTAGCTTTCTTCATCGGAACACCCGAGGCGCTCGGAGCAGGGATTGCGCTGCGCCTGTTCGATAGAACACTAGAAGCACGACTCGTGATCTGGCTCTCTGTGGTCGAGCCAACGCTTGACGCGATACTCATACGTCGGGACACGCTGCGCTGCTTGGGCTCAGGCTCGATGCTTGCCAGAGGGAAGTCGGCGATCGTTTGACGGCGGCTTGCTCGTGACGCAGCTCGTACAGACTCGTCGTCATCGTCAGCGTACAAAGTAGCAGCAGGTTTCCTCCCACGAAGCTGGCGGCCTGATGGATCAACATGAACCGATGTCAACACCGGTGCAGGCTTCTCCTTCTTGACCTTAGGCTCAGCCAACTCCTCAAATTTGTGGCTCCTGGTCTGCCTGTCGGCGGGGATAAGCATCTGACTCAATGTATGCGCTGCGGTGGCCCAATCGACTTCAGGCAGAGGTAGCGGCGGGGCTGCTGAAGGTCAGTTGTCCACCCGATAATGTAATGCAATACAGTGCCTGGGCAATAATTCGAGTACTCTGTGCTACCCCGGGAGGAGCACTGCAGCATCGAAGTTTTTGCCATAGCATTGTACGATGGGTCCTTACCTGGAGAAGCTGAGCGGGATGGTGTGTACCTTCCTGACAAACTGCGTTGCAGCCTCGATGGATCGACGACCTTGGCAGTGAAGGACTGCGTCGGTGATGAGAAATGCGCCGCAGGTCCTGATCGCACCTTCTTTGGGATGATATTGGGGGGAGGAGTCACCAGATTCTCCAGCTCCAAGAGACAGGACTCATGCCACCAGAGAGGATCATAAGTGACAGGAGTTAAACCAGGCTCCGCATAGCTCGTGAGCATGTCTTCATCATGCACACCCAGTTCATTCATTCGATTGTGCATGTTCAGAGCGAGGCTGGAGATAGGAGCGTCCGTGAACACCTGGCCGTCGCAAAGCCCACTGAGATGGCTAAGCACTCCACTGGACAATGCACGATCACTATAACCGCCCTCCAAGACGGAGATGATGCGCCCGTCCACGCCGGTGTCGAGCTCATCGGCAAGGCGGACCACATCTCGTGTGAAACGAGCGTAGAATTCTGTAGGCACATTGACTGCATGTCGTTGCATGCCGCCGGTTTCGTGCTCACTGGCGTCGAAACCAGCAGAAAGGAAGATGGCGGCTTTCGGCGTGGGGTGGTTCGGAGATTTGCGCAAGCGGTTGGTGTGGTGTTTCAAGTACTTTCGCGCCTTGTCGAGTAGTACCAAGTATTTCTCCTCGTATATCTGCCAGAACTCTTCGACGGTCGACCACGTCTCTAGGTGAATGTTCCAGACGGACTGACCGTGCGCGTTGTCGATACAGAGACTTGCGGCTTGCACTTTACTGTCGTCGCCATCTTCGCAGGGGAAGGAATTGATGTCGTGTAAACTGAAGTAGCCAATGGAGGTCTTCTTCCAACTCGCCACGTTCTTGTGCATTCCCATAACCTTCTTGTTGCGGTCCCATGTTATGTCCTGCGAGCCGTCCCCATGATGGAGGTCGAAATCTATTATGGCCGCGTGCGTGAGTCCGTAGTTCATCATGGCGTGCTCGATTCCGATGTGTACGTTGTTCAACCAACAGAACCCGGACGGCCACTCAGCAGAGCAATGGTGACCAGGCGGACGGATGCAAACGAAAGCGCGCGACACGCCGTTGTCCAGGCTAGATCCCTGGAACACAGCATCCACGGCATCCAGCACACCGCCTAAGGCTCCTTGCAAGGCATGCAGTGATTCCGAAGAGAGGTATAAGTCCATGGGGTGGAATGCGTCCTTGGGCGGCTGCCCTGGCATCGTTGGCGGGTCTCGCGCAAGCTCCTTTCCGGTCGATGCGAGCTTTTGGCCAGCGTTCACGCACAAGCTGTTCAGCTCTTCCATCCATTTCGTCCCGTGTACGTTTGTGACGACCTGCGAATCTAGCCCAACCATCCTGGATGTCTTGCGTATCTTGAAGGGTATCCGTTCGGGCGCATTTTGATCTGGCCGCAGAGGGTTGCTGCCCTCGATGTGTCGCTCTCCCAGACGCACGTAAGCCATCGCTATGCCGCGCACGCTTGCGAGCATGCGCTCTGGTCGTTCCATGATAGTGGCCAGGGTTGCTTTGGTGGTCTTGGGGCGCGCGTAACGATGGCCGTAGCATTGGTCGTGGATGATGACGATAGTGCCTGCATTCGCGGCACCGGCCATGCCTTCGTGCCGCGCAAGCTCTTTCCTAAAGCACTCTTCGGCGATATCGCAGGCGCGGGGTGGTGGCTTCTGCTCAGGCTGGGGGGCGAGCGGGGACGAGGGCATGTTTGGCGCGAAGGACCCGCGACGGGAGCCTGGGAGGACCGGGCTGGATGCGGCACCATTGCGAAGGGACAGTGTCGAAGATTTTCTAGACATTGTCAGTCGGGCGGCCTGGGAACAGCGCATCACGGGGTAACACACCTGCCCAGCGCGGGCGACTCTGAGCGACGCTGGCTCATAACGCTCGACGGCCGGCTCGGCGGCGAGGGACGTTTGGGGGTAGCTGCAGAGGGGCTTTGCGCCGGGGGAGGATGTGCGCTGCCGGAGTGCAGTGACATGCGCTTCAACGACTGGGCGAGCAGCGTCGCGTCGGCGTTGTTTGTTGACGCGCGATAACGCGGCGAGCCGGCTGGGCTCGCCGCCCGGTAGTTGTCCATGACGGGAAGCTGCGCTTGCGCCCGGGCAACGCGACAAACTGTTTGCGAGAATCCAACTCGAGCGGAACCACAATCTGTTCTCCTGGGGTTGAAGGACGAGCAATGACGGCGTCAAAGCTGCCCGCGCAACCCCAAAACAGGACGCGGCTCGCTTAACCCAGCGGCAACGGCTGCCATCGCCGATGGCACAGGGCTGACCCACCCGCATTGCGACGACTCAGTTTCGAGGGTCCGTCCCAACCAGGACTAACCACCTGCATCACGCGCATGGCCTGGTGCCGTCATTCGGGGCAGGCAGATACCAAGTGCTTGCAGGCTGAAACACACAGCCCAGACGCACGAAACAAAGGCTCTTCCAGACTCACGTAGTCCCAACCTGCACCCTATATGCGAACCCGATCGGTCGTGGCAGTTCCTGCCATGATTACAGCTCACCGATGATGGTACACACGTCCATTGAACAACACCATACCAAAAGGAAAGCGAGCCAGATCTCCCTTTCCATCCTTGACGCTGCCGCCGGAGGTAGGACTGCATTCCGCAAAGGCGTAACAGCGGCCTATGTTCTAAGCACTGAACCGTCCATGCCGTCTCCGCTCTCCTTTACACCAGAGACTCCATCCTTCTCCATCACCGACCTCGTCCGATGTTGTCGCACACCGCAGAGGATGCAGGCAGATACTTCCGAACTCATCCTCATGCTTTTCAGTCCATTTCCTCCCCTATCCCTCTATCCCTACTTGACCAGCGGCTTTCTTTTCCCTCGTCGAACGCCGCTTTTGATAGCCCAGGCTTGCTCGGCGAAGGCGTGGCAGCCGAAGTCAGACGTTGCCGCGTGTCCTGGTCGTACTCACTTTCCGCAGATTCCCAGCTTGCCAGCCGCTTGTCGGTCACTGTAGCCAGCATCGCAATGTCTTCTCTCATACCCTTCTGATCCTGAGTCCTCGGATACGTCATCAGCATGGCCATCAGAAGTTGCGTGTGCTCGACCAACTCTGCGAGCTTCAAGTTGTGATCGAATACATTGTCCTTGGATATTCCTGTGCTCGGACTGCTCACCATCGTCTCATCGGACGGTGGGCATGGAGTCGTACGTCGTTCCGTGAGCCCAGAGATCTTAGCTGCCTTTCTGGACTGTTTCTGTGCATCTTCATATTCCGAACCCGAGGTCTCGTCAGGGTCATCGGAGAGTCGACGTTTGCGCGTGCGCGGACGTGAGTGGTCGAGGACGAATTGAACGGCGCGCTGTCGGAGATGCTCTTCATCGAAGACTGGGAAGATCGGATGGCCGTGCAATGGAGTATGTTATGAGTTGGTATCCTTGTAGTCGTGAGGATAACTCTGGTATCGGCTTTGTAAGAATGGAGCATACGGTTGTCCAACCGTGTCAGCATGACTGTTTCCATGACCTGTCACATTTGCTGAATGCATGTGCGGAAAAGAAGTTGAGCCGCCTGATGGTGGCATGCCAGCCGAAACTTCTGCACAGAGTTTTGCGCAGCTGATTGCGAGACTTGATGGTGCAGGGGCGTCTTTCAGATCGATGTAGCTTCTGCAGATATCGTGACTCTGGTGACTGGAAGCCTTCCCGAACTGCTTGTCAGCTCCAGTTGGCGCAAAAAGCGTTGGCGGTACATTTGGTCTCGGAGGCATGTATTGCAAAGGAAACGGGGCGTAATAGTTGGCAGATTGATTGACCAACAGATACGACAGCGGTGAGGGCAATGACTCCACATCGATAGGGTCGTTTATGTTTCCTGGCTTGATTTGAAGCGAAAACCCTCCACGTTTCTCAGTAACGATGGAGCCTCCAACGTCGCTAGGCAGACTTCCGCCTACATGGCCCGCAACTCTTCTTTCAAATTCATGAGGCGGTGGAGGAGTACCCACCTGACGAGAGGCTCTGAGCTTCAGCAGTAGGAACCTCTTTCGAGGCTTGCTTTCTGGCAGCAAGGCTCCACTGCCGATTGAGTTTTGGCGGTGCTCGTCTGTCATTATGACGGCTCTGCCAGATCTTGGAGGAGCAATTGGGTCAGCAGTTGGGTCTGTCCATGTGTTTCGCAGCTTGAATTTGAGGCTAGTGGGTGGCATGCTTGGTCGCGCAGAATGTTCGATATCACTGCCGGTGTCCAATGGACGTGCTGTGTTGCTCTCTGGCTCACCACAATCTGGTGTCATAGTTGCCTGGGATGACTTGCTGCAGCTAACGCTCGCAGTAAGTGGCATGCTATTCCTATCATTTTTCGCTGCTGTCATAAACACAGCAAAACTTTGCTCTGCCGTTGCTCAGTGGAGCGAGTTCTTGTGCAACTGATTGTGTAACGCCGGAAGTAAAGTGGGCGCAGAGAGGTGGACCCGCAAATAAGGTTGTGTCAAAGTATGAAGAAGATAGTCTGGCACAGTCGGTGATGCAGCGCAGTATCTGATGTTGTGGTTGCCTTGTCAATCCGCACTTTGGGGAAGGAGCGAGAGCGAGTACAAGGAAGAGGCAGTCGCACCCAGCGCACCCGGAAGTTAACAGGTCACCGGAGTACAGTGTACAGCCCGGATACGGAGCACAAAGCCATAGTCCGATGCTCAAGTCAACAGATTCTGATACGAAACAATCGCGGTTGAGGTTGTTAAGACACGAGATCGCACATTTTAATTGCCCTGGTGCCGTCTGGGCATTCAAGATACAAACGGAAGTCTGGTCAAGGAACAAGTCATACACTATCAAAGAATGCCCTCAAGCAAGCTACTTCACGGGTATCATCCTAAGAAGTCAGAGTGCATCCAAGAGCCCAGTAAAGCATACAGAACACTTACCGTCTCGTTCACAACACGATCGATCGCCCCTTCGTCCCACGCGTATCCAAACCACAGCAAAACACCAACGTCTCTCATCAAAAATACCTCTTCTGCGTTCTCTCCTATCTTCGGACTCTCCTTCTTCAACGTTTGCCAAAATATATTTCGCAAGGCGTCACTTCCTTGCCGATATCTCCACACCGGTTTCATACCCACTCCATCCACAGAGGAGGTCGATTCCAGGCCACCGAGTAAGTACTCGAGCCCGTAAAGACACGTCCCAAATGGCAGCATCTCAGCCTCAGCCCAATCAACCAAGCCACTGACAGCCCACGTCTCTTCGTCTACAAGGATATTGCTCGGAATCAGGTCGCCATGGTTCAGCACAACCGGATAGTGCTCGATAGCAAGTAATCGTAAAAGAGTATCCATCGCTCTTGCCCTCAGCGTTTCACAAGGCAGTTCCACAGATAGTTTCCTCAGCTTCGGCACGATGACTCTCCCCACCTTTCCAGTGCAGTGCTCATCCAACCACAAGCCCTCCGTAGGCGTGTCGGCGCGTGAACACCTACACACGTGGTAAGAGCATGAATATCAAACCGACAAGATCCCATACCTAGCAGAGCCGTCATCCACAGCCGCAGGCCACCCCCTCGCCACACACTCCGCGAAGCTCTCCACAAGCCCAACCTGCCTCTCCCACTCCACACCGCCCACATCCACCTTCGCCAGCGGCGTCCCCTCCAACCTGCCCATTTCCACAGCCCGGAGGCCCCCAGGAAGCTCGTCATACTGCAGGCTCCGCATCCGTGGCGCGAGCGCGCCATATGTCCTGCGCGCCGCTTCCGCGACACCGCCGTCGAGCGCGTGCTGCGCTGGACGCAGCTGCACAATGTACTCTACACTGCTGGCAGACGAGCCCGGAGGCGGCGCCACCGAAAGCGTGAAAGAGCAGTATCCCTGGTCCGCAACCTCCGCGACGGTATGCTCAGGGTACAGTACCTGTATAGCTCTTACGCAGACGTCGCGATCGGCGTCTTGCAAGCCCATGCGCGACCAGAAGCTGTTTCGGAGGTTTGGACACATTGTCTGCACTCAAGGAAAGCATCAGAGCGAGAAGTACAATAGCGTCCCAGAAACTGTTTTGGTGCGAATGGGGTGCGCCCAGTAGTCTAGGTGCTGGGAGGGGCGATGATTACTACGCGGAGGGCACCTGGATAAGCATTGTTCGCAGCGGCATCCCACACCGGTCAGGGCCGCAGGCAGTGGTGGATGGATCAAGCTGAACGGGAGGGACGGTCTCTGCCTCTATTCGTTGAGATGAGCACGTGGGAGACGCCAGGCCGGCGCAAGTGTGGGGTAGCAGGTCGACAACACGAGTTCTGTACGAGACCTAATCGGTCAAAACAGTGGATTAGTAACTAGCATTAACGAGCGTTTATCGCATCTCGGTATAGGATAGAGTACTGTAAGTAATACAGGCCGGCACACCAGCCAGCGTTCGAATGGCACCCAAGCCCGCCCAAACCGCCGCTATGCAAGAAAAGCAATGGATATGTCTCCGTTCAATCTTATGTACGTTCGGGAACACTATGCCGCAGGAAGGGCCCAAGACGGAACCTGCCTGCAAGTATATCCTCAGTGAAACTTTGTTTCCAGGCCTTTCGATAAGCCCAAGCTCTACAGCTCCTTCTTCAGGAAGTGCTCAGGCGCGTGGTCCGTCTCATAGTCGACGTGCACGTAGGCGCGTTCCACGTCTGGAAGACTCTCCAGCTTGATTTGCAGTGCCTCTGCAACATCATGTGTGCTCTGCAGCGTCTCCTCGGGATCCATGACGATATCGACCTCGACAATCAGACGCGGACCAGAGTGATACGCGCGCACCGTATCGATCTGTTTGATAAATGGAGAGTGGGTCATGGCTGGTGCAATATTAGATCCAGCACGAGAGCGCATGGGGGAGAGAACTTACAGATATAGGTGATGAGCTGGAGAGTAGGCGTATCCGCCGTGACTCCGATGAGCAGCTGGAACTCGGAGTAGGCCGTCCTCGACCAAAGGAAGATGATGAGGGCAGACAGGACCATGGCTCCTGCGGGATCGAGCCACCAGGCAAGCTTGGAGCCACCGACGCTCGTAAGCACACCAAAGCCGTTGATGAACAAATCGTTCCTGTGGTCTTCCCAAAGGATGCGCACCTGGCTGTACTTGTTGCGCAGCGCCCAGCAATACAGGAACAGTGAAAACTTTGTTCCAAAGGCAATGCACACGGCGATGACGGACGGCAGGTAGAAGTCGTTGACGTCGCCGGTCTTGTGTGTTGCGATCTCGCGGATCGACTCGACGATGATGACCACCGAGACGGTGATCATCATGAAGCAGAAGAAGATGTTGCCTGCGTTTTCGATGCGGGCCTTGCCGCTGGGGAACTTGCGGCCGTCTACGCGCTTCACGGCACGCGCCGACATGATGAGCGTCAGGTTGGACAGCGGGTCGAAGAGCGAGTCAGCCATGGTGGTGAACAGGGACAGCGACTTGGACGAGGCGGCGGCGTAGAGCTGCAGCACGGCCAGAATGATGTTGGCGGCGAAGCTGCCCACGACGGCAATTCTGTACTTGAGGTGGTTGGCGCCTTCCTCCTCCTTTGCGTCGCGCACATGGTCGTCGACGGGCTTCAGCAGCCGCTCGATGTTCTCGTTCTGCTTCTCGTAGAACTGCTCGAGCTTGCGCGCGCGCGTGGCCTTTTTGTTCAGCGTGAGGGGGCCGAAGCCATCGCGCTTCCGCGACGTGTTGGCGCGGATCTGGGCGAGCTCTTCCTCGGGCTTGAGCGCATGGGCGAGGCGGTACGGGTCGTTGTCGGGCGTGTACTGCGGGAGCGACTGGCGCTCTACGTCGTTGAGGCCGGGCACATGGCGCGCATGCGTGTCGTCGATGCCGTCGACGGACGTGAGGGTCTCGACGGCGGTGCTAGCACCGTCGGCCTTGCCAGCGGGCGTGCTGCTGCTGGCTGGCGGCGCGGGGTATGGGCTGGAGCCGCGCGACGAGTGTGGCGGGTGCGCGTGTGGATGCGCATGAAACGGAGACGGTTTGAGCGAGATGGCCCTGTGCAGATCCGGCTCGCTGGACATGATGAGGCTGGGAGCTGCGTCAAGCCACCGCGCAGCACAGAATTATATAGAGGCGGCGATGACGGACTGCGGAGAGCAGGCGGCGACTGCTAGGGCAAGCTCCATGCAGGTGCGGCGCCGCTCCGTAGATGCCGCCGCTATCACGACAAGCCTGAGATGAATGCCCGAGAAAGCTGTTGCAACCGAGTGCGGCCTCGCTAATCGCCACTCCGCATCCGCCGCTCTCTACCGGCTGTGTGGGTTCGACAAGCTGTCTGTTCCAGGTTCTCATGACTTGCAGCGCGTCGCATATCAAGATCTCCTGAGATCCGCCGCCCAACCCCATCGTGATTGTAACCCTGGACTGGACAAACCAGGAAAAATACATCACATAAGAAGACAACCCATCTTAGGGGACCCGGAAAAGTGGAGAAGAAATCTTGGAATGGCAATCTTGCGTCGCTCCAAGATACACTGATCGGCTAGTGTCACAGCATTCCGGTTCGTCCTACGCAAGGTAGCGGCTAGTGGGGTTCGCTCCATCTTCTTGGATTTCGATTCTCGATCCGGCAACCCTTCTTTGGTACCCTCCGATGATGGTAGTCGGTCGTATCCGCCATTGCTCAAGACGTCGCAGTAGACTGCACTCCTTGTCATGTGGACTACAGACAGCTAGACACAGAGCTCTCTCGAGTGGCGGTCATTGTAAGAACAGAGTACCTGTTCAGCATTACTTTCGAGCGACAAGGCGGTCGGGTCTCCAATCTCCGGGATTTGATGTCGACTGTCCACAGGTTCAGAATACATGAGGTATTCCAAGCCAACACTCAGCCAAGATGAATAGACCGATATCCCCCGCACATGTACCACCACCATTGGCTCAGCTCGGAAGATGTATATGTAGGCCGTATGCAACTAGATAGGTAGTACGTCGCCCTTCAACGTCAGCTGCCAAGTTGCTTGATGCTCATGTACTTCGCGGCCATTTTCTCACACCAACTTGTCTTCTCCATCAACAGACCACCCGACCCATATGGCGAAATTCCCTTCCAGGCCAGTGTCGCTCACCCTGCATCCTGCAAAGCTACCACAGCCCAACATTCCAGACGACCTTGACCATGTCCGCATAACTTCTGAAGGCCTCCAACGGCTGGACTGTCTATCTGTCAGCGATCTCACCGAAGATGCAATCTGGCGGGATACCTGTGCATTGACTGGCACGTTACGTACATTCTACTCTGCAAAGTTGCTGTTGAAAGTATGGCAGCAACTATACTCGAAGCACTCACCAACAGATTTCTCAATCAACCCAAAAACCTCGCGTGTGATCAGACTTGGACCGCATGGAGCGTGGGTTGAGTCCATGTTCACATTCAAAACTCATGGACCTTATCCCGCAACCTGTTCTGGTATCATCGGTCTTGTGCCAGCAAATGACGAACAAACGAGATGGAAAATTTGGCTTCTCAGTACCATACTCGAACGAATACATGGTCAACCGGACGTCGAGTACTTGCAGCCTCTCAAGCCTGAACACAGCCAAACCGAGCCGAGGATAGGGGAGTGTGAGTGCCGGCAGAGAAGTTGTACGAACGGCCACACCGCAACACCATCCCAGTACGAATGCATAGTCGTCGGCGGCAGCATAACTGGTCTCTGCATGGCTGCTCGCCTCCAAGCAATGGGAATATCATACCTCCTCGTGGAGAAGCATGACAATGTCGGGGATAATTGGACACAGGATCGTTACCACTCGCTGAAACTGCATACTTCGAAATGCTTCAATCAGATGCCATACGAGCCACGGACATTTCGCGAGGAGCATCCGTATCACCTTGGAACGTCAGATCTTGCTGATGGGTTCCAGAGGTTTGTCGACACATTCGGGATTAATTGTATGCTGGGAACGGAGCTGCGGGCTGGAACGCATGACCCGGCAACAGATCGCTGGACTTTGAAACTGAAGCAGGGCGAAGAGACTGTTACGATCAGCGCGAACCATTGTGTTCTCGCCGTCGGGAACATGGGCATTAAACCGCAGATGCCAACCTATCCGGGACGAGAACTCTTCCAAGGCGAAGTCATGCACGGCATTCAATGGCGCAACGCAGATCGATGGAGGGGACAGAAAAAACGCGGTGTGTGTATTGGTTCGGCCAATACAGCTCACGGGGTAGGTCAATCGCTAATGCGAAAGCATTTGCGACTAATCAAACTTTTTAGGTCATCGCCGACATGGCAAACGCAGGCTTCGCATCCGTCACCATGATCCAACGAAGCCGAACGTTCCTTCTCCCAAGCTCCACCTTCGGCGCTCTCGTCGACCCAGTATACAACTACGAAACGCCCTTACCGCTGTCAGATCGCATGCTCCTGGGCTATCCACTTCCCGTGAAGCGTCTAATGGCTAAGGCGGGAATCAAGATGTGCGCTGATGCTAACCCGAAGTACTTCGATGAGATGGAGGCCCGAGGCTGGGAGATAGAGCGGGATGGAGATCTCTGGGTAAGCAACATGGAACACGTTCGGTCCCGTCGTTGGACTGATTTCGATCCAGGGAATGATGTATGACCGTGAAGGCGGCCACTTCTTCGACACTAGCTCTGGGAAACACATAGCAAACGGGTCGGTGAAAGTTATCTGCAACGCACTACCCGTTGCATATACGCCCACGGGCCTCGAAATGAGCGATGGCACGCACCTTGACGCCGATGTCATCATCTTCGCCACAGGTTATACTGGCACCCTGCGCGATACTGCAACGAAGATATTCGGCGATGAAATTGGGAACAAGTTGGAGGAGTTTTGGCAGTGTGACGAGGAGGGTGAGAGTCGTGGGGCGTGGAAGTTTACGGGGCGTAAGTGACCGTCTCGCATGAGGTTGCTGGGATGATGCTGATGCTGGGTGGTCTAGATCCGAAACTGTGGTACACGGGCCACGGCTTTGCGCATGCGAGATACTACAGTCGGTTCGTGGCGATTCATATCAAAGCTGAGCTTGAGGGGCGGCCGTTGGAGACGTATACGGACACGCCGTCTGTGTGAGCGTGTCTGATCACGCCCATGAGGCTCAACCATCACGAGGAAAGACATCCTACCCTCCAGCGTCGAGCCTCCTGGTTCGACCCCCTCACGATCCTCCCCCTGGCCCTCTTCTCATCAAAACACTCCTCATGACTCCCCCGATACGTACGCAACTTCAAAGATTGACTCTCGAGCATACACGAAGCAGAAGCTCTGCTGGAGAGTGGCATCAGTTGCTTGAATTATTCTTAATGCAATAATTGAATTGAAATATTCACCCCTGACGTACCTTATCTCCACGAGATTCATTAACACGATCATTTGACAATCCAGAGTAACAAGTATTCATGAGAATGACCTCCGTTGTATTTGGTACTGCGATAGGGATCGAGGACATCAACCACGTGCTCAAGTAAGCTCGACTCGGGGTCGCCAACCTTGCTTTTCGCAGAGTGAAAACCTCGGAAACCATAAATCAGGGCGACACACGTTCCTGCTAGGGAGGCAATTGGCCTTGTTCACAGAGCGTTCACGGCACCTTCACATAGCCTTCCATGTACCACCACAACACCCATCAGCCCTGCATCTCCCACCACAGCGATCCTCTCCACGACTTCAAGCTTCCCTGGCCCAAACTGATGATGTTATCCAGCTCCGCGATAGGTGGGGCGCCCGCCTCCCCCAGGCTTGCGGAGATGCGTGTGCGGGGGTGGGGCAATTTAACCACTGCAACACCACGCACGATCCCTGTCGCGGGCTCGCCTGCTAATGGGAAGGGGCTAGGAACTATGGGCAGGGACGCGTGCAGGGCGGCAGTTGTGCTTGGCTGGGGATCGGCGGATGCTTAAGAGCGTGGGAACCCGTGGCAGGGCGTGCTTGTACGGTGTTAAATCAACCACCTAGTGAGCTTGTTGCGGCGTTGTCGTTGTTTCCGCGCTGCGAATCTCCAAAAAGCAAGCCATAGCGAAAATGGGTCTCGGTGTCCTCGAAGACCACAACCTCCAGCACGTACCTGGCACGGCGCTGTTGGCAGACCTCGTGGGCGGTTTGCACGAGCACCAGTACCACGGCGCGTCCTCGCCTCATCCCTTCGTTCCCTCTTCACCACTAACAGTGGCCAGGCCGCGACACCTCCGCCCTCAAGCATGCAAAGGGTCGCAACGCCGACATCGTGCTCGTCCCGCAACCTTCAGAGTCGCCCCGAGATCCGCTGAACTGGCCGCAATGGAAGAAAGAACTCTTGCTTCTGATCATCTCCATCGACACCGCGGTCGTCGGTGCCTGGGGCCCTATGATCTCGCCCGGGTTCGGCGTCATGGCTAAGCAGTTCGACATGTCGTACAACTCGCTCAACGGCGGTCTTGGCTGGGCCATCTTCGCGATTGGCATCTCGTGCTTCGTGACCAATGGGTTGGCTGTCAAGTACGGACGACGCCCGGTCATTATCTTGGGCAACTTGATGCTGTTCATTAGTAGCGTGTGGGCGTACCATGCGCACAGCTACGAGAGCTTGCTTGCAAGTCGCATTTTTGGTGCTATTGGGATGAGTCCATTCGAGGTTTTGACAACAGCTATCATTGGCGATATCTACTACGTGCATGAAAGGGGTCTGAGGCTGGCTTTCTGGGGACTGTGCTTGTCTGTCGGAGTAGGAGGTGGGTCCTGCATCAGTGGGTATATCATCGACGTAAGTTCCGTGTTTGTAGCGTTGCGGCTGATGGCTGAGCGACTGACCCTGAGCAGAGCCTTGGCTGGAACTGGACGTACGGGATCTGCGCGTGCTTCTACGGCGTGTTCATCCTGCTCATCTTCTTCTTCGTGCCGGAAACGGTGTACAAGCGCGACCCCGCGTACAACATCGATCTCGGGACGACAGACCACACCGAGGAGATTCTCGATTCGACTAAAGCTCGCGAGGCTAAAACCGACATCGTGGGAGAGGAGCCGAAAGATGTCGCGATGCAGACGGAGCGCGCGGTCACCGCCGAGCCGATCTACACGGGCGCAGACGAAAAGCCGTATACGTTCTGGGAAGAGCTGCTTCCGGTTCGCGGCGTCGAAAGCGACGAAAATCTGCTCGCTATTATTTTCCGTCCTTTTGGGATGCTGTTGTTCCCGCAAGTCTTCTATGGTTTCATCACGTATGGCCTGTCTACGTCCTGGCTGGTCGTCATGGGCGGTGTCCTTGCGCAGATCTTCACCGCGCCGCCATACAACTTCAGTGTTACGGCTGTTGGCTTGGTCAGCATATCACCACTCGTGGCGTCTCTCCTTAGCTTTGTTGCCGGGCCTGCAAACGACTACACGGTGAAGCAGCTGGCGCGGTGGAACGGCGGCATCTATGAGCCGGAGTTCAGACTGGCGCTGAACGTGTTGACACTGGTGCTCGGGGTTCGTAAAGCCCGAAACTATCCTCTCTGCCTCTGACTGACTTGAAATCTAGGTTGCGGGATTCTTTGGCTTTGGAGCAACGCTTCAGCATGGTAATACTCGCAGCACATTCACCTTCACTCTTGCTGATGGTGACTTTCAGGTTCCCCCTGGGGCGCGCCGGTCTTTTTGTATGGCCTGATCTACTTCTCCATGGCTTTTCTCAACGTCGGGTACGTTGGCTTCTGAGTAGTGGCGACGCAAACTTGCGACTGACGAAGACAGGATTTATGGATACATCACCGAGTGCCACCGCTCAAAGGCTCCAGAGGTTGGGCTTCCCGTGCCGGGCCGTGATCAATGCTGACCGAAGGCAGGCTTTCGCAGCGCTGAATCTGAGGAACGTGTACTCGTTCGGGATGAACTATTTCATCAGCTCGTGGATCTCCAGCATGGGTCCGTTGCAGGTGTTCTCGACGATCGGGGGGCTGCACATCTTTATCATGCTGTTGACCATTCCTATGTGGATCTTCGGAAAGCGGTGCCGGTCGCTGACAGCACGGGTCCCGTTCTTCAAGGCGATGCAGGGGCACTGAGTATCGATTGTGGAGTTAGTGAGGCTGCGCCTGTGCCTGATTAGGCAAGAGGATAGGGTGATCGTAGGTAGAGCGCCGGCGGGGGCGCTAGTAAACGCTCTGAACGAGTACGGGAACGCGAGGCCCGCCAGACAAACGCGTGTTCACAGCGAAGTGCTCGGGTTGTGCGTGTTCAGGCGATGCGGTGCACCTTTGCGCTCCATGCCCGTCGTCGTGGCCTGCACATGCAGGCGGGAGCGGTGGGACGTGCGCTGGCGGCGTGCTCGTCGGATTGCGTGAATGCACCCCCACCTGGACCGGATGGGATGGGAAGGCACGATAGGCCGCACCTGCCGCACAAGCACCGCGCATCGCCCTGCGCGGTGAAGTCGCCCACAGCACGCGGTGCAGACGCCAGACGTCCAGGCGCAGTGTTGTTGTTGTTGTGCGCCCAGCCCGCTGCGCTGTTTCGTTTGGGTCCGGTACGCGGATGCGACGGCAGCGGGCGGGCAGCGACTCCACAGCCCGTTGGGGTTAGGCGCGCGAGCCCTGAGGGCTGAGGCTGTGCGAGTCGTGCGTGCCGTGCCTGTGCCTGAGAGTCTCCGTCTGATCCTGTCGCCTGTCCTGGTCGTCGCGAGCGGTGCCCTTCGCTCGCTCAGCCCGTCCGTCCTACGCCCTCCCAGGTGATGTCGAGTCGTAGCAGACGCTGCACCCGGCAGCTATAACTCCCCCCGTCGAGAATGCCGCGGCCATGGACAGGAAGGCGCTCCTTGTCCCGTGGTAAGTCGCTGCCGCACGCTGACCACACCTATCCTCGCCGGCTGATCATCGCCAGCGGCCTCGTTCTGGGATCCAGCTACCTGGCCACGAGCATCCCCACCTCCTTCGCCCTCGACCGCCCGCTGCACACCATCGCCGCCGTCCTGCTGCTCTCGGGGCTCGCAACAGTCGCCTACGAGACGCGCGCCGCAAAGACACGCCGCCCGCACCACCAGCACGACCGCTATGTCGCGATTCCGCTCCAGGACGGCAACGGCCGGCCCTCATCCGAGGAGGAGTGGTCGTCCGAGGAGCGCAGCCCGCAGCATCGCGGCCTCGGCCAGCGCGCGCTCGCCGTCATGCTAGCCGCGCTGCTGTGCCTGCTGGGCGCCCGCATCGCCCTCTTCCACGCCGTCCTCCAGGATGTCGAATGCGCGGGCCCGCAGCTCACGGTAAGACCGCCCTCTCTACGCGCCCCATCGCACCTGCTGACTCTCGCAGGCGTTCCTGCCGCTTGTCCTCGCCCTCTTCCACGCCTATCGCACGCCCAAGGACCGCCCGCTGCCCGCCTGGAGCGCTGAGTCATCGTCTGCAACACACCTCGACCGCTTCGTGCACTTTTTTCTCTACGGAACCACTCGCTACGTCCTTCCCTCGCTCCTGCTGGCCATCAGCAGCTTCATCACCACCCTCCGAACCAGCGTCTTGCGCTCGACCTACATATGTCCCGCATCCACCTCCGCCGCTTCGCTTGTTCCCAAACTACAGTTTCTTGGATTCTTAGTAGACTGCGTCTTGGTACTGCTTCTTTACCGCTTGGTAGACGAGGGGCTCTCCCAATCTGAAACCAACTGCCCCGAGCCCAAGGATGGCACCACCGTCCACGGCCTCATCGGCTTCACTTTCATCGTACGTACCTCTGCTATCCCGCACGCGCACTCGCTGACCCCTCCAGGCTTCTGCTATAGTTCTCGGCATAGCGGGCATCGTTGTCTACACTGCATTGCCCGAACACCGCGAATGGCTGTTTTCAGCCCCTCGCGAATACCTACTTGGTCTTCTTCGTTTGTCTTTGATGATACCCCTTACGATGTTATGTTTCCTTGTCTCAGTACGTATCTTCCCTCCAGCGCGACGACATGTGCTAACAACCCAGGCTCGGATGTACGGTGTTATGGGTGCTGTGCTCATCGCAGCATTTTCTTGTGCATTTATCGGCGTTCTACGTGCCCTTGCCATGGGCGTTTCTTATTCCTTTCCTCCAAAGTCCACAGCTGGTGTCAGCCTCTGCCTCACTCTCCTCACAATTGCGCTGGTACTCCAGCTTGTTGCAGACGCTATCGACTCAGGCCAAAGTCGGCCAAAGATACCGGTCCGTCTGGGACGAAATCAGACTGTCTCGGTAGTAGCACTCCTGGTCATCTTCTCCATCGGCGTTGGTGTATACCGTTACCAAGCGCCCGTCATGGGGCATCCCATTGACACCTTGCTTGCGGCCGCCGACGAGCAACACCAACGGTGGGCATTTCAGGCACACCAAAGCAAATCGTTGGCACAAGCAGTTGTTCGCTACCAAGAGCGCTATGCCCGAGATCCGCCCCCACACTTCGACAAATGGTACGAGTTCGCAACAAACCGGGACACCATTGTTATTGACGATTTCGACAACATCGAAGAGGATCTGATCCCGTTTTCCTCCCTCAAACCGGCAGAGCTGCGAAGACGTACTGCCGAAATCCTTGCACACAATGAAGATCTAGGTGGCATCCGGATAAGAGATGGAAAAGCTGAGGTTTTCGGCAGTTCCCGTGCGGAGCAGAAATGGGTGTTAGATGGGATGGCTCGCATGATTGGCAAATTTGTCGAATTCGTTCCGGATATGGATCTTGCTTTCAACCTGAATGACGAACCTCGCGTTGCCGTGCCCTACGAACAGTTTCAAGCGGCTCGTATGCATCATCTGCACTACCCCGAACATACCGCTGCCGATGGAACCATCGACTTCCGTCTCGATCGCGCATCGACCTGGACAGAAATTGCTGGAGCACCACGAGTGTTCGATCAAGCTGGAAGGAAGCCGTCATTCCAGACTTACGGCTCTGTCGCCTGCTCTCCAGAATCGCGCGCACGAAAAGAACGGCGCTGGGATACTGGTGCTTTTTGCTCTGCCTGCTCTGCTCCGCACTCAATGGGAGCTTTCGTTGCGAATTGGAGTCTGTCAGCCAGTCCTTGCCACCAGCCAGATCTCGCCAATCTCCATGGATTTCACCTGAGCCCCTTGGGTCTTTCTGGAACTCACGACTTGGTCCCAATATTCAGCCAAAGCCGGGCCCCAGGGTACGCCGATATTCGTTATCCTTCGCCTTGGAACTACTTGGACAGACAAAAGTACGAGTTTGGAGAAAACTTCCCAGATCCCAACTTTGCGAAAAAGGAAAACGTCTTATTCTGGCGCGGGGAGGCAACAGAAGGGATCAGTATAGCTGGATCTTGGAAAGGCATGCTACAACAGCGCTTTGTTCATCTGGTGAACAACGAGACATCTCGACAACCCATCTTCCTACCGACGGGAAGCAAGAATGGCAGACTAGAGTACGCAATGGAATACCCCGAGGAGATTAAGGAGCGACTCGAAACTAAGCTTGATGCACGCTTCGTTGGTGATCTCGCCCGGTGCGAGGGTCAAGATTGCGTTGATCAGAAGCTCGAGCTCTGGCTGGGTAAGGATGTCGATTTCAAGGACCATTGGCGCTACCGCTACCTTTTCGACACCGACGGCGCAGGTTCTTCAGGGCGCTTCCTTCCTTTCCTCCAGTCCAACAGTGTTGTCTTCAAGACGGCGCTTTTCCGCGAATGGTACGAAGGTCGTGTCATTGCTTGGAAACACTTTGTCCCTGTCGATTCCCGCCTTCACGATCTATTTTCCTCCCTTGCATACTTTGGTGGCTACAGCTTGAAAGATAAAGGCAAGCGCACCATGGAACCGAAAGACAAGCAGGCGGAGGCAATAGCAAGAAATGGAAAAGTCTGGACGGAGAAGGTGTTGAGAAAGGAAGATATGGAGATATACATGTTCAGGTTGTTGCTGGAATGGGGTCGGCTGACGGACGACCGGAGAAAAGACGTTGGCTTTCGTATGGACACCAAAGGGCGCAAAGGAAAGGATGGAAAAGGCGCTACTTAGCGACACCTTATGTAGGCATGATCTGGACACTGGACCACAAAATTCTCATCTTGTTTATATCTCCTCATTATCAGTTATCAGCTCGAAGCCATAATCTTTATGTTGCGTGCTGGTTGTGACTTCTGATTTCCATTCACCGCAATAATGTTTGTTGTAAATCTTCTAGAGGAACAAGGCCTTCCAATAATACCGGAGCAGATATATCTGCATTTCTGGCGCAAGTTGTCTTGGCGCCCCTATGGTTGGCCGTTAGACGAACGGACCAATCGCAGCGGTGAAACTATCATGCCTTTCGCGCCATTCAGCCCAGTCTGATCTTAATCGGTCTTTAGGTTACCGTGACCGTTCCCTTTCATATTCACCACCACATAGCAAGCCCGCGAAGAATTGTCATGGTGGCAGATAATGAGCGAAAACGAGCAAAGCACACACGGTCGAAGCGCGGCTGCGCTGTATGTCGGTATGGGTGCCTCGACCTGTCCGACGACATGATCTCACCTCAACTGTAGCCTCCGCAAAGTTAGGTGCGATGAGACGAGGCCCGCATGTACTAAATGCACCTCTACCGGCCGTAAATGCGAAGGATACCCTGACGTGACGTTATGGAAGCCGCACGCTTCGGTACGTTGACCCCCAGACGGCTCTGCTCACCAAAGGCATGAACTTGAATGTCACTGGTCCCACACGGTCGCTGATCCGTAAACCAACTAGCCTCAAATTATACGACCGAAGATTGCAACAGCCGAAAGCTCTGCGGAGCAGCGCTCGTTTGCGTACTTCTGTCGCAACACATCGAGAGAATTCGCTGCCCCTTTCGGCAACGAATTCTGGAAATGTCTGGTCTTGCAGGTTGCCGAGCGGGAACGATGCGTGAAGCAAGCCATCGTAGCACTGGGAGCCCTGCATGAGTCCTTTACCGACCAGTACCTTCCTCCACATCTTCAATCGCCATTGGCCCCCCACCATCTACACAGACCAAGCTGGAACCTCACTAATCTAGCGACTAAATCATATACAACTGCTCTTCGCGAGTTGCAGAAACACATAATGCCAGATGCATACGACGACTTGCATGTCTCGCTCCTCTGTTGCATCCTTCTCACCTCTTTCGAATGGCTTCGAGGCTCCTACGCCGCAGCAATAACCCATCTCAAATCCGGACTATACATTCTACGCCAGTGGTCCTCCTCAACATCGAAGAACACGCCTACGGCGCATTTCATTCGGAAAAAGCTCGCGCCTATATACATTCGGCTGAGCATACAAGCACGCACCTTCTCACAAGATATCATTCCTGTACCCTGGCTCTCCGATGGTCTTTTCGCTCCTCCTGCCGCAGAGGACATCCACAACGAAGAAGAGCACCTCCAAGCGGCACGCAATGCGCTCGACGTGCTCTGCGGTGACGTTTACCTCAGCCCACACAGCCTCAAACTATTTTCAAGTGACTTCACAATCAGTCGAGCAGCTTCTTTCAATTTTTCCTCACGCCTCTCAAAGTGGTGGATGGAGTACCACAGACATCTTTTGCCGCCGTCGTATTCACAGCTTTCATCTCCACGCCCCGAGAACGTCAACTTGACGCTGTGGTACACGATCCTAACCCTACTACAAAGCTCCTTTTCTACGGCTGATCCCATGGAACTCGACAAGTACACGCCGCAATTCAGGCAGATAGTTGATCTGTCTAGAATCCTTATGTTGTCCAGCACTTCGCCTGCTCCATTCCAGCGTATTGGGACCAGGTCCGATCCACCGAAAACGGCTCGATTCCGAATCGACATGGAGGTTATTCCCATGCTGTATCACGTCGGGAGCAAATGCAGACATCCCGCTCTCCGACGTGAAGCCATCACTCTGCTTCGCGGCGGGGCGAACCGCGAGGGTCTCTGGGATGGATGGGCGTCTGCTACGCTGGCGGAGCATATCATGACTGTTGAGGAGGAGGGGGTGGAGAGAGTGGAGACGTGTGAGCCGGACAGTGTACCGAGGGCTCAGCGTGTGATGAAGTTGCAAGAGGTAACGGATTTGGAGGCCCGTACGACGCGGGTGCGATATCAAAAAAATGGTGAAGACGACTATGGGGCATGGAAGGTCTTGACGTGGTAGCTATTTTGTGTACGATGGGGACTCTGGGGACCGTTGACGCTTCTTGGACATGAGCGAATTGGCACCACCTGGGCGGCCTGGATGCTGATAGGGCTGATAATTGCCCATCCACGCGATCTAGATCTTGGTCTAGAATTGGCAGAGCCCCTGCAGATCTTCGTGTTTCAGGTGCGGATAGTTCCCCTCGCTTCACCCCATTCGGTCCGAGTCGCTGTCATCGTAGCCTAGCGCCCATCTCCGCACACACATTGCCGTCACTCTAATGCACGCTCAGCACGGTGTCTGCACACTGGCTCCTGGATATCAGACATTACTATTCATCAATCGCCTAGATACTGCAGCTAATTTGCCGGAACCCCAGCTCATGCGCCCGTCTGCTCCTTGGACCCAATCGTCGCGGAACCGCCCCCCCGCGCCTCCGCAATCACCTGCGTGCCGACCACCGCGCCCGAGCTCTTGCTCTTGAAGATGCCGCTGATGGCCATGAAGCCCGGGTACGGCTCGTACACGTACTCCTCCTCCCAGACCTCCTGGCCCTTGAACGTGACGCTCTCGTTGAAGCCATTGAAGCGCATGTTCTGCGCGTAGTTGCCGACGACGGTGCTGCCGGAGACGACGCCCCTGTTGTCGAGCTTCTGGTCGACGAGGTCGCCGTTCTGCGCAAGGATGCGGTTCGTGTGCGTGTTGCCACTGTAGTCGTCGACCGAGTAGAGGATGTTGTTGGCGAGCTGGAACTGCTGAATGTCGAAGTCGCTGCGCTTGGCTTTTTGGGACCCCGTCACGCCGTCGGTGACGTCACCGATGAGGCCTGAGGTCGAGTTGATGATGGTGCCGAGGCCGTTGCCCAGCTCGGCGATGATGGGGTTCAAGTCGATGGAGCTGAGGGTGTCGTTGATCATCAGAACGAGGTTGGCGAGACGCGCCTCGAGGAGCACCTTTGCGGTGACGTTCTGGATCAACAGGTTCACTCTCTGGATGGAGAGGTCGACACCGGCGTTGAAGGAGAGGAGTTGCAGAACTTGGGCATCGAGGTTGATCTTCGCGGTAAGGTTCTGCACTTCGATATGGATCTCGCCGACGTGCACTGAAGCCTAGACTCGTTAGTTATCTGTTGTTCGATGTTCTGGACAAAGCTCACATTCAGGAACACATCGGGCTCAGGGACCAATGCCGACACGTTGTTATTCGTGTTCTCGGTCTCGTAGACCATTGCAAGCGGGTCGCCATCCTGCCTGATGTCGAGCTTGTAGCCCGTGTACCCGTCATTGTCACTTATTTGGGCGAAACCCAGGATGGGCAGCAGAAGGAACGTGAACAGGAATGCGAGTAAAGACTGCATCTTGACGAGATAGTCAAGGTTTGGTAGGGAGCGAACGCAGCTTCAACAGCTACAAAACAGGACGGAGAAGATGAGCGACAGGTGGTGCGCGAGCTGTAAGTGCCACTCTGATGCGGGGACGCGCCGTTGACAAAAGGTTCGCGCTGTGATGCGCTTGCATGGATGCTGCATGATTATCCACTAAAGCTGTAGCCTTCGGCCAGAACATTAAGATTAAGGAGACCAATTGCCATACCCCAAACCTCGAAAACAAGTTTGTTAGCACCGCATTTCCAAGATTTCGCGGTCAGGACCCATGCGCGGCTCGTTTTTCACGTTTTACCCGAAATTAGATCACCTAGGTTCATGCACGGCTACGGGTCACGTCAACGATGTGGACTGCGCCAATGCGTCTGGTTTAAATGTTAGCACGGCCGTTGCTTCCACAGGAGTTTGCCTTGCGTCGTTGCTCTTCTCTCGTTATCAACGTCGTTGCTGAAATCCGCAATCATGCAGTCTCTCCTTTCGTTCCGCATGCTTGTGCTTTTCTTCCTATCCTTCGCGACGCAGCTCCTCGCACAATCTGCAACTTCTTCAGCTACTCAACCGCCCACTTCCAGTTCAAGCAGGGCCCCAATCACGAATGGAACTTCGACAACCCCACCCGACGTTGCTACCACGTCAACAGTCCCGGATGTGTACCTGAATGTCCCCGAGCTGCACGTCGGGCGCATTGAACTCGATGTGGAAAAGCTGCAAGCCGACATCAACTTGAACGCCAAAGTCGCTGGTCTTGTTACCGTCAATGCTGGTGTCCAAGTCTCCGTGGAGAAGATCAACATCACGATCGCGGATGTCGATGTGCAGCTGGAACTCGTCGTGCGCCTCGGCCATCTCGTTGACATTGTGGAGCGCGTCTTCGAGTCGCTCGACCTGAACCCTCTCCTGCTCGGTCTCATCAACAACGTGACGAACCTGGTCGGCGATGTCATCGGCGCCGTTGACGGTCTTCTCGGCTCCATCACCAACGGTGGAAAGACGCTCAACTTCCTGGTCGACAACCTGGGTAACATTGTGCAGGAGGTCGTCGGTGGAGCCACCGGCGCTCTCTCCCAGATCGTTGGAAACTACCAGCAGAGTGAGTCTCCTAAAATACTTTCTGAAACGCATGCACTGACTCGACCTTCCAGACATGACGCAGGTTGGAGACATCAAGCAGCTCGGCAACGGTTTGATCCAGAAGACATTCTCGTACGACCCCTTGAGCGCATTAGTCGACATTGTGTTCAACGCGGCCGGCCAGGTCGTGCAGGCTACGGTGCAGAAGGGTAGCGGTGGTGGGTCGAGCTCGACAACGGCGAGCGCAACTGCAACCCCGATGCCGGTGACCCTACCTGTCAGCACTGATGCCAGCACGTCGTCTTAGTAGACTGTAGTAAATTATAATGTTAATTGGAACGCCGAGGGACACTTTTTTGCACAGTGAATGCAGCGCCTCCATGCCAATTAGAGGCAAAGACGAGGAAGCTGAGCAGAAACATAGTATGTTCAGGTTGCCGGATATCTATACAAGAAAGCGGAAATCGTGGATTTGAGATGGGAATTGTAGATTGGGATGTGAAAAGCATTCTTGTGAACAGTGCGTCCAGCTACCTCGCTAGAAGGTACCTCGCCCCACCGCAAACCCTCTGAGTGGCCTGGGCTCTAGAGGCATCCATGACCGTCCAAAGGCGCTTTTCCATCGTCAACCTTTGTGCACCGCAGCTCACCATGTCGTCTGTAGAGGCCTCAAGGGCGCATCTAAATACGCTTTATAAGAAGGTATGCCAAGCGGAGGGGGCTGTGAAAAAGGCGGGGGAAGAAGAGTATGGAGTACGAGAGAGAGAAGAAGAAAGACGTAGACGTCTGTGGGACGATAGCGATGACGAGGATGACGAATGGGCGATTGCACAGGTCGCAAGGGATCGTGAGCAGTATCCAGATGAGCAGGAAGATGGGTTCGACTTTGAGGCTAAACAGAAGCGTTTGGAGGACGAGCTCCAGAAGGCTATATGGGAAGCAACGGAGGCTTATAGGTATGTATGGCTCCATATGTATTAATATTGCTCACGCTGTGTATGAAGAGCTTTTGTCGCCAAATTTGAGGCTTGCGTAAAAGAAGACAGCCTAGGTATCCACCCGAACACGTGCATTACTATTTTCAGTGTACTGACCGACGGTAGGATCACTCGCAGAGTTGCACGACATGATGCACTCAAAGTTACCCGTTGAGCTACGAGACATGATTTACTGGCACCTCACTGTTCGAGTGAGACAACGCGCCTGCTATCCGACCAGGCCTGGCCCTATCTATGTTCATCAAGAGACATACGACCCGAATTTTCACAGCTACAGAGGTGCCGCAACCGATAGCGAATATAAAACTGCCCTCATGATTTTTGAGGATGGGAACACGGACAGTTTGAAACCTGGTGGCTGGTTGCTGAACCCAGAGTTTGTGGGCCGAGGCATGGCTCGGGAAATCGCAGAGAGATTTTACGCTGTGAAGGACTTTAGCGTTCACGTGTATCAACTCGAAGAGTTTCTGTTCTCAGACCGTACGGGAACTGGTTTCAAGCCATGTGATTACATTCGAGGACATATTAGCGTCTATGTACCTACGACATTCTGTAACGGCAAGACCGAGAGGGCGTGGCAAAATACTGAGAACGAAGTTGCCTTTCTCAATGGGCTGTATACGCAGTTGTCTCATTTGATGCGTCTCGCCCACAAATCCCGGCTCACCATCGAGATCCAAGTCACTACGTCGGCACCGCTGCGCATAAAGTATGAGCAAGGGGAACGGCGTTTCTACAACATCATGGAGTCCGTCCGAGCGCCCATCTACGATCTTATCCACGCTGGCGCGAATGTTATCGTCAAACACACGAAGGTGTCGAGCAGCACAACGCGCAATATATCCGAAGAGCCTATGAACTATTTCCGCATGAACAAGGAAGCATGGGAAGCTGAGAGAAAAACTCATGGCCCAGACTGGATGCCGTCAATAAGCTTTATTGCGAGAGAAGAGCTCGAGGATGAGGATGAGGGACGTCGCAGTATCGCGGAACGTCGGCTTCGAGAGGCTCTGGAGCAGCGATGGGGGCATTTACATTCGATAGACGCATACGGCTCCAGATAGAAGTCTGAGAACAGTGAGTTACCCGAGGGTAGGCAATACGTAGGCCGGAAGTATGCAAACGTCTGTCCTAGTACTACGCCACGGACCGTGCTGTCTCTTGAAGTGCAGAACTTTTGTATCAGTAGACAATCTGTACTTTTCGATGGCCAGACGTCGTAGGAGAGCTGGCTTATTAAGTGGCCTCCACACGAGAATGTTCTTGGCATTCCAATGAGCGAGGAGACGCTCTTGCGAGGTGGGAGCGGAGTAGAAGTGGTGGCCGCTCATTGGGTGAGTGGGACTACACCGTTGGGTGCCGTATCCTCAACACGGCTGGAATATCTTACAAATCTCTCCTGCATGCCCATGGTAATGTTTGCTGTTCGTGGTCTGGAGATGAGTGATGGCCTGTGAGTGTGTCCAACAGCCCAACACCAAGACCTGATTAGCCGCTTTCGTTAGGTAAGCGAGCAATCGAAGGATTCTCGTATGCGTGTGACAGCAACGTATCGACAGGGCAGCGCGTACCACACCCAGCTGATCGGTACCAGCTTACAGGGGGATTCGCAATGCCACTGGAGTCGCGCCTGCTCGGCATCTTGCTCGAACACTATGCGATCGTCGCTGTCGTCGTGAGCGCGGTGTACGCAGCTGTTCTCGTCGCTCACCGCCTCTTCTTCTCGCCTCTTGCCAAATTCCCCGGTCCGAAGATTGCGGCGGTCACCACTTGGTATGAGTTCTACCATGACTACTTCCGAAAAGGGAAATATGTTTTCAAGATCAAGGAGATGCACGACAGATATGGTGTGTCGATCTGGCACTTCACGATTTCATCAAGCACCGCGCTAACCCAAACCGTACAGGACCTATAGTCCGCATTACTCCACATGAGTTGTCGATCCACGACCCGGAATTTTACAACTCGCTAAACGTATCTGGGAGCGTCAGGAAGACCGATAACTATGAAGGCTTTGCGCGCGGCATCGACTTTGATGGTCAGCAACGCCGAGGTCCAAGCCGAACACTGCTAACGTGATGTTAGACACCCATTTCCTCTCAACATCGCACGACCTACATCGTCGGCGACGTAAACCTCTAGAACCATTTTTCTCTCGTGCAGGTGTCACCAAGCTTGAGCCAATGGTTGGGGAAGTGGCCAAACGCTTCGTCCGGCGGCTCGACAGCTTTCAGGGCACCGACCAAGTGATTCGCCTCGATCACGCATACGTAGCACTTGCTGCTGATGTGGTGGGCAAGATTTGCTTCGAAAGCAAATCTAACATGATCGATGAGCCAAGTTTCGGTGTGGAGTGGTACAACCTGCTTCACAATTTCATTCACTCGCTCCCCTTGGTGATGGCATTTCCTCAGCTCATCAAGTATGCATACTGTTGAAAAATAGCTGCTGGAACTGACCCTTTCTAGGATTCTCAATGTGATACCTTCCGAGATCCTACGCTGGCTTGATCCACGCTTGGTAACGTTCGAGAAATTCCGGGACTTCGCTCGCCAGCACATAATCGATGCCAAACGAGAGCTAGAGGAGAAGCCAGACTACGAAACCTTCGAGACTCGGAACTCTGTGTTTCGACATCTCCTCACGAGCGGGCTTCCGGAGAGCGATCTCTCCGTCGAGAGATTGACCAAGGAAGCGCAAATCTTCTTGGGGGCCGGCAGCATCAGCGCAGCTCGTACTCTTGACTTCATCAGCTACTACATCATCGCGAACGAGAACTATCTCACAAGGTTACAATTGGAACTGGCTCCTCTCATGGGAGACTACCCCAAGCAGCTACCGTCATTTGTCGAGTTAGAGCGGCTTCCCTTCCTACAAGCATTGGTCAAAGAGGGATTGCGACTAAGCTATGGCGTCATGCACCGTATGCCTCGTGTATCGCCGGATCAACCTATCGTCTATAGAGACTGGGTCATTCCGCCTGGGGTACGTGCGTCTTTACTATTTTCTGTTCGGTCATTGACAGAGTACAGGTCGCTGTTGGAATGTCAGCATATATGAACCACACAGACCCGAATATCTATCCAGATCCCTTCACCTTCAATCCTGAACGTTGGTTAAAGGATGTCACGCCCGCAATGACCCGATGTCTGGTCCCGTTCTCTAAGGGATCACGGAACTGCCTTGGCATGAAGTAAGTTACTTAGCATTAATATGTTGGATGGAGAGAACTAACCATTCTCAGTCTGGCATACATGGAGTTATATAAAACACTCTCGACTGTGTTTCGACCAGGAGGCCCAAAGCTTGAACTGTTCGAGACGGACGAGAGCGACATCGTCCAGGCCCATGATTACATCATTCCGTTGCCCAATCTGGACAGCAAAGGTCTACGCGTCAAAGTGGTCTAGAAATAGAACGGCTCCTGGTATACATGTGGCATAAGGGTCTATTGCGTAGTAGTCTCTGGCGTGCATGTAGGCATTAATTCCTCGTACTGATATATATTATTTGGAGCTAGTATTGTACGTCGGTGCCAAATTTCTCTAAGAATGACCATAATTTTAACCGTTTTGGAGGGTCTGTGGTGCTCGGAGATCAATGTTGACGCCCTCCAGTCGTGAGGCTGTGCTAGGCGGGGTCAACGTGAATACGAGCACCGAATGCCTCAGCCGCAGCCCAAAAGTCTCCGTGAATCACCACCTTATCTCAAGGTGACATGACTCCAAATTTTAGTACTCAAAGACTATGCCATCCTCGCAATGGAACACGACACCTCCAAAACCTTTCGCGAGATCCATGGTACACCATCAGCGCTAGTTGCAGAGCTGGATAGGATCCAAGGTCTTGCTCTGCGACGATCGAGAAGACTGCATCGGGTTGAGATCCCAGTACAATTGCGCTTCCTTGCTCCTCTGGATCCTCAGCCACAAGGCTATGGACCCGATACAGTGCACCTACGACTTACATCTCCGCAAGAATACACAGAGACGCAGGAATATGTGGCCGTCTCATATACCTGGCAGCAGCCTCAGTCGTTCACAGACGCATTCTTAAACAGGATTCCTACCTACAAGATATGGGACACGGATAGTCAGCCTTATAACCCCGAGTGCAACCCACTCGTCATACACCGCGCATACCGCTTCGCACAAAAGAAACTGAAGCAAGTCTTGATATGGATCGACCAGGAGTGCATTCGACAAGATGATCCGGACGATGTTGAGACACACGTGCTGGCCATGCATGAGATCTACAGGCACAGCGCATTCACGGTAGTACTGCTCTCCCGGATGGTCGATAGCGTTCCAATGGCGGCAGGCTTGTACCCGTTCATGCACGGCGGTGCCGACGTTTTCGATAAGCTTCTCAAAAGTGATGACTGTAGGGTTCGCAAGTTATGTCTCGTTGCCTTACAGCTGCTGGCGCAGGACCGGTGGTTCTCACGCACATGGACTTACCAGGAGCGTTTCTTCGCGACCGTATGCTATTACGCGGTTTCCATTGAACCTACACTGGGCGCCAACACACAAGACGGGGGTCTGGAGGACTGGTATATACCCGAGCGCAACATTGTGGCATTTTCTAAGAAGACCGCGGACAACGCTACTGCACTCAACAAGGATCATTTTGGTTTCGACTTCCGTCCTTCAGCGAAGGGTATGTGCGCCTGCACAATGGTCACCTTCAGCTTGGTGCGCTTAATCAAGTTCAAATTTGAAGCCTCACGCTCTGTTAATTGGAAGATCCACCTTCCAGGCTTCGAGAGCTTCGGCATCAAGAGTGCAGGTATCAGTACACCGCGCGAGGTAATGAGTCGCACTGCCAAGGTCAGTGCTGCTGAGGACGAATTGGACCGCATTCAGGGCAGATTCGAAACGATCAATCATGTATTCCTGGACATGGAAGCGTGCGACAATGCCATAGTGGCAGATCGCGTCTCAATATTTGCGAATGTTTGTCAACTCGGCTGGACTCTTCCAACTGTAAAGCTCAGGGAAGAGAATTTAAGCTATAGCACTTGCATTCTCGCATTGCTGCTTCTGGATGTGCTGAAGGTGCCTGGTGAGGCAGCAAAGATGGAGCTTGCTGAAAGCGCGATGAGACTGAGTATTGGTGGTTTCATACGAAACGAGGGATACCCTTTTTCAAAATTGTTGTAGTACCACGACAAAGGTCTGAAGTAGCGCGCAATTGGTAGAGCGTGGGAGACATACTATTTTCCGCTTGAAAAACTTCATCTCATTACATTATATCTCCTGGTAGTCTTCTCGCTACTACAGAGCTAACAACCAAGACGTTGCTCTATCGACCTCTGGTCTGCAGTCTCGAGAATTTCCAGCCCTCTTGAACGTTCCGGTCCCGGTGCTTTGAACCACCCCCAGCACGTATCAGCTTCAATCGCGGATCCAGTCGAAGGTTGTATAAGACAGTACATGTGAAGGGACCTCCACAGCCCGATAAAATACTTCCGATCCCACTGCTGTAGCCCCAAGTATCGCAAAGAAGCAGGCAGCCGTCGCAGCAACCTCGCTCGTCATGTGCAAGGTCTGGAAGAGTTTGATGCCCATCGTGTACACCAAGATGCTCTGAACGAGGAACCAACCTGTTTACCGTGTCAGCTTTATCGTAACCGACTATGGAGGCATTACTCACTCAGGGACCGTTGTCCAAGGTAGACGAAGAGTGGGTTAGCCAATGCCCATTGTATGATGTCAGATGTCTCCACACACAGTAGAAACCCCAGTAATACAAAATAATTATCGTCTCTTGCTTGCGGCTGCTTCACGTCGAAGTCTTCGTTGAGCCCACCAGTGTAGTATAGTCCTCCATGCGCAATGAGCTCGTCATCGCGGTACTCAGGGCGCCAAGCTGCCCACAAGTACTGCATGATCAACCCTGCCGCCAGGATGACCGCATAGGCAAAGTATGATGGGCACCTGATGGACCGCCAGATCTTAATCCCACGTTGGGCTTTGGCCTTGAAGTCCATGTTTGTAGCCATGTCTGCGAGCAGTAGGCCGGTAATGGAATACCAAGCCCAAGATTGAACCCACCACGCTGTGATGATGAAGAAGAAGGCGCCTTTGACGCGCCAGGATCGGCGTGTGTACGGGATGATGACCATCGTCATGTAGACCGTGAAGCTGCTTCTCGTCAGTACCAGTCCGCCTATCGATCATAGGAAGCACTCACCTCTGCATGTAGATAACATTGATAACCCACATCATCTGACCCGGAAACGCATAGCTGCCTGCCTGATCTGAGAACCGCGTCGTAACCCAGAACAGGTTGAACACCGAATTGAAGTAGATCAGTGCATTGTCGATCTTGTAAGGCACCAGGATGGAGATGTTGCCAGTCGCCTTTGCGAAGTCATCAATGTACTTGTATCCAGTCGACTGCAAGACACCGGTACTGATAGCCAAAGCAACAGCGACTGGGAACCACAACCGGATGCCACGACGAAAGATTGACCCCGCAACGGAAAGCTTGGTCTTGTCTTTCATGAAGGGAATGCATATTGTGCGAGCGCTGAGAAGGATGAAGGCTGAGTAAATGATGCCATCGTTCCAGAAAAGGATGGAGACAAACTTGAGCGCTTTGTGGAGACTGGAGCTGTGCGACCCTTCTTGGGCGTTGGCTGAGTGAACGACAGAGCCGGGGGCGAAGACAAGGAGAAAGGTATGCAAGAAAGATTGAATGACGAAGAAACCTCGTAGGCCGATGAGGAAGTCGTTTTTAGAGTCATGAGATGATAACGGTGGAGCAGCAAAGCGTTTGACAGACTCCATTGTCAGAATTGACCAGCGGCTCACAGTGAAGACAAGATGGACCTTAGATTGCCAGAAGTCCTCAGGCTGTTACCCAAGTTCGGTGATAATCAGCAATACGAGAGTTCAATAACAGGGCTATATTGACAACAAGCAAGGACGAAGCTATGGCAGCCATGTCTCTCCCCGAAACCGAGCTGAACCACAAGTCCTGATGCCAGTGCCGCACGGCTATCGGCATCGCTACACAATTCCTATCTTGCTCACATCAACCCAGAACCTGCAATCTATTTCCGTCTTTATTCAGTCAGCCCACTAGACACATTGGCGTCATTGTGCTATGTGGGGGTCATGGCTTGACACGTCGCAAGGCAACGAGCGTGGCTTGAGTCCCACGCATATTCACCGGTAGATCGCTTACTTTTTGGGTGGGTATATTCGTTTTTCCAGGGGCCGTGCGACAGTTGGCAGGGGTCGTGTACGACGCGAGACGGCAAGCGACGAATGACCTGGTTGTTGGGACTGCAGGAGAGACAAAACGGGGAATTGAGTTCAGCTTTGCGGCTCTAGTGGCGCGCATTGAGTGCTACTCGGCGGTGATGTGGCGATAAGGCGGAAATGGAAGTTGCCGGCAGGTGGAGCGTTTTATGCATTGCACTACCACAACAAGCTTCTCTTAGCACACAAGTAGCGCAAATCATTGATATGAGGTATGAAGGTAGCCTTATTGAAGTTAGCCTTATCAACGTCCCATGTATTTCGGTGCACGGTAGATACAATGTCAACTCGGGCATTTTGTTACAGACGCAATTCTAAATGAGCCCAAGTTTGGATGTTGAAGAGGTCCATTACATTAGTCTAAAGCACGCTTGGTCCGTCATTACCAACCCTTCTGTCACAAACCGTGTTCGGCTACTTTCTAGCCGTAGGGTTCCAGTTGTTGTACGCAACGACTTGCCGCGCATGTCCGTAAATGCCAATCATACCCATCAGAACTAGGTAGAAGGGATAGAAAGCTGAAAACACGATCATCATCCAGGCACTGACGAATTCGGAGCGCACACGCCAGGTGATGACCAGCGTACCGACCAAACAAACAAGACTTAGACAAGTTAGGACAGCCCAATTATGAAGGTGGACTACACACTGACCTGATGATGAAGAACCAGACTGATAGCGGATACGGAAAGAAAACCATCCTCGCGAGCGCTAGCGGCGTCTTGGGAAAGTCCAGAATGATCATGCTGAGCACGAGGCAGGTGTACTGCATTGCGTAAGTGAATGGCCAGATCCCGTCTGACGCCACTAGCTGAGGCGCGCGCGTCCCCTCTTACCTGTGTGATAAGGTAGTACGACAACTCTCGTACAGCCAGTAGCGAGAAGACACCGAAACGCTTCGTAAAGCTCCGAGTACCCTGCTCGGGCTTGCTCCAAACCTGTAAGCCCTATCAGTAACGCTTGCACAGCATAACGCCACAGCCTATCTGGACTCACCATTGGCATGTGCACTAGACTGGCCTGCGCCCATCCTTGGGCCCACCTCAGTCGCTGTTTCCAAAACCCCTGAAACTCAGAGGGGGCGAGTTCGTAAGAGACACAGTTGATTTCGTGGACTGCCTTCACATTCTTTTTTACAGCCCGCAAGGCCGAGTCAATGTCCTCTGTCAGCATCTCGCCATGCATCTTGTGCGCTCGCAATAATGGAGCCCGCCAATAACCATTGCTTCCTGTTGCCGTATGTTTAGCCGTGGCTCATTTATTCGCAACAGGTGAAACTTACCACAGAAAAGACCGAAATCCATCATGAGTGCACGTCCAGGGTGCGATACTGCATAGATTTTGTCGAACTCAACGGCGATGAGGCGTGTCAGCCACGAATCGCGCGAGTTGTAGATAATGCAGCGCCCCTGTACAATGTTGATCTCAGAGTCGCCCATGAACCTTTCGGCGGCCCACCGAGGATTGTGTGGATGCGGGTAGTGGTCTGCATCGAAGATGGCAATGATGTCCGCACCGGTATCGAGGGTAAAGAAGTAGTTGAGGTTGTCAGCCTTTGACTTGCTTCCAGGGACTTTGATCACACGAAGCTGCGGATACGCCTCTTGTAGATCAATGAGCTCGGTCTCCAGAGGCTCGATAGGGACCGGAGTATTGTATACGCAGTTGATGCGGATGCGGTCGACAGGATAGACGATTTGGGTGCAAAGATAGTTGACGCGGTCCATGATGATGTCGCGCTCGTTGGGAAGGTAAGCGACGATGATCAGATCGAGGATGGGAAGCTGGTCGTCGGGGGTGGGCCAGGGTCCCGACCCAGGCTTGAAGTCGAGCGCGGCCATTTTGGTGACTCTCGCTCGTGCATCTCGAGTGAAGGACATGCTCAAAATGGCTTCCACAACTGTCGTGAAGCTGACGTACATGTTCGTGAGCATGTACACGTACCAGAACACTTCGATCAGCTTCTCCGTACACACCATGTAAAGACATGTTGAGCCGACAAAATAGGAAAAAACGAGTGTGAAGGGAGTCCACTCCCAGACCCAGGCTGAACTTCTGGCAGAGGCATAGTCGAGTTTGCTACGCAGGGAGGACAGGCCTGAGGTCTGTGAGGTGACTGCCCGCGCAGAGTTCGAATGACCGAACATCTTGATCAACCTTCGTCGAGGAGAGAGTAGAACAACTTAGAGAATCTTGAGAAACGCAGTAAAATGGACAGCTAAGAACGACAGTGTGCACGTAATTTGATATCCCAGTCAACGACCCAGTGTCCACGCCTCGTGCTACTAATTTAAGATTCGCTTTTCGCCTGTCCCCTGTGTTGATAGATCGTGAAATGCCGGAGGCTTGCCTCAAAACTATTGAAGGCGCGATCCGGGCGTCTGTTAATCTTCACTATGCTCATTTCAACAGGTCCCAATTGGGAACGACCTCTTATCCCACCGGCGGCCTCAGCCTACTGTGCAAGCCAAAGCTGAGGTACACGGCCCACTAGGAGTCGCCGGCGGTGTATATTTCGACCAAAATGTAAGCCTGGATGGACTCAACAAGCCCAACAAGGCGCCAGCTGCTTCGTATCTGCATCGAGGTGACTCAAGAATGTTCCAGATGAAGGAGGAGAGTGGGTCTGAGGTGCAGTCGGCGAAGTGGCATTGGCGCCTGCTCTTTTATCTCTCGCTAACATTTATTGCATGTCTCGCTAAGCAGTGACGCCACGCGGTGTGCAAGTCACAGATGCATTGGATACATCACGTGACATACAGAGCTAACACCAGGCCACTACGATGTACCAGATTTCGCCTGGCCAATTTCCAGGGTCGAAAAGATATCGCGTCTGGGCTGAACGTCAAAATGATGGCGTTTTGCGGCGTGTACCCATAATAGCGCCCGAATCGCCGCTTAGCATACTTTCACAGTTGCCTTTGGTTCCTCTCACCATCACTATCGCCAGGTCAGGAGGTTTCCTAATCATTGAGTCTCACCATGGATGCTATCATCTTCTTCCTCGCACTGCTGTTGCAAATTGTCGCTTCGACCGACGTGTCGTCTTGCTCTTGCGGTTTCCTCGACTCTAAAACTGGTGCAGTCTGGACTGACGCACTGATCACATACGCAAACGAGACCGAAGAGTTACCCGGAGAGTCGTTAATTGCTGAGGACTTCCAGAATCCGTACGAGAAGAACTGGAACGCGCGTTACCGAGCAGGCGCGAAATCGTCCAATCTGGCTTTGTCGGAGTCGACGAGATCAGGCTGGAATGGCACAGCGTGGACGCTGAAGATCGATCCGCCCACCAAAGACCATATAGTGATCGGAGCCTCTATTAGGTCGATTCGACGTGACATCCAATATGGCACCTTTGAAGCCGCTCTGGGAGCACCCAAACCGGGCGTTGGTGGAAGCATACTTTCCATGCGGCTCGACTACAACGAAACACAGACGGTGAATCTGAATGTCATGAATGCAGATGCTCCAAAGGATGCATGGACGTCGTTCATGATCTACGGAGATTGGAGAGGCACTCGATCCAAGGGCGTGAACTTCAGCGATTTTGGCAACAACACCTATTCCTTCCAGGGCTCCCCGTGGGGGTTTGTTCCGTACCGCATCAACTGGGACAATGCGTCGAACATCGATTTCTTCATTGGCGATGCGCTGGCGCGTTCAGTCCGCTCTAAGGGTGCTGCGAAGCCCCTTCCTGTGACACCGGCGACGTTCCGCATCCAGCATTCATCCTTTGGGGACATGTATACTTCCGAGGGACCGCCGCCGAATGGATCAGATGCGCGTGTAGGCATGATCAGGGCCTTCTTCAACACGTCCAGCATGTCGCCAGAGGACCATGCTGCATTCGACAAGCGCTGTCACCTAGCGCCGGCCCCAACGTGTCTTGTCTCCGACACATCACTTCGAGGGGCCTCCAACTTCTCGCTCCCAGCATCCCGGCCGTGGAAGCCTAAAGCAGTCGACTACAAGAAGCGATGGCCTGCTATCTTCGTCGTGTCTGTTTCCGCTGCCATTTCAACGATCTTGCTGGCGCATGCCACCTTCAAGCGGGCTCCATGGAAGCAAAAACAAGCTGCAGGCAGCCTTGATCCTCCATCTGCACCAACTGCAAATAACAGCGGGCGAACATCAAAGGACCTGTCCACCACTCCTTCTTTCATCTATTCGGAACACGATGCATTGGCGCTTACCGCTCAGCTTCCTGGGGTTGGCACGCCAGGACAAGTGACGCCTGGTACCTCAACACCGCGCGCTTCTTTGCCCCCCGGCTCATCACATGGCTCCGCTCAGATATTCTGGGCAAGCTCACGCGACTCGCTGGAGATCTGCAAGGTGAATGGAAACAAGCAAGCTGGTGTTCAGGCAGTTGTGCCGTCTACTAGGATTGGCAAATACGACGAGAAGAAGCAAGTTGAGGTCACAGTCAAGGAGATCCCCAACACAGTCCCCGCTGCCAACAACGCCTCCCTTGCCGATGCAAAGCTGCCTATCGCGGCGCCTAAGCAGCGTGTCGACTATCTGGCAGGATTGGTGAGCAGGCTTATGCATAGCATGCGTCGAATTGCGCTGACTAGTAGCAGGTTGCGTTAGCATCCGTACTCGTGACCTTGATTCATTTCGCCTTGACGTTTCTTCCAGCCACCGAGATTCCGTACACCCATGCTCACTATGAAAGCGAAATTTGGGCACTCAAAATTGTAACGCCGTATCTGTTGACCTTCAGCTGGATTGGGCCCTTCTTTACCTCCTCAACCCGTTTCTTAATCGCCAGCTACCTCAAGTCGGGCAACCTCAAGGGCGTCGCAGAAAAGACTGTCGGTCGAACACCCCGTCTGATCATCCCTTGTGCCGCCGTCGCAGCCCTCGAGTACTTTTGCATGCAAGTGGGCGCAATAAACTGGCTCGAATACCTGCCGTCCGTGACTTGGTCGACATGGCCATACACTGCCGGTTATGTGACATTTGGTCACTTCATTAGTGAAATCCTTGAGTTGATGTATATCATTCCTAATGCTGTCCCTCAGATTACCTTCAACTGTATGTTATCCACCCTTCTACCCTCATCTGATATCGCTAACAGGCCCAGATTGCATTGGCGTCCTCTGGACTATCCCCGTCCAGCTGCAGAACTCTTGGCTGTCTCTTCTGGCTGTCATAGTCATCCGAGAAATCAAGACGCCCTGGAAACGTATGGGCTATTACGCCTTTTGTATCCTTATGCACTACTACGCTATGTCATGGGGGACCTTCTTCTGGGTTGGTCTTCTCATTGCCGATCTGGACTTGACATATAAATGGAAGGACTGGTTGTACAGCCGACCCTTTGTGTACTACCCTTTCCTCACTTTCATTGCTCTTTTGGCTGTCGGAAGCCCCTCGATTGACTTGGTTGGCATGTGGAAAGCAAACTGGAACTTCAACACACTCGAGTTTGGTATCCACCCTCACCAGCGCACTGGGCATGCGGTACGCGATACATCTGACTACGGATACCCCGCGTACTATCTCCCACGCCTCACAGCTCTCACTTTCTCCATCGGCTTCCACCTCCTGGTCGAGCTGTCTACTGTGGTGCAGAAATTCTTCTCGAATCGCCTTCTCATGTGGCTTTTCCCACATATTCTTACGCTCTACCTCATCCACGGTCTGGTATTCTGGAGCCTTGGAGCCGCCATCTGTGTCCACCTGGCAGCACACAACGTTCCCTACTGGGCTAATATGTTGATTGTAGCCATCTGCTCATATACTGTTATTTTCGGGTGCCTACCATTGCTGACACCTATCCTGGAAGGCTTGGGCAAGAGCATCACCCAGAAGATTTGGCAGGACGCGAGCTCGAAGCCACCGTCAAGGAGGAAGACTCTGTACCCTTTTAGTCCGGAGATGTTCGAGGGAAACGAGGTCGACGACGGGGCGAAAGACAGAGATGTGGAGAGTCAGGCTGTCAAAGAGAAGATGTAGCTAGGTTTTCGCAAACCCGATCTGGACGTCATGCATCGCACTGGAGTAATGTGGCCACTTAGTAATAATAGATTCTTGTTCTACACAATCGTGTAGAAAGACTTTATGTTTGCAAGCACTTAATTCTCGGTGGGATGTTTCTGGCTAAATGATAAATGAAGGCCGAACGTAAGTAATTAAGCCAACAAAGCATCAGACTCGGTTTTCGGAAAGGTATTCAACCACGTCTACCCAGCTTCGAAAGCATTTTCATTGACCGTGCCGCAGCGGCAAGCCAGAGCTAACATGAACTTGAAGGATTTCATAACTCGTTGACTCAATGAAACAAGCGCAATGGTTGGACAGTTTCGAGGCGATGACGTATCCTGGCTCTGCTATACTGGATGTGTGGAGGAGGAACTACCCTGTAAAGGTATAGTGCGGCTCACAAATATTCGCCTATCTGGATTACTCCGAGAGACCAACCTTCAATGTTCCTCAACCTCCAACCTCAAGTTGCGCAAATGCGCGGATCCTAAGACGTTTCCAACAACTACAGCTTCTTGGTCCCACATGACATTACTGCTCCATCTGTAGCGCAGCAGGCGCCAATAGATCCGTCCCATCCCTACTCTTTCCGGCGCTCCGACGATCGAATCTAAGGCGGTGACAATCCCGTGATTCCGATGTCGCAGCCATACTGTGCATTATAAAGTGGAGTGGACGATCACGTGTTATCTGCAAATTGTGTTTCGTCCTTGCGACCATGGCAAGTAAGCAGGCTGCCTGCATGGCCTGTCGAAGGAGTAAGATCCGATGTAAAAGAGGTCCCGGAGCCGATACTTGCGAGAAATGTGTTGGGTCAGGTATCGAATGTGTCATACCAGGGGGCTTTCATATTGGACGTCAAAAAGGAGTCAGGAAGTAAGTGAGCAGACATACCTCTACACCGTTCCCTAACATCATCCAGTAAACGGACTGGGCTCGAAAAGGCGCTCCACCAGATCGAAGAAGCCATTAAAAAGTCTAAAGCGGACCCAACCTCAAGCGAGAATACTTTGGAGCAATTGCAGCAACTTCTCCTTGAGGCGCGAGGTAGTGGGGCTTCTTCGAATAGCAGCCCTTCGAGCAGCGTCCCTGCACCTTCAGAAGGGGTGGCGCATGTGAGCGACGATCAGCAAGCTTTGGATGACGCTGAGAACCCCCTGCAACTGCTTGCACGCGCCTCGGACCTACGCTTGACGTCTCCGCAGTCAAGCGACCATATGTTTACTCCATCCACATCACATAAAGGCAGCGACGTGGACCAACAGTCTGATGTCCACCGATTTTTCTTACCGATCAAAGCCAGCCTTGATCTTGGGCCCAGTTATGATCCCATTGACTTGGGACTAGTGACTGAGGAAGAGGCCGAGCTACTCCTGTCGTTGTAAGCCTACTTCCATCGATTGGCAACATGTAAACACCGAAAGCTTACTGATAGTCCAGCTATCATGAGAAGTTGGCGCATACCCGTTGGGGAACTGACAAGGCGACACACACTCTGGATTTCTGCCGTAGGCAGTCAGCATTCCTTCTCACTTCGCTTTTGGCAGCATCTTCCTTGTTCTTACCCTCAGCCGCTGCCATGTGCAAACGCCTGCTTGTGCATAGGAAATTTATGGCCGAGCAGGTGATTGCGCGGAGGTTTCGCTCGGTAGAGATCGTTATAGCGTTTATGGTCAATGTGCCCTGGATGCATCCTGGAGTGAATGCCGGCGACGACGACACCGGGCTATACATGTCCACAGCGCTGAGCATAGCGCTAGATTTATCGCTCAACAAAATTATCGTGCCATCGTCATGTTTCGACCAAGAAATACTCAAACGAGTGCCAAAAGGGCATTGCCTCGATGCAAGAAAGGCTCTGACGATGGACGGTTTCGAAGATGCTGAAGTCATGTCAGAGTTCGGCAAGCAGATGCTTCGGAGACGCGAACGAGCCTGGATCGCACTATTTGTGCTGGATCGTGGCATTGGACTGGCGCGTGGCCGTGCCTTTTGTGCTACAGTCACGCCACTCATCACGTACTGCGACGTCTGGCACATCGACATGACCCCAGATCCACAAGATGGGCCACTGGTGTCTATGGCCGTTTTAAGACGCGACCTTGACGACCTCTTCAGATCCGTACGCTCCAAATGCGACTCGTACCAAGCTAGCGACATTGGGTCAAAAGCCGCCGAGGATATCGAGTCGACCATTGAGGGATTTTTCAACACATGGATCGCGAAGTGGACCCACACCATCGGGGAAGGAGAGCAGAAGATCCTACCACCATATGTTGAGATACTGCTCCCACATACGCGACTGTCGGCCTATAGCCACGTTATCAATCATCCCACCGCGCCACTCGAGGTCAAACGTCTGCTCCGTGGCTCTACATTGTCGGCGGCCCTGAATGTCCTGCGTGTGGCAATACAAGGTGAAGTGCGTTTGAAGTCTATGCCGAACAACACGGTGACGATGATATGCTTTGCCGCCTGCGTGGCGCTAACTCTGAGCGCGCCATCTCCATATGGAAGCTATAATCTAGCACCGAGCGTTCGCAATCTGATTGAAGAAACAGCCACTGTTCTGGAACGCATTGGAAGTACACCAAGCCACAGGAATGGGGCCTCGGTTATCTACGGCAAGAGTCTGCGTGAGTTGGTCAAGCGGGCACCAGAGCTCCCTCCACTTGTGCAACCGCCGGCTTCCTTCAACTACGTCTCGCAGCCTCAAGCACCGAACAATTCACTATTCGCGCCCGCTGCCGACCTTTTGCAGTCCTCAAATCAGCCGCAGTACCAGCTACCCAACTCGTGGCCGGAGCCACTCCAATTTTCAGCGATGTCCGGGAATGAAATCATCGAGACTGTGATGAATGTCGGTGATTTCAACTCGTCGCTCCTGGACATACCGATGCAGGATCCAAACTCTTTCATGTGGATGGACTGGATCAACCCCATGGATCCTGGATTCTAAGCCGAAAAAGAGTCTCCTGTACGATCTAACTCGCTGAACAATTCGTCTGTCATCGCCGAGTCTCTCAATCCCCATCACCATCGTAGGCAACTCGGTCAACATCTTGTCCACACGTCTCAAGCTCATCCATGCCAAGCTCTCACGACTCCGAAGAACGCGGTGTCCTTCCTTGTGGGTGCTCAACACGTACTCAAATTGACACTGCACAACCTGCGCAGGCCGACTTCGAACGCTTGCTTTTCGCAAACGCGTGCAGCGTGTGGCAAGGACGCTTAATTTCACCCTGCCTTCACATGGAGCTATCAGTTGACGACCCTGATGCCGCGCCGAGCTTCACACGGTACTGCTTTGGTGTTGAGGGTTGGCAACATCCGCGTCAAGATTACCCGCCCCACCCGGAACCAGAACTGGCTCCGTCACCGAACCTCGCGCGTCATCGGTTACCCATCCTCGGCCGCGTTGCGAAAGCACATTTCCTCCAGCGTCCAGGAATAGCACGTATCCGATACCGGTAAATCCCGACAAAGATTCGCGTTGCAATACATTTATCGCGCATACAATTGACCACTTATCTTTGTATTTACACTCACAATGGAGTCCTCTTCTCGGTTGCTTCTTACCCTTCCGTTACGCATATGCGCCAATCGACCCATACCCGCACAACTGCGCGCCGCGCGATACGTCGACAGCAGATGGAGATTCGCGTCGCAAAAGAGGTTCAAGACCATCCCTGCGTCGCGGGAACCTAGAATCGACCGTTCTCGTTCGAAGGTGTGGCAGTCCGCAGACGAGGCTGTCGCAGATATTCAATCGGGGTCGACTGTGCTCAGCGCTGGATTCGGACTATGCGGTGTCGCAGACACTCTGATACACGCCATCAAGAACAGGGGCGCGAAATCGCTACATTCACTCACCGCCGTGTCAAACAACGCTGGCATCGAAGACGTGGGCGGGCTGGCTCTGATTACGAAGTCTGGGCAGGTCAAGAAGCTCATTATCAGTTTCCTGGGGAACAACAAAGCTTTGGAGAAGCAATACCTATCCGGTGGCATCACAATTGAGCTATGTCCGCAGGGTACATTGGCGGAACGGATACGAGCGGCGGGTGCAGGCATCCCAGCCTTCTATACCCCAACTGCAGTCAATACTCTATTGCAGGATGGTAAGATACCGGCACAACATGACAGCGAAGGAAACGTGATTGGATATGGGACGCCGCGCGAGGTTCGCGATTTCAACGGCCGAACTTACTTGATGGAGACTGCATTATCTGGTGACGTTGCCATACTAAGGGCATGGAAAGCTGATGAGCAGGGCAACTGTGTCTTTAGGTATAGAAATTTGGCCGTCTAGCAGGCCGCCTGCTGACAAGTGCAGGTATACTACGAAAGCTTTCGGGCCTATCATGGCCAAAGCCGCGCGCCTGACCATCGTCGAAGCCGAGGAAATCGTGCCGGTCGGATCACTCAGCCCGAACGAGATCCACTTACCTGGAATTTTCGTGAACCGGATTGTCCCAGCCACCGCGCCGAAGAACATTGAGATCAAGAAACTTCGCGACCCGAAAGACGATGGCAAGCCATCCAAACAAAACGAAGATGCCATGCGTCGAAACCGGATCGCGCGGCGAGCGGCCAAGGAGCTCAAGCATGGATACTACGTCAACTTGGGAGTCGGTATCCCTACAATGGCAGCAAGCTTCGTTCCCGAGGGCACAAAAGTGTGGCTGCAGAGCGAGAACGGTATCCTCGGCATGGGGCCGCATCCCACAGAGGAAGAAATGGACCCCGACATCATCAATGCGGGCAAGCAGACGGTCACGCTACTCCCCGGCGCCTCCACATTCGACAGCGCCGAATCATTCGGTATGATCCGCGGTGGTCACGTCGATGTGTCTATTCTCGGCGCTCTTCAGGTCAGCACATCTGGCGATCTTGCCAACTACATGATCCCCGGCAAGGTTTTCAAGGGCATGGGTGGTGCGATGGATCTTGTGGGCAATCCTGATGCTACAAAGGTCGTTGTGGCTACAGAGCATGTGGCCAAAGATGGCAGCAGCAAGATTGTACAGGATTGCAAGCTGCCGCTCACAGGTGCCAAGTGCGTCAGCACTATCATTACGGATATGTGTGTGTTTCAGGTGGACAGGGAAAATGGTGGACTGACTTTGACGGAGGTGGCCGAGGGAGTCACTGTAGAGGATGTGAAGAGCAAGACGGATGCGAAGTTCACTGTCGCAAAGGATTTGAAGAACATGGAAGAGTGGTAAGGTCGAATTGGCATTAGCGCTATCAGATTTGCTTGTAAATAAATAGATGGAAGCATATCAGATGTTTGGACATTCCAAAAAAATCCTCCCCCGCTCATTCGGCGTGCTTCAGTGCGTTAGAGCCATATACTGTAATTCCAGCGGCAGCTGATGTGTGCTATGCCTCCTGCGAAAGCCTGGCAGCTTCCGAACTGGTGCATGCCGCCGCTTCCCTGCTGCACCTATGCGCGCATGAGCGTTGTTCGAAAAGTCGTCTGGACGGGGACATGCTCGTGTGTGAACAGTACTTCGTTCTCGGGGTACGCAAGCCCTCCCTTTGTACAGCGTGTGCGACTGGAGGCTGAGATACGACTGCTCGCCGCCCGAGGCCGGTAGCTCGACGACGTGCGCTTCGTGGTTCGAGTTGTTCTCGGATGATGTCTTCATGACGAGTTCTTACGTTCATCGCTCCGAGCTCGGCTTCGAGTCGAGATGTTCCTTTGTCGGACAATTTGGCGTGTCCCGGTGCGCGTCTGGTTGTCTTTCAGTTGCGACATTTGACGCCCGATAGACTGTGTCGTTGGTCGGGTTCTCGACAGCTGACCCTAGGGTTATTTGGGCTACTATAAGCATCTAGAATCTGGACGTGACACTGTATCCCCGATGTTCACGGAATGGCTTGCGTCGTATCGTATGCACGGCCATGATCGCTGTAAGATAGACTTCAACTGATGGTATCCGATTCAATCAGCCGTCTTTTCTGCCTGCTTCATTTGAGCACCCCGCCGCCATCCTGGAAGTTCCTTCTGTAGCGGTGTGCTCTCACAGGTGGGTGCGGTGCAGCGCCAATGCGCCCAGACTTGGCAATGTCCGCAACGGTCCACACGCCGGAAAGCTTCGGTGAGCTTGCCACGGCTTGGTCTGGTGGCTCTTTGGTCTGCCTCGCCTCGCGGACCAAACCGTGGGGATGCGGAATCGTAAACACGACCTAACGACCTGGGTAACGCGCACTGTTTACATATTCGACCCTTCGGGCCCAGATAAGGTGCCGCTGGTGAAGCCAGGACGATCTTTCCCCGCATTGGACTCCACTCGCAGTCATGGGTCAGGCGCCTTGCTCTGTGCTCGCATCCCCACGGGGGAGAATCCCGTAATCCTTGCGCTGTGTGCCCCCGTTCGCGGCCAGCCTCCAGCCAGCCTGCATATATTACCCGCGTCCCCAATGGCTAGCTAGTAACGTTGTACCTTCCACCTCGCTTACCATTTCCAACTCTACCGCGAGGGAGCTGAACTTCAGCTGGAAGCAAGTACAGGCCCCGCCATGACCTTCTCAACAGACAAGATGCGGGATGAAAAGATCGAACGAGACGCGAGAATGGACTCGGAAATGGCCGGCGAGCTCGGCGATGTGCCGCGATTGACACGCCAGGTGCTGTGGAAGATGGACGTCCGGTACAAGGGTTTGAGTTCAAGCCGTGGCATACGCTGACAGGCGCAGAATATTGCCCATTCTCGCACTGCTATTCCTCTGCTCGTTCATCGATCGCACCAATGTGGGAAACGCGAAGATCCTCGGCCTCCAAGCCGATACACACATGACCGACCATGAGTACGCTATCGGCCTCTGCGCCTTTTACGCGACGTACATTGCGAGGTAAGCAGCTCCCAATGTATTGATAATTGAACTGGAGTTAACTTTACAACCAGTGAACTTCCGAGCAACTTGGTCTTGAAAAAAATGTCACCGCGCATCTGGCTCCCGCTATTGACCACTGTCTGGGGCGCGTTGACCATGTGTCTCGGGTTTGTGAAGAGCTTTGGCTCCTTCGTGGCCGTTCGAGCGTTGCTTGGAATCGCTGAAGGTGGTCTCCTGCCAGGCATGGTACGAGACTCAATCAGCCCAGATTCTCGAAATAGCATTGACACGTCCCTAGGTCCTATATCTCTCGCATTTCTACCGGCGCACAGAGCTTGCTCTTCGTATCGGCATATTCTACACTGCCGCTTCTCTTTCCGGGGCCTTTGGTGGGCTGCTTGCTCGAGGCTTAAACGCCATTGGCCACGCCGGAGATCTGGACGGGTGGCGCTGGATTTTTATTGTTGAAGGTTTACTCACCGTGGCCATAGGAGTCGTCAGCTACTTTGGGCTTCCAAACTCTATCGAGGCCGCACGCTTTTTGACTGCAGAACAAAAGGCACATGCTCGGCTACGCCTAGAGGAAGAAAACAGCGCACATGAGCCATTCTCTTGGGAGGAGGTCAAGCGCGGCATTTTCAACCTTCAGGTTTGGCTTTCGGCGCTCGCATATTTCTGCATCCTATGCGGACTGTACAGCTTTGGTCTGTTCCTGCCTACCATCATCAACAACCTGAAGTTTGCCAGGGACCCGAACGAAGCCCAGCTCTGGACGGTCATCCCGTATGCAGTCGCAGCCGTGTGCACTGTATTCGTCGCCATCTTCTCTGATAAGCTTGCACTGCGAGGCCCCGTCATGCTCTGCTCTTTACCAATTGCCATCATCGGATACGGTGTCATCTCGCAGACAACCAATCCGCACGTCCAATACGGTATGACTTTCCTGATGGCTACAGGAATGTATGCCTCCGTACCCTGTATTCTTTCGTGGAACAGCAACAACTCGGCCGGTCACTACAAGCGTGCCACGACTTCGGCGCTGCAGCTCATGATTGCAAATGCAGGAGGCTTCGTCGCGAGTTTTGTGTACCAGAAGAAAGAAGCTCCCCACTTTCACAAGAGCCACACAATCATGCTGGGACTGCTTTGTGCGGCATGGCTCCTGTGAGTGTTCCGAGCTCCCGGGATCTATCATCAGCTGACGAAGTCTAGAATCGCTGCGAACACGGCATGGGTGTGGAAGCTCAACCGGGATAAGGCGAATGGAAAGAATGCAGCCTGGGAAGGGAAGGGTGACGACAGAGATCCGACCTTCAGGATGGTGTTGTAGTGCATGGCGGCCGGGAGATGAATAACTCCCCATTCGAATAGAATAGCAATGGATGATGACTATAATATCTGTACAATTAAAGACTGGCCCTCTTCAGAATGCTGGGATTCGTATTGATGACACAGAATGCGGTAAGAGACCTCAGATGGAGGAGCCGTCTTTCGCATGCACTATACTAGGGTAACACATGGTACCCAACTTTTCATCAAGTGCTGCATATCAAAGGAGCCGCGTGTCTGACCTGGCTGAACTCGACCGCAACCATCTCCACTTCGCATACCACACGCCGACATGTTAGCTTCGGCGTTCTAAGCACCCGTTGGCTTGCGCATGGCAAGCTGAGCTACGCCAGGACGCACTATTGACTTTTAGTCAGTGTGAGAGTGAAGGTGTCGTACCTTTCCCAACTCGTTGCTCGGTGAATGTGCACAGCCACGTGCTAGTAACTTGGGAAGCAGCGAGGTCACTCACTAAATCACTCCCTCACCCGTACGAAGACCTTTGAAGCGGAGTGCGTGCCTGGATGGAAATGTATGAAGGATGATGGATTCAAGCGCGGTCTGTGTGATCATATCTCGTGTTTACGCTGCATATATGCGGGCCTTGCTTAAACAAGTCTCGGTCACTGCTACCTATACGGAGTTGAGTCAAGAGGTCAAGAAAGAGCCGTGTGTATATGAAGTAAGCATAACGTTCTTGTCTTACCTTGTTCTTCTCCCGTGCCTTCTCTATTGCTCATGAACAAACAATCGAAGCCAACGAGATCGAGTTTACTGGCCCAGTACTTGAGTGTCAGGAAGCCTGTTGCGTCGACCCTGCATATATCTCTAGGCGGGAAATTGTTCAAGATCTCGTTTCGAGCGGGTTTTTGATCATCCCGTTACCATATCAAGTTGTCGGAGGACTGAAACGAGTCTTGAAACAGAGGGCCCTGACATGACTTGTTACATCTTCAAGTTGAAGTCAGGTTACGTCATTGCTCATCCTAGGGCAACTTGGTATACTCGAACCCTTAACGAGGTACTGCAGTCAACCAAAAAGAACTCTAGTCTTTAAGTATTAGGGATGATTTTATCCGTAAGAAACTCAGACCGTACCTACATCCGGTGAATAGCTATCTTGTAATTTTGTACGTGGCAAAGAAGTTGGAGAAATGGGTCGTACATTCCCCAGCCTATTGCCCCGTGAACGTGCGCAGGCACGCGTAGGCATTTTGGAAAAAAGCACGGTCATCCGCTCATCCGCCGTAAGAACATGCCTCATAAACGCCTCTCTCACTCACTCCAAACATATTCCATACTACTTTGCGCACTGTTGGAAGCTAGCATGACGAAGCAAATGAGCCCTGTAGAGTGCGAACAAATGAAAACACAAATGTTTAAAAGTCTCGATTGTTCAATTTTCTCTCGCCTAGCGGGCTGGAGGCTGAGAATACCGTACCCTGTGTTGCTCTGGGATAAGGCATACCGCTGGAAGTATGTCTGGCGGCGCTTGAACCATGGGTGTGCTGGTACAAATAAGGATGTTAGGGAGCACAGCCCCCACGCGTACGAGTGCGGACGTGCTCAAGGACAGTGCGCTATAAGTCAGATGCTAAGTTTCGCAAAACAAAACGCGCGCTAACGAATATACAGTACAAGGGCTCTGACTATCCGGGCAGAAGTACTAGGCTGAAGTTTGGAATATGTAAAAGGGGCTGAGTCTACACACGGTACTTCTTTTATACGTAAGCAAACGGAGTCTCTATGACTAACTCAACTCTAAACAAGAGGTAGAAGTTTCCCTAAGCGCGTCGTGATGTGGGAGGTGCTGCTTACGCTGTCGAAGCACTTTGCTGAAGGATCATTGCATCCTATGAATCCTCGCATAATGCCTTCTCGAAGTGCAGCCACGCAGAGAGTGTAGAAGGGGATTTCATTGGCGCAGGTCTCGCACGTTTGTCTTACTCGATGATATGCGCTGACTTATTGAGAGCCCGAGTATAAGCACGGAACAGTGAGCGACTATAGCTGGTCCAAACATGAGATTGTCTATGTAAGTGAGTTATGTTGGCGACATGTATCATGCGACAAGCGCGATGAGAAGGAACTGTAATGTTCCACCAGATTTCAGGTCCGAGAGATATAAAGAGCGGTCCCTTTCCTACGTTCTCAGTCAACACCACATACTTCACTTTACAATCCTCCTACTTCCCACCCCAACACCAAAATGTACTCCCAAGCGATCGTTGCTCTAGCCCTATCCACCCTCGCCTCAGCAGCGCCAACACTCCAAAAGCGTGTTGCAGCTTCCATAACCCTCTTCACCAACAAGAACTTTGGCGGAGTCGGATACACGATTCCGTTCGACATCGAAGGGCCAACATGTACGCAACCTATAACTTATACCCTACCTGCACCCATTCGTCAAATCACCTGACTAACAGAACGCAGGCATCGCCACCACGCTTCCTTCTTCCATCGACCTCAAAGCCAGCTCGGTGCGTCTGAGCTCCCACAGCGGCTTCAACTGTCGCCTGGTTGCGAACCAGGACTGCAACATCGACGACATCAACAATGCCACGTGGTTCTTCAATGTCGATATCCCGGACCTTTCGACGGATGACTACATGCATATGGAGGATCGCACGAGATCTGTGATCTGTACGTCTGTGTAGGCGAGGAGAGTGGAGGTGATCGTGGCAAGGAATCAGTGCGAAAGCAGACTATGACGTATGTAGTTGGGTCATCGGAGTGAAGTGCCGTAGAATTAGTACAGGGAAATTGCAGTCTCCTCGACCGCAGGTGTTGTGTGATCTCTAAGTGAACGCAAATGATAGAAACGTGCTGTTATGTGTCGTGTGGGTCGTCGGCCCGACCGCGCCTTCCTGTTCTCACAGCACGTCAATCCGCGCAAACTCTCTTATACCCCTCACTCTACACTCACCCGAGTCACGCGCTTTTGCAGAGGCTACAGCGAGATGTGCCAACGGATGTGGGATAGAAGCCAATCATATCGAATTGGTGCATCGATAAGACAGCCCTGGGATATCCTGTGCCTAATAATGCAAATCCTGACGTGAATCATATACCTTAGCCTCCCCGCCTCGCACCCTCCCAGACTCATACCTCTGCAATGCCCCAAACCCACATAGTCTTAGTCTACATCTCCATCGACCTCATCAACGCGAGCCTTCTTGCCCTTGCCTTTGCTGTCCGTTCCCTCGGCTATGCCCTCGGTCTCATCATAACCCCTCTTCGCACTGCCACTCGCTTCTCCGTGCTTGCTCTCCTCTGCCTCCTGCTCCTTCTTCTGCTCTTCTTCCCGCCTTGCCGCTTCCTCGGCGACGCGCGCTTCTTCCGCCTCTCGCTCCGCGCGCACCCGCTCTTCCTGTGCCTGCACCATGCGCTCGCCAATGCCGGGCCACAGACTAGCAACAAACATGGCGAAGCCGCGCTCTGTACCCCTTGCCGCGTCCCGCACCCACCCAAATCGTTGATCCTGATGCTGCTGCTGCAATCTGCGTGCCGCTTGCTCGGGGGTTGGGTTGCGATTTGGCTGCGCGCGCTGGTCTTGCTGGCCCAGGGCGTTGCCATTCTGGCGGTTCTGGCCTTGTTGAGCAGCCACACGTTCAGGAAATCCCAGAGCTCCGGGTGGGAGGAGTGTCTCGAGGTATCCGCGCACGGCTGCAAAGTGCTCTTCAAATATGCCGACCTGTGCAATGTACACGACACCCGCGATGAGGCAGATCATAAGCGGTCTGTACCAGCCCCCGCCGCCTGCGAAGAAGTAGACAAATATAGCCAGCTTGAAGATCAGCCACAGGTGACCCGCAATGTTGTCTACACGGTTGACCTGGACTCCTGGCGCGGGTGCCCCTGCAGCAGGCTGAGCAGGATTTGCGTTCTGGTTCTGTACTTGGCCCGGGGCTTGATTGGCGTTCTGAGCTGGCTGCTGGCCTTGAGCGATTTGGGTGCCAGTCGGAGCGAGGACATGAGCGGGCAATCTAGGCAGATGGTTCTGAACAGCAAGTTGGCGTCCGAGGCTGGCCAGGTGGTGCCTGTTGGCATTGAACTGCTGGGAAAAGGACTGGAAAGACATTGTGGGAGGAGCGGTACTATAGGTACCTCGCTGATCGAACAGGATTCCCACTGGACCTTGCGGACTTGACAGGATAAAAAGTTCTGTAGGTACATCTGGAACCTGGGATTGGGCGGTATCCTGGGCCTGTGTCGAAGCAAGGTGGGTGGTCGCGTCAGAAGACGAAGACGCAGGTCCGGTAGTGTCAGACCGGGGCAGTTGATCGAGCAGCCTGTTAAACTCCTCTGCTTGCCGACGCAAATCCGATGCTGACTGCTGTAATGAGACAAAGTCCCGGTTCTGTGCCATCGAGGGGTCCGCCACCAGGGATGCAAGGCCTCGATCCACGTTATCCAAGCCTGTTATAAGGCTTCGGACAGAGACTCTGATCTGGGCGACTCGCCAAGCCGGTGGGTTGGCAGCGGCAAGCGCACCGACCGAAGCAGCTTGACCACCGGGCGGCTGAATGAGCACTCTGACGTTTTCCATCTCCTGCCGTGCGTACTCCATGGTTCTCCTTATACGGTGCAGCATCTGATCCGACGCGTTTCCAAGCGACGGCGAAGGTGTTCGTTGCGGCGGGAGACCGAAACCGGGGCCTGGATGAGGGAATGGGCGCGGAAGAACGAGTTGCTGCTGGTTGGGGTTGAAGGCAAGGTTGGTGGTGTTGTTCCAAGTCACCGTCCACCGCTCCCCATTCGGCCCAATGCCCTCTTGGCGGACGGTTCGTGTGTGGTTGCCCGTAGGGAGGTTTGGCAAGCCCATGGCTGGCTGCGGCTGGCCCTGCTGTGCCTGGGCTCCTCCTTCCGGAATCGGTGTCCCTGCCTGCGGCGGTGTTTGGGCACTTCGGAGCTGGCCAAACTGCTGCTGGACTTGCGGAGGCAGAGGCGCCTGGCCAAATTGCAGCGGCTGGGGGTTCCTCATTTGCTGTGCAAACTGGAGGTGTGGAGGAAGCGGGGCGGCGCGAGGTCCCAGGGGGACGAGGGGCGGCGGGTGGTGGTGATGGTGGTGTGCATGGTGGTGGTGGTGTGGCTGCGGCTGCGGCTGCGAGTTCGGTCGAGGTTCTGGCAGGTTGCGAAATGGGTTCGTCTGCAGAGGGCTCTGGGGTGGAGGCTGCTGTGGGTTCGGGGGAGCGCTCGCTGAGTGCGGCGCTGGCGAGGGCGCAGAGGCGGCAGAAGGTAGCTCGCGCAGGACCAGGTGCAGGCTTTGGTCTTTGGAAGTGCGTATGTTGTCGGCGCCGAAGACGGTGAGCAGCGAGTCGCTGTCGTTGGCTACTACGCGTCCGCGGTAGATCAGACGCATGCGATCAGTCGCCGGCCGGCTCGGTGCGGCATCGTGGATCCTCTGGCGGAGCTCCCGAATCGTCGTGGCCGCGGGGATGTCTGTAAGCTGCACGCCGCCCTCGACTTCGGCCGACGGCGACAGGATCTTGAGGTTCACTGCGAGGGGCTCGTCTTCGGCCATGGTGCCGGGCGTGTGCACCGGTTCCACGGTTGCGTTGGGGGTGAGAGAAGGGTGGGCGTGTCTGGATACGTTGCGCTTAGAGGCCCCGAGCTCGTGCAGCGAAGACGCCACGCAACCGCCCGTTGCGCAAAGGCAGTGCCGGCGAGTGGGCGCTTGGAGCTGCGCGGCGGTCGCGGGCGAGTCTGGCCTCTGCCCGTCCGTCTATCGGGTCGTCACTGCGACCATGGCGTTCGTAGAGAGCAGGAGACAGCGCCGACGACACTCAGCCCTACGGTAACAGCTGCGCGGAACGATGGCACGCCAAGCAGCATCGAGGTACGTCATTGGCCGCCGAAAAAGAAGTGCGCACTCGCCGCGAGCCGTCATCGCGCCGGCCCACTGTTTCCTGCATGTTCGCCATATCCACATCCACGTCCACGTCCACGTCCACATCGCCTCAGTGCTGCATCGTGCGTCGCCCCATGGAGTAGTCATGCCTTCGATACGCGCCTGTCCGCTGCCGCGAGCCGCTGCCCGAGCGCGCTGCCATCGCCCTGCACATGCGCGCGCACCGTTTTCCTCGCGCCACTTCTCCTCGTCCAGACCCTGCTTCGACCAGCAGCCCCATCGGAAGGAGTCGTTCCGATCGCGACTCAATTCGGCGCTGAAGAACACCAAGATCAAATGGGAGCCCATACCGATTGCGCTTGGCATTGGCTTCCTAGGAGTATGGCAGCTATACAAGGTGCAGAGGAGGGAGAAACACACCGGCCGTGACACTGGAGATGACACCGAGACTGTGGTAGACCAGTATGGCACGCCGAGGAAGCGCGAGAGGATACGGCCAAGCGGGCCCTGGACGGTCCAGATCATGTCCACGCTCCCACTGAAGGCGCTGTCGCGGCTCTGGGGTCGCTTCAACGAGATCGATATCCCCTACTACTTCCGCGTGCCTGGCTTCAAGCTCTACTCGTTTATTTTCGGCGTCAAGTGAGCTCCTCAGATTGCCCTTTGCTGCGACGACAGCTAACCGCACACAGCCTCGACGAAGTATCGGAACCTGACCTGCACGTCTATCCCAACCTCGCCGCCTTCTTCTACCGAACACTCAAGCCCGGCGTGCGGCCCCTGGACCCGAACCCCAACGCCGTACTCTCACCCGCAGACGGAAAGGTCATCCAGTTCGGAATCATCGAGCATGGAGAGGTTGAGCAGATCAAGGGCGTGACGTATAGTCTGGATGCGTTGCTCGGATCCGAACGCCCAACCAAGCCGGCACTACAAAGTCCAGACGCAAGAGGCCAGACCAGCGACAAGCATACGAAAGTCGGATCTGACGATGTGATGCGAGCTGACGAGGAATTTGCCAACGTCAATGGAATCTCCTACTCCCTCCCTAATCTGTTCTCAGGACCATGGCCAAAGGGTGGGAAGCCTGCAGAGATGCCAACCGACCAGGCTACCCACTCACAACCCTCTTCCGAAGCTGAAGTGAGCGCCGACCTTGCTCTGAGCGAGTCTGCGAGACCGTGGTGGGCCCCAGGAAACTCGGTCAAGACACCTACCGCGCTATACTACTGTGTCATCTATCTTGCACCTGGAGACTACCACCGCTTCCACTCCCCGGTATCTTGGGTCGTTGAGTCGCGCCGCCATTTCGCTGGCGAACTTTTCAGCGTATCTCCCTATCTCCAGCGCACTCTCCCTGGTCTGTTCACACTCAACGAGCGCGTCGTGCTCCTCGGCCGCTGGAGATGGGGTTTCTTCTCTTACACCCCCGTCGGTGCAACAAACGTGGGCTCCATCAAGATCAATTTCGATCGCGAACTGCGCACCAACTCCCTCACAACTGACACTGCCGCCGATCGTGCCGCCGAAGAAGCGCAAGCGCGCGGCGAGCCGTACTCTGGATTCGCCGAAGCCACGTACGGCAACGCGAGTGCGGTGCTGGGTGGCCACGCCCTGAAGAGGGGCGAGGAGATGGGCGGCTTCCAGCTTGGAAGCACCATCGTGCTGGTGTTCGAGGCACCCAAGGGAGTACGACCCAGTCTTGATGAAGGGTATCTCGGGAGGAAAGGCGGGTTCAAGTGGAATATAGGGCAGGGCCAGAAGGTCAAGGTTGGACAAAGTCTGGGATATGTCGAGGAGGCACATTAGAGCTTACAGAGTAGGTATTGATACCACAGGAAGCTTGTATGATATAAGGCAACATGTACAAAGGTGTACTTATACTCTGGGTCAGGACGCATCGATGGGAACGCATATAAACGTACTGTCCGCTGTTTTCCCGAAGCCCAACAATCTTTGGACCTGGATGTTTAAAGCCTATCTGGTTCATCAGAGCACGACTTGACCCGCTGCTCCCGCGCTACAATCCCACGCTGCAATCTCTCCCTCCTGCTTATCGGCCCGGCCAACGAGCTTCCCCGTCCGACACCGTCACACCCCTGACAACACGACTTCCCACTCTGCTACATAGATACACGACAGCCCCCGCGATGTCCCACGACGGCGACTTTGTTGGGCAGGGAGAAGAGGGAAGCGAAGTTGGGGCGGTGGACGTCTGCTGCGGCCATGGCGGGGGACGGGACAGTGGGCTTGATCTAGGATGTGTCAATTGTGGAGTCCTCGAGTAAGAGGAGGTTGGAAGTCTCGAGATCGGGATTGTGGTGTTGCGGCGCATACAGATGACCATGCTTGCACGAGGGAGTTGCCGAGGCATGCGACGACGGGGCCGATGTCTCATTGGGCGTGTGTCTTGCCGGGGCGTCTCACTGTCATGCTTGTGTCAATGCGAAGAACCAGATCATTGTTTATATCTTGCCTTCCCAGTTGGCTATGACGCGGTTGAGGCGTCGCAAAAGCTGTTCCTTGCGCGCAGCGCCGCACCAGCTTCCCTCTATTCCCGCCCTGACAACGCTCTCCCATTCCTTCACGCTCAGGGCGAAAGCCTCGTGGACGGCGACGTAGTTGTCTAGGATGTAGCCGCCAAAGTACGCGGGGTCGTCGCTGTTGATGCTGAACTGCACGCCAGCGTCGAGCAGCTTCCGGATCGGAACATCCTTGATTGTGTCGACGCAGCGGAGGACCACGTTGCTCAAGGGGCACACGGTGAGCATGGTCTTCTCCGAAGCAACCTTGTGCATGAGCTCCGGGTCGTTGACCAGCTGGATTCCGTGATCTATGCGGGTGACGCCGAGGTTGCGCAGTGCGCTCGAGATGTACGAGGCTGGGGCTTCCTCACCAGCGTGGGCGGTGAGCTTGAGCCCCAGAGCATTGGCCTTGCGGTAAAGCTCTGTGAAGTTCTCGGGAGGAAAAGGCTTCTCGCTGCTGTCCAGTCCGATCGCTTGCACCACGCCGCTCTTGTAGCTCTTCTGCACGTCCTCATCCTCGAAGAGCTCCAGGCAGTCCTTGGGAGGGAGGTGGCGCAGGAAGCAGCAGGTGAGGAGCGTAGTGATGCCGAGCTCCTTCTCTGCGCGCTTGCACGCGTGAGTGAAGCCCTCTATCACAGTGTTGTACTTGATACCCCGCGCCGTGTGCGCTTGCGGGTCAAAGAAGACTTCGGCATGTACGACTCCGTCTGCAGAGGCATGCTGGAAATAGTCCCAGGCGAGGTCTTCAAAGTCGGAAGCTGTCACCAGCGCGGACATTCCAATGTAATAATAATGGAGGAAGTCATCGAGCGACGTGAAGCTCTGATAGCGCTCGAGGAGCGAGGCAGGTGACTTGAAGGCCTCATCATCTTGCGGGAGAGTGATGTTGTTCTTGGCAGCGAGGCTGAAGAGAACATCAGGCGTCAGAGCACCTTCAAGACTAAGAGTAGAGTTAGTGTGTTGATCACAGGCACAAGCTATGAATTTAGCCGGCTCTGGAGGATTGGACTCACTGGATGTGGTGTTCGCATTTGGGTAGGCACCTCAGGAACTCGCGGACCGGGCTTCCAGCCATTTTCGACCAGGACTGGTGGTGTTCCACGGGTGACGTTCATCTTGACAAGAATTCATCGTCGAGTAGCAGTCTGCGCAAAACCCTCCGAGCATCCCCCCTGGTACGCAGAAACTTTCATCGGAGCCCGCCGAAGTGGAGAGGTTGGCCTAAACTACATGGATTGTCCTGGTCGCCACGTGAGGACGGGATCATAACGGTCTCTGACTCGGATACGGAGACTGGACTATAATAGTGCCCTTTGCTGCGCAAGACTTGGGTGAAGTTTCCCTGATAATGTCGGGCAGAATGCAAAGTCAGAGTCAGTGTCGAGCGCTGCGGCGGAGAATGGCTCCGGGTGGGTACGATTGGCTAATTGCATCTTGCACTCAGGAAGCGTTTTTTTTCCTCTTTTTGGAAATCGTCGTCGTTTCTGCCCTACCTGGCCTGTTCCACGATGTGGCTGCGGCTCAATCGCCACGCACGCCGGCTCCAAGCTCCGTTCACAGCTTTGGCGTTGGCAGCAGAGGGCGTTGTACCCCTGGGCGTTGCACCCCTGGTCGTTGCTTGCATGCCGAAGTCCCAGCCGTCTTGACATGGCGATCGACATAAGGAGGTCTTGCCTGTTTGATCGCCACCGAGTTTACCCAGCTGACCAAGAATATGTAATCGGAAAGGAGGTGCGAGGTGCGAAGTCTCTGCGCAATCCCCACCTGGGTTTTCTTGGGGATCGTCGGGCACGTTGGGCGAGGGTCTTCCAAATCGTCGTGAGGAGCCAGGCAGGGCGGAAGCAGCCGGGCCGCCCACGGTCTCAACGAGGCTAGCGGGGCAGATCTCGAGTTTCACCGTCGTCCCAAGGCTCTGTCGGAAGCACGAGACTGGTACAACGTCTATTCAATAGTTGACGACATGTACGGAGGTACCTGGAGCGTTGGCTTTTGCGTGGCACACGCGCGCAGGCCTAGGCGAGGAGACACAAGCACACGACTTTGACAGATAGGATCTACATGGACTGCACCGCAGAGACGGCGCTGGCGGTACGTGTGGTAGATCAGCGTCGTCCTGCCGGTCGCCGGACGCTCGGCGGTCTGTGCAGGGCCATCACACCCGCTCGCGTGCGCAGTCCTGGTCAGGGTGGTCTCCGGGACGGACGCAGGCAAGCGTGCAATAATGGGCCCGCGACCGAGGACGGGCGCGGTCAGCAGCGCGCAGGACACGGTCTAGATGCCGGCTCGGCAGTTCCACTATCGAGTTTCCCATGCCGCCAGCCTGGGATTGGCATATCGGCAAAGACTGGCAACAGGTCCTGGGGCTCTGCCGCCAAGCCCTGGTGCCGCCGCTAGAAGCATCTACAGATGTTCGGCGCGGGTGGGCCTTGCGGAACGGTTGCGTACTCGCAGCCTGCGACGTGGGGAAATGCCCAATGCCTGCTCCAGACCGCGCCCAACCCCCAATTCACCGCCGCCGAGATCACACGACCGTGCGCCTGGCCGGCTGCCCGTGGCTGCCTGGCGAGCGGCTCCCGCTGCGCCTGCGCGGGCGCGGCGGGCGCGGCGGATTGGCACCCTCGTTGCCAGACTGGACCTGCCGGTGAGGGGTTCCACCATGTCGGCGAGCGTTGGGTCGGTTGAAATACAATTTGCCTCCCACGTTTCCTCGACCCTGGGCCGCTAGCAAATCGGAACGACTACGGTAGCTAGGCCGTTTCGGCCAGCCGTGCGCCGACACTCTGCGACCAACGTGCGCCCGCCAGGTCGTGGTGCACCTCGCGTGCCCTTGGCGTGCATCTTCCGCGTGCGTCCCTAGCCTCTCTTTGGCAACATCGCCTTGCCTCGTGGCGGGAGCACCGTCTCTGCCACTCTCCGAACTCGCCCAGCCGAGCCGCCAGCCGCGGAGCGACGATGCGTGGCCGCCACTGGGGACCGATTCGCACAGGCATTAGCGAACGCGTCCCCCATCGCCCGCGGCTGCTGCATCGCCCCTGCAGCAACCACCCCCCGAATCCGTCAAGAGCAGCACCCTTCGGGCGGAGCTACCCTGCTGTCTGCGTTTCAAATCCAGATGCCTTCCAGAAGGGAAGATGAACTACACTTTTCAGAAGCCGACAGCACTTGCCTTGCAGCCAGCGCACTAGCCTCCGGATCACTATCCGACGGCGCTAGGAAACTATTCCACCGTTTAGTCCAATTGATAGCCCTGCCTTGACATGCCCATCACTTCGACATACCGGGTGGGTCTTGGGGTCTTTGGCGGCCATCGGAGCCTGGACAGCCCATTCGTTGCGGCACAGACATTCCTACTTGCCCTGTGGCGTCGCCTCCCGCAGCCACTACCCTTTGGACAGTCGTGTCAACCATCTCCGTACTTTCCAAATACCTTTACCTCTAGTCTACGGCAGAATTTTTCATCTTCATCCTGGCTCTCTACCTCCAGATTCGTCAAGTCCACTTTCTTTTGCTGTGCCCAACATTCACGTCTCTTTTCTGTGCTACTCACCCGATATCGAAAGGTACGGTGGCGAGTGAACCCTGCTGTCTCTGCATCTCACAGACACGCTCTAGGCGAACAATCCAGAGCACGCGGACCCGAAGCTGACTATCTGGCGTAACGTCACTCGATGGCACATACAGGCATCTTCACTATCTGATTGACTATCCGCTCCATTTCAAGCCTGTGCTCCCTGGACTCCACAGTCGGACCCGTGCCCAACGCGTCCAAGAGCTCTCACGTCTGCTATTGCAACGCTGCGCGCACCAAACACTTGAACTTATCGTTGGTGGCAGTCGTCTTTGTGTGGATTGAGGCAGCACCTCATTAGTAGCCCCTCTATTCGCGCCCGCTTTGCTGGGTGAAAGAGCGCGGCACCTCTCTGCCGAGTCATCGATTTGGCAAGCAGCTTGAGGCCATCATCGCCCTCGGGCGGTACCTCACACTGCTTCTCGTAGTTACTTCAGCGACCCTCGCCTTTTGGTCAGACTGCCTTCGAGGCTACTCCTGCCTGGCCTGGGGACCGAAGCTGACTGCGAGCTAGCGTTGTGTATTCTGCTACCCCGGCCTATTGGTCCCGTTGAGGCACATCGACTACCCGAAGCCCGAAAAGCTGAGCTGTACTTGGGTGGCAACAATCTCGGCTGCTGCCGAAAACTTGCTCCTGCTTCCCCTCGTCAATCACAGATATCTGTCCTCAGGTCATGGATGCTCCAGCATCGAGTACGCAACAACGTCATCCGGATCACTCTTCCACCACTGTACGAAGGTCTCCACCTGGCTCATTGGGCGGCTCCCCCAAAGGAATGATGATACATCCTCCCACGCCATTCACGGGTATGCCACAAGGCGCCCGCGGCCCCGGTCTTGCTCCTGCACTGCCTCTATTAGAGTCACGATCACCTGGAGGATACAACTCTGGCTCATATCGACATTCCACCTCACCAAGCACTGCATCAGGTGGTATACCAGAAAGCTCCGCCACCGATCACTCCAGCTTAGTGATCTCGCCCACTCACGTAACGTCTGCCAATCTCAACGCACAAAAACGAGCGTACCGACAACGAAGAAAGGACCCGTCGTGCGATGCATGCCGGGAGCGTAAAGTCAAGGTGAGCAAACAACCCTGTTCAAGCATTTAACAGCAAGAAGCCCTTCCTTGTCCAGATTGGAGGTATAGAGGCGTTCTACCTCGCTGTAGATGACGCCTTTATCGACCGCCCAACACAGGCCTTGTAGCTACTATACAACGGTTGGGCTTCTCATCCTTCACGTAGAATCCCTGCGTCGTTGAAAACCGTTCGCCCCTGACTCTGCACAATCTTCAACCTCCGAAATCGCTGACCAGCATGCAGTGTGATGCAACCGAAACAACGGCATGCTCTGAATGCTCCAGCCGAAACCACAAGTGCCAGTTCACAAAAGATACGAACCGACGCATGTCGTCGATAAAGTAGGCAAGCTCACATACATTCTTGGCAATTTTCCTTACCAAGAGACAGACAAGTCCAGGACCTGCAAAGTCAGATCGCCGAGCTTCAACAAGAAAAACAGCACCTCCTTAATCGAATGGGAGGGCAGGACAAAATGGACGTAGATCCTCCGTCTAGAAATCATAGAGAGCAGAGACCGCAGTCATCGGCTACAGCAGGAAGAGCGCCGGCGCCCGCTATGGAAAACTTTGAACACGTCCGAAATAATATCTACGTTCACTCGGCTGGCATTTTCCAACCCCCAAGACCCCATCTCCGATATAAGCCTTCAGAGTCAGCAGACGCACTTCCCAGCATCCCCCCGCGAGCGGATTTCGCTCACATCTCTCGACGGTATCTGGACACGATACACGACGCCTATCCAGTCTTACACTGGCCCACGTTCCAGCGCGAAGTCGATCAGGTGTATACGGCCAGGAGCTTTAACGGAATATCGAGGGATTGGATTGGCATGTACTTTGCGGTTCTTGCCTGTGGCTGTCTCAACGCGGAACACGATGCCCCTCATGGACACAATAGTGGAATGAACTTCTACGACATCGCAACACAAATGCTGAGTCCTTGGCCACAAGATGGGAGCATGGATCAGGTACGGCAGCTCTTTCTCCTGGGATTATTTGCTACGGAGAGCAACATGAAGTCCGCCGGGTCGATGTGGCTTGCGTGTGCAACCAGGGTTGCGCAGAGCATATCGCTAAGCCGCGAGGATACCGCCCATTCTGCGTTTGAAGTCGAGATGCGAAGACGGCTGTGGTGGGCAATTTACGTACAGGACAGGTACGTGATGGTCATCTCCTTGTGTCTGACGGTGGCTGATTGCATACAGATTAACATCGCTCGGGGTCAACCTACCGTTCACGATCCACGAGGATGACTGCGACGTCTCGCTTCCTTCCCCTATCGACGACCGTTACATTACTTCATTGAATGTACCGTATCCACAAAACATGTCGGCCTCCCCGTTGGTGGCGCTGGTCAGGACTACCAGACTTGTTTCTGGAATAAGGCAATCATTAAAGTCAGAAGTCATCGCCAACAATGACCTGCAAGCCCATGAGGAGCAGTTTAGATCGGTTTTATCTCAACTACCAGAGGCCTACAACCCACATTCAGACGCACGCTTGGAACCTTCATCCCTCATGCCAATCATTGCGCTTCACTTTGCGCGCTTCCAACTGTACAGACGCAATCTGTCGCCAGTCTGCGCACCAGCAGACAGAGGGGCTGCATTGACCCATTGCGCGGCTGTTGCGCACGACACCGCGAAAATCCTTCAGCGTGCCCTGCACACACTCGATCCGGACAAGAATTGGGCTCGACGCATGGCGAGCAACACTGTGTGCCTCCACTTTTGGAGGTGCATCTTGATACTATGCTTGCAAAAGGAGTTCCAAGCTGCCCAGATTATAATAGCCACATCGGCAGCCATTGGGAACATACGGAAGATCAACACAGCTTGCGGAAAGAACATGGTGTTCTTTCTGGAGCAGCTCGCTGAACGCGCACGCAGAGGCGACGGCCGCATGTATCAATTTGCCGACGACGAAGAGCTACTTGCGTATGCAAGCGGGGACTTGCAGAGCAGCCTCGAGCACTCTTGGGCGTGGGCAGGTGCAACTGGAAGGACGACACATGCGCGTGGGACGAGCGACCCCTTACGGTCTGATCCGAGTGCACCAGACAATGGAGAAAGGAATTGGCCTGGCTGGGGCGCGGTGGAATACATGATGTCCACGTTGATGGGATTGCAGAAACAGTCTGAACGGAATGCGCCAGCGTACTATCCCACACCTCATAATCCTATGAAGAGGGTGCAATTGGCATCCGACGCACCTGCCGCTACCTCCCCAAAATCATCGACGGCGCCGTCGAACGCGAGCCGCATCAGCATTGCCAACATCATATGAAGGCACGAGAAACGGTTTGAGGAAATAGAATTGGCCGTCGATCAACCAGTCGTTGCTCTCGATGCCGATTCCTGGGGCAACTACCCGTACGCGACGCTGGTCTAAATCTTTCGCTACATACCTACGATGTACACGGGATCATTGTACGACTACTCTCTTTTTTCACGTCACGGCCTGCATGCTCGAGTTTTAATTTCGCATTTCAACCTGGTGTGGAGCGGGAGCAAGGTGCCAGGTAGAAGGGTTATGAGACAAGATTACTGGCACGAGCGTTGTACGATGTAGAAGACGCACCGCACCCGACATGTTGCTTTGAGGCAGCTTTAATGTGAGATGCGCTTACTTTACTGTTTATGGAAGCGTCGCGCGAGTGCGCACTACACAGGCGCCGAGCTGAGTTCTGAGTTTGACAGCTCCTTCTACCATACACTTAATACAGAAGGACTTCATTATGCATGCACGAAAGGGCCGCGAGCAGGCAAATTGCTTGGTGATGCTCTGGGCCATAAGACGGGGCAATCGTGTTGGGGGGCGAGGGTGGATTGTAGACGCAGCCGGGGAAGATCGGCGTACGCGAGGATACCATGGATCGCCTTGCTCCGCACACAAATAGGACATAGTATTGGCTTTCTCACCCCCATGACTAAACAAACGTACTTGAGCGAATGTGTTGTATTAAACATCGCCATGCATATTGGCGATGTTCGGTCACATTGCGATGCTAGCCCTCCGCTCACGGAGCTGGAGGGGTACAGTCTGGGGCCACGTCGATTTTGTAGGGTGTAAGACTTCATGTGTCTCCCAAGCAAGACATATGCGTGTTCCTGGCCGTGCCGTCTCTCCACGCATGCCTCAAAGCAACAGCAAGTCGCGCAAGGTGCCCGCCAAAGACACGCCAGCGACATGCGCAACAGGCGGTGTATGGGCCCAGTGCGTCCTGAACGGGGAGTAGCGCGGCAGACAAGCTTTCGGGCAAGGCTTGTCGACGCGCCGGTGCTTTCGTCGAATAGCGACGTGGGGAACGGGACATGCGCTGCTCTAGTTCCTGGCAACGAGGGCGGCCATTGGGCGCGTGTGTTTACAATGACGCAGGAGAGCGGCCATGGCTGACGGGCGATGCTCGATGCGCGTCGTCGTGGCAGGCCATGGGCCAGGCCACACCTGCAGCTGGGTGTAGCCATTGTGGTGAGGCGTGGAGCCTGCTTGCCTGCCTGCCCCTCCTTCGCGGGGCAGCAGCTTATATCCCACCAGCTCCGCCGCCGACCGCCCTCCTGCCTGCTCTTCTGCTCCTGCTCCTGCTCCATTCCTTGCTCCTCTCCAGAAAGGACCAATTGGTCAGATAAATCAAAATGGTGCACCTCAACCGCGTTGCGACCGACAAGGAGATCAAAGCCGCAAAGGGCCTCATCGACGGCATGAAGAAGTTCACCCTCGCTGTCGAGGACGAGCCCGATGACTACACGGCGACCGTCTACGGCAGTAAGTATGCCGCAGAAGATCTTCCCAGGCACGAGATGCCCGTACGTACCTCCAATACCCTCCATGGCCATTGTTTACTGACGGCGCCAGGACCGCGAGATGCCGCCCCAGGTGTAGGTTCCTTCCTCCTCCGAAGACGCAGCTGCCCATGCTCACCCCACAAGCGCGTACCGCATGATCAAGGACGACCTCACGCTCGATGGCACCCCGACGCTCAACCTGGCCTCGTTCGTCACCACCTACATGGTAAGTGCCTGTCATGTGGCTCTGTGTCGTTCAGCACCAGTGGGAAGCGTGGACCCCGCCAATGGAATACGAACATCTTGACAATTGCTTTTTGCGGCCTGGCGGTCTTCCAAGAGTGGAGCCAATCCAGTCGACGTTGGCTGGCACGATGCACGCATTTGCGTAATTTGATGCTCTGCTTGAGGTGAATGTAAGCTAAGGGATGTTCGAGGATGCTAGTATGTCCATCACCTCTGGCGGGCAGCAATGGCCTCCGGAAAATACTCGCCACACGGCTCAACCACGTTTTCCACTGTGCTGAACCCATAATGACTGTTAACGCTAATTGCCCCATCAGGAAGAGGAAGCCGAGAAGCTCATGGTCGACGCCTTCAGCAAGAACTTCATCGATTACGAGGAGTATCCCGTCAGCGCCGATATTCAGAACCGCTGCGTTTCGATGATAGCCCGCCTATTCAACGTACCTGGAGATGACGATGCGAACGCGATGGGCACCTCTACTATTGGCAGTTCCGAAGGCATCATGCTTGCCGTGCTTGCCATGAAGAAGCTATGGGCAAACAAGCGCAAGGCCGAGGGAAAGCCGTTCGACCAGCCCAACATCATCATGAACTCAGCCGTGCAGGTGTGCTGGGAGAAGGCAGCTAGATACTTCGACGTCGAGGAGCGCTACGTGTACTGCACGGCCGATCGTTATGTCATCGACCCGAAGGAAGCTGTTGATTTGATTGACGAGAACACCATTGGAATCTGTTCTATTCTCGGCACAACCTATACTGGAGAGTGCGTGCTCAATTTGTTGCAGTCGCTGGATGTGTGCACTGACAGATGCCAGGTACGAAGATACCAAGGCCATCAACGATCTGCTCGTTGAGAGGAATATCGATGTCCCCATCCACGTCGACGCTGCTTCTGGTGGTTTTGTGGCGCCCTTCGTGAACCCCGGTCTCGAGTGGGACTTCAGACTGGAAAAGGTCGTGTCAATTAACGTCTCGGGCCACAAGTACGGGCTCGTATACCCTGGCGTGGGTTGGGTTGTCTGGCGTGACCCCAAGTTCCTTCCGAAAGAACTCGTCTTCAACATCAACTACCTTGGCGCCGACCAGGCCTCTTTCACTCTCAACTTCTCGCGTGGTGCGTCACAGATCATCGGGCAATACTACCAGATGATCCGCTTGGGCAAGAGGGGATACAGGAGGATCATGCTGAACTTGACCCGGACGGCCGACTACCTCTCGGCGAACCTTGAAGAGCTAGGCTTCATAATCCTATCGCAGAAGAGCGGGGAAGGTCTTCCCCTCGTTGCTGCTCGTCTCGACGAGGACCTGGGAAAGCAGTACGACGAGTTCGCAATGTAAGGCCTCCTCCCTTCGGTTAACCAGAATGCCATCTGACAATCTAGTGCCCACCAACTCCGCGAGCGCGGCTGGGTCGTCCCCGCCTACACCATGGCCCCTCACTCGGACAAGATGAAGCTCATGCGTGTGGTTGTCCGTGAAGACTTCACCAAGTCCCGTTGTGATGCCCTCATCGCAGATTTCAAGCTTGCACTCGAGACGCTTGATTCTATGGACTCCAAGAGAATCCAGCACGAAAAGGAGTGAGTGGTTTGACCCACAAGACCCGACAAGAGAGGCTAACCCTGAATAACAGGCATGCTGCCGAGTTCCACATGCGCCGCCGGTCGACCTTGATCGGCACCGCAGGACCTCAGATTAAGAAACAGGCGACCTATCACTTCAACGATGATCACAGCCTGCAAGCTAAGCATGATAAGTCGCATCCCGTGTGCTAGAGAGTTATGTAGATATACCTCGCGATTCGATGCGGCACGGCGCGGATTTCACGGTCATGGGCACGCGTACATACACGGCGTTAACGTCTATACACGAACTACGAAATGAAACGAGTAACGTGGCATGTCTGATCACGGTAGCTGGTACATGAACCAGGATTCCAGTGCACATAGAATCCTGCAGAACTCACGCTATTATACCTTCATAGACTTGTAGTATCATGGTTCAGCGTGAGTATCCAAAGCCAGCTTCGCTATAAGCAATCTAATCGTTATTGGATGACGACGTGGGCTATTTGCATTCATGTTGCATCTTTCCCCCTTCCCTACGCCTCACCTCCCGGCACCGTCATACCGTGCATCCCCGCGTACCCACTCACCTCCGGCTCCTTCCAGTCCCTCACGACCGCCTCCCTCACCGTCTCGCTCAGCTCGAATACCTCGACCTTGATCGGCCGACATGTAGCCTTCATGTCCAGCGTGCGTATGCCCCGCCTCCCCTTCCGCCTGGTGCCATCCCCAGGTACTCAGGTCCCCGCCAGGCCACGCCAACAGCGCGCAGAGCAGAGCAGAGGCTGCTCGGCAAAGAAGGCGAGCGTGGAGTCTGGCGTCTCGGGCGATGTTCCATGAAGCAGCGGCCCTGGGAGTCGAGCCCCGTGGCCCGGAAGACCTGCAGCCGCTTACGCACCAGGAGCGCTGCTGTCTTTGCCAGCTTACCTTCCTCTTCGAAGAGGGTTTTGAGTCTTGCGTAGAGCGCTTCTGGGGGTTGAGACGCAGGGTGCTTCTGCCGGGAATAACAGAAGCATACTACCCATGGGCCAACGTCGACAAATATGCTTGCGTGAACAGGCATGCAAGACGTGTTTGAAAGTGCTTCGAGAGCAATCGCATGCCCAAATGTTGCAAATAATGTCATGGTATTCGACCGACTATACAACTTTTGATCCCGATGCGCCTGCCTCCCACGTGCAATACATGAATATCAGATGCAGTTTGGAGATGGCACCACGCCCTTACAATGCAGAAAGATGATCATGCAGCCTAGATGTTGAAGTTGGATAATCCCACAGCCTGACAATTTATTGCGTTCCGTTTACGCTGGCCTCCAGACGACTTACCAGCGGACTCGCCTCTACATCTTTGTTGCTGTCCGTGCTGCTGACGTTGTTTCGCCCCGGACTTGATTCTGGGCTAGGGAGATCGTTCGTGTTGGAGCGCTTAGGGCGGAAAGGCACCGGTGATGAAGGCCTTGAGGATAGGAACTGCGAAAGTCAGCAACACTGTTCCGAGCAAAAATATCAGAGAAGACTCACGGTAGAAGCCGCTGAGAGCAGCGCAATCAGGGAAGCCTGGACAACATCGTGGTGGATACCCACGCCCCATACCCTCTGTTTGCTGCCTGCCGCCGTACACTCTATGTACGTTGCCGCCTTAGCATCCTTGTTTGAGCCGATGGTGTGCTCCTTGTATTCAGCAACGTCGAGGTCGATGCCCAAATTCCTCAAAGCATCAGCAAGGGAACTGATGGCACCGTTTCCGGTACCCTGGATGCGGTGCTCCTGGCCATCGATTTCGATGACACCGCGGAACAGACGCCGCAGGTTGCGTGAGGATGCTGTCTTGCCAGCCTCCGGAGGTGCGGGCGACTTGGAGCGGTCGGCAGTGATGTCGTAGTCCACGAGGGCGAAGCGCGGGTTGTGCTTGAGGTGGTAGGCCTTTTCGAACAGCTTGGTGATTTCGGTAGGGAGGAGCTCGCGGCCGAGCATATCGGTTTCGCGCTGAACAATCTTGGAAAAGGCAATCTGCAGGCCTCGGGGAAGATCGAGCTCCAGTTGGCGCTGGATGATCCAGGCCACACCGCCTTTGCCGCTCTGCGAGTTGACGCGTATGATAGCTTCGTAAGTACGACCAATGTCCTGTGGGTCGAGCGGGAGGTAGGGAACCTGCCAGCGGCTCTCGTTTGTAGCGCCTTCCTGTTTCCGCTTCGCGAACCCTTTCTTGATAGCGTCTTGGTGGGATCCGCTGAAGGCACACACAACCAGCTGGCCACCGTAGGGTTGCCGGGGATGTACTGGGATCTTGTTGCACGACTCGACCATGTCAATGACGGATGTGATGTCGGAGAAGTCGATGCCCGGGTGGATGCCCTGTGTGTACAGGTTCAGAGCCAGTGTTACCAAGTCGACGTTGCCCGTCCGCTCGCCGTTGCCGAACAGCGTTCCCTCAACCCGGTCGGCACCCGCCATCTGTGCCAGCTCTGCTGCGGCAACCGCACAGCCGCGGTCGTTGTGTGGGTGCAGACTGACGGCAATCTTCTCGCGCTCGCTGATATTCCTGCAAAAGTACTCGATCTGGTCTGCGTACACGTTGGGCGTGCTCATCTCAACCGTCGCGGGCAGATTGAAGATGATGGGGTTCTCCACGCTGGGCTCCCACGCTGCCTTGACCGCCTCGCATACCTCGACAGCGAATTCGGGTGAAGTGTCGGAGAAGGTCTCTGGCGAGAACTCGTATGCCCATTCTGTTCCAGCTTGCTCCGGGTCATCCTTTGTGATGGACCTCGCATATTTTGTGCACTCGACGGCCAGAGCCTTGCTCTCCTCGTTGTTCATGTTGAAGACAATGTTCTGGAAGCAGGGCGACGTGGCGAGGTACAGGTGGAGGATGGCCTTCTTGGCGCCCTTGAGAGAGTCGACGGTGCGGCGGATGAGCTCCTTGCGGCATGGCGAGAGGACCTGCACCCAGACGTCGTCGGGGACGATGCCGGGGGTTCGGATCAGGCGCTGTGTGAAGTCGAAGTCGGTCTGGGAGGCGGAGGGGAAGGAGACTTCGATCTCCTTGTAGCCGAGCTTGACGAGCATCTGGAAGTAGGCCCATTTTTGCTCGCCGTCCTGCGCAGGTTAGCTGCGGCCGCACGGCGTGGACGGGAGGAAGGCGCAACTCACCATGGGGTCGACCAAGCTCTGGTTGCCGTCGCGCAGGTCCGTTGACAGCCACCGCGGCGGCTTGTCAATGGTCTTGCTCGGCCAGGAGCGATCCGGCAGGTTCAGCGGCTTGAACGCATGGTACTTCTTCCACGGCTCCTGGAGCATCGGCATGGTGTCGGCTTGTCGCTGGTTCTGGTCGTTCGTGCACTCGCGCTTCGGCAGCAAGCAAAGATGCAATTGGCAGCACTGCGTGAGGCAAGGCGCGAGGGGCGTGTGCGCGTAGGGAAGGACGTGTGCAGTGATGCAGGTAGCAAGACAAGGACCCCGAATGCAGAGCGTTGACTCAAGGCTCTCTGACTGTCCGCCGTGCAGCAAAAAGATTTCGGTACTACCTCGCGCCGGCCGCTGTCTTATGACGAATCACCCGCGCACAAATCCACTGACCACACGTGCCCCGCACTGCGCTGCCCGTTCTGCTGCGGGGCAATCCCTGCGCCGAAGTCGGCGGCGAACTACGTCAACCCTCCAGCTCGTATTTCTCTGCAGGCCGCATATTGCTCCACGGCCTCTGCAGAATGCTGCGTCTTGGTGGCAAGTGCCATCGCTGTAGTGGACAATCCGAGATTGACGGCTGCACACTGACGCCCTTTGTTCTGCACGTCGCCTCCCCCAGCACGGAGCAGCTGCCTGTTCTCCGAGCAATGCCGCCACAGGATATCTTCCATCCCGTATATGCCGCTGTACAACCCAATGCATCCGGGTACTCACGTCATGGGGATAGCGGTTCGTGTAATTACACCACCCGTGCTGGTTTAGGTGCACTTATCAAGTCTCAATGCGCTAGAAAACGGGTATCCTCACACCACAGCAGTCCACAGACGTGCCCCGGACGTCCACTACCCGCCCGCACCACATCCAGCTAAACTCGCTCAGGAACGCCCTGTCGGCTTCGCTCCACGTATCGAGACCCATCCGGGACACGTCTCCCTTGTCGAGCAGCAGCGTTCCGTCGTCTTCCTCCGCCTCCTCTTCGTCCGCTCTTTCGATGATACTATTCAGGGTCTGTATCAACTCCGTTGTCGAGCGGTGGAAGTACGCAATGATGGCAGTGGGCAGCGCGTCTGCGTAGTCTGATAGATCTCCGAGGAGGTCGCGGTCGCGCTCTCGTTCCGTCGTTGTGTACGAGTCTTGTTCGCCCGCCGACGCCCACCACATGAAGCCACTGTAGGCAAGTTGCGGCCACGTCGTCGATTCGACCATGCTGTCATCGACGCTCAAGTCATCTTCCACGTCGTATCGCTCGTTGGGTCCCATCAACGCCGCCTGCTCGTCTTCGCCCTCATCTTCGTTGTAGTCCTCGCCAGGCGAGCGTCTGTGTTTCCTAAGCTCTAGCTGCAGCATCTTCCATCGCCACAGATCCCGCTGGCTTGCTTTGATTTGCGTGCCGTCCGAGGTCTTCATGATGGGCCAAACCTTCCTCTGCGGGGGTGCATCGTACGTCTCCGGCATTTTCACTACGATGTCGAAAAGCCTCTTCTTGGTGGTAATGATCTCGTCCGTCGTGCAAGCCACCCACCCTGGGCTTGGAATGTCCTCCCCCGTCTCTGTCGCGCCATTCGCTTTCTGCATTTGCAATTGTTCCAATTCGGGGATATCGTGAACACCGATAGAGAATAGAGAGGGTAGACGGAGGAGCGTTTCTGTGCCTGGTGATAGCACATCGGCAGCATGTGGTGGTATACTGGATAGCACGGACAAGTTGTACACTGTTCTGTTAGCAAACCTAGCTTGCCCATGCAGTGGGAGATAAAGTCGTACCGAACTCGCAGCACGTCCGCACTGGCGGTGCGCCAACAAACAATATCCTCTTCCTCAATAGCGCAGCCTGCTGCAGCCTGAATACTAAGGGCCCCAGAACATCGACGTATTTCAGCATCGACAGCGCAGGGTGGTCGGCCGCGAGTCCTCCCTTCTCGCTCGGCACCACCGACGTGAGCGTGCTCAGCGCCCGTTTTCTCCCAGCCTTACCGTTGGTCCCTTGCTCCCCGCCTTTCGACGACCCGACCTTGTCGGTTCCCGCTCTCCCGCTGCTCTGCTGTTCCCAGAATTCCTCCAGCACAGCTGTCCGTTCTGGATCCTCTGCCAATGTTTCTGCGAGTTGCTGCAGCTTGCTCGCGAGCAGCCAACTGCGACCCAGGCGCCCATATGCCCGACTGACCAAAATGCCCACGCTGACGAACTGTGCGTTCCGTTCCTCCGCGCCCGCCTCGCCCTTGGAGTATGCGCTTAGCCCGGCGTACCCTTCGTGCACGAAATAGACGAGGTCGGACGTGAGCGTGTGGAGTCCGGAGGGGAGCGACTTGTATTCGACGGCGCCGTCGAGCGGGACTGTGGCATTTGAGCGTTTCCACGCGACCGTATAGCTGCGACCATCTCCGTTAGCAAGTGCATAGCTTCTGCAATTCTGCCAGTCTCCAGAATGACGTACCCGACCTTCTTGTCGAAGCGGATGAGGAAGAGGGCCGACAGCTCGGGCGGGTCCGTGTCTGCACCGACGTCGTGGTCGCGCTCCACGTTTGTGGTGCTTGAGGCTGGCGAGGCACCCGCGGACATGGCGTTTGGTGGAGTGGCGACCGTCGGTGCTGTTGGCGATGCGATGCGGCGCGGGCCTTGATGGCTGACGGCGCGCCGTTGAGGTGGAACCACCAGGGGTTCCTGAGGCGTGTCGCACGAGCACCCTAGTGAACACCACAGACATGCAGAAGCTGACACGAAAAGCAGCAACGTTGGCGCGCACCTCATCCTGTATCAACCCGCTCTAGTATACGTGGTGAAGTTGTACTCGAATAATCTAATGTGGATATTCACGGAATTCCGGGGTTCATCTTCGGCCACTGGGGACAGCACTCAGGCCAGCGACTTGACACTGCACAAGTGCCATCCCTTCTATCTGCATATGAAAACTTTCTGAACGTAACAGATTTCCTGGATTGGGGTATATCTCCGCACACTACATCTACTGCAACATCGCGTCCAGATCCTCGCCCAGCTTCTCCTCGATCTTGCTAATCCATCGCTGCGTCTCCCTCTCCACCATCTCATCGTCATCCTCTCTCGCCTCGCTGATGAATGGCAACATCTCAGGCAACAGACCTAGCCATTCCTCGCCCAGCCGCTCCGTCAAGGCCAACTCGCATTTGATGGTCGCTAGCCTGGTGCTCGCCTTCTCAGCACGCATGTACTTGAGCAACACTGCATTCATCTCGCGATGGTTGTCCGTGGATGACGAAGAAGACGCTGCAAGTTCGGTGATGGTTGGGATCACGTCAGTGGTAATCTGTTCCGCGTCCGAGATCGTAAGCTGGGAAAGCAGAGGTTCCATGACAGCGCCGAAGTGGTCAGGTGCCTGCCAGAAGCCTTCTTGGTCGTGCTCAAATGTCTTCTGAAGGGCGCTTAGTACGGCAGTGCGGAGCTCGGATGATTCTCCATCCTGCACGAGTGACGTGAGCAGCTTTGATGCGAGGTCGATGATGTAGCTCGAATACTGCGTGGCAATGCCCTTGAACTTGTCGAAGAACGCAGCAGCGAACTTGTAGAATGTGATCGAGGACGACGCTGCCTGGTCCACTAGCTGCGAGAAGAACGGCCGGAAGATCTGGTCGTTCAGCTTCAACGTCATAGCAATGACCGTTTCTACGAGAATATCTTCAAGCTGTTCAACCTCCTCATCTTGGTAGTCTTCATTATCGGTGACATCGTCTCTGAGCTTGAACATGTCCAGCAACAGGCTAAAGAGCGTTGAACTGGCCTTGACCAGCATGATTTTTGTCCGACTTTCGATAGTGGCACGCATCAACTTGAGCTCCTCCTCAGCCGCCTGAATCCTGTTAGTTTGGCTGACCGTAGTGTACATCGCTTTCAAGCTTACCTCGGGGCCCTGTTGCAGACTGTTGGCCCATGTAGCTTTGATGGCAGAGAAGACCTCTTGAGTTTCCAGGTGCTGCGACAGCTTTTCGAAGAATTGACCTCGCTCCTCATCGCACTCGTCATCAAGACCACCCGCGGCTGACTGTTGCGAGAGCTTGAGCACAGGGACTAAATAATCGCGGGAAAACATGAAACCAAGGCGTTGTACGGTGTTGCCCAACAGTGTGTAGACAGCATTGTGGAGAGATGTGTTTTCGTCCTTGATCGCGACCCCCAGGTACTCAAACGCCACAGGTAGGACGCTCGGAAGCAGAGAGATTGCTTCATCTTCCAGGACATCAATCATCGATGTCAAGCACAGCAGTGACAAGATGCGGGTTTGGTTGTCAGTATTTGAGAGAGCTTGAGACCCTGCAACCGTCTCGGCGACAGCAGCAACAGCTGATGTGTCTCTCTTACCAAATCTGCCAACAATGCTGTCAATGCAACTGATGACGATCCGCTTGACGTCCACATCGCCAGCTTGCTGCAAAAGGCCGTCGAGTTGGGGAAGGAACTCGACAAGTGACGATACCGAGGACTTGTCGTTTTGGAGTACGGTGCCTGCTCGGGCTTCTACCGACTTGATAGCGGCGATGCGAACTTCTCGGTCTTGCTTCGCTAACAAAAGCTCGGCAGATTTGATCAGGTCGGGTGTTGGTAGGAGATCCAGACACTTTCCAAGCACCCGACTACAGCTTTGGTATAGCTTCGGCTGGCTCTTGACAGATTTGGAGATCCGGATGACCGCCTCAACAACAGCAGCAAAAATTGTTCGAGGGACGGTAGGGTCTCTACTACGCTTGAACGCTCTACTAGCATGGCTCTTTACTCTGTCATCGGAAGCGAGGTCTGCGAGTGACACGAGTAGGTTATTCAAAGTTTGTTCGAAATCAGCAGGTGACTTATCGTTCAAGCTGAACAATGTCTCGGAAATCTTGCGCTGATGTTTGGCGCCGACGGCCTCCTCGACCAGATTGAGGTAGCCCTTGAACGTTTGGAGGGCCGTGAGTGGTTCAAAAGATACAATAAGATCCGTTGAGAATCTGCGTTGGACCTTGTTGTTTGGATATCTGTCAACCAACAGCGCAATGATGGCCGGAAGTGAGTCGTCAGGACCGAGAGTTCGGGCCAGTTCAGAAAACAGCTTCAGTCTTCGATGAGAAGGTATGTGCTCGAATGCAGCCGTGAAACTCAGCAGCAGGTCAGCGACTCCGATCAGGAAGTTTCTGTGCTTCGATCGCAACGAAGATGCCAGCTGTGGAACAACGCGCGAGATGGTTTGGTCTACCACGTGGGCCGAGTAATCGTCATGTTGGCGAAGCAGCGAGCTTCCAATGAATGTGAAGATGGGCATCAAATTATGCAAAATCATCTCGGGAACCCACGAGGCCAGACTTCCGATCAGTAGCAAGGCCGCATTTTGTACTTGGGGACTCGCGGAATGCCGGATGCAGTCGATGAGGATGTCGGCACGTACTGCGGCTTGAGCTTGCGAAGAGTCTTCCACCTCTTTCAGTCGGTTGACCATGGGTATCAAGGAACTGAAGACCAGGCTTTGAAGGTAGACCAAATCAGAGCCAGACTGCTGCTTCAACTGTTGGAGATCATCAAGGACAGTAAACAAGTTCCTGAAAAGCGCAATGTGTTCAGCAGGGCTGGAACTTTCAATGAGTTCCAAGACCAGTGTAAGTCTCCGAAGCACTCTGGAGACATCGTCTGGGGTCTGAAACTCCGCACGCGCCATTTCGTTGCGGCTGGTTCGTCTTCGTTTCTTCGTGGGGGGACCCTCCGCCATTTGCATCGAAGACGGAATGCTCTCAATGAAGGTCACAAGTGTGGCAGTGTCTAGCCGAACGTTACGAAGGGTTTCCAGCGCCCGGCCACGGGACAGAGCGTCGAACCCTGCCTCGTTCTCTTGTAGTGACAGATCCAACAAACGTTGGCCAAGTTCCAGGCGCGCATCGGCCTTCATCTTCGCAAAATTAGCGTTAAGCCAGTCGAAGGCCTTTTCCATAAGCTGAACTCGCTCCTTGCTAGTGTGGCCAGAGATGATGTCCTGTACTAGCTGCACACTTTCGGGCTCCTTTGGCAAAAGCGCAGCAAGGTGTGCTCGATCCGCATCCGTAGATTCATGGATCTTATCTTGTGAATATTGTGCGATGTCGACCTCCGAACTGGAACTCCAGGCGCGCAGCATCGGCAGTAGAATCTCCTTGCGAGGACCGGCAAGAGTCTTGGCCGACGAATGGAATAGTGGAAGAAGGCGGAGACGCAGGGCGAGGAGCGGCGAGGAAGCCGTATGAGTGGCCAGGAATGTGACGATCGGACCTCGTGTCGTGGTTTTCAATCCGCGTTTCCCATTCTTTGCGTGCGATCCTTCTAATGCCTCCGCAGCACTTGTGATGAGGAAGTTGGCATCCATGGCGCACTCTTCGAGGATCGGAACAAGATACGCGATAAGGAACTCCGATAGTTGCTCCACAGATAGCTGCGCTGATTTGGGAAAAGCAGTGCCGTATAGGTCAGATGATGCCCATACCTTGGTGCCTTGTGTTGAAGTCGACAGCACAGATCCACATGCAGCTGCAGATCGACGAATGATGGCAGATGGGTCCGCAAGCGCAAACAGAAGGTATGGGACGATGTGTTGCAGATTGGTCGGTTTCTGCTCTTCCTTAATGAGCGAGGTGGCTGCTCGAAGGGCCGCAGCTCGAGCTTTGACGGATGCGGAGCTACACCAAACCCTGGCCAGGAAACTGAAGAAAAGTGGCTTGCTGAATGCCGCCTGGCGCTGGAGAGATTGTGCTGCTAAGAACTGCTTAGTCCGATTCACCGAGACAGCCGCCTCGAATAGAGGAAGCGTATCGCGGAATGATTGTGCAGATTGCACGCTCAGCAGGCTCGTTTCTGAGAATTCAGATGGCAATGTCAGAGATGCATCGCTCGGTTCCTCTTCTTCGGCATCGAACATTTCCTCATCTTCGTCCTCTACATCAGCGCTGTCTTGAACCGTCAGAGAGGAACCAACAACCAATCCTAACGATTCCAAGTCTATCGCATTCTGCTGAGCGACTTTGTTGACGATGCGGGCTGTGGTAGCGTTCTCGCTCAATGTCGACGCAAAGTCAATCAAATGGCTATGTTGAGGCGAGCTACGTTCGCTCTGTTGCGCGACCTGTAACAGACCCGAAAGCGCTACCGATAGCTGCGGATCATCGAGCAAGTTGGCCTCGAGGATGCTCTTGAAAGTCTCCTGTTTCTGCCCCGCTTTAGCAATACCACCAAGGGTAGCCAAGGCACATCCCAGTGCAAGACGGTCCACGCGACATCTTTTCGAAAGCGATATCAGGGTCTGGGCCAGGTCGGGAATCTTCAGCAGACTTTTCGCGACCGGAGATGGCAGTTGCACGTGTGCTCTTTCTTCGGCAATGACAGCCAAGCACATCAAGCATGCGTCCGAGGTCTCCTCGACTCGGCTGAGAGTTACGGCCTCCATAATGGAATTCAGGACCTTGTCCTCCAAGGTGGACTTGGTAACCAACACGATGACAATCATGTAGCATGCTGTGACAGTATCCGCGCCGTTGGCCTTTCTCATGCAAACGTTGAGTACCCGCAGGACTCGCAGAAGTAACTCCTCCATCTTTTGGTCCTGCACCTCTTTGCGTCCAGTGGTGTGATCGAGAATGCCATCAATCGCTTGGGTGGTCACGCTCGACCAGAACGTGAGTAGGCTGGGTCCCTGGTGGCCTGCCTGGAGCACTCTCATTATGTAATTCTGCAGCGCTTCGAAGAATGTCGGCGTGTTTGTCGCAGTGTAGACAATGACACGACGCGGTGGGTTGGTAGGGGGTTGTATGTAGGGATGTAGAAATCGCCATGCCGGCTTGGGGTTCGGTGGTAGTATAGACAGCAACGCAAGGAACTGCGGGGTATCGTGGTACGGGAGGTATGTCATTACGAGGCTTTCTGTGTTGTACTCATGAACACTAGGAGGCATTAGCTTTCGTCCTCAAAGTGTGTGCGCACGACATACCGGAATCTTCTGACCAGCCAATCCAGAGCCTTCTCCGCTGGCTTAAGCAGCAATCGTGGGCCGACCATGGTAATGAATGTCTCCAGCACCTCGTCCAACTTTTCGTTCTCTTTCTGCGTCATCTGCGTGCGGTCCTCCACCTTGCTCTGCTCGCTGAAGATATTTCGCGAAAACTGCACGAAGCGCGGGTCCAGCGCGCAAAGATCCCTGAAGCCTTCATAGCAGATCATGTAGATGTTGTCGAAGGATTGCGAAGCGGCGATCCGGGGTTCGAAGAGCAGCGATTTGCCATGGGCGAGCTTCTGCGCCTTGAGGTCCAATTGGTGTGTGCTCGTGGCGGCGATGGCCGCGAGCTGTTTCTGGAGAGACGTCATCTTGAATGGTGCGCGTGGCGTCTACGAGGTGTGCGCGAAATTTTCTGCGGTATCACGGCCCATCGGACGAAGCTCTTGCCGCTATGAAGTCGTTGCGAGAGGGCGCAGCTCGGTGAGGTTCAACTTTGCATCTGATGCCGGCAAACTTTTTGGTGGATCTGCCAAGATTTCGGGTGATCTGTGCGCACTCCCGCCCGTGTCTCATTCGTCGCCTCCATGACTCTATCACGAACACCACAGGCGCGTCTACGGGTCCACCGGTGAATGATGCGCACGTGAGAGCTTCGACGATGCGGACATCACCTTCTGCCTGCTCGTCAACAGGCACGCCTCTGCACCTTTGGCGAACTCTGCACCTGGCCAACCTCGCGCTCCGTAGTCACGGTTGAGTGGATTGCTAATCTGTCCAACTACCTTTCACTCGTCCGGGCTCTATTTTCCAGAAGGCATGGCTTCTGGCGTCCCGAAGTTCACAAGCTTCCGACCAAAGCCAAAGGAGGCATCGAGCCAAGAGAAAGAGTCACAGATACCCGAACATCAGGAACGATCGGTGACATCGTCAAGAGACAGATCCAGCCCGTCTAAGAAGCCGTCGCGAGGTAGGAGCTCAGAGAGACGGCGAAAACCTGGTCGAACACCGCGGGATAAGACTCCAGAGCAGAGCCTAGCGCGCCACGCAGACGACCTTCGCACGGAACCGACTCCACCTGCAGCACCTTCCAAATTATTCTTCAGTGACAGGCGAGGTGATCGCGATATTGTGCGATACGGCAGTCTGAACCAATATGAAGTGCCGGACTATCGACGTTTTGGCTACGGACACGTGCTTGGCCTTCCTTTGGATTGGAAAATAGACCGGGTTCATTCCACGGAAAAAATTACTGTCCTCACTTCTTCAGACAAGCGTCGCGGCGAAAGACTGCTTGCGAAAAAGCAAGCCACTCGGGAGCAGACCAGGGCGGTACGTTTCGTCAGTACTTCAAACGCGCACGATTCAGACGACCACAATCAAGATTACATCGCACTGTCGACCACACGCAAACGGAAGCGTGGCGAAGACGAGTCTGAAGATGAAGAGGATGGGTCTGCCTTCGACTATCGTGGAATGCAGAAGGGAATTACCAGTGAACCAGCAGACCCAGATGCAGAATATGATTCCGAACCCGCCGTCGACGTTGTGACTGCCGACGTGACCGCACAAAACGCGATATTTGTACGCAGAACGAAAGAACGCCCGGACGATCTGCAAGCCTGGACCGAGCTTATCGAATATCAAGAAGACATGTTGAAGATGGAGCGATCATCAACAGAGCTGCGAAAAGCCGAAAAACTACATCTTGCCGAAATCCGAATCTCGGTCTACGAACAGGCGCTGAAAAAATGCAACATCGATGAACATGGTCAAATCAGACTGCATTGCGGTATGATGACCGAAGCCACGAGGGCTTGGGGTCAAGAACAATTGGCGCGGAAATGGACCGAAGTCCTCACCAAGTATCCGTTTAGCACGGAGCTATGGCTGAAGTATCTGGACTGGATTGAATCGAGCTTTATGACCTTTAGATATGAAGCGTGCAAAGTGTCATTTCAACAGTGCTTGGAAACGATGCAGCTAAGCATGATAGCCATTGACCCTGGCTTCAGTCTGTACATATTCTGTCGCCTTACCACCATGATACATCAAGCCGGTTACCAAGAATTAGCGCTCGCTATATGGCAGGCTTTGCTCGAGTATCACATATTTGCCCCTCTCGATCAGCCATTACCCCAAGAGGAGGTTTTGCGGAACTTTGAAGAGTTTTGGGAAAGTGAGGTTCCTCGCATTGGTGAGGATAATGCAAAGGGCTGGCGAAACTCGGATGTGGACGACGGTCCCATCCCCGAGACGGACCCAGTCCAGCTTATGTTACAAAATCCCAATGACGCCGTTTGGGACGATTTTCGGAAGCGAGAAACGGACCACACCTCCAAATTGAGACATCCAGGCCGCACGACTGAAGAGCTAGGGGGCGATGATCCTTTCCACACGATATTATTTGCCGACATTGAAGTATTCCTGAAGCTTCTTCCACATTCTTGCGAGAAGACGGACGTTGTATCTGCGTTTCTCCAATTCTGCACTTTACCACCTCTGCAGCAAAACGACTCGGATATGAGTAGATACACCCTTGATCCTTTTCTGCAAACGGGCTGGAGCGAACCTTCACAAGCAAACACTAGCGGCTTTACCGAGGTCATTGCAAGATACTCAAACAGTCCGATCAAGAAGTACCAGCCCACTGCAGAGCTCCTTTTTGATCAAAGCTTTCCTAGTACACACAAAGTTGGCGATGTCGCATTTGTACGCAAGGTTCTAAAACTTCTCTTTAAGGGGGTCGCGGACGGAGGCTCTATTGGGGAGTATCTGCTCGCATTCGAATCTCAGTACTTCCCTACTGAGTCTCGCAAGACAGCCAGACAGCTCTTAAAAGCCCATCCTGCAAGTCTGCGTCTTTACAACGCTTATGGACTTGCGGAATCACGCCGAAACAACCCCGAGATGGCGGACCAGGTGTTTAGTGCTGCTCTCTCAATGCAGAAAGGCGAAACGACATTCTCAACGAACGGTAGCCTTGAGCTCTTCAATAGTTGGGTCTGGGAAGCTTTGCGATGTGGTGACGGAGAGGAAGCGCTTTGGCGACTTGTATCTCCCACTGGGAAGGTCGAAAGAGTGTCTGATACTGACAACACCCCAACCCACGCAGCTCTTCTACGCGCCCAAAGAACTTTCGACGACATCTCTGAGCGAGCGCTACTAGCTACCGACCTACCCAGAGCTGCCTTGGCAACATTGCTCATTGCCTTGCTGGCGTATTTCGCGGATAACGAGAAGTCAGAGACAGCATTGTTAGCCTTCTCGCGGCTTTCCACCTGGCTTACGAGCCACAGCATGTCACAAAGCCCGGCGGCGGAGCTTCACGCTCAGTACATTGCGCAGTTTTTGACACTTCACGTTCGACGTGCTCCTATCGTCAAACCTGCACTTATACGCGAAACGTTGGAGCCTTACATCAGTTCATTTCCGGATAACACAATACTACTATCGCTTTATGCTGCTAACGAAGCACGATTTGCCATCGACGATCGTGTCAGGTCTATAATGCATCAAAAATCGAGAGGCTTGAATCGCACCATTGTGAACTGGACCTTCGCAATCCATCATGAAATCCTGCGAGGCGAGATAGCCGGCTCAACATCGCAATCCATCCGTGCTCTCTTTGAGAAAGCCGAAGACGATGTTGGCGCACAGTGTCCCGCTTTATGGAAGCAACACGTTCAGTTTGAGATCGCAGAGGCCCGGAAAGAGCGCAAGAAGAGACCTCGGCAGATGCCACGTAAAGACGGGAAGAGGTCAAAGGAGGACACCAAGATGGAGGCGGCAGACAAGAGAGTTAGGGACACATTTTTCCGAGGTCTAACACACCTGCCTTGGTGCAAAGACTACATGATGATGGCATTTACTCACCTGGGAAAAGAATTTCTTGGTTTGGAGGATTTGAGCAAGGTGTACACCGCTATGGTGGATAAGGAGCTACGGCTATACATCGAAGTAGAAGGGGATGGTGTATAAGCGTAAGAGTGCGGAAGGGATCACTTGTAGAAGGCCATTGTGGTTTGAAAATGCGCGCATTGCAGATTCGAGGAGGCTCCGTTCGGCATCAATTGTTTGGTTCTCAGAAATGTGTTCGGTGTGATAGAACTTTTAACTCAAGGTTTGTAAAGTGTATCCAGAGAAACAGCGCTCATCTATTGTACACAGAAAATACACCACTATTGATAAGACTGATACCTTCCGCACGATAAGTGTCTGGCTCCACGTGGCTCATCACTTTGGTTTCGTAGACAAAACCCTCTGGCTTGCGTAGGTTATACTTGGGCCAACACGGAACGCCAAATGTCTTGCTTCTTGCCTTGCTGTTTACGTCGCCCGTGTTGACGAATCGAATCCAGTCGCTACTCATCAACCTCGCTAGATTGGCATAACCTGGTGGCTTCCCTTCGAATGGTGGCGTGCGCACAGGCGGATAGCCGACCCCCAGCAAGTTCAGCATGGCAAATGCTACTTCGACGAAGTGTGTGGCCCCGTCAAGGGGTGTAGCCCAGGCCGGGATCGCGTTGAAGCGGAAACAGTATGCAGTTAGCCCGGCTGCGGACCAGGTCTCACAGGTGAGCCGTTGGCTGGCAATGAACTGTGTATCACCGTAGTAAGTTGCAGCTCGCCGGTACTGCGCGCCGTAGGGCGGGCCTGGGCGATATGTGGGACCAAGATTGGCGAGGACGTTTTGAGCTGGATCATCTGGATACGCTGCAAGCACGCGGTCGGCAAACGAGGCATTCATTAGTGGTGCGGAACCTACATTGTCATCAACAAAATAGAATTGCACCGCACAAGTGTGTACGTACCTTGAATCGCCCTCTTGAAGATTTCGGTGTTGTTGACGCCCTTCGGTGAGAAAGATGTCCCTTCATCCGAATTTGTGCCGATGAGTATCGGGACATGCACAAAAGCGCCGTCCTTCAATTGCTCAGAGGAGTGTCGAGCTATCATATCGCCGTCTATTTGAGGGAACCATATGCTACTAAGTGCTGTCGTGTTGATGGCTGCGTTGAGCTTTTCATATGGCAGAGACCGCAGACACCCCAATGAGTCAGGTGCCTTGCTGCATCCAGCGAGTTGAGTGAGGTTCTGGTACGCCGCTTGGTAATAGCCCTTACGATCTGGGTCGGATATAGCTACAGGACCACCACTTTCCATGATGGCTGACCGGAAGAGTTTGTCGTCTCGACCGTTGTAAGCCATAACGTGCATACCCACGGAAGCAGCGCCTGCAGACTGGCCCCAAATCGTGACTTTGTGAGGGTCGCCCCCAAAATTGGCTATATTTTCTTGAATCCATTGCAAAGCAAGTCTCTGGTCGCGGAGGCCCACGTTGGTGTCGCCACTGTTGCGCACCTCGTCCCCTTGCAGGAAACCCCAGGCACTCAATCGGTAGTTGAGCGTTATACCAAGCATGGGCTGACCCAGAGCGACAGATTCTTGCACGATGAAGGAAAGGTTATAGCGCAGATCAATCCCGCTTCCTTGTGCGAAACCACCACCATAGATCCACACCGCAACCGGAAGGCCACCATAGTCCTTCTTGCTACTGCCAGAGGGGCGTATGATGTTCAAGTAAAGACAATCTTCGGAAACATTGTAACCCATTTGCGAAGCCTGCACTTGTCAATCACTTTCTGCCGTCCAGCTTTCATCTCCACTTACACCATAGCCCACGCATGCAGGAGAGAATGTCGTCGCATCTCGCTCGCCTTTCCAAGAGGCGTCAAGTGGCTTGGGATTGCGGAATCGTAGATCTCCAGTAGGTGACTGCGCATACGGTATTCCCAAGAAGAAGTCTTGTTTGTACTGCGATGAGTGAACGCCCTTATAGGTACCATTCCGCAGCGTCACGACCGGGTCGCTTCGGTGAATATGTCTTGCAATGGAAATGGAAGAGACGCCCAACGCCAATGACAACAGCAACATAAGCTTCATGATCCAAATATACGAGCTGCCAGGTTGGTGCTATGAACCGAAATTGCTGATGCATTATGCTTCTATTATGAAGATCTCCTAGGGTCATCGCCTGGAGTAACTCATACCCCAAATATGCAGCTATGGAGAAGGCATATGTTATCGTTGCGGTAGGCTAGCCACAACCGCATTTTTCTAGTCAGGATCTTGGGAATGCTTGTGGGGAAAGTTGCAAGGTTGACTCGTCGCAGCGCGCCACGTGACCCTGTTGACGTCGGTAAAACTATCCCGAGGTTCCTCAATCGCTTCTTCCCCGCATCCAGTCCCAACTGGGGACGCTCGTCCCTTTGCGGAGCCCCGCGATGAGTGATTCCCCGAAGATGATCGACATGAAGCTTCAAGAATTGTTCCCTCAGGAAGAGTCTTTTTCCTCCCGGGCGTTCGTAGCCTGCAATTTGCTCGAATGGTGGTGACCTAGGTGTCCGCGAGGGAGAACCTTCACCCTCGACGCGGGTCCCTTTGTCATAGTATAAGAGATGGCTTTGTAACGGTGAATTGGGGGTGTACTCGCACGTCTGCAGCTCCAATCGGGACAATGTGGTTAATTCAAACGCTCATCGTTACTTGTTCCTTGCTTGCTCAATCTGTGTATGGATCGCCTGTAGTCGAACGGCATACATCGCACAGCGACAATCTCAAGGTCAAGACGAACCTCTTCTCCGTGCAGGGTGCCATCTTCCCAAACGAGGCCCAGGTCCGCTTCTTTGGCAATATCCCATACGCAGAGCCACCTGTTGGGAATTTACGCTTCAGGCCACCAGTCTCTGCGAAGCCTCGAGATGAGATCATCAACGGAACTTGGTTCGGGCCTTCGTGCATACAGTACAGCTCCGGGGCTAAGACTGTATACTCGGAGTACTTGACTGGATTCCTACTATCGCCAGGCCAGTCTACGAGCGAAGACTGCCTGACATTGAACGTATGGGCTCCCCTTAGAAGCAAAGAGGGTGACAAGCTGCCGGTTATGATATGGGTGCATGGCGGTGGATTTACTTCAGGCGGAGCAGCGTCGCAGTACAAGTACGGCGACAGAATCGTGAGGGATCAGAATGTCATCGTGGTCGCGATCAAGTAAGTGTTGGCGAGCAAACTCTCACTGAGCACCATCTGACGTGCGTACTAGCTACCGTCTGAACATCTTTGGATTTCCCAAGGCTGCAGCCCTCGATGGCCATAACATGAATCCAGGATTGCTAGACCAGCGGAAGGCCGTGGAATGGGTGTACGAGAACATCCACGCATTTGGAGGTGATGCTGGGAAGATGACACTATTTGGACAATCCGCAGGGTAAGCAAACCTGTCTTCTTTAAGCGATGAATGCTAACTGCATATTGAAGATCCATGTCCGTGGATGCATACACCTATGCTTATCCGTTTGATCCCCTCGTAAGAGGCTTTATCGCGCAGTCTGGAACCGTCGGCACCTCATCGTACACCTTTGACCCTACGGGCAGCAACTTCACCTACGTTGCCTCTCAGCTAGGCTGTAATACCGCTGCTTCCAAAGACAAAGTTTTCTCATGTGTGCAATCCAAACCCGCAACGGACATCATCAGCATTTACAACAAGTATAATGCTACGCTCAACAATGGGCGATCACTATCCTTCGGCCCGACCGCCGACGACGAAGTCATCTTCTCAAACTACACTGATCGCCAGCAACGCGGGTTATTCGCACAGCTTCCCACGGTCTACAGCAGCAATAATGCCGAAGGCTCTTCCCTCCTCGCATACACACCTGATGGCCCTCCAGGCGGCCAAGCTGCCATTGATGCCTTTACCAAGAGCTTCGGCACGTGCTCCACCGCCAATGGCGCGTTGGCTCGCAAAAACAAGGGTGTTCACGTATGGCGCATACGATACTTTGGCCAGTGGCCGAATCTCAATCCATTTAACTGGCTAGGCGCATACCACAGTGCTGATATACCGATGGTATTTGGGACCAGTGACCTTCGGGGCCCAGACACTGAGCTGGAGAAGGCAACGAGCAAATACTACCAAGATGCCTGGATAGCCTTCGCTAAGGATCCTGTAAACGGACTAGTGAAGTATGGGTGGCCAAAGTATGACCCAAACGCGGAGACGTTGGTCAAGTTGGGGAATGGGACCGCAAAGGCAGTATTTGCCAAGGGCAACCTCTTTGATGCTGGTTGCTGACCATCACTACTGGCCTCTCGTAAATGATCAATCTTTTGGCTTACACCTTCTTCACATGCAGGACACCTGAGTGCTTAGAATTCTTATTTCCTACAAGAACATTCGCGTAGATACAGTTCTGCTTCCATCGATTTCTCGTCAATGTTGCTTTGCGTCGGCAATTTGTGTTCTCAAAGCTCAGGTGATGCTGAGATCCCCAATAATCCGACAAGATGCATTCGGCGAGCAAGGCTACCAGCTGAATTTTGCACTTGCCTAGATTGTGGAGAAAAACTTGGCGAGGTTTATTGGTGATCTCGTAAACCTCGTATCCTTCCTGCAGTTCCTGAGCTGCCCTTGCAATGTCTGCACTGGTCCTGCTGCAGTCACACGTAGGTTGTTGTACTCAACGAGAGAGTGAATTATTTGATTGTATAGAATCTGATTCATATGGCTAGTCTGGGCACGAGGGTAATTTTGCACCATTGGAAATTGTTACGAAGCCTCGCCTGGGCAGCCCAGCCGCTGCTGACAACATAGATTAATTGTGGGGAACAACAGGATGAAGACCCATTCAATAACGCAAAGATTCGCATTTCTCGCGTTCACATACTCACACGCAGGATAGACTGTAGAGTATTCTTGGTCCAGGTTTGTATAAAGATGATTGTATTCAACATCAAAAGATAGCAATCCCAAGCCCGACTACTTTGATACTTGCACAATCACAGCCATACTTTGTTGCTTCTTTACTGCACAAAATTGCAACACGTCACCTCACAACACAAATGCATATTCTCAACCTTCTCAATCTAGCCGTTTTCGCCTCTTTGGCCGCCGCATCACCCACCGCTGGCGCCGAAGCACTAAGCTCTCCGGAGCAAGCCGTCGGCGTTCCACTCGAGAAGCGCGCATGCACTTACACCGGCTGTACCTGTCTTAAGGGTATTAAGGCTGGCGTATACTGTGGCAATTGCTACAACCCGAAAGACCACAACTACTGGGCAGTTCAGACCAAGGGTTCTAGCAGTCGGTTTGCTACACACGCATTTCAGTGCGCCTCGTCTGGCGATTGCTGTGATTATGGGGTTGCGAGTGACTGTGGGAAGACCAGTGCGAGGTGTGTGAGTCCCTTTGTGGGAGGGTCCAGGAACGATTGATGAGAGTGGGGCCGGTTACAAGTGGAACCCTTGAGTTCCCAAACTGTTCGTTTTAGAGCTATCCGAAGATAGTACTACAATGGAACACCATGCAGTCCGACAGTTAAAATTGACGATCCCTTGATCTCATCCGCACGACCCTTCGACGCGTCCACATCCCAATTAACCCACGCAAACTTCCCCCGGATCTCTTTAGCGGCGGGCCGCAGCTTGTCAAGGCGAGGCCCGAAAAAAGCGATTATTTTGGTACCGGCCTGGGCAAAGGCAAGAGCAGTAGCTTTACCCATTCTGAGAAAAAAACATCAGTCAGCAAAGCGATGGTTACCACAGAAAAATTACTTGAGGATATACAAACCCAGTACCTCCTCCTGTGATGAACACGACACCATTTTTATGTAGCTCTGGCCGGAAGGGCGAGATTTGTGGATAAAGTGCCATGGCTTAATAAATGACTTGAAGTATTTGTCTCCAGGATAGAGCTCGGCGATGATGCTCATTGCGCGGAGAATGGGTTATCTGCACGCGTCTTCACTGAAAGAGATATTCCATAAGCTAAAGTTTACCTCCGCAAATTTACCTCCGCTGGAGACATGATTACAAACAAGAATTTATGAGTGCCAGGCATGGTGTTCCAGGAATAACATGATCTCACATGTTGCACGGTGTTCGGAGGCCTTCCGCGGAACCTAAGTTAGTCAGTTCAAAGTATACGAATAGCTCTAGCATTCGCAGTGTCGTGTTATAATGGGTTTCCAAAGTCTTATTGTTGTACCTAACTACAAGTCCGTACTTCATTATTCAACCGTATGTTTTCACTCGATTGTGTTCCGGGAACAGTCTCCGCCCCAATTATCTGGACTCTTTCTCAGTCACCACTGTGCAAGATATATCAGGATCCTGCAAGATACGCAGAAAGATCTATACTACTTGCTATGAAAGATGCTTCAGCGCGCCTCCGCTTAGAGGCATCGTGCAGACTCCCGCAGGCATAGCGAAATGAGCGTACCACTTCGTGTTGAGTCTCCTCCAGCATTCGATCCAGCATTTTTAAGCCATTTTCTACCAACTTGTCATCAGACAACAGCTCATCGCCAAGAGGGTTTTGGAGCCCGTTAAATGTCAAGAGCATCATGGCCGTCATATGAGTGCAGCCCGTCGTCCTATTTCTGCCGATTAGCGTGATCGAGCGGGGATGTAGGCTAACACACAGCTGCACGGACCGCCTTACCAAAAGTACCATCGATCCGGTGTGGGCAAAGACCCGAGCAGAACGGCCACATCTCGTGCCTCTTCCACTACTGCCTCCCATCGCGATGGCAGTGCTGGGATCGCGTACTTACGCATACAGTCTATCCACTGGCCATTCCAGGCATTTGCTTGGTTGAGGAGAGTTGTGCATGCCAGACTAGTCGAATATAACACCCCAAGTAGCGGGAGCACGTCTGGAGAGACCGTATCTGGGGCCATGCAAGCACTAAACTCGAACGGGATGGTTGCCTTCCATGCTTCAAGGGCACAAGAGACGCTCTCTAGCGCGTGAGCACGCTCCTCGGCGCTGCGTTTCTGAGAACGCGTGGAGTATAAATAATCGTACACGCCTCCTTCGATAACAGCTAGCTGAATGCGAGTCAGGAAGTAATTCATCTCGACCGTCCCGTCCATGGTAGTGATAGCGCCTGGAATCGCGCTGGCGTCATCGATACATGTGTTCCTGATCCGATGATCAGCGATTCTGAAGGAGGGTAAGTCGAGGTCAATGTCGTCATCTAGCTGAATTGACGGTTGTTTTGAGCGCATGCTGAGGTCCTTGTCGAGGACGTATGCTATCCAGAAGACATTTGCGCGCTGTCTCGCGATGGCTGTTTCCAAATGTGCAGAGGCGGCGCGATCATGGAGGCGAATCTTGTGTGCGAGACGCATGGTTGTAGCAATCATGATAAGTGGCTGCGTGAGATCTGGCGTGGCTTGAAGGAGGAGTACCATCCCTATAAGAACTTGAATGTTGAGCAGCTGAGTATCCCCCAGGACAATATTCGATAGCACTGACTCCGCTCTGTTGAGATACTCAACTGACAAGTGGGTATTGTCACTCCCGACTAGGCCATATCGATATGCAAGAGCCAAGTTTACGTTGATTGCGGCCCATTCTACTGGATCCTGTTGTGTAGAAGGAAACATGTAGAAGCGATGAACCATGCGCAGAAGAGTGTCTGCGTGGAACAGCGGTAGTGCTGTATTGGACTTCTCGAGGAAGCGTTGGACAATAGGCAGGACATGCTCTCGAGGTGGGAGCGGCATTGACAGCGGCTTCTTTTGACTGTTATTTGTGTCCCCGCTCACAGTAGGCCCAGACAATATAAGTATGCCATTGGTAAATTCTGTTGCTAGATTGCCCGAATTTTCCTTGTACCTACTGGAGCCGTCGCTTGCCGTTGTTATTGACAGCGACGTGATGCCAATTTGGGTCTCTTCGCGCTGCTGTACTTGGGTTGGAGCTTGGGTCTTATTGTGCTGTTCAGCGATTCTCACACGCTCATTCAGCTGCTCCACTAAAGTTTCTAGGTGCCGCAATCGATCTCGGTTGTTACCTTCGGCGAGTTGCTGTCGCTTCTGGCCAGACTTCCGACTTGGTGCCTTGTAGGTGCAATCCGCCCTGTAAGTGATACAGTGTGAGCAGCGAGGCTTCAACCTGTCGCACTTCATTCTCCGCTGATAGCAGAAGTCACAGGACTACGCATTCGTGAAGTCTTAGCAGATGTATAATGAGAGCTGACTAAAAAGAACCATACAGACCTTTCTTGGAGTCTTTGAACTATCCGCCATGGCTCAGAAATATTCGAAAAAGGTGATCTGAGGGAGGACTATGCAGACGGACAGCAACCTGTAGTTTGGCCCTAGGGCTGACTACAGACTGTGATGGTGTTGCCGCTTCCGCGGAAGCTCGTTAGACAAAGATCGCTGACAAATGGTGACCAGCCTCGGAGGCTAGCCAAATGCAGCCACCATTGTGTACTCCCAAGACATGAGTGAAGTGAGTCTTTGTCGAAGCGCTTCGTGCTCTTGTGTCGGCGTTTTACTGGGATTGTAGCCGCCTATGTCCGTTTGTCTCATGATCTGCTCTCATGATGTACGTTCCGACCCCTTTCTCCGGCTTCTCAGCGGACTGGTCTTGTTCCGGTACACACTTATGTCAAGATTTGTCAGAGCAAACGATAGAAATGAACAAGTTCACAGGTTGAATGCAATGCAACAGTTCAGATCAAGGGTTGTATATACACTAGCCCAGGCTATCTAGCTACCATCTCTCCATTATCAAAACAACGCCGACGCTGCTTCATGCTCATGCAATAAACCTGGTAGCTGGAAAAGTTATCATACAAGAAGTGAAGCTCGTGGAAAGGACAGACGGAATAAGAGAACGACGCGGTGTAGATAGGATGAGTAGGGGTAATGTTGAGGGACGGGGACGGCGACGCCGGAGTGACGCGCATGCAAATGCAGATGCTAGGCTAGTAGTGCAAAGTAGTCAACCAAAAGAAACTTGTACGCTTCGATGCTTCGTGGAATGCGTCGTGCATGGTGATCTAGTAGGAGAATGCTTCTTCGATGTAGTCAACGCATCCCTCTGTCGTAAAAGGCCTCACTGACGCCCTGACAGTGTCGGACAATCCACCACTCCCGCAGCACGTAACTGCCATAGCGCCCTCGCGATGCGTCATCTCTTCCGCGATCAGCGTCTTCCAATTCGGTCGCCCAGCGAACAGTTTTACGCTCTCCGAGCTGCCGGACTCGATGCGGCCCTTGGGCTTCGTGATGAACAGCTTGATGCGCAGGTGCTTCTTGCGGCTGGGCATGCGTAGGATCTCGTCCATCCACGGGCGAATCCACTCCAGGCTCTCGGAATCGGGTATCGACCACACAAGCAAAATGCGGCGCGTGGCTGTGGTGCCTGCATGTGCACCAGCGAGGAGGTGCTTGATGTACATAACCTGGTGGGTGATGCCGACACCGCCAGCAATCAGAAGGCACGTGCCGTAGGAATCAAGGCTGTGGTGCCCGCCATAAGGGCCCTCAATGAAACCCCATGCATCAAAGGATTTATTGGGCTGCTCGCATGCCTTTTCGTAGATTGTGCGGGTGAAGCCGGTACGCGCGCGGCAGATCAAGCTGATCTGCCTTGTACGTTGGATGGCGTGAGGAGAGCTGGGTGAGAGACCACCCTCGAGCTGCGAGAGGGAGCGTTCCTTGTGCTCTTTGGACGATGGCGATGGCGGGTACGCCCAGGCGACGGAGAAGGGATGCGAGTGAGGTCCCATAATTCGGGGAATGTACAGGTGCACATTGCAGCCAGGCTTGGGAGTCCACTCACGTGCCAGCTTGATGGTAACTCGGCAAGCCTCTCCAGGCATAGCCTCAACAGTCACTCGGCAGCCTTTCTGTCCGAAGTTGTAGTAGATTGCCCACGTGAGACGAGCTACCCACTCGAAGATGTAGAAAGCGAAGATGATGTACATCCAAGGAACTTGGGGTAGGCCGTGCCTGACAAGATGCTCGTACAGGCCAACAAAGGATATCAGGACCATGATGCGATGAATGCCCAAAAATGTCTCGTAGAAGGCGTGTCGGAAAGGCGACCAGGCCTGGATGCCGAGGAAGATAAAAGCACAGGTCGCGACCATGCCATAGGTGTAGGATTGCTCGTCACGTAGACCGGCGGCGACGGCGGCAGCGCCGTCGCCCTCAAGCGTATTGCTCAGCCAGCATGCAGTATGCACGATGGCCTCAATGATGGTGATGCGGGCAGCCCAGCGATGGAACAGATTGAAGTCATCGTACGAGACCTGGAGGATGGAGATGAGGGGGTTGTTGCGGAGAGCGAAGAGGACAGTTGGGATGAGGTTGAGCGCCGCAAGGGTTCCAGAACGACCTCGAAGAGCAGCGACGACAGACGCGCGCTCCTTGCTCCAGTCCAGGCATAAACACCAAGCGACGTTCAGCGCGGCATAGACGACAATCATCGCAAAGTGCCAGCGGCCGGGAAGGGTGCCGTTGTCGATGGCCGCGGAGATTTGAAAGGTGGCGTTGTGCTTCTTCTTGTGCAGAGGCGCCATGAGGACATGTCGATTTAGCCATGGCCACCATCGCGACCTGTTGTGTTTCCAGTACTCTTGTCTTTCTGGGTTGCTCATGACGGTCAAATGCCGCGCGTGCTTGTAGAACATGTTTGAAAATCGCAGCACTAGCAAGCCAACGACGCACACACCCAGAATGACAACGAAGGTGTGGACCCAGAGGAAGTTACCATCTTGCTCTACACCATTGAGGCCCCATGAGAACTTCAGCGCGTCGTAGCCTTGCGCATCCCAGCCATGGAGGAGGTGGCCGCGCTTGAGTTTGGTGTCAGGAGTCGGGAGCTCTGCCCTCCGGGGGAAGAGGTGGGGAGACATGTGTAGATTCTTCTGTGTTTCAGAAAGTAATGCGCCAGGGAGTGTGCTCGTGGTTGGCCTCGTTGGCGAATCTCGGTAGCGCAGGTATTTCTTCAGGCCAAGACGCCCGCTTCTTGGTCGAAGGTCCAGTCGATGGTGCTCTAATTGCGCGATGCGGTGAAGGATGTTTTTGTAAAGCACGGCCGGGTGCTATCTTGGAATGCAAAAAGGTCTTGAAGGGGATACTCCGCGCGTGGGCTGAGGAGGCGCCAATATTTATCGGAGCAACGAGGAATGTACACAATGCGGAGAAGGCAAAGCTGTTGTGTCGTCACCTACAATGCATGACAATGGTACTGATAGGAGCGAATGTTTGAATAGCGTGGCGCGGGGTAAAGGTTGTACCAAGGCGGACTCAAGTGAAGTGAAGATGTATTGTGCACGGCACAATGTCGGTGAAGGACTGAAGTGAATGTCGAGGGCGGGCAGATGGGCCAGCGAGTTGCGAATGGCTGTCGAGTCTATGAATGAATGTCGGACCGGTCCAGGTGGTGTGCTTTCCCAGGCGAGAAGATGCGGGTCGCGAGATATCGAGGAACGAAGTGGTGCTCAAACAGGGTCGGGTTGTTTCCAAGTCGCAAAAGCCAGTAAAGAGAGACCAAAAGCACACGACGGCACGTTGTCAAAACGAGTGAACAGCCGTTGGGCCCCAAGAAACGAATGTGTGAAGGAAAAAACCTCCGTGTAGCAGTCCGCACGCAGTCGCGGTCAAGGACAGGATGAGGGCGCATAATAGCTGGGCCCAGCGGCGTGGCCGGCAGCCAATGACTCGGCGGCCTGGCCCGGTGGAACGAAACGCATGAAACGGGGCTCTCCCAGCCCAGCCAACCGCACGCTATCGAGGCTCCTACGCCACCGCGGCCCCTGGCAGCGCCCCCTGCCGATGCCGTAGCGCGGCCTGGCGGTGGCAGTTGAACAGCGCAGCCGATGCCTGTACCTGTACCTGCGCTGGCCGTGGCCAGCTGTGTGGCCGTTTCGACGCACTCCGGACCGGCCTTGCAACGCACGGGAGCGATGGCCTGCCCATCGCCCCCAGCTGAGCTGCTGAGCAGCTCCTTCCCTCTGCTGGCCGCGCCTTCCTCGCTGGACGGCGCCCGCGAGGCAGGCGCCCGCGCTGCACCAGCACTCCTCTGCACCACCTCTCTCCACCAGCTCGCGAGAACTCGTCGCATCTGAAACATGCCGCAAATGACGTCCCCCAACCCGCTCCTCCGGCACACCACCGTCCGGAAACAGCCTGCTAAGCGACACAAATCCCCGGCTCCGATCATCACAGTGCCACGCTCACGCCGCGCCAAGCACAGTACGGAAGAACCAAGCCGCGCTGCCTGCTGCAATCTCCTCCAGCGCCGCCCACTGTGCAGCCAGCGCGGCTGACCTAACAATATCCCGCCTATCAAATGCTCCCGCCGCTACGATAAGCTTAAAGCCTGGCGCTTATCGCAGCTCACGGAGGAATAACACCAGGACCTGGCCTGAGAGCCTCCACAGGCTCACCACCAGCCTGCAGCCGAGATACCTGGCAAATCTCGCATCTGAGTTTCTCGCATAGTAGCTTCGTGAGGGATCTCGCTTGTGCAATGTGAAGCTTAGTCCAGCGTTCATGCAGGGCACACAATGCTGAGCATGCATCTGGCCATGTTCACCTTTACCAGCCTCAGGCGCCAGGCGAAGACCGGCAAATATCGCGCCATCATCGTCCTCGACACTCGGACCGTACGTCTGAAGAAATGGAGCTGGGTCCAAGTGTCAGACCATCTTGGGAATCGTGGGCACCCATACGGACATCAGCCACACTGGGCGCTGGGCCCCAAGATCAAATATCATGCGCTCGCCGAACATCCTCAGACTTCCAAGTACGACCCAAGGCCAGCGGACCAGACCAAGGTGAGATTCTCAGTCGACTATCACGCTCTTCTACATGCGTCTCGTAGCTCGCTCCATCACCGCTATCAGGCGCTCAACACCATAGCCTCGCATCCATCCGTGCCTGCCACTACCTGTCAAGACTCCGCTGGAGGTCACTATCGTTTCATATATCCGATTCGGCACCCCTGCTCATCCACCTTGACTTCACGATGCATACAAGCGCTCGGCATGAATTTGACACGTGCGAACCACAACACATGGATATGCGACCCGCACCGAGGATGAAGCCCACAGCGCTCTCTCCCGTCTTGTCAACCTCATCAAGGTTAGCCCCAACACCTCGGATCCCACCGACCAGAAACTTTCAGTAACCAATACGTTTGAAACGCTCGCTGTTCTGGGCACGAACGCATGAACCCAAGTCATTCTGACAGCCCCCACATATTTCGTTTATTCCGCCACGTTGGAAAGGCTTGCTTTTTAAAGGAAACAGCGGCAAACTGACACTCGAATTGTGATAATTTCTCGGAAAGCAGTGCCGTTGAGCCTCCAATGGGTTTGGCTGACGAGTCTGTAGTGCTCTACCTTCGATGAACGGTACAACTGTTGCTGTAGCTGTTTGCGCACGAGAAACACGCCATCGGTCAGTAGTAGGCACTTTGATTGGTCTACTGTGCGAGTTAGGTCCCATTCTGCTGTCCAGCTGGCTCTTTCATTGGCCCTGAACTGCGGCGCCGTCTTTCTTGTACACGGATGCATACCTATCGTACCTCTCAACTCCCACAGAGGAATGCATGTGCTTGTGCCTGTTCCATGGCGAGGGTACGCCACACAGGTCTAGAACGGAAATACGCGCCGACTTATCTATCAGCTAAGAGCCCTGTTTATCCGATATGATCTCTCCCAGGGTCATTGCATTTCAGTGGAACAGCGAATGCTTCTGGAACACGGGTCAACACCACGCTTTCCGATGAGCACCAGCACACGTGCGCCCAACTCGCTTAGGAAGCCTCGAAATGAGTTGTTGCGACCGATCCTACAAATCCTAGCCTACACACACAACGTCCACATGCACCGTTGCTGACGCTTGTGCCGCTGCCCAAATGACCCTTCTGCACGACATAACTCGAGCGAGGGCCACATCATGAGCACAGAGGCTACTCGCTTTCACACAAAGCAATCCAAACGCATTATGCAATGTTGTAAGCCCCTTGCCTGGACGACATGCCGTAAACATAACTATGACTTTATCATTCACCAACCCGTACAATCATAACCTAGTTTAACCTCCCTATCGACCCGGGTCCCGACCCTGCAAAATTCATCATCATGGCCGCGTCCTGCCGCCACTCCGTCTCCGCCTCGCTGTCCGTGGAGTCGCGACTCGCATTCGCGACGCGCAGACCGCCCCTCTGCTGCTGCGTCTCCTCGTGCTCGTCGCCGCCCAACGGCCAGTTCGAGCTCCTGCCGTCGTCTACGCTGTGGTTTTGCGGCTGCTGGTACGGCTGCTGCTCCTGGTAGTTAAGGTACGGTTTGTTGGCGTACTGGGGCTGGGGCGGTTGTTCGGCGGGCGGGCCTGGGCGCAGGACGCTCGGGAGAGGCACGGTAGAGAGCCCGGACGCGCCGTACTGGCCTTTGGTTGCGTCGAAGCCAGGCCCGTACTGCTCGCTAGGCGAGTCGAAGACGCCCGTTGCATCGACGGGGGAGTAGTGTGCTGGGCCGCCGCCGTCCTGCAGATGCGGCAGGAACTGGGGCTGCTTCTGCTCGGTCGGCGTGTCGTCTGCGCGCAACTCGGAGATGCTGCCTGTCCCCAGCTCGGGGATGCTTTCTGGATACCGCTCCCCAGGCATCTCGGATACACCCTGCGGGAGAGGGGCGCCCAGGCTCATCAGGCGAGGTTGCGGTTGTGAGGGGAGTTCTTGTATCATGCTGCCGCCCACTGTCTGCAGCTGCAGGTTGTTCATCGCAGTAGTCATGCCCAGTGTGCTGCTTGCCCGCATGCTACCCTTCATGCTGCCGGGCCCGCCACTGGTACTATGCCGGAAAGTGCTAGTGCTGGGGCGGCCCTGTGGCTCGGCGCCCTCGTAGATGTTGTCCATGCCGCCGTCTCGAATGCTGTATTGCGCAATGGTACGCATCTTGCGCGTGACCCATCCTGCGAGGATCTTGCCGCGTTGCTTCTCGCCGAGACGTGAGCGGTGGAAGTCGCCTTTGATGACAAAGGCAACGATGTCGATGACGAGTTGGTGCTCATTGAGGATGGCGTTGACAATGACCGGCACCATGGAGGCCAGGAAGTTGCGGCGAAAGATCTCGACAACTACGACGACGAGACCGCCGGCTTGGAATACGGCACTGAAAAGGAATCGTTAGCATCATTGAGCGACCGTTTTGCTGGGGTAGCGAGCACTTACCAGCCTCCAGGCACGATATTTCGGTGGCACCGCTCCACGGACGACTCAATGTCCATCGAAAAGTGGTTTAATCCATTGACCTCAAACGTATCCCCGATACTGCCAAGGACGAACAAGACTTGCATGTCGACCGGAGCGCCACCAGGTCCGATGGGGCGCGTGACATTATGTAAGAAACCCAAATCACCCGTCCGGACATACCTCACGTTCGGATCTCCGTCCACTGTCCTACCGTTGAATCTCTCGGCATCAAGCCGCTCTTTAGACCCGTAAAAGCTATGCGCGTTCGCATCCGACTGCACCCAGATCTCGCCATATTCGCCGACGAGAGACAACATGTTGGTTTCTGGATTCACAATGGAGATCTGCGTGCTGACGGGCACCATACCCGAGTCCTGGACGAAGAGCGCGTGTGGTTCTGTATCAGGGTCGACGGGCATGATGAGACCCCGACGGAGCGCATTCAGTTCGAGATGTAATTCGATAGGCTCAATGCACATGTATGAGCGCGATGCGATCATCGGGTTGAGGACATGCGAGTAGACTGTGTTGATGGCTGTTCTGTCGAGACTCGCTGAGGCAAAATGCATCCGCACGCGTTGATAAACGTCGACGCGGGGTCTGGTATCAGTGGCGATCATCAGATTCTTTAGCTCGTGCATGGCCATGGTTTTGCCAGCACCGTGTGCCATGGCATGGTCAAGCATTTGGCTTGTTGCATACGCATCCTTGATCTTGTACCGCGAAAGCGTTTGGAACAGGATGTTGGGGTTCTGTGCAAAGTCCACGGGCGAGACAAGGTATGTCGGGGCTGCCAGGAAAATACCCATGACGCACGTATGGATGAAGCCGAGCCCTATCGTACTACGGACGCAGCCCAAAACAGGCCGCGTGCTAGTCATTTGACAAGTCTCTTTCTGGATCTTCCCCAACGCCATGATGGTGCTGTGCCCAAGCTGGACCGCTATCCGCCTCTGATCAGGAGTCCAGAACGTCCATATCAGTACCGGATACCCTGACTGGACCCAGGCTGGCTTGATTGTCAAGCCAAGATCGCGACAACCACTCGACTGCTTGGTAGGCTTTGTGGTGTTGTAGATGTTTGGGAGATTCACTTTCAGAATGACAGCCGACTGCTTCAGGTGTTGCGATACCTGCTTGATCTTGAGTAGGTGATCCACGTCTGTGTTGACGAGGATTGCCTTGACTTTGAAGTCGGATATGATGTGGAGGAGCGCTGGAGCATCTTCATTCAACCGATTCTGATCGATTGGTGCCATCGGTATCGCGATTGCGCCTAGGACGAAACAGGCGTGAACGGCAAAGACGAACTCTTCCGAGTGCGTGTACATGAGAAGTACGTGGTCGCCGGCTGTGATTTTGACCTTGTTCTTCATATATACTGCGACCGCAGCCACTTTCTGGTCAAACTTCTTCCAGTTGACGCCCTTTCCTTCTTTGCCTCTACCGTCAATGGTGCAGTAGGCGAGCTCTTCAGTCTGCCGTGATACACGCCACTGCATCAGATCGTGAATATTCGAGAATTGATTGAGCGGTGTTGAGGTGCGATCATCGATGACTACTTCGCGGTGGTCGACGCCAGAATACTGCTTGTCCTGCAGCAAAAGGTAGTTCTGCCGCGCCATCGAGGCTTGTGGTGACCAGATTCCGCCGGCAGGATCATCTCCGAGTGCAATGTTCTGAACAGCTCTCTCCACGCCAAACTTGACATGCACGCAGGGCAACGAGCCGTTGTCGAATTCTTTGCGGCAAAGCATGTTGCCAATTTCTCGCCGGCCATTCTTGATCACACGCGGCAGTGTGTTGGGCGCTGTGATCATGACGCAGTAGACGCGGAGGTGATGCTCCTGGTAGAGTACCTCCATGCATCTTTCTGACAAGGAATCGAGAAACGGAATGTCCAGTTGCCGTGGCGGGCCTCCCGGATTCGTAGGTGCGGTTGACGCGGCTTGCGTCTCTACCACAATAATAGGAAGGTATTCCCCATTGACATGAGCATCGAATGCAGAACTACATCAAGTCAGCAACAGCGTAGAATAAAACAAGCACGGCTTACCAGTCATATATCTTTGGCACCGTCTTCATAATGCTCGTGACCAGATGCTGCACAAAGAAATAGCGATGCTCAGCTTCAAATACGCCATGCTCAACCCATTCAACGCGCTGTCGTATGCGATCTTCATACAGTCCCAACACAAAGATCTTGCCCTCTACAATGCAGCCCAGCAACCCTGTACGGAGGAACTCCAACTCTAAAAGCTGAGGAGTTGGGCTACCCTCGACGAAGCGGTATGGCCGTGCGTGAAAGATGGTTTCGGTGTGCTTCTGTAACTGCCAGAAGCCTCCAGATAATGATGGCGAATCTATCCAAATTTCACCAACAGTATATGGCGAACATAGGAGACTGGTTTCAGGATCGACAACAGCGAGTGTGGCATCGGGTATGGGATACCCAAAAGCGCCCACCTTCATGGTGCCCGGTTCGTTCGCTCGTTTTCGGGCTTCTTCGCCCATTGCCACAACGACTATCTCGTTCATCTTCAGTGCTTCCTTGTCTAGCAGGATCTCTGTCAGCTCTGTGCGACTCTTCTTCTGGTTCGTCTTTTTGGTGATGCCACCGCCAATCAGACTGGAGTATCCATTGACTGGTGTGTCCTCGGCCTTTTCTTCCTCGTCAATTTGTTCTTCCTCTTCCATGCTCAAGGGGCAGCCCATGCGTTCTTCACCGCCTAGCCAGTCTCTTACAGAGACTATCATGCCACCATGCTCGGGCAAGCACAACATAGGGGCTATCAGCTCGTTTGCTCTAGGGTTCCTCATCGGCCGCAGCCAACGGTCTCCTAGGATCTCATGGAACTCTGTGTCAACGGTCAGTGTGTCTATCAGACACAGCTTCACTGAAGAAAAGTTGGGGTCCAAATTCTTCTTGAAATTGCGTGTCGCCATGGGGTCCGTCTGGTAGTTGTATGCAGCACGCTTCAACCCAGGATAGTCGGCTACCATGATGGTAGTCTTGTACTTTGTGATAAGATGCGCATACAACCCTGGTGTCTCCACTGTTTGCGCTTCCATCCACACTGTAGTGTGTCCGCCGTAGACGGCGTACAACACACCAAGAATCATGCCAGCACTTTCGCGCGGGTCCAGATAACTCAGGATGACCTCGGTGGGTGACGATCTTGGAGGACTTGCGATGAAGTTCCCATTCTTGTCTCGTAAGCTCGTGTTGAAAGTGTCTGAGCTGCCGACGCCCGTGGGAATTGTAGTGATGATGGCGCTGATGCATGCCATCTGGTGCATGATGGTGCGGTGGCTGAGCACGACCCCGCGCAAGTCACCAGTCGGGGCACGCGAGAATTCGATGTACGCCACCTCGGGAACCTGCAGTGGAGGTGTGTCGTCGTGTTTCTTGGGATGGTAGCTTCCGAACTCGTTCGTCTTCCACCATTCGACCCCGCTTGGCCATTTCAGGCGATTCTGGCTGATGTCACGGTGGAAGGCCTTCAAGTTGTTGTCGGTGGTGAGAGCGAGATGCGCCTGGGTTGTGGTTAAGAGAAGGTTGAGTTTCTGGTAGTCGTCCACGCTATTGATGGGGACTGCGACAACGCCTGCAATGAAGCATCCCAGCAACGCTACAGCGAACTCGATAATCTCTGTATCGCGATACACCAGCGCGACGCGGTCTCCACGGTAGAGGTTGCTCTTGTCTCGTATGACCTTTGCGACTTTCTCAGCTCGGCTCGCCACCTTTTCCCAAGTTATGGATGCCGTCTCTTTGCCCTTGGAATCCAGCACCCAAAAAGCGGGCTGGCGTGGCTGCACGCGGCCTCGGTGTCGCAAGACTGCACCGATGTTGTCGAACTTGGACATGAGGATGTTGGGATTGTGCGGGTCGTACACATCAAAGGGAAGATCGCGCGGCTCGAGCGGAAGCATGCTTTCAATGACGCCTCCTGGGAGGTCACCCTGGGTCATCATGGGCGGGGGGATGGCAGCGGTGGGGGAGAAAGCATCCCCAGACGAGTAGCGGTTCGGGCCGCCGTACGAATCGCGATTGTCGTCCATCTGCTGGCCGGTAAAGTCGGAGAAGTAGCCCTGGTGTGCATCCAGCATCGTGCTCTGGCGACTGATGTCGGCTCCGGGCGAGCCGTAGCCGGCATCGAAGCCACCCTGGGTATCCGGGTTGAAGGCAAAGTTGGACCCGACCATGGTGCCGTCGCGAGAGTACGGGTAGGTCTCGGGGGTCCCAGGGCGCGGGATGAAGGTCTCGCTGCCGTAGGACGCCCGTCTCTCCAGGGAACTGGTGCGCAGACCCAGCTGCTTCTGCTGGAAGCGCCCGACCTGGCTCGGCGGGTATGCCATGTATTGGGGACTCCCGCCGTTGCCATTGTTGCGGGGTGGAGCACTGTAGGGCGTCTCGTCCTGGGGCAGTTCGAGCGTGGGCGGCTGCGGAGGGCCTGAGAGGGCGGCGAGCGATGCGGAGCGCGAGCCAGAATCCTCGGAGGGGTTGGCGAGGCGGAGCTGGCCTTGCAGCTGCTCCTGCTGATCAGCGCCGATGTACTGCGACAGGAGGAGGGTCCTCCGCTTTTCGTATCTGTCGAGGCGTTAGTCCCGTCGCGGTGCGACACGAGGGGCATTGGCAGCAACAGCGGGGCCCACGGACCCTTTTTGCGTGATGTCGCCCTCCTCCAGCTCGTGGTCGAGCGCCCGCAGCTTCGCCTGCAGCTCGGCATTGGACTCGGCCATGGTTACAATTGCTGGGGGCGGCGCAGACTGGTGGGCATGGGCGTCCAGGTGGCGCGCCACGACATATCAAGGCGCGGCGAGGGTTGCGCGCAGGCCAGACCAGGGAAGGGGCCGGCGTGCAGCGGGACGTGAGGTGACGGGCACGGGGGTGGGCGTCGGCGGGCGGGGAGTGAATGGATGCTGCGCGCACATGCGCCGGCGGATAATGGCAGTCCAACGCGCGAAGCGTCTCAGGGACGGTGCAGGACAGACGGCGGCGGCGGGTGGCTATGACGCAGCGCTTGGCCGAGTTTCAGTGCGAGGGCGCGCCTCTTTGGTGCTAGCTGCCAGTCTCGTGACAGCCCGCCGTGTGCCTCGGCTGCGGGAGCTGAGCACCGAACATGTCGCGCCAGGCATAACATATCAGGGCAGCATGTCCCCCGACGGTGCTCCCGCTCCCCAGGCGCCCGCCACCCACGCCGCCCGCCATGTCGACCCTCATCCGCCCGCCGCCCATTGACCCCGCCCAGTCGGCCATTGAGAACACGCTCGAGCTCACGCAGCTGTCCGACATCGACCCCGACCTGTTCACCAACAGGCGTCCGCTATGGCACCCCCCGGGCGCGCGAGGCATCTACGGCGGGGCCGCCATTGCCCAGACGCTGAGCGCCGCCCAGAAGACGGTCGAGCCCGAGTTCACCGTCCACTCGATGCACTGCTACTTTGTCCTCGCGGGCAACTCGGAGATCCCCATCATCTACCACGTGGAGCGAGTCCGCTCGGGCAAGAGCTTCGCGACCCGCACGGTGCAGGCGCGGCAGCGGGGCAAGGTCATCTTCACCACCACCATCAGCTTCGTGCGCCAGCACAGCGCGGGCGACAAGGTGCTCGAGCATGCCGTCGAGATGCCCCCCGTGCCCGCCCCCGTCGAGGGCAAGGACGACCTGGACTATGGCGGTGCTGCGACGGGCCCCTTCCAGAGCCAGCGGATCGAGATCCTGAACAGTGCGTCCCTACGCCCTCATTGCCCATGCGTCGCTGACCGCTGACAGACGACTCGCCGCACCCGCACACCAAGAAGACCCGGCAGTGGATCAAGGCCCGCGGCACCATCTCCCCCGCCGGCGGCCACGAAGCCCACCTCGCCGCCCTCGCCTACATGTCCGACAGCTACTTCATCGGCACCATCGCCCGTGTCCACAAGCTCTGGCGCTACGCCGCAGTGCGCAAGACCAAGAGCAAGAGCAGCATAGACGAGGACGTCTTGAAGAAGCTCCTCGCCATGGAAGACGAGGACCTCAAGCGCGTCAAGTTCCTCGACTCGCACGACCTCGAGCGGATACGCAAGTGGAAGAACGGCGAGCGTGAGGAGCCCAAGGAACCCAAGCAGGAGATCGGCATGATGGTCAGCTTGGACCACACCATCTACTTCCACGACCCGAGAAATTTCCGCGCCGATGAGTGGATGTTTACCGAGATGGAGACGCCGTGGAGCGGAGATGGCCGGGGTCTTGTGTTCCAGAAGTTGTTCACCAAGGATGGGCGACTTATCGCTACCTGCGTGCAGGAGGTACCTACCGAGAAGATCCAATTGCAAACCATGCTGACAGGTCCAGGGCGTCGTGCGGTTACGTCAAGACACCGACACCGCGAAAAGCAAGCTCTGAGCCCGCCGCACACCCCCTTGTCCTTCTCTAGACGCGTTCCGCAGTATACTTTTGCACCTCATAGACTTCACTTCAATTCATGTCGTTCCAATTCAATTCCATTCAATTCAATTCAAGCCAAGCCCACTATCCATAGGTCCCCATCAGCTTGTCCATCGCAACCACAGTGCCCCTGCTTCCAGCCCTGGCACACCACTTATCCCGAATCATCACCTGCAACTCCTTCAAACACGTCTCTAGCTTCTTCGCCCGAGCAACCTTGCCCTCCGGCCACCCTAATTCCTCATGCCCCGGCCAAACCGTAGCTTCCCACTGCCCACCCCGCTTCACAGCCTGCAGTCTGAAGCCCCGGAAGCCGCCTTTGTCGGTGAAGTGTACCTTTGCGGCGCCTACAAGGGAGATCAACATTCGATTGAGAAATTGAGTACTACTACTACTCCTTTTCGTATGTAAATGTGTATACCAGAGGGTCTTACGTCCAACATTGTCCGTCTCGCGGATCAAATACAGCCAATCATCGACCTCCCTGCTCAGCGCCTTGGCCGCAGCGCCTTTGGCATCCGTCTTCTGCTTTCCCGCCTGCAGGAACTTGAGCCGCTGCAGCGGCGTGCGGTGCCATGCCGTGGGATGCCACTCTGGGGTCTGCATGCTGGGGCTCTTGACTGTGTAGCGGACGTCCCAGATGAGCGGGTCGGGGCAGGGCATGTTGGTGTGGGTGACGGTTATCGAGGTTTTGCGGATGATGCTCATGAGGATGGATTGGCGTGGGAATGCATGGCGGTGGAGCGATGGCAGCAAAATAAGTCAAGGGGCCGAGTGCGAATTGGAGGCGTGCTTTGTTCGCTGCGATGGACAAAGGGTGGTTGGGGGTTGCGATGGCTGTGGCGGCTTTGGCGCGGTGCGTTGACAATGAGACTTCGCGGCGATCTTCATGTTCGATGCCGAGAGGCATTCGCGCCAAGAGGGTATTGAGGGTAACGTGCGTGCTGTGGCAAGAACTAGTCGTGCTGAGTCGCGCTATGTCGATGTGTGGCCTATGCTGCGTCAACCTCTGCGGAGAGCATGTGACGCACTGAGGGTTGAGTCAGTTGATAGTTGCATACACTCACCCTTGAACGTCCATATCTTAGTCAATACCTTAAGCCAGGTAGCCTCTTACTGTGCATTAAAGAGGCACTCAGACGGCAACTGGACAGAATGCAAAGGTGACATAGTCATGGCAGACTATGGGGACAAAGCATCACCGCTGTCGCAGAGTTAAACAACAACAACAAAACCATGGTCACAGCTCCCAGCTTGGACTGATGTACAGTACATTCGACAACCAACACAGCCATCGTCCCAAGGTAATCTAACTTCACGCCTTGAGATTCTAGTCTCACACAGATTCCTGTTGCTTCTTCTCCAGGTTCCGCACCAGCATCTCCAGCGCCTCCAGAGGGCCCACTGCACCCTCCACAGCGGGATCAACCTTCTTGTAATCTCCATCGCCCGATATCTTCATTCGCCAGCAGCGTTCCCCGTCCTTCTTACCGTCTAGCTCCAATACGATATAAAGATCTGTCAGTGCGGGTTTGTCTAACGGCTGCGCGTATTCTGGTCCTTATTAGAGACGAGCCACGTCGGTGGAGAGTGCATACGGATTATGTTGTCCATCTGTTCAGTCAGGGCTTTCAGGAAAGCCTTATTGTCTGCGGCACTGGTCAGATCTAGCTGGATCTGCGTCATTTCGTTCGTAGATAGAGAGATGTGGAACTGTGCTTTTGCGATGGCGGTACCATCGGTCTCGATTGCGTTGCTGGGTCTGCGCTTCTTGGTGAGGCGGACCTTGGGCATTGTGTTGGTGCAGAAGCTTGTAGAACCCGCGCGTTAGGGTGTAGATAGTTGATGATGGAGTTGGTGATCTTGGGTTTTGTGGCAGCGGCTATTCTAATGGAGAGCAGAATTCAGGGCAGAACGTGAACCGTTATGTATGTGGATACATTCGTGAGTCGAGACACTGCTGCCGAAATGACTCGGCATTGGCACCCTGGAATCCCTAGGAAAATCAGAGCACGCAGTGAAGGTAGTGTGAGTGAGCCTTATCGTGACTGAGTCCTCCAGAAGTGGCAATAGAGGATGTACACATCTGGAGAGCAGAGCGATAGCATTTCATTATCCGTAGAGACAAATTCATGAGTTTGTATCCTGCAACCAGAACATAAACTCATCAGGGACAGAGGTCTCGCACCCAAACTATCATACTGCTCTTGTAGTCGCTCTGAGTTGTCTGCAGCCTAAGTAGGCAATCAAGTCTCCACGGTAGATATACCAGCTCTCTAGGTGCTCCTCTCTTCGTTGCGTCAGAATTTAGCAAGGATTTTGCTGCAACACGTGGATAAGGCATTGACTGTATTGATGCTGTCCATTGCCGTGAAGGTTTTATTGTTTGGAGTTGGTACAAGCACTGTTCAGCTGAAATGTTTCCGAAGACATCCAACTCCAGCGCTGTGGACGCTCCCAATACTTCTTAGACCTTCTCTACCACCTTCTTCGCCATCTTGAACCTTGCGAACAGCACGAATAACGAGGAGGCAGTCGCTACTCCGCCGGCGTAGAAGATAGCAGGTCGATAGACTTCGACACCCAGGCCCTGTCCGCCTTGCTGTTTACCACCGGCGGCCTGTAAAAGATAGCCCGCGATGGGTGATCCCATTAAGTATCCACCACTCCATCCGGCGACGGCCATTGACATTGCTACGGCAGCCCGACCTGGACCAAACATGCTTGCGACAACAGTTGGTAGAGTTGTGAAGAAGGAACCATTGGCTGCACCATTGAGTGCTGCAAAGACAGCAAGCGGCGCAAGCGTATCGGACACGGGCCAAATCGCCAGCATGGAGACGGCATTGAGTATCATCGTGATCAGAAACATGTTGACGGGCCCGATTTTATCGCACAAAGGCCCTGCGGCGAATCTTCCTACGGCGTTGCATGCGTTGAAGGCAGCTACCAGGCCGGCACCGGTGCTCGAGCTCAGATTGATGCTTTGGGCGAACAATGGTAGGAAGTAGGGCGGGACAAACAGTGCGAAGGATCCGATCGCGCCCGCGAAGAAGACGGTCACGAACGGAACGGATCGAAACATTGACGTGTCCACCAACGGAACACTGCGCAGTCGAACGCGATCTTTCTGCATGTAAGCCGCCGGCAGGCCAGTCGCAAGGGTCACAAGGCCTTGGATCCGGAACGTCCACGCAATGCCCACGCGGCGGTACATTGCTTCAATCGCCACGGCGAGAACACAGCCGCCGATACCACCGCCCAGCTTGACAATGCCATTCGCGAGACCTAGATGACCGGAAAAGTACTGCACGGGCAGTCCATTGGAAACCGTATACACCATGCTCATGCCTACGCCCGCGAGGATGCCCATAGTGCCGAAGAGCGCCCCAACCTCTGCAGTACAGAAGCTGCTGCTGATCAAGCTCGCGCTCATCAAGCACACGCCGGCCATTGAAGTGCGACGGCTTCCGGCCCAGCGCATGAACTGGACAACGAAGATTCCAAGGCCTGCGCTGAGGCAAAGGCCTAGTGAGCCGACGAACGAGACGGTCGACGTTGGGACCGAGCGAAGGGACGAGTCGAGGAGCGCCGCTTGTAGAACACCCCAACAATTGATGACTCCGTTGCTCCAGAATGCAGTGATGGAGCAGCAGAACACGACCATCCAGCCGTAGCCACCATCGGGAATAGCGGTGGTAGAGTATGCTGCATCTTCTGGAACTTCATCTGGATTCTGGGCAGCGTCGGTTCCGTACGCGGTGAGCGATGCTCGGTCTGTAGTGGCAAGCTCGGTGAGCTCAATGCGCTCCTCGGTTGTTGTGGAGGACATCCTGAGACAAGAGAGTCGCTATGCTGGTCAATTCTTGACCGAGAGGCACTCGTTGCATTATGTAGGTTATCAAGAGGATGCACCAAACATCTGGCGGGCTAGTGCGCGCCCTTTGATCGCCGGCTAAGCGCGCGGAGGGCTGAACCTACCCCAAATGGACACGGCAAGGACGGCACTTTCCCTTGACTTGTTCTTTTGAATTTGCAGCACAAGTCATTGTGGGTGACCTTTTGCAACACGAATCAGCGATACGGCGGGTTTGAGTCGCATTTTGCTTAGTTCAGAGCTGGGCTGACTCAGGCTACGGTGAGACTCTACGTATCTTATACAATATTGTACCGCCGTTGATCACAAGCGAGAGAATGATTCAGAGCCACAAGGCTTTGAGTTTGGAACAGGATGCAATGCCATCGCGAAATCATTAGCTGTCACACACCCAGGCGAGCGTCTCCTAGGCGAACATACATCTATCGCATTAGGAGGTGCGAGCGATAGTCTTCTCGATTCAGCTTGGGGCCTTTGGAGTGAGCCTACAGGAAAAGTCTTACTTTCAGGTATTATAATAGCTTCGAATCTTAGCTGAACACTCAAAGTGCTGCGCCTCAGGCTCAAACGTACCAAATGTAGCTCTAACATGACATCATCCATTGCTCTATAAACTCGACACGGAGGGGCGAAGCCTCTAGAGCCTACGTTCTCGTGTTATGATGTTCATCAGTGTCCAGATAGGGTCCCTGGCCGGCTAATTGGATTCAAGTCGCAATCAGGGGTCCTCCTACCCCACTACTCACCGATGGCACCTTCATCGACTTCTTCATATAGCCCCAGCCAAGACATCCCTTCAGCAGACCCACAGCAGCGATTTGGCAACAAAAAACATCAAAAATGCCACAATCGACCCTCTCGCGTCTCCGTGCAGCCCAAATTCCATGGACACTCCACATCGCCACGCTGCTCTTGTCCAAATCTCTCCTTCCCTCGCCCTCACTACCTCCCTTTCTCCTCGCCTATGCCCTCACCACCGTCCTTCTCGACACCGAAGCCTTCCTGGCCGCGCTCCAAGATCCAGATGAACCACCCTTAATCCCCCACCTCTACCTCCCCTTCCTGGGCCACGTCATCGGCATGTTCTGGCACGGAGCCTCCTACTTTGCACGCGTCAACGCTGCAACTCAGTACCCGATCTACACTCTGCTCACGCTGACTGGCCGGACCATCGTAGTGACTGATCCCGCCCTGGCAGGCACGATACAGAAAGCCAGCAAGAATACCAGTTTCTACGGCATGATCCTGGAAGTCACGAAGCGGCTGGTCGATCTAGATGAACCGACGATGGAAATCATTCGGTGGAACATCAACGGGGAGCATGGGCCCCACGAAGGACTGATGCACGAGGCGGGGAGCATGGTGGCTGGGGAACTGAGTCCAGGGCCGAGCCTGAACGAGATGAGTACGGCGCAGCTGCAGCAGTTTGCGACGCTACTGGATGTGTTTGTGTCGAGCCCGGCGGGCGTAGAGATCTCCCTCATGGAGTTCGTGAAGCGGATCTTTACTGTTGCGAATGCGTTCGCCATCTACGGGCCGCAGAATCCCTTCGCCTTGACGCCGTCCTTGGTGCACGACTTCTGGACGTGGGAAAGCGGAATGACTGCTGTAATGGCAAATATATTCCCTTCTCTCACGGCGCGGAAACCTTACCTCGCACGCGAAGCCATCAACGCCGCGCTTCAAGACTTCGTAGCCAAGGAACACTACCGCGCCGCTTCAGCAATGATTCAGAAGCGCGTTCAGATCAATCTCAAGCATGGACTCTCACATAAAATGGCTGGCCACGCCGAACTCATCCTGCTCTTTGGTATCGTAGGCAACGCAGTCCCAACGACATTCTGGGTACTGGCCAACATATTCTCTCGGCCGGAGCTCCTGGCCAGGATCCGGGAAGAGACTAGCAAAGCAGTAATTTGCCCGCGTAGCAATCCAGGTAGCCCAAGGGAGAAAGTTATCAGCGTAGCGCAGTTGAAGGCGACATGTCCTTTGTTAGTTTCCACCTACCGCGAGACGATCCGCTCAGTGGCCAATCTATCTTCTGTGCGTCTTGTGGTACACACACACACCGTGTCAGCGCCGGGACACCGTCCATATCTCTTGCGTAAAGGGGCCATGGTGCAGATTGCCTCTGGCGTCATTCATGCGCTGAGAGCAGTTTGGGGCCCTGATGCTGGCGAATTCAACCCCTCACGCTTCATGTCGGCTACTACCTCTACCGAGCAGTTCTCATCGTCATCGTCTGCTACTGAAAGCACAGCGACCGCGCTCCCCAAGGGCGTGCCGAGCGCAGCATACCGGGGCTTCGGCGGCGGCAGTATAATTTGTCCTGGTCGACACTTTGCACAAAACGAGATCCTTGGGTTTGTGGCCCTCTGCGTGCACACATTGGAAGTTGTGGATGCGAAGACAGGCGGTTCTTTAATGCTACCAGCAAAAAATGACAAGAGAATTCCATTGAGCGTTATGAAGCCAGTGAAGGAGCCGCAAGTGCTGATCAAGCGCAGGGAGGCAGAAGACTCTGTAGCGTGGCGGCTTGAATTGTAATTTCGAATAAAGATTGGCGAGAGCATATGCAGTATGTCCATATCGACGTGGTACAATCTTATTGCACGAATACCGCGTGATGCTAACCTCTCAACACAAGAGCTTGGGTAGAAACCAAGATCTTCCAACGTTGATCCTGACGTGACGTATCAACGACCATGTGTATCAATATTTGTAGCACGATACTGTATAATTGGTGATTATATCATACAAGGGGCTTAAACTGCAAGCGGTTTTAGCTTGACACTTTCGATGGACAATATAATATGCATTGAGCAGTTGGTGATTGGTATCAATATGTACGCGCGGAAGAATCATCTTACAAACGGCTGCCACGTCGCGCTCTCAGTACCCATTGTGGTGGATACTTATAGTTTGTTGTCAGTATGACTGACGACGCTAGCCCTCCGAGCTTCCAAAACAGTCTCAGCTGCCATGGGGGGTCCCTGGTAGTTCTTCTTTCCCCAAATGAAGTACCACGCAGTCGAGATGAAAACGAAGCCAACAAAGACAACACTGGCGTAGTTCATGGTCTCCAGGGTGACTGGAAGGAACGTGGGCATGCAGAACAACGGGATGATGAAGATTGACCAGACTGTGTGCATGTTAGTAAGACAAAAGGGACAGCAGAAGTGATTCCTTACTGATAGAGACCCAGTTGCAAAAGGTTCCCAAAGCGCCCAGATAGAAGCTACCTTCTTTGACCTGCTGGCGTCCGTTCATCACGGAAGCGATGATTGGTACAGCGTAGCTGAGAGTCAAGGTGATGACACCGACTCCGGAGAAAGCGTTGAAAGCCGCGGTCGAACCGAAGTAGATGAAAGCCAGCAACACTTGGATGGCCATACTGAGCATCATGGCATTCAACGGGACGTCGAGCTTCGTGTTGACCTTGTTCCACCTGACGACCGACGTTAGTAAACACCCCCGACTATCTCTATGACGAGATATTTGCTTACCACTGGAATCCAGGGATGGCACCATCACGAGCAAAGGCCCAAGTGCATCGCGAAGCCGCTGTTGTGCATCCGATACCGCAAATGAGACCAAGTACGAGAAGCGGAATGAAAAGCGCGAAAGAACCGCCCGCAGAGCCAATGGCGGATTTAATGATGGTGGGTACTGGCTGGCCAGAAGCAAGCGCCGCGAGCATGGCTTGATCTGGGAACACGAAGAGAATCGGGACAAGGAAGATGATGCCCATGATGGTGTTTAAGACAATGGTACCAACCATGGCCTTGGGAACCTGCGTCGCGGGCTTTTGTACCTCTTCGCACATCCTACAACGAGTCAGCATCGAGCACTCCTAGGGGACTTATCTGACCATCGTGACGAGGTTGCAAGGGCAAGGCTGCAAGGGACTTTGTCGCATGGGAAAGGTACGTTGTTGCTCTGGAAGAAATGCCGAAAATGTCGCGTTGGCAGGGAGTCTCACGATATGATCATTCCCGTCGATGATGTCGCATAGGCAGCGTGGAGGAGTCCAACAAAGAAGGACCAGCCGGATGGCCACCCGCTGTTGCTCGTATCAAATTCTCCAAAGACGTAGCTAGCATTGCGACGTCCTTCTTTGGCGATGGCCAGAATGCACACAATGATGGCAATCACACCAGCAAATGTCCAGTAAATGGCGAATGTCTAGTGTCGCGGATTAGAGGCGCGATGGACGGGGTTGAGTTTTGCTCACATCTAGCAGTGGCAGCCACTTGTTGCCGAGGGCAGAGGTGAGGTTACAAAGGATTGTGATGCCGAAGAAGATGAGCCAGAGTTGGTAGGGCTCTCCGGGAAAGATGCCTACGCCCGGCTCGGACTCGAATACGTTGAGACAGGCTGCGAGGAACGAAGCGGTTCCGAAGTTGACGGCAAGGGTGATGGTGATGTTACCCACGACGAAGGCCCACCCGCAGATCCAGGATACAATCTTCCTGTACTGGGGTGGTGAGAGCATGAAAGATTGGTAGTAGACACCTCCAGCGGTGGGATAGACGCTGGTGATTTCGCCTAGAGAGGCAGCAACGCAAAGAATGATGAGGGAGACCAGGACCCAGCCCCAAATGATGTCGACGGGTCCTCCGTTGACGACTGGGTAGTAGAGCGTGGTGGTGAGACCGTAGGGCACCGAGGCCATGACAAAGGACATGAAGGCGACCTGGAAAGTTGATCTGCTGCGCACGAGTTCGCTCTTGTAGCCCATGGCTTCCAAAAGCTCGTCGGCAGCGACCACTCCACCATCCTCCGAGTGCCCTTCTCTCTTCACATCTTTAGCACCCAGATTGCGTCGGTGGACGTCGTTCTCGGCGGCGAAGGCATCGGACTGGGTCCCAAAGGCGTGGTCCGCCATGCTGTGTGGTGGTGGAAAGAGCGTGAGGAGGGAGAGGATCGGCGCGGGAGAAAATCTACACGCAGGGTGGACACGCGACGGCTTTCATAGGTGCAGGTGAAGGGGAAGGGTGGGATGGGCACGGACCAGGCGCGCTGCCAGGACTAGCAGGTCGATGCTGAGCAGGGTTGGAGGCCGCTAGCCGCGAGCGTCGGCAGGCTCCAGCAGCCAGCGGGCCACGAGCTCTGCGGGCACCAGCAGCCTGGCGCGGGCTCTGGCTCTGCGCCGGCGACGCCCTAGCTAGGCTTGCATGCGCGTGGTTGGCCTGGGGGGCCTGCGGTGCTGGGCAGTTCCTGCGGCGGTAGCTGCCAAAGTAGGGCTGAAAATTCAGATCCGGCGCCACGCAGCGGGGCTCCAGAGATGATGTGGTCATGGCCCGGCACGCTGGCATTGCGCGTCGGCCTCTCGTCGGCGCTGCGCCGTTGCTGGAGCTGCTAGAAGCTGGACGAGGCTTGTCCGGCGTCGCGTGTCTTGTCGTCGTTGCGGTGCGAAGCTGCTCGAGGCCAATCGGAGCCGCCGCCTCTGCCGCGAATGCGTGCCGCGGTCGGTGCCCCGGGCTGGGCGGCGGATGCAACGAGAGGCGGCGGAGACGCGGCGATGGGTACGCGGTGTTGAGTGCGACTTGGCCGCGATGGGCATACTGATGCATCCAAGCGCGCGTTGCGAGGCCGGGGGTGGCGCGCTTCCAACCCCATCCGTGAGGAAGTTGCGACCGTTGCGGGCAAAAAGGAACGACGACTCGCCTCGCGCTTGCCTTTCCCATCTTATCACCATGCCATCGCTGCGGGGCGCTCCCGCAACCCTCCAGATCCTTCCATTTCCTGCCCGGATCACCAGCGTTTCTCGCTGCGCGCACGTCCTGTGCGGGAACCAGTGTTGCGCATGCGCGGCCGAGATTACCACGCCTCCTGGCCACCGAGCGCCCATTTTTTGTCGCCCACTATGACGCTGCTGTGCCGAGATTAGGGAGCCGCGAGATCCCTTTCCAGCCTCGCTCCAGGGGCCGATGCACTCCCTCACCGCATCCGGAATGGGAAGCACGGGTTCGAGTGCTTGACTGAGACATGTTCCTGAGGAGACAGAATGCGAAGTTGCGAACAGTGGAACACGAGCCACACACTCTCTCTGGCGACCGAGACAAAGCACCAAGTGTCAAACCACGTCATGTGACCGGCGTATTCAGTCCAGAACCCCCGGACTACAATCCGTCCTCTAGCGTTCCGTTCTCTCCTCCGGCCGTGAAAGCCAATGAGCTTCTTAGTTCTTCCACCTGCAATTACTCTCCGCCTGGCCTTCGACTTGCGCTGTGCCGTCGTTGGTGCTCCGCGGTTGATAAGCGTACTCTTCCGCGGATCGTTGCAGGTTTCCTGACCCGAGTGCTACCCTCTAGTGAAAGCGAAAAGTGACTCGGCGCGTAAAAGGACCGACCAGATCCCGTTGAGAGTAAACTACGTCTTCACTTTGCGGCTGGTGCACAGCAGCATCACCGATTAGGTGACTAGGAAGCTCAAGAAGAAGGAATGCAGGCTGGACACCAGGTACATATCGACGTGTACCTGTGTATGGCCTGTCCGGCTGCGTTGAATAATCAGAGCTGAGAATCAAATCACACAGAGAGATATGGTTAAACCGATGGTCAATCGAAGAATACTTACCAGGTATGCTCCAGCGTGAACGACGCTGCGCAGTCCCTGTTTAGCAGTACCCGGACGTGGACGCAACGATCGACGGCCTCAGGCAGCCAGGCTTCGTATAGACGAGCCGCGCACGACCTCTGCGACGATGCTAGATGTGAAACTCAGCTTTCGTCTCCCTCATCATAGTGTAGGCAGACGATCGCAGTTCAAGACGCACGGCATTACGAAGCTGTATGTATAATGCTTCAACCCAGTAGTCCTCCAGTGAATAGAATACCCAGCCCATCACCATAGCGTTACCGCAGACTGTCTTGTTACATCCCAAGGTCTCTTGCTATTTCAGGCGTTTCAGGTGCGCAGATGATACAAAAATAAGACTGGCCTACCCTTTCTACGATGGAGATCAACCCTGCGGTATCCCAATAGCTTGGCGAGGTGTGTGAAGGAATACCCTGGCGCGCTGCGCTCGAATTAGCGTGCGGCCCTGCTGCACCACAAACAGACCACCTCTCAATGCGCCTCACGTTTCAACAGTGTACAATCTGCACAGACTCTCCCATTGAAGCAGTTTTATGCCGTCGGTCTGAGAGACTACACGAAACACGTACCTCAACGGGTTGGCTTCCCCACCTCTAAGGCGAGAGCAACGAGAACAACAAGTTGACGGCTTCAAGCCGACCACTATCAAAACTGCACGACGGATGCCAGCCTTTAATGCGCATGAGATTATCGGGTGAACCGTCCGACATGGGACGCAGACATGCTCTGACGTCAGAACGACGTGCGGTCGTAAAGGGAAGAAGCGACGTTGTGCACAGAAGATAGACGCCTCTTCGACCTTCAACCAAGCTCTCAACCCCCTGCTCGTTTACTAGAATGTCGTCGACCCAGGAGCCAAGTGCTTCGAGGAATATCATTGTGTCAGGTGGCGCACAAGGAATTGGACGAGCTTTGGGACGCTACTTCCTCGAGGCCGGCCACCGCATCTTCATCTTCGACATCCAAGAGGAGGAACTCGAGTACACCGCAACTAAGCACCTCGAAAAATACCACAAAGACGGAAAGGTCGGGTACGCAGTCTGCAATCTCCGCAATGTTGACGCAATACGATCCAAAGTCGACGAGGCCGCCAAGTTCTTTGGAGGACAGATTGATGTACTAGTCAACAACGGAGGCATCGCCTCCCCACACTGGAAGGACAACAAGACCATGGAAGACAAGGAGACCTATGACCAATGGCTAGCGTACATGGAAACCAATCTGACGGCCCCCTTCGCCATGTCACAGGCCTGCATCCCTTTCATGAAGCACCGAGAATCAGAATCGCACAACTCCCTGGGCGCACACAAGCACGTTGCAGGTCCATGCATCATCCACATCGGCTCGTTCCGCGCACATCAAAGTGATCTAAACCAGGAGGGCTATGCCGCGAGCAAAGCTGGGCAGCTGGGTCTTATGCAGGCTATGTCGGTCAGTCTCGGTCCCTTGGGAATACGAACAAATCTTGTGGCGCCAGGAAGGATCAAGGTCGGGCATGAAAGCAAGGAAGGCGACGAGCATGGCCATACCTGGGAGGGCCAAAACACTGAGAAGGACATTGACGATCATACCACAAATAGAGCGGGGCGGCCGAAGGATATTGCAGACGCGTGCTTGTATTTGATCAATGCAGGCTTCGTCAACGGAGTGGACATCACCGTGGATGGAGGAGCCTTGAGGAAAAAGGCAGCTTGAGCACGGCTGTACAGCCCCGCTTACGCGTCACGAGTCCATGTGTAACGAATACCATTACTTCCCGAATGCAAAATCGATTGTATACCCTGTCTCTAACCGTCCGCGTTCCAATACGGGTAGCAATATCCCGTTGGCCTAACCGGGCACGTCTTTTCGCTGTCCTTTGGCAACGGCGGGTCATACGCCTTGCACACAAACCTATCATGACACATTGTATAGCCTGCACAGTACGCATAGTCCGCATCGAAACATGCCCCACCATAAGAAGGGTTCCCAAACATCTTCTGACACGGAAACTCTCTGCCCTCGAAAACGACTTTGCCAGCCTCAACCCCAATCTTGTACGCCGCTGCTTCGGCAGGAATCTGCACGCTCACAAACCCCCGGGGGTTTGGAGCGTCGGCCCAGAAGAACGCGCTCGTGTTGTGGCCTTCCCAGCGGACGTATGGTGTTGCAGCTTGCGGCATTGTGTACTGCCATTGTTGAGGTGTGTGAGGACTGTAAAGGCCGATGTGGGACCAAGTACGCGTGGCGTTGTTGACGGTGTTAGGGTCTTTTGAAGGGTTGGCGAGGTTGCTGCATTGGACGAGGTGGAACTCGAGGTCGAAGTTGGCTGGGGGACTATTTGTCTGTGCCGCCGTGAGGAAGAGTAAAGCGCTGCTGATGATCACGGCTAGGGCCTGCATCGTGAGAGGATCGGGGCAATTTCACTACACGGTGTGAGAATGCACTTCTCTTATAAATGTCGCTTTGTTCACTTTTCTCGTGCGAGTTGTAGAGGTTCTTAGTTTAGGCGTGCATTTTGCCAGGGAGTGTAGTTGATTGCCGCGCAACATTAATATCGAGCATGCTACTTTGTACAGGAAAAGCATCTAGGCTTCTGCGAGCTGCATGCACGACGAGATCCAGTTCCTTCATCAAGTGTAGTCGATCGTGTACATCGCGGAAATTCCGGCATTTGGAGCGAGGTACGGTGCTGTTTACTGCAGTAAGTATTGTTTCATCTAATGTCGTTGCGGTGCACGCCGTGTTGAGCTGCTACCGATACGCCGACCATAGTTTGTGACCACTCTTTGCATCGTCGTCTCCTTGGGGTGTGCGAAAGGCCTCTTGGAAATGCAAAACCCTAGAAATGGCCGCTAACTGGCCTTCTTATAGTCATGAAGACCCGAGTTATTTTCGCCCGCCTATAAGCCTGCTCAGGGTATTGTCGTACCACTTTTGCCGCTGAGCCACGCGAAGGAACCGATGGGGTGACAATCTTCGCCAGATCTCCCCACCAAACGCGCCCTCATCCGCGTGCGACCAGCGTATCACACGACGCAAGCCCGAACCCACCGATCTGTTCCTGTGCCGACCATCTCACTGCCAATCGCGCGTCCGTAAAAGCACTCGCTCACACCATGCAGCCTTGTCCAGTGAGATCCAACGCCGCGCCTGACGTGACGCTCGGTGCGGCTGCGCTTGGTATCGGACGCCTCCGCGATGGGGAATTGCGATGAGTCCTTGCAAGCCAAGTATATAATGCGTGTACCCTATTTGGTGTTGAGGACATTGCACAGCAGCAGCTTCGCACCGCATCCAGCAAGCCACCTTACAACACTGACATCCACGAGATCGAGTGATTGCATTCGCAAACCATCCTTTTCAACGAACAGCTCGTTACACTCGACTACCCGCTTCTTCGTGCCTGCACATCATGCCTGCCGCACCCAAGTCTTTTGTCGGCGCTCTCGCCACCTTCATCAGTAAGTTCCGAACTCAAACGAATCATGGCATGCGTCCTGACCAACGTCTAGTCGGCTCTTTCACATACACCGCTTACGTCGCCCGATATGAAGGCAACCAGATAGATGCCGCACGAACCCGCTGGCAAGACCAGATGAGGAGAGGCAACGCAGCAATGTCAGGAGGTGTGTCATTGCTTGAGCCGACGAAGTAATCGATTGGAGACCGCGGTTGGAGAAGAGGTGACCTGGACCCAAGGGTCACCACATATTTAGCATCTGGGCGTTCAAGGAGTTGTCTGCATACGAAATCCAGCTTGGCTGAGATATCATGCAGGGCGTTTGGATTTATCTTTGGTACTTCGGAATGAATACCTACTTGAATCAAGTTTGCATAACCACAATACGCTTTTGAATAATGCATTGCAGTTCCAAGGCCGCGTTCACTTTCTACCCGTCATCTTCTTTTCAATGCAAGTCCTTCGCGCATAGCGAAAGAGCAGTATCTTGATTTCGCCATCGCGACAAAAAAGAAAGAAAAGATGCATGTACCGTGCCATGGTCACCAACAGCGCGTCACATACCTACAACATACATGATACATAATGTGAAGCCAGAGGCAACAAGTACTTCTTCCAAAACACAGGCTGGAAACCAGAACGCATGCGCGGCAAATGGCAATGCTGCGACAGGCCATCTCCGGAGCCATCTTTACCACCACGACCCACCAGATGGAACAAAACAACACCCACAATGGCAAAAAGAATCTCTCCCTCGGGGAATCGAACCCCGGTCTCCCGCGCTCGTAATCTTGCGATGACAAGCGGAAATCATGACCACTAGACCAAGGAAGACGTTATTTGATGAAGACCACTTCAAATTTTTAATATCTATACGCACAATAAGAAAGGAGCAAATGTTCAAGACTAAAACCAATCTCCTGTTGCATTTTGACTCGCCATTCCCGAGATAAATGGGTGTTGTGGTGGTACTGGTGGGTCTCCGTGCCGCGGACCGCTGCGAAAGCGAGGCGACGCTACGAGGTTTGCGATTGGATGGAGAGTATAACCTGCAGCAGCCCTCATCCACGAGACTTTGCTGCTAAACCAGGGTTAACCAGACATCTAGACCGCTTACTATGTTATACACGTGAACACCGGATGCAATAAGCTGCGTCAATAGTCCGATTTTTGATAGCTAGTCTGCCGTAACTCGAGCTACTTCACGCACCTAGAAGCTTCATGTGATCCATTGTCGTCGGTATCCGTGATTGCGAGAGTATTTGCGTGGGACGCAACCTTCTGACTACCTACCCCCCGAGCTTGACTGCAAGAGTTGACATGCTCGTCTGGACGAAGCTTTCACTTCAGACTACCACATAACTACGTGTGCACGTAGCACGAAAGACAGGTTTACAATGTTAATTTGTATCAAGTAGTATGCGTAAATGCCCAAATGTGCTTATCCAAAATGCGTGCTCATAACACCTCAAACATCCAGAAACGCCCAAATCATGCAACCGTTGGTATCATGCACAAAACAAGTCCTAAATCCAAAACTTATGCCGTGTACTCCCGCCTAAAGACTGCCGGAAACTATGCCCGCAGTCAAATCTTCCAATTGAAGCCTGACACCGCTATCAGCGCCAAAATCGATGCGATGACGAGGAGCAACATGACCACAATGATCGTTGCCACGGCTTTCTCCACTGTAAACCTCACATCGTCGGATTGTGCCCGCTCCATTGCTGCCTCCTCATCTCGTATTGTGGACTCAGAGTACCTTGGCATGTGATGAGCAAGCGTCTCGCGGAAGGCGTCGCGCACCGCAATCTGATATGGTGGTGGTGCCTCGGTAGGGTATGGGTAGAGCTGTGCAAGTGGGACATCCTCGTCGTTGGGAGCTCGGGGCGCATCGGTGTAAGGTGTGTAGAAGACTTGGATCTCTGCTTGCCGAAGGCGCGCATTCGCCCTCTCGGCCGGGGAGTGGTATCGTTGGGGGGAGGGAGCAGTGTCAACCGGTACGGGTGTGGGCGAGACGGCAGAGGGCTCATCGCGGTATGGCTCCAAGTCGTTGAGGAGCTCTGTAGGCGTGTCTAAGGGTAGCGAAGGAAGTGGTTTCGCAGGCTGGTCGCGACTGCACGACAGCATCGAGCTTCTCGAGGACGATGGTGAATCCCGGTAGGGTTCCTGCGCTGTGGCCTAGTCTACGTCAGCGACTGCACGTATGATGATTCATGGCGAAGCGGTCGCTTACCTCCATGTTTCCTGTTGTTCCTTCTCGAGTTTCCCCAAAAGCTCTGCTGCGATGTGTGACTATGAATGCTGTCTGGGAATCCTATGATGCGTACGGTGGAGCGTGACGGGGCAGTAGAACGCTAGGTCAGCAGCCGTCAGACGGACGGAAGAGCGTCGGGCACAAAGGTCAGAAGTGAGGTAAAGAAGGCAGCAGCCATGAGCGCGCCTGGCGCTTGAAACGGCGCAGCATAGTAATACCAGTGCGAAGTAGGTAGGGGCCACCCACGCATCGAGCTTGATGGTCTGCGCTGCAGGTGACGGAGCGATGCATGCGGAAGCGACTCGCCTGGACCGCTCCCTGTTCCGAGCGTTGTGATGAACCACCACTTAACACTCATACCGTGTTGCATCACCATGGCGGATGTACGTTGTGCTACCCATCAATTCCCGCATTTACATACGACGGATGTCGAAGAGAGTGCCGTCCGGCATCTGTGTTCTTCCAAGGCCACAACAACGGTGGTAAGAAGGAAGCGCCCCCACATTAGCCACCAGCCGGCCCGGGATGCCAGGCAGTGCACAGCAGTGCCTCAGAGTGAGCGGCTCGCTTGTTTCAGGTCGAAAATAGGACAAATCCCGACATTTCAAAGCATCGAAGGTGCCTGGGAAGGGACATGTGCTTCTGCTAACGACCGTTGCTGTTGCTATGGTTTGTTGATTAGAAGTGTCGCTGCAGGTCTCCGCACGTTACATTGCACAGGCAACGTTCTACTGAAGGTGGCACGCCGTCGATGTTCCACTACGCGCAAGCGAGTTGCGCGTCTGAGGAAGCTGGAATGCCGAATGTTAGCAATTGACGATTGGGGTCATTAATGCACGTTCCTCCTTGCGACAGAGGCAGAACGGTGCATGGTGAGACGAGACGCTACTTATGGTTTAGGTATTGTGAGTCGCTCGGAACAGTGCTTGCACGTCCAATTGTTTGGTCTTTTTATGATGTCCCCTCCACAACAGCTGAAAGGTGTGTTCACATAGGAAAGGTACGCTGTCGCCTTTTAACACTACAGGCGGGCCAAGATCTGTTGAAAAGAGGATTTAGATCCTTTAAGAGCACACGTGAGGCTAATCAGGGTCTGTACTAATTATCGACCGCGTAACTCTTGCACGTGAATACCTACGGTATGTGGTCTGTTATCGACCTTTGTGGTTGCCATGATGAGAAGTCATGCTGCAGATCTGCGCACGGTACATCGCACCAGCAATGTTCAAGTGAATCCCTACGATTTTGAATAAGCAACAGCTCTCCTGTCAGTTCTGAAGCTCCGTTTGGTGCAAATCCTAACTGACACAAAACCCTCTCGTCGATACTGATATCACACATTCTATTACGCGTGGGAAAGTTCGATGGCGGCTGTGGGTCGACGTGCAGGTGATCTGCCTTGCCAATGATCTGTTTTACATATTTCGATGGCAGTCCATCGAAGCTGAGCTGCATGGACAATCATTTGAGGCGGCGGTGAATCCGCTTCGGTGGAGTTCATAATACACCATGAACACATGTTAGATACGAATGAAGATGGGAGAGGTCAATTCGTTGCCAGAGAATCGAGACTGGATCTCGAAGATCGAGTGGACTGCCTGAGACAAATTGCAGTACCTGACCTTGCTTCTTGCATGTCTTCATGCTTGCTACCTCAAGGAAACTTTTGAGGCGGGGAAGAGAATTGACTTGAGAGTTGAGCCTCTTAGGTCCAGAGAATTCTGCCTTCTACTTGTCCTCCTCGTCTGCGGGCTCGACGGTTTGGACAACACCCGAGTCCTCCTGCTTCCAGAGAGGCGACGACGAAAGCTAGCACCACTGCTATCACCGCGCCTCATGGTGCGCATGCGCTTCGCGGGGTTCGCGACCCCTCACCCACTGATTCGCCATTGTCGTCTTCCTCGTCATATCCTCCACGAGCTCGTTTCTTCTTGCTCCTTGTCTTGTCCGGTGACGGGTCTTTGAAGTGCGAGACTTGCTTTGACCCGGGCCATGGCCCTGCTGGTTGCGCGAGCTGAGGCGGTGCTCTCGCTGCGTCTCAAACACCCGTGCTGCTTGGTGCGTACGTCGAGGAAGCTATTTATAGTTTAGGTATTGCGAGTCACCCAGAGCAGTGCAAAGAGGCTGATACAAAAAACTGGAGTTTAGCACCCTCATCTTGTAAGGCCTCAACATATAAACTGGTCACGGAAATGATATCCAATAGTCAAACCTCACATTTCATAACCACAAATTTGGATTCCTTGTAATGTATCGGTCCTTTTCATATATCTATAGTTTGGGTATGACAAGTCGCTTGAAACAGTGCAAAGTGGCTGATTTGAAAACCAGAATTTAGCACGCGTTATCTGGTAGGCACTTAATGCATATAACAGTCCTAAACCTGTTGTATGATAGTACCCGAAATTTTGTGACCACAAAGTCCAGCTTTTACTGTCACCCACCGTGGTGGCGTTGCAGGTCTATCATACAATTTCCCATGATGCACCCTCCACACCTGCAGATGAAAGAAAAGAAGCGCATGAAGGAATGTCTGATATCAGTATCGACAAAAATATACCTGTGTGCAAGGAGAACAGGAAGATGCGCCTGCATATTCGCCCTAGCCAAGCTGCACCGCTTTATACACTTCGCTGATTCTGGCACAGCACAAACACCAAATCAGCCCCCGTCCCCGCATCCCCACAGCCATACACCGGCTCCGGAATGCCCAGTTTCTGGTTCGGCTGATCAACATAGTACGCCTTGGTCGGACAATACGAGTTCCCCGAACAAGTAACTCTATCGCACTTCCTCTCATTCGGCGAGTAGATTTCCAGCCCAGCAACATGCCCCGGGCAGTTGCTTGCGTCCTGGCCCTTCGCGCAGTCAACGAAAGAGATGTCGTAGTACATGACGTTGTTTGAGATCGCGTATTCAAACTGCGAGTGGTGCCCACCGATGAGTTGAAGTGTCCGGCTGACTTTGAGGGTGACGCCGCAGCCGTTGCAGGACGTCCTTATCGGCTCGGTGTACCTGCTGCGAGCGTTGATTTTGATGGCTCTGCTACTGCCCTGGTTGTTGGTCAGACGGCACCGACGTATACGGCGGTGCTTGTGCTTATACTGACCTGACCGTCCACACTCCACACGTACATGTCTCGGCTGCAGCGGTTTGCTACAGTGAGTTTGCCCAAGGCAGCCACCAGGGCGACTTGCGCCGTGAAGAGAAAGAGGCAGAGGTTGAAGAACATCTTTTTAAGGAGTGTGATGAAAAATGAGTGTGCTGCTTGTTGGTAAGGACTGTTGTTCAAAGGAAGGGGATGATCTTGCTGCCAAGTGCTGTTGCCGCGGGCGAAAAATAGTAAAAGTACAAGGAGAATGGACGCAATGAATGTGAGATTTAAACCAAAGCAAGGACGGCGCTTCAACCAAGGCGTTGAATATCATCTCCACAGCCTGGGCCTGGGGCGCTCTTCACCAACGTGTTGGTACCACCACGCCATTTGTTCAAAGTAAGCCACGTGCAGAGTGTCTTTGTCCATGAGTCTATGTCCCTGCAAGAGACTTAGCTCGTCTTTGTGCTTGCAAGCATCAATGCTTTTGTTCATGTGTTGTTGTCTGTGCTATGGTACCCTCATTAGATCGAGGTCCAGTGATACCTTCAGATTCACAGCCATAACATTTCAACTTGGCTGCGGTGCTGCAGGCTTTACACGTAAGCTGATATCTTTGGTTTCGAGGGAAATTGCTGTATGTTTTTGAGATGGAAGGCGCACCACTCACAATTAAGGCCTACCACGTCAGAGTGTGCGGCTGAAACGTAGGGCGTGTTTATGAAACCTACCCATCTCAGGAAGCGGCTATTCACCGTGAGGGTCGGGAAGATCCTCGCGACAGATAACAAAGCGATGCGTAAAGATACATGGTACACTATGTAGCAGTACAAAGGATGGTGGGCGCGACTCAAAGAAAGCGCATAGAGGGGAAGGTGAAGGCGAAGGCTTGCCAAGCCTCGTGCCATACGATTATTACAGACATGCAGAATAATCTTGCTTCCGAACGTCTGTAAACATTCAAGAATATCGTTCACAGCGAGGGCTGCCTGTTGAGGGCGCGTCGTAAGCTGCCTTCGTAAGACTGGCCCCACGGAGCAACGTCCAGGTCCTGGGAACGTTGATCATCAGACACGCATCGAAGTGTGGATTGTTGTATTGGTATCATCGTTGACATACATTACACTAGTCAAATCACGCTTGTACATGACGCTAAACGCCAAAGCGTCTGGCATGACTTTTTCAACCTTCCTTATGACGCCGGCTGTTGCTTCGCAGATACTCATCAAGCGGGCGCTATGCTCACTCATTTAGCAAAGCCAGAATGGTGAGCTGTGCTCGAGAGTGATATTGGCAATGCGCCGAATACAACTCAAACAGCTCAGAACGCATACAAGCCCCGCATATTCCAGATAGCTTCATCCACCATCTCACTAGTCCAATTGCCTTGCAACTGGCCGACAATGCTTTCCCGCTTATCTCGGCTCAAGACGAGAAAGCGTTCAACCAGATCACCATCGATCATGCTCTTGACAGGTGTGAAATAACTCCTATATGCAAGATGATCGCGCCCACTCAATGGCTTATCATCACCCCGCAATTGCAGTTCCAGTTGCTGAAACATCTTCTGCTGGCGACGGGACGAGAACGGAATGAGCGCGCCCAGGGTGCCTTGCAGACCAGCCCAGAAGATGACACGTTCACCACCTGAAATCAAATTCGTTCGCTGGACGGATGTGGGGATGTCGTTTGTGAAATAGTGCGCGACAAGATCAAGACGATTCGGTGCGCCGGCCAAGTAGGCTTTGTCTTGTGTCAAGTTGAGTCCGTCGGGAGATTCGTCCGCAGCTTCTGATACCTTGGTAGGACATCGCACAATCCAGATGTTGCCAAACTTGTCGCCACCTACGGTGGTTTCGTAGTCTAGCATTTCGGCGCAAGTAGTATGCCGAGCAACAGTATCATCGGCGAAGGAGATGAGGCGGTTTGGATGGACTTGGTCTTTGTGTACAACATAGGTCACCGATTGTGTCTGATCAGAGACGACAATTCGGCTTCCTTGTGTCTTTAGGCCGGTGATGCGAGTTGAAACGGCGTTGGGCTGCATCGCCTTGCGCAGCAGTGAGCGCATACCGCAGTCGTAAAGAGCCAAGTCTGAACCGATACCAGCAACTAGCTTGCCTTTGAAAGCTAGGAGCGCTAGAGGAGGTTGAGACACTTCTGTCTCGTGCACAAACTCCAGCTGCCTTCCATCTGGAGAGACTTTGAAGAGCTGGATTGAGGCGGACGTGTAATGGTATGGTGTAAAGCGTAGATCTTTGGCCGTTCCAACACACAGATACATATCGTTGTCACCCCGGCTCTCGAAATAGGTGAGGGCGACACTGACTGCTGATTTGTTGTCTTTTAGTTCTAGCGACTGTAAGACCTTCTTCTCGGTGACTGGGTCGATGATCTGGATGCAGGAAGCCCATTGGCCTTGGGCTTTGGGGTATCCAAATTTTGTCGGATCTAGCTCATCGCCGTAGGTATGGCCGTTCGTCAAGGCCTCCTCTCCGTCAGTCTCCATCTTTACGGCACCGTTCGACTGGGCTTGATCAATGAGGGTCTGACGGATGCCGGCACCGATCGTGTTGTGCTCGCTTTCGATCACGTAGAAAAGGCCTTGATCGGGGTAAGACACGAACTTCCGCGGAGTATAGCGAAGCGATATGGGTTCGTATGTTGTGTTGTCGAGTAAGTCGTTGAACGTAAAGATTCTAGCCATGCGTCAGCGAAGTCGAGCAACTTGACCAGGAGATAATAGAAAGTTTGATGCTATATCAGTAGGAACAATTGGATATGTTGCGTATAACCCTCATCATATTCAGGGTAATAGATGTCATCATAAAGCAGGGGAAAGAAAGGAAGAGATTACGTACCGCAGTTCGTTGGCGTTCACGCATATTATGCCTTTGAACGCCGAGCCATCGAAATTCCACGCCGACTTGAACGGAATGTAGTTGAGGGGAGTCAATTGGAGAACTGAGGTCCGCGGGTGGGTATAAGCCAGCCATGGACGCGAGGTCATCGCCACCACTGCAGGCTCACCGGCAGCCGTGACGCGCGCAAACGTAATGGCTTCCGGACCAAGAAAACGTCTCCGTGTATCACCAATCTCACCAGTCATCTCGTCCAGCACCGAGCGGATATACACACCGCTCCGCAAGCCGATGTGCAAAAATTGACTGTAACCCCGTGGTGACTTGTCGCTCATATAGTTGATAGTCAGATCGCTGGGTGGCGAAGAGAGACCTTGCACGGAAATGCTTCGAAGAATGTTGCCTTCCACGTCAGGGGCGAGGTTGTATATCCGGACTGTCTGGTCACTGCAACCCACGGCCATGAAATTCGCGCGGATGCTACCCGCCGGCACCTCAGGAATGGCTATGCAGTTGATGGTCGAGTCCAAGACGATGTCGTCGTCTTCAGCCATGGCCAATGAGCCGTCTGAATCACACTCGAAGTACAGAATCTGCCCAGAGCTCAAAGCGATTGCGACTTGTCGGTTATTGGCTGCGCAAGCAACAATCGTTCGATGGGGCGGTGAATCCCAGTTGGTGATCTTGGGGTGATTTCCCTGAGCATCCCCTTGCTCGAATTGAAGGTTCCGTATATGCCGGATTCCCCTCGGGTGGATCTGGATGATGCAGTCTTCACCAAACTGCTGGACACCAAGAGTGCTTGATTCTTCGAAGAAGCCATGGTTCTGAGCCTGTTCGACATCTTCGCCAATCTTCAAGATCAGAGTTGAGCTGGCCATAGATAGGACGATGATTTGATCCTCAGTGTCCTCCACATTCATCTTCGTCGTCCAAACGCCGATGGCGTTAGCAGGTAGCGGTGATTCGATCAGATCGAGTACTTCTAATGCATTGCGGGTTGTTCCAAACGTGCCTCGTCCGCCTGTTCCGTTGATGGTGTAGATTTGCGGGGCGTCTTCAAGCGCCAGGTTAGCGACCTCCATATCCATGATGGGGTTCAAGCTTGGTAGAGCTTCGACGGGGGTCAAGTTGGTGAGTTCCCGTGGCTTGAAGAACGGAGGGGCGTATGAAGCCGTGGGATCAACCGGAAACTGGGTGCTCTCGAAAATGGGGTCCTCTGTGTCATCACCAAGCGACTCGAGCTCGTAGATGGTGCGATCACCAGACTCGCAAGCGAGATAAACGAATCCCGCACGCAAGATACAAATGCTGGTGGCGATCGGAAGAGTATCGAAGTACTTGATCTTGATCTTCTCAACGGCCCCATTGTCGTGAGTGATGTTCAGCTTGAAGACATCTCCATCGTCCGTCTGCAGCAAGTAGAAGAAGTCGCCGCCCTTGAGCATGTACAAAGTGCCCGTCACGATAACGCGCTTGCGATTGGGATCTTCGGTCGCACCTTCTCGACGTGGTATCGCCAGTCGGTGCATCTGTGCCTTGTTGTTGAAGATGCGGTGGTATGTGATGTTGTCCTCACCGCAGCAGAGCACTCCACTGGGCGCATTCTGGCCGCCAGGGACGCGGAACAGCGCGTGCGCAGTGCGATCGACAGGCTCGGACCACTTGCGGACGATGTGGTTCAGACCCAGGTCCAGCTCGTAGTAGACCAGCTCCTTCTGCAGCTCCTGGACTGCCTCTCCAGTGGGGTCTGTTTCGGCCGAGGAGAAATCGAGCTCAAGGGCAGCGAACATGGGGTTGTCATAGCCGACATCCAAGCCAATGAGGCAATAGACCAGCGTCTGTGGCTTGTGGGCCTCGAGTGGAGACGAGATGGCGATGTCCGTCTGTCCGCTGCGGGTGAGGATGTAGACCAGCTTGTTCTTTTCGACGGAGGCAATCATGATGGCGCGCCCTTTGGGGTCGACGGCGAGATACTCGCCCGGGACCACGCGACGGATGCCCGACTTGCCAAACGTCTCGTAATGGACCGTCTTGAACTGCTGGTGCGGCTCATGTTCGTATTCGAAGGTGACGAGGCGGCCCGAGTCAGTCGTGATGACTATAAGGTCTGGGGTCGTCAGCGCATGCACTCCACACCGCAGATGGATTCCTACAGGCAGGGCGGGCGTCTGCCCATGGTGTTCGCAGCGTGGGCTGTGCCTTGGAATATCACTATCGAATGTTTGCGCGTGAAAAGAGGGCGCACGTACCTTTGCTGCCGCCAGCCAGGCGGAACTTGGAGATGCGGCGGATGATGCCAAAGACGTCCTGCGAGTAGATCTCCTGGAAGCCCTTCTGCCGCCGCGAGACCTCGACGAGGGACAGGCGCGAGCCGCTAGCGGTCAGAATCTGCTGCCGCTGGTTGCCCATGAAGTCGCCGGTGATGGCGTCCTGCGTCGCCGACGGCTGCTTGACCGTCAGCGCGTACAGCGACATGGTCGAGAAGCTCGTCATGGCGGCGGAGGCGGGCGCGGGCCCAGGCGGCGCGACGGCGTGTCGAGCGCAGCGGGCGAGCTGGGCGTGCGGCCAGCACCCGGGAGCGGATGGGGAGCGCGGGCGGAGGGGGCGGCGCGCGGCAGTGGGGGTTCGCGCGCAGGCAGACGGAGGGAGGGCAGCTGCGCGGCGTCTGGGAGAAGCGTTGCAGCGAGCGGCTGCGGGCGTGCAGATATTCTGGCGCGGCGCGGAGGCTGGAACAACCCGCCTCCGCGCCGGCCAATGGCGCGCAGGGCCCCGCCAAAAAGTGAGAATCAGTTTCGCAGCAGCGCGCCGAGCAGTGCGGTGCCGCCAGCACGCAACAGCACAGCAGGCCACCATGAAGCGCAAACTCGGCGCCCTCGAAAAGGTCGATGCCGACCTCACGAGCCTGCAGTACAAGGTCCGCCGCGACCCGCAGTCGTACTATGAGGACCACCAGCAGCAGTACATGCAGTACCAGACCCTGCGCGACCTGCTGCTGCAGAACCCGGCCACGAGCGACGACACGGGCATTGTGCGCCTCAACGACCTGGTCGACTTTGTCGCCCACACGGCCGACTGCTACCCAAAGGCCGCCGCCCCGTTTGCCGACGACCTGATCCAGATGCTCTCGCTGCACCACGACGAGCTGCAGGCCGATCTGCGCGACAAGATGGTCAGCAGCCTGGTGCTGCTGCGCAACAAGGACCTCATCGACTCGGCCACGCTGCTCAACACGCTGTTCCCCATCCTCGTGTCGACCCACAGCAAGTCGCTGCGCGCGCTGCTGTTCCAGAAGATCATATCCGACCTCCGCTCCTCCAACGTCAAGGCCACCAACCACCGCCTCAACCGCACCATCCAGACCGTCCTCTTCAACCTGCTCACGTCGGACCGCGAGTCGACAAAGGGCCTGTGGGCCGTCAAGATCACCCGCGAACTGTGGAAGAGGCAGATATGGGCCGATGCGCGCGCTGTCGACATCATGAAGGAAGCATGTCTGTCGGAAAACGAAAAGGTCATTGTCGGCGGCGTGCGTTTCTTCCTCGGCGGCGACAAGGAGCGCGAGGAGGCCGCCGACGAGAGCAGCGACGACGAAATCGACATGCGGACGCTGCGCCACCAGGCCGGCATCAACAAGAAGACGAAGAAGAAGGCCCGGGAGCTCAAGCAAGCCGCCGCGAATGTAAAGAGAAAGGAACGCAAGAAGAACGCCCCGCACCCGCTCAACTTCTCCGCCCTGCACCTCCTCCACGATCCTCAAGGCTTCGCCGAAACCCTCTTCTCCAAGCACGTACAAAACTCCAAATCGAAGCTGTCGCTCGAATCCAAGCTCGTCGTCCTTCAACTGGTTTCACGCCTGGTCGGCCTGCACAAGCTCACCGTCATATCGCTCTACTCTTACCTGCTCAAATTCCTCACTCCGCGCCAAAACTCGGTCACGTCGTTCCTTGCCATCCTTGCACAAGCGACACATAATCTGGTACCTCCTGATGTCCTTGAGCCCCTCATTCAGAAGATTGCAAACGAGTTCGTCAGCGAAGCATCTGCTTCTGAAGTAGCCGCCGCTGGTCTGAACGCCATTCGCGAGGTCTGCGCACGTCAACCCCTCGCAATGAGCGACACGCTGTTGCAAGACCTTGTCATGTACCGCAAGAGTAAGGATAAGGGCGTGCAAATGGCCGCCCGTGGGCTCCTTTCACTGTACCGCGAAGTCGGCGCCGAGCTGCTCAAGAAGCGAGACAGAGGTAAAGACGCCACTATTGCCCTCATTTCCGGCGGTGTGAAAGAGCAGCGTTTCGGTGAAGAAGCAATAGGCGAAATTCAAGGCATCGACCTTTTGGAACAATGGAAGGCGGAAGAGCGCCGCAAACGCCGCGAGGCGGCTGGTCTCCCTGCCGACGCCGCTACCGACGAGGAGGAAGAAGACGAGGCTGAGAACTGGAACAACTGGGACGTGGAATCTGATGACAGTGACGATTCCGGCGGCTGGATCAATGTCGAATCTGATGGCGAAGACATCAATATCAGTGACAGCGAGGACGAGAAGGAAAACGGGCCTGCAGCAAAGAAAGCCAAGGTCGCGAATAGCGAGAATGGAAGCAAAGCCCAGAGCGAAGAACCCATCCAGAAGCAGATATCCAAGCTCCTGACATCCACTATCCTCACACCCGCAGATCTCAAGCAACTCCGCGCATTGCAGGAATCTGCAGCAGTCAAATCACAAATGCCTGGTGCTAAACGTGCAGCTCTGCTTGCAGCTCGCCACGCCGACGACGCCATCACCGCGGAGACCATCGAAGCCGCCGCCGCTATCGGCAAGAAGTCCACCAAGGAAGAGAAAGTGGCAATGGCCAAGGGCGACAGGGAAGAAAAGCACCAATCTACGACTGCAAAGCGCAAAGAGAAGAAGGAATCGGAAGGCAAGAGCACGACGAACAAGGAGAAGGCAAGGAAGAAGAATTTCTTGATGACGCTCGGAAAAGCAAAGGGTAAGAACAAGAGGAGTCTGGTGGATATCAAAAAGACGATGAAGGGTCACCTGGACAGGAGTAAGAGGGGTGGCAAGCGGGGAAATAAAGGCCATTAGTTCCTTTTGAATCGATACCCAAGTTATGCCTTAGACAAGCCAAGACGAGTACATGTACCTGACTAAAACGGCTTCCGTTTCGCACCGACTCCCAAAAATCTGGTAGCCGTGTTACTGAAGATCATCTCTCATTCTCTAAGGTTGTGGTGATATACGGTTGGCTTAAAGCAGTGAGAACGAACTAGGGAAGACATCAGGAGAAGTTGCGAGGTAAGTGTGACGTCATTTGGTCACAGTACATCGAACGTAAACAGCATTTGAAGTGGTGCCTATTTGACGAGATGAGAGGAAGACACAGACTATCATGGATGGAAGAACTCACAACTATTCTAACGGGAAAGAAAATACCGGATCCAAGCCAATACCTTGGAGAGTACAGAATGCAGTAGCAGAGCCTAGGGTAACTTATGCTACTATACCTGTTTATGTCATTTACCTGTTACTATATCCCCGGAGTTCATCCGAAACAGGACGCCTGCTGGAACTCGGCTTCCGGGAGGTTACATTGATCTCAGGGATCGCATTGCTTCCCCTCATTTTAGAGTGTGGAGTTGACCTCCAAAATTGTCCTAGATATAGTATGGTTTGTGCAGTATTACCGCCGGCAATTTGAACCTCAACAACGGGCGTCGGGCTATAGCCAAGGTTGTTTCCACAAGCTTCCTATCGCAGTCACTTGGAGCTAGATTGTACCATGCAATAAAGCATAACGCTGATTTGACATGCACGAAATCGAACGAGGGTTCTCATGAGGCGGAACAACTCACTAGCCTCGGCACGATGCACATGCCTTTTGCATCCAGTCAAGCTGGAAAAATTGGTAGACCAAGTGTGCAGAAAGAAAAGTATAAAGAAAAAGCGCTTTCGTCCGTGCAGACACGGCATTAATACGGGAACATTCAAATCGTCCACGATTTGAACAAGTCCTCTCCACTAGGACTGCACGCCAAAATGCGAACCTCAAGTGTTACCAAGACTATGCTCTCCTCGTGTCTGTCTGCTATCCTGCTCTCCGGGCTTGGTTCGGCTCAGGTATCAGGGCCATTTGAGCCGACATGGTCGTCGACTGACAAACACAACGCTTCCCCCGAGTGGTTCCGAGACGCCAAGTTTGGCGTCTACTGGCATTGGGGCGCTTTCACTACACCCCAATACAACAGTGAGTGGTACGGTCGTTACGTATATGAACCCACCGGCGACACAAGAGCGGAGCATACTCGACGATATGGACCTCCCGAGGTTTGGGGCTACGACCATTTCATCACAGGCGCGAATGACTTGAAGGGAAATTTTGTGCAATTTAATCCAGTTCTCGCTTCCAAGGGCGGCGTTTGGGACCCAGAGGAGTGGATTTCCGTTGTCAATGCTTCGGGGGCGAGATACGCTGGTCCCGTAGCAGAACACCACGACGGCTACTCGATGTGGGACAGCAAAGTCAATGAGTGGAATTCTGTAACTCATGGTCCTGGGATTGACCTTGTAAAGCTCTGGGAAGGATTGGTTCGCAAGAGCGGCATGAAGTTTCTCATCGCTATGCACCAAGCCTTCAACACCAATGGCTTCTATCAGTATGCACCGCTGCAGAACGACAGCAGCCTCCAAAAATTGTACGGCCAACTTGGTAAGAGCAGGTCCGACAAGCTATGGCTCGATAAGCAACTTGAGATACTCGATCATGTTCAGCCTGACATGATCTGGAACGACTTCTCTCTGGATAGTCCCGGATACTGCCAGGGCGCCCCATTTGCTTGCAGCATTGGAGAGCAACAGCGCCTTGATTTCCTTGCACACTACTTCAATCGCGGAGTCGAGTGGAACAAAGACGTTCTCACGACCTACAAGCATTTCGATTCCGGTTTCCGCAACACATCCGCCGTGGCCGACTTCGAACGTGGTGGGCCCGCCGATATCGTCCGTCCCTACTGGCTCACGGACGACGCCATCAGTGCATCTAGCTGGAGCTACACTGTTGGAATGCGGTACTACAGCTCTGTTCAGATGATCCACTCTCTGCTCGACCGCATTAGCAAGAACGGCAACATGCTGCTCAATATCTCGCCAACCGCGGCTGGACTTCTTCCCGAGGAGCAAAAGAAGGTCCTGTCTGACATTGGTGCCTACCTTGGCCGTTACGGCGAGGCCGTCTACGAGACTCGTGCATGGGACATATACGGCGAAGGTCCCAACAAAGCTGGCGGCGACTCCTTCACTGCTCCGCTTCAGGGCAATAGTTCGGATATCCGCTTTACGCGAAACAAAGCAAAGGATGTACTGTATGCCACTGTCCTCGGCTGGCCTGAGAGCTCTGCCATATCAATCGCCGCTCTGAGCTCAGACGCTGAGGTCGATTTGAGCTGCCTGACGTCCATAAAACTGCTTGGAAATTCAACCGGGCAGTACCTTGACGTTCCTGATTGGAAGCAAAACAATTCTTCTCTTACCATCCAGCTTCCACCAAAACCCGCTGATTCACCAGCATACGTTCTCAAGCTTACGTTTGACAACTCCATCCCTGTGCCTCAGATCCCTGGGGGATGCTCTCTCTTCACGGGCGACAGTGTCAACAGCCCTGGAATCTCTCTGCCGCAGGGTCGTTTCACGTCTGTGTTCTTTGAAGATGCTGGAATAAGGGTGGAGGATGTCAGACTTCTACGCGTCGGTGATGGTGTAATGGCCACGCTTCATGCTAGCCCTGATCTGAGCGGCGATTCTGTGGAATTGACAGCTGGAGAGCATAAAATTGAGGCGAATGCCTTTGGCTCTATTAGTATAAGCTCAGCATAAAACTTTTTCTTTGACATCGTTTTAATATCCACCTACATAGGACTACGAGGCTAGGCTTATACTTACTCCGGAAATATTGGCTATCAACTAGTTCTTTCTTAGCCAATCTTTCCATCTGCTACTTACATTGCTTTCTACAGCGGCTCACAACGAAGACTGGAATGTAGGTACACACCTAATCCTATTATTCCCCCTTTGTGTGACCAGTGTATTGGCTCAGTGATGAGATCGTAAGGTGCCGGAACCATATTTCTGGCGATGCTCTTCCCTCTTGTCTCTTCCAGGAGCTTTGCATTGGTTAAATTCAACCGACTGGGAGGGATTCCAAGTCAGGCTTCTCGGCGGGACGACAATCGTGGTCAGGGAGATATCAAGAGTCCCTTTGCCCGGATAGGATGTTTGACTTTCAACATCGGTCGAATTGTCCACCAGTACTAACCGCGCTGGAGTTTGGAGATCAGTGCTCCATATAGGAGAGCGCCTGGGAGTGTGCATTGACATTAGCCTGTGGGTTATATGCTAGCGAATTGGGCAAAACGCACAGATAATAACCTTCCTCTTCATAATGTACTTGGCTATCGTGGACTAGGCGTAACTGGGCTAGCTGACTTTTAGAGGCGTTCTTCTATTTAGGGCATCTTAGAACCATGGGAACTCGCTTTGAGTCGGCAAAGAAGGAGATGGCCGCGGCGCAGGGAGAATAGCACATGGGACTTTGCTGCAGAACATTTGAAGATAAAGAAGGCTAGGGTCGAGAAATGGTGTGAGATAGTCGCCATGGCGGCAGGCGAGGGGAGGAGCCTGCTGACCGATGTTCATGACAGAGCATATGAAGGGAGCAGAGAGGCCATAAATGTGTTAGAAGGGCGCAGCTTTGACGATTTCGGATCGGTAACATCAGGGAATGATTGGGACAACATGCAGTGGGAGAGTGCCATGTTCGACGAGATCTTGCAGGACATTTACACCGGAGCTGTCTTTAAGCCTGTCGATTGGAACACTGGCATGCTTGTCGATTCGTGATTTGTGAGCGGAACGCCAGGGTCGTACGTATCTTCTGCGCCTTCAAGTAATGCTTTCAATGTCGATATCAAGGTCCTGGCAGCGTCATGTATGGGGCGATACAATGCGAAGGGCCTAACCCTAACCTTATAGTTACGTAGAGGATTACTAGCTATTCTAATTATTCTATTTATTGTTCCTTGCGTATTTAACTAACTCTATACACATTAGAAAACACCGGACTGAGTCAATCTGGTGCTAAGACCACTCAATCTGAGACCAACACTGAATGATAGGTATATTGCCTAGTTCCTTGAGATCACATGCGTGCTGATGCAGGTATTGCGTAAGTCCCTTCCATAGTTCTTTAGGAACGCCATGCTTCCTCTCAAGGTAGGCTGTAACTTAAGAGCCTATAGCATTGAGAGCGTATCTGCATCTGCGACAGATGAGGGCTTAATTCTTAACATCTTCATATAGGCCGTAGCGCGCTAACAGGGTCAATGTAGAATCACAATCCATAACGACGGAGGAGAAATAAAATAGAATAAAAGGAAGCGGATGCGATACAGTGGATCATAGCAAAGGAATTGAGCTGGTGGTAGCAGCTCGCGATGAAACGAGGCATGCTCGCCGCGGCCCTGCACCGAAAACTACGGTAAGACATAACGTGTTGGATCAGTAAGCTGGCCAGATCAGTAAGCTGGCCACCCCACCAAGCCGCGCGCGACGCGTCCATCTGCATCAATTATGAAGCCGCAACAACGCTCTCTACAGCTTGCAAAAGAAGGCAGGATTGATCTTGCTATTGCCTCCTATCAATCTAATCCTACTCGATCGCTTCGCCGCCTTGCACTATCCTTTGATGTACCGCGATCGACCCTGCAGACGCGCCTCCATGATGTCAAGCCAAAACGCGAGATAGTATCAGTCAATCGAAAGTTATCCCCTAGCGAGGAGCAGTCTCTTGTTTAGTGGATCCTAGAGCTTGATCAATGAGGATTTCCACCCAAGATTATCGACGTACAACGGATGGCTGATCATCTACTCGCCGCGCGTGGCCAGGATCCTCCACCTCCGCCTGTAGGCCAGAAGTGGGCATCACGATTCATCAAGACTCAGCCAGAGCTGCAGACAAAGTGGGATAGGAAGCTACACAGTCAGCGCGCTCTATGTGAGGATCCTATCAAGATCTCTGCATGGTATACGCGCGTAGAGGAGACGCGCAGGACGTACGGCATACTAGATGAAGATACCTACAATTTCGACGAGACAGGATTCATGATGGGTGTAGGATCCTCCTCATCTAAGGTAGTGACTAGCATAGACACTGTGGGTAGAGCTGTACGCGTACAGCCAGGCAATAGAGGCTGGGTGACGACAATTGAGTGTATCTGCGCGTCTGGCTGGTCTATCCCACCCCTTATCATCCTATCTAGTAAGGTCCATCAATCTACCTGGTACAACGACCTACCTGCAGGCTGGAAGCTCGCAGTCAGCGACAATGGCTGGACGACAGATCAGCTAGGACTTACCTAGCTAGAGCACTTCAATCGGCATACAGAGTCTCGTACTATAGGCTCATAGAGGCTCCTTATCCTAGATGGCCATAGTAGTCATGCTACTCTAGAGTTCACTCAGTACTATGCAGAACACAGGATAGTTAGCCTCTATATGCCTGCGCACACGAGCCATCTACTACAGCCTCTAGATGTGAGCTGTTTCTCGCCACTTAAGGCTGCATATGGACGTGAGGTGACTGAGCTAGCACGACAAGGAGTCTTTCATATAGACAAGGAGGAGTTTCTATCTATCTATCCACGCGTACGCAGGATAGTCTTCATAGAGAAGAATATCTAGAGTAGTTTTCAAGTAACAGGACTTATCCCTCCCTGTCCAGATCGCGTTCTCTCGCACCTGACAGTAGTCAGGACCCCGTCACCACCAGGGGCAGCAGTAGATGCTGAGGCTATATGGACAGCTGAGACGCCTCATACTACTCAATAACTAGAGAAGCAGGCACGACTCCTACAGAATCGCCTTTAGAAGTCCTTATAGAGCCCTATAAGTGTTACTTTTGCCTAGCTTATTAAGGGTTATTAGCTTATAATGAACTCAGTAACGCTCCTTGTAGAAGAGAATAGGAGGCTATGGGTAACTAATTGTCGCTGGTGATAAAGGTAGGATAGGCGCAGACAGTATATTGCGACAAGAGGAGCTCTAGAAGCTGATTAGGGGCGAGCTCTAGCTGCTACAGCTCATCTAGCTCTCGCTAAGGCTGCTGATGCTGGATTGACGCCTGCACGCCAGCGCGCACCACCTACGTGCAGCAAGTGCCATGAGCAAGGACACAGAAGGACTCAGTGTAAGCAGCAATAGACTATCTATGTACAAAATCTCATAGAAAAATATCATGTTGTTGTAGAGATATCGCTGTTGAAGTGCTGCGCGGCTTGGTGGGGTGGCCAGCTTACTGATCTGGCCAGCTTACTGATCTGGCCAGCTTACTGATCCAACACGTTAAGCATCGTCGCCATAAGCGATGTTGCCCGGGTCGGAACCCCAGTCATCGTCATCGCTGTCATCGTAATTACCATGCAGGTCATTCTGTTGCGGCGTAGCCATAACACTGTGGTAAACACTTCGCAGCTTAGGAAGCGGGCGTTGCCGTCCACGCCAGGCCGCACTCCGAACTGTGCTCAAACAGAAGAAGAAGAGGAAGAACTGGCTATCATTATGAAACACGAAATCCTGGAGTTTTCAATTCTCCCAGCCGTTATTCTCGATGGACTTTAGGCAATTCCCTAATCGTTGGAGGCCCAAATTCAAAGCCTGCTCGTCCATGGCAAAGCTGATGCGGTACCAACCTAACTCTTCAGTACCAAAACTGCTTCCCTGAGAAACAACAACACCCGCCCCGAGAAAGCGCTTGAAAAGCTCCACTTCTTGATCGTGGTTTATGCCAGCCGCGGAGATCGCTGGTCGTGGTGCGGAATTCCCACGAAGATAGCGACGTAGGTCCACCCAGACGAAAACACCGGCGTGCCTACGTACAGCTGTCAAGCTGTTCAAACATATACAAACTTGCAGGATGTCCTTACACATGATCATAGTATGGAATCTTATGTTGGTCCAAAAAGGATCTTAGCATTGTGCAGTGTTTGCCCAGCACCTTGCGATTCTCTAGTTTGAAGTCGCCCAAGAATTGTTTGTCTTCAAGCACATCTGCCCATACGTCTTGGACGACATAAGGGACCCAACCGAAAACACTGGAGATGGATATGTCATTTCGGTCTGCCCAACATATGAATTTAGAAGAACGCAACATACCTTATGCTAGACACTGCGGCTATGAGGCCTTCATTCGTGGAGTGTAGCACGCCCAGTCGAAGCCCCGTGGCGCAAAAGTCCTTACTCATCCCATACATTACGTGTACCAAGTGACTGTCGATGCATTCATCAAGGCCTGCGCCTAATACCGACACGAATGGTGTTGCGTTGTTCGCATGTACATTATGGTAGACCGACAACGCGAATATCTCGTCGCTGATCAGGTGCAAGTTATTGCGGCCACAGAAACGTGCGATCTCCCTGATCGTCTCCGCAGGCTTTGAGGCATCAGTACATGCAACTTGTAACGAGACGTCGACACTCACGTAACATCTTCCTAGTGGATTATGGGGACTGCAATACCGTAAGTTCGAACAGCAAAATCTGCAGCTTGAAGAGTCATACTTGGATATCAGCACAGCCCGCACTGTTACGCCATCTTGAGTAGCCTGAAGCAGAGTCTTTTCCAACGCTTTCCTATTCATATCGGGATCAAAGACATCATTCAGGCCACGGTAACCTTCCACACTCTTGAAAGGTGCAGAGATGAGAACTCCACCAGCTCTTAAAGCGCTCATAGGCTTTAAACCTGTGTAGAAAGGAGCAGGAGTAATGATCCCTTCACCTTCATTGCAGATTGCCCACGTCAAGGCATCAATCACAGCTGCCACTCCAGGTAGAACGAGTAGCTCTTTTTGCAATATAGGCTTAGAGGGCCGGAATTCAGAGTTGAAAAATGGGACTAGCGCCTTCTTCAGGCGTGGCGATCCCCGTGGGCCTACTCCATAGTTCAGATGGTTGTTGGTATTGACCGCGGCCTGTATAGTATAGTTAGAGAATAATCATCCAAAACCTAGTATAATCTTACGTTCTTATTGGCACGCGCGGCTACTTGTTTGTGCAAAATGCTGTTTTCAGCTACACCTAGAAAGACCCTTCAAAACTTTAGCATGAGGTGTCTAGCGTATGGAGTGGAGCAGGGACAAGTTGGAAATCAAACCTACAAGCCGTCAGGATTATCAGTCGCCCATAGATTTGCCATCAGTCTCTCGACAGCATCCCAAGGTGAGTCCTGGACGGAATTATGTGCACCCCGCTGTGATAGGCTGAAATCGACGCAGCTCTGAGAAACCGGAGCGCTCATCGCATGTGTTTGGAATGGGTATACAGTCTATTATTGGTGATATGACTGTTCTTGTTTCAAGAAGCTTAGATTATGGAAGCCGTGAAATTGACTATAGTCGGTCGTGCTTCGTCAAGGGCGCCTCAGGTGATATACACAGTTAATGCCAAGGCGCTAGGTTAGATGAAGCTACTTGTGCTGATCACATCCACAGGCGAATAGCAAGTGTCTGATCGTATTGATAAGCAGTAGACGCAGTATGCCTTGACCTTGAAGGAATTAAATTGGGGCCTCGAACATTTACTTTGTTTTCTGGATTACCTTGTTCAAACATCCCTCGAGGTTATCACAACAGTACGGAAGGTTGAAAGGAAAATTGACGGACTATCTGTGTGTACATCTACGAGTAGGCTAGGATGATAGGTATGTTTAGGATGAATTTCAAATCACAACAAAGATTATTAGTACATGAGAAGCTCGAACGGCGATAGGAGAATGAGGAGCAGGGGAACAAAGGAATGTAAATATCAATAACAAAACAATCAATGATAGAATCATCTCTAGATGACTACATCTTTCACAAAAGCTTAGAGTGATTTCCGCTTATCAGATCACCAATGACTGCTCCTCAAAGGCCCCTCGCTTTCAGTGCCTGCATTAGGGTTTGTGCAAAGCTCGCAACATGATCAGCGCCTATCATAGTGTAATGCTCGCCGTCTACGGCATGAAATCTTGGTGGTTCATGAACAAAATCGGCCCATCGCCTCAAGTACTTATCTCGCCATGTCTCACGAGAGTCTGCGATTGCTTTCAATGGCGTGCAATAGAAGATGTCAAGGCTCTTCACCTGGCCAGATGGATAATAGTCGCTCGCCATTCGCTGGAGCCCAAACGCGACATTAACCCAACGAGCCAGAGAATCCGCTTCCAGCTTCAGCTCATCCCAGCGTGATTTGTCCGCCATGTTGTATACGATTTCAATAGCCTCGGTGGGTGACACCCCGCGATAGACCAGATCTGCCTCATATTGATCCGAAACATTTTCGGTAATGAGGCCCAGGAAGTGACTCAGATGCAGCAGGCAAACATTCCATTCTAGCGTACTTATACGTTGTTTGATATGTGGTGGTAAGTTGAGCGATCCGAGCAAGCCAACTTCGTTGCCATCGGCATTCAGCCGCTTTGAGATTTCGAATGCGAGCATTGTACCGTAGCTATAGCCTGCTAGAGCATAGGGACCGCGTGGTTGGCGTTGACAGATAGCCGCAGTATAGATATCAACAGTCTGCGTGATACTCTCGAAGCGTTGGTAAGGAGGCTCGAAGCCAGCTGCGCGCAAAGCGAAAACTGGTCGATCGTCTTGCGCAAGGCACTGAGCCAATCCGATGAAAACTAAGACCTCGCCTACACCAGGATGAATCATCCAGAGTGGTGTTTTCGATCCTTCGCCGCGGATAATGACGACTGGGTCGTAATCCTCGATGGTTGCTGGGTGATCAGAATCTGCCTTTGACTGCCTCAGGTAGGCGTCGATGTCAGCCGCCAGCGCCCTAAAATAAGGATTCTTCATGATGAGAATGACAGGCACATCGATTCCAAGCCGCTGCTTAATGTGATACTTGAGTTTGATAACGTGCATCGATGTGAATCCGATATCGAACAGAGACGTTTCAGGAGTGATGTCAAGAACGTCTGGATCTTCGCTTAGAGTTTCGGCAATACTGGCGATGAGAGCTGCTTCAATCAGGCTTGCTGGCTTTGATCCATTCATGTACATCTGCTTGGCTGCCCTGGATGCGCGTAGTATTGCCTCATGGTGAAAATCGACATCCGCAGCGAATTCACCGTCTTTAAACAGCCGTGACACTTTGAGCCTCGATATCTTCCCTAGGGTAGACACCGGAAGAAGTGGTATGGATTGCTCTCGCAGAGCAAACACCAATGGCCTACTCGCGGTGCGAACCACACAAGCTTGGGTAATCAGACGAGCAATGTCCATTATTTCCTGATCCCCAATAGGGAACTCCTTGGGAATGTAAGCAACCGTCATCTGCTCTGTATGCGATGCCTGGGTAGAGAAGACGACGAGGCGAGCGACGCGGTCGCCCAAGGCATTCTCCACAGCAGTTTGGACGTCGGCGGCGACAATCTTAATGCCATTGATGTTAATGACTTCTTTGGCGCGGCCCACCAAATTGAGGTTACCATTTGAGTCGATGAACCCCCGGTCGCCAGTTCGAAACCAATGGCCAGGCGCAAACGCCTGCTTTGTCGCAGTCTCGTCACGGTAGTAGCCCTTGAAGACAACCTTGCCACGAACCTCTAGGTCGCCCAACTCGCCGGATGCAGCTACCTGTCCTTTAGATGTAACAATACGCATTTCAATTCCAGGTATACATTGACCAAGAGATGCTACTGCGTAAACTTGAGAGACATCGTACTCGGGGCATTTGGTGTTAAAAATCGCCCCGGCACACGTCTCCGTCATTCCAAAACCAGCGGTGATAACATCGTGAGGACCTCCATGTTTCGAGAATAATTTGGATGCTGCGACACAAGTTTTGATGTCATTTGCCTCGCCTCCGGAGTTTACGCTGACCAGACTCGAGAGGTCCAGCTCTAGGCTCTGTTGAATTGACTCGAAAGTGGCGACCAACTTGGCCAAGAAGAAATTTGGAGCAAACGTCAGAGCAACCCGATGTCGACTGATTAGTTCTAAGAATGTTATAGGAGATGTCACGACATCAGCAGCGCTGACGTGGACTTGATCAACACCGAGCCATAATGCCTGTAGATGGATCTCAAGCAGGCCGGCGACATGATCTAGGCCGATCCAGTTCAAGAATGGACGGTCCCGAGGAAACACGCGTAGCGAAGCCTTTCCGGCAACTGCAGCCAGAACTTGTTCGTGTGTGAAGCAGACGGCCTTCGCGTTACCTGTACTTCCAGAGGTCAACATAAGCATCAGCAAATCTCCACCTGCTACGCCGTTCGTTTGATCATCATTCGTGCCATTCCTCGTAGAAAATGACTCGGAAGTACTTGTGGCGCCATTATTTTGGCCATCCCGATGGTTTTCAGCCTCATGGTCTTCGCCATTGGTACGCGGAATGTCGGCATGAGAGGATCCGTGTTCAAGGTTGTCAATCACGCTCTCGATGGAATGTAGATGTATATCGTGGCTGTTGCCAAACAAAGGCAGGAATTTCGATCTGGTGAAACATATCGGAGACTCCAGGAGAGTCGACAGGTTCTGAATGTGCCTGTGACGTTCCTCTTCAATGTTGCTGAAGGAGGACGAGAGGACTGGCAAACCGCCAGCCAACAGAACGGACCAAAACCACAGGATAACATCCCAATGATCGTCAAAGTGTAACAATATCGGATGCCCAATCCGGAATTGCTTGAGTCGTTGAATGGTGCAGCTAGTAATCTTGGCTACATTGAACAGGCTTGTGTAAGTAATTTCCTTGGGGATGCGGGTATTGCCGAATGAGTAGCAGAACAGGCGTCCTGGGTTCTCGGAATCTGCCCTGTCCTTCAGAACCTGTTGTATATTTTTCCACGGAGGCATGTTGTTGAGTTGATGCAATGTTAAAGTCAGCTAGAGATGCTCCACAAGATTGGTTTCCTTCTGCTGATCGTTAATGTTGAAGTTTGTCCCTCGAAAATATCGGCGTGAGACTTTCTCAATTAGTGCTGCATCCGGTCGTGGGATTGATTCTGCCCTTCTAGTCTGGCCATACGGCTGACAGGCTTGGGTAACGGGTGCTACAGCAATCAAGGTAAGAGGGTTACTGAACGCAACCGACTTGGCACATCTGGCGGTTGGCGGAAATTGTGAGATTGTTAGTAGTCACCCTTGACGTCTGTATCCATATTGCCGCGCCTGAACATGTGGGAGATCATGCATTAGCTCTTAGATCAGCCGCCGTTAGGAGGATTCAGGCCCGGGATACATGCTGGGTTCCACCTTGCACACCTATGAGCGCCATTCTCCGACATCCTGGATAGGTGGTACTGCCGACCGAATCCTTAGCGGGCATACTCGGTATCCCCCGAAACAACAAGACTTCCACCGTACGACGCATTTGCCTATTCGGTGTCCGAATGACCCATGCAACTACTTGCAGAATTGATCATCTGTTTCACTGCGCACTTGCCGTTTTTCGCCGGTCAGCTTGCCCCTCACACATGCAAAGCACGGTAAGCGAGATAGTGGGTGAAAGTTCCAGTGTAATCCCTGCATCCCTATGAGCACCTGCAGAATCGGCTACTATGTCCTGTTCCGCTTTGGTCGCCGGCTAATCAGCCTCACATACCATATGCGCCGTGACGTGCGGAACGATGGCTTTCCGAGATCGCATAGGATTGGGCACCCCACGGAAGCTGAATCCCTGTGGCTAGATTGCTCCATATTTCTTAGCAATTGCTCACATGAATATTCCAGGTTTGCCTTGCGCAGCCAGCGCCGGCTAAAGGCTTCTGTTAGTCGAGCTGGGAACGATGTGAACATACGAAGAGGTCAAATCGGTGGTATTGACCGATAAGGTGATCTGTGATTTAGAGTTTCGATCCTTTCCCGCAACATATTGTGATCGAAAGAATTTGCTTAATTCATCGCACCACGGAAAATTCTCCCTCACTTGCCTCACATCAATAACATGACGTCCAGAGAGTCATTTTCGCGAATTGTACAACTCGCCAGAACAATCAGTGAGTCAGTGGACAAGATAGAGGAGGTTTTGGTAGCCGAAGGTATCGAGTCACCCAGTTTTGACGAAGATGCCACATTCAACATCCCTCTTAAGCTGAGCCCTCAGCATGATGCTGTGCTTGATGCCACTGCAGAGCTTCATGATCTTCTGCTCGAGCCTTTAAACCTAATCCATAGGCATGGTGGCGTACGTATACTCGCCCGAACGCAAGCCTTCAACAGCTGATCATCATGACTTGAAAGCACAACAACCCGCTATGCATGCTTGCTATTGCAGAGTTCAAGCTTGCGGACAAAGTTCCACTCCATGGCGAAGCTTCTTACGAGGACATTGCCAGGGACACCCCATTGACTACTGATATGACTGCTCGTCTGCTTAGACATGCAATGACCATGCGTATCTTTCGCGAGACTTCACCGGGAATTGTTGCCCATACTGCCGCTTCGAGGACACTGCACAAATCGGCAGCCAATGACTGGCTGCAAGCTGGTACAACGGAGATGTGGCCGGCAGCTGTCAAGGTCAGTTTGATCTTAAGCGATGTTCTGCTCCCCACGGCTAAATCTTTTGCAAAATAGACTATCGATGCTCTCAAGAAATGGCCAGCATCTGGAGAACCCAACGAGACGGTATGATTCACTGCTCCCGCAAATGGTAAAGCAAACTCACTCAGACCTCTCAAAAGGGCTACTCTTTGGCGAATGATACCTCTGAGACCATTTATCAAATCTTCTCCAAAGATATGGAGCGGGCTTCCCGATGGGCCAGAGGAATGCAGATCTTCGCCGAGAGGCCCCAGTTTAGTTTGGCTTACACCACCGACTATTACGACTGGGAATCTTTAGGTAAAGCCCACGTTGTCGACGTCGGCGGTTCCTCAGGACACGTTTCTTTAGCGCTAGCGAGGAAGTTTAGCAACCTCAGCTTGACCGTGCAGGATATGGAGCAACTTGTCGCAAATGCGACGGTTCCAGGGGACGTCCAAGGAAGAGTCAAATTCATGGCCCACGACATCTTCTCCCCACAGCCTGTCAAAAACGCCGATGTCTACTATCTGCGTTGGATCCTGCACAACTGGTCTGACAAATACTGCAATTTGATCTTGAACGCACTGCTGCCTGCGCTCAAGCCTGGAGCGAGGGTCATAATCCATGAATCTCTGATTCCAGAGCCTGGTACAACGGCGATGTGGAAGGAGAAGAACCTGAGGTAAGTGAGATATAACCAAGATTTACGATGAGAATACACCCACTAATAATGGCCTGCAGGGCAACTGATCTAAACATGGCTGGCGCTTTCAACGCAAAGGAGAGAACAAAGGTCGAATATGAATCTTTGTTCAAGAAGGTTGACCCAGCGTTTACCCTTCGTAACGTAGTCGAGCCCAAGGGGTCAGCACTCCAAATGGTGGAGTTTTTATGGGAGGGTACCACTTAGTCACCGGAATCATACGTCATTATGACGCATTTCCTCTGAGCTTCGACAAAAATATACCTGTATAGGCCCAATGAACACTTGCCCATGTGAGAATGTCGACTGTCAGAACTGATTGTTTGTGGGCGTAGATACATTTCGATAACTTGACGTTGCCTCAAAAAATTCTGTCGTGAGGATTCAAGGCCATCGGGCCTAGAGTGGCTAAAGTATCAACATTTGCAGTTCAAGAGATTCCGTGTTCAGTTTCAAGTCACACCACGAGTACGGCTGTTTATGATGCTACAAGGCACGAACTGTATCATATTCTCTATTTTATCTCTCCGTTGGTTGACTTGGCACTCGGTAAACGCACGTCCATAACGCTTTCATAGCCCGTGGGGTAGTATGTATAGGTACGCTTCAATTCGAGCCCTGCCTCTTCGAACGTCTTACTCCACTGGGCTTCGGTACGCTCTGTGCTGGCGAACGCTGAGAGCATAGTCATATCAATGGACGATGCGATGTAGCTAACACCATACTCAGGGAGGACGAGCTCATCGATGAGCAATATCGACTCGGGCGTCATAGCAGCCTTGATGTTATCGAGTACTCGTCGCACGTTGGGTGGGGATTGGTTGTGCAGCACAGCACGTAGATAGTAGAACTTAGCGCCTGCGAAGAACGCAGATTAGTCGGACTGAGAGATCAAATCTTAGGACGGCTACGTACCAACAATAGGCTGCGGCTCGAACATATCATGCGCTATGTTTTCAACACCATGAGTAGGAAGTGCGTTCGCCACCGAGTGTGACAAGTCCTGTAGTATTACGCGGCCTTGTAAATGGGGATACTTCTCCTTGAATTGCGCGCATTGGTGACCAATGCTGCCACCAATGTTTACGTACAGGCCTTTTTCGGCAGGCCAGTTGGAAGCTTCTTTTTCCACGGGGTATACCGATAACCAAGTGTTGACAGGTTTCCGACGCAAGGCCATATAGGTATTGAAATGATCCAGTTGTACCGGGTGGGTGGCGAACCAGGCGTATGAATTCAATGGCGTATTGAATGCCACTTGAAAGGCTGTTTTATTCTCGTCTACAGGGTTCTTGTAGCCAGTATCTTTCAAGTAGTCTGGTAGCACTTGGTACTGCGATGCGGCGGTCGTAAAGCTGCGACATATTAGCACGGAGACAAAGTATCGTGACTCTAGTTGCAGACGTACTAGTGTGACAGACCAGCTTCAACCAGTCGCTCCGCAAGATTTCGGGTTATATGATTGGCACTGTATTGAACTTTGTCGTTTTCACTAATTGCACCGATGGATGCAAGAAACCTGAGCACGCGGGCTGTCCACACTATTAGGCTCAATTACAGGCAACGATGTATATCGAAACTTACTTAACAAGTCCAGCTCCGCCCCCGTTTTCTCGGAGAGTTGCTGTATTGTCAATGGCCCATCCGACTCGACCAAGTATCTGAATAATTTCAGGTCAATTCCGACCTGGACTATAGCAGCTTGAAGATGCTATATCCAGTCAACATTGATCTTAGCAAATGATAAAAGTCAACCAGACCGCATGGCCATATCTGTGGATAGTGTCGTGATGGGTCTCCAATGAGTACGCCAAGTTGTGGAGAGCTACCATCGCCTCACGACGACCATCTTCGCTGAGCGTTGCTAGCTTTCTGACTTGTTCGAGAGCTGCTTCCATCCTGGGTTGAGATTCAAATGCGCTGGAAGTATCAAAGCGAGGGAAAGTTTGATTCTGGAGAACCAGAGTAGCCTGGGTGTGTGAGCTTCAGTCGCGTCCAATGGTCACAAGCGAATCGGATCTGCGCAACAATGCCCAGATTCGCCCCCCAAATAGATTTTTGCTCCCTTCCACGGATGGGAAGCTATCATTCAGATCTCGCCAATACCATAGTATGATATCGTTGCTTGTCCGTTTACAAGGATGACAAGTCGTAGCTGCGACTTCAACTAGAAACTAAAGGATCAGATTGTGGAGATATGCAACGTCTAGGATGTTCGGTGACCGAAAATCTGCCACTTCGGAAGCTGAGCAACTTGGTAGTCAGATTTCGATGTGGGCCATGGATTGCTTGCTGGGTAGATGCGCCCAGAGCTGTAGGTTATCAAATGTAACCAAAGCACCAGCATTTGCATGCCCTGCCACGATTCGCTTGCTAGGTCGTTGCGACGCAGTTCCAGATGCACGGCAGTGCGGACTGATGCACCGGCATTCATCTTGCAGATCTGGGCATCGCTCTAAGGTTGTAGAACAATTAATATATCTTACCGACTGAGTATGTAAATTTAGCGCACCATCTTACCAGTTGCCCCACATATTCCACCCTCCCTGCAGCCGCTCGGACTTCAACTCGGACGGTGCCTCCGTGCGCTCTAGGGTGGATTCCGTCTTACGGCGTTAGTAACGGCTGAAATTTATCAACGAATCAGGAATTACGCCCATACCAAAGCAAATCGATTGAGATCAAAACTCATCGTCCCAGTTGATCGTGCACATTCTAAATGCTGTCGTCACTGCATCTGTCACCATGTCGTGGACGCAGAATATTCTCATCTCAATCATAGCGGTCACCGCTTTCATCTTCATCAAGGTGATTCAACTAAAGTTCTCTCCACGACCAGCACTATTCACCGAGCTAGACTCGGTCCATCCGACGCCAGAATGGTGTCCACCCACATTCGTTCGCAACGTGACAACGTCCATTCTAAGTTTTCGAAAATATACGACAGAGGGCTACCAAAAGTTCAGCAAGGCCCTGGACCGGCCGTTCGCCTTGCTCACACCATGGGTTCGCGGCGCTACCGTGCTGGTTCTGCCACCATCGCGGATACCACTCCTCGCCCGGCCTGATAAGGCAAAGGATGGCGAGTGGACCAACCTACATGGGTTGCTCGAAACGACCCAGCTGACCTATGTCGTGGATGACGCCGACGTCTACCAGAATCTGGTGCACTTCGATGTCGTGCGCAAACACATGGCTCCGAGTGACATGCGTCGCCTGGCACCTGTGACGGCCGAGGAGACTGACCTTGCCTTCCGTGACATCTGGGGAACGTCAACAGGCTGGAAGACGATCAAAGGCTGGGACGAGTGTGGCAGAATCATTTCTCGCGCATCGCAGCGTTTCCTCATCGGACTTCCCTCGAGTCGCAACGAAGCGATGCTCGAAACCTCTAGGCTGTATGCGAATGCTCTCCTTGTGGGTGGAGCCATCATAAACTGCTTCCCGCCATGGATGCGGTGTGTCGTGGCGCCGCTGATCGCCATACGCGCCCGGTACTTTCAAGCACGTTATGTGAAGATGCTGGTCCCCGTGGTTGAAGAACGTATCCGTCAGTATGAAGCTGGACTGTACAAGGAGAGAGATGAGGTACGTAAAGTAACAACCGACAACACCAACCATCTCGTTTGCAATACTGATGCGATCCTCAGGATGACTTTCTCCATCGAATGATTCCCATGTGTGCGAAAGATGCCGAACAGCTCAACGCCGAACGCATTGCTTTGCGCATAGCAAGCCTCCTCACCCCGCTCATATTCGCCATTTGTTACGTGTTCGCGCACTGCGTCCTAGACATTCATAGTAGCCATGATAGGGTTGAAATCCTCGCCGGTCTCGAAGAAGAATGCAGACGCGTCTCTGCTGAATTCGGAGGCCTCAACTCGAGTGCTTCCCTGGATGCCCTGAAACGTATTGACTCAACTATCAGAGAGTCCATGCGTGTCTCGGACGTGATGGTCACTAACATATTCCGCGACGTCACATCTGGCGTGGTAGACGTCGGCAATGGGCTCCGCGTGGGGCCTGGTGTGCGCATGCTATTCCCTACCCAGGATATCCACATGGACCCGGACAACTACGACGACCCGACACGATTCGATGCATTCCGGTTCTCCCGTCCTTTCCAAGATAAGGAAAACCTGGGTGATGGATCCGAAGAGCAAGAGTTCATCACCACCCCGACGCCGACGTTCATGCCTTGGGGTTACGGCAGACATGCCTGCCCTGGCAGGTATTTCGCGGCGCAGTCAATGAAGCAGGCGCTTTCTTATCTGGTACTCAACTACGATGTCGAGTTGGTAGGTCCCCGGCCTAAAAGGAAGGCTCTCTTGAATATGATGATTCCGCCTGTGGATGCGAAGATTAGGATACGACGAAAGGCCTAAGATGAGACGTTGATTACTACTTTAAAGAGCGTACAGAGTATCCGCATGTAGTGAGAAACGGTGCCTTCGTAGTTGAGGTCTCAAGCTGAGGCCCATGTGCTAGAGGACGACACGCGATCAGGCCAATTGTTAATTAGACATTTACCACTCACATGGCAGTAAATATATTTGCACATGAACCTGCAGTCCAATGTTAGCGTACTCTGGAAAGATCTGCTGTGTCTCTACTAGACCTGAATGGCTGTCAGACCTGGTCTCCACCTACAAGTCCAAATTCTTTCCTACATTGTGCGATTGCAATATCCGTAGTCTTGTTCCACAAGCACCATTGAGTCATTCAATGCATTGCTCTCCTCTTCTACTTATCTCACGACGCGGAGTTGTAATCTTGTGAAAACACCAAAACAACTTTTCATTCTATCTAATGCACAACGTCCGTTTTTGGATGTCCATGCTATCACTCTACTCATTCCTGTGTGGGAAAGTTCGTTTCACCGTCTCTTTCTCGCGCTCCAGAAACTCTTTGAAAGACGTCAACGACGGCACGATAGCCCTCAGCTCATCAAAGTCGATATAATCCGAAGCAGTCCGCAGCACCTTGTGCGTGTTCGCGAAGCCCGACCCTTGAGCCTGTGCCTCGATCTCCTCATCGGTCAGGAAATGAGCTTTGATCGAGCCCGGCTGATCAGCCGCTTCCGCCAGCATACTGAGCATCTCCTGAATACCCATCTGGTCGCTTGCCAGCCCGATCTTCCGGCCATGGAACTTGGCCGGATCCTGGAACGCGACGACGGCGAATCTGGCAATGTCGTGATGGTCGAGGATGGGCAGCTGAGTCTCCGCTGTCATAGATGTGGTCCAACTGCGGTGGTCGCGAATTTCGTCGTAGCGCTTCACTTTGGGCTCGAGGAAGTTTGCCATGAAGAAGGTCGGACGGAGGAAGGTAAAGTGCTCGAAGCCGCGCTCTTCGACCGAGGTCTCCACGGCCTTCTTGTTGAGCATGTGCTTCTCCATGAATGACCCAGGATAGACGCGCACGTTTGCATCAAGCTGTGAGACGCCGAGCGTGGTGGAGGCGATGACCTGCTTCACGCCAGCTTCCTTGGCGATGTCGAGCATGTTTGCGCACTGGCGATGGTTAGCTCATATACAAGGTTCGCCATATGCCTTTTTCAATGACGACGAACCTGGCGACGCTCGCGGGTTGGGTCGTCCCAGTCTGGCAAGAGACACAGCCAGAGCTTGTCACATCCTTTGATGCTCTCACGCAGGACGTCCAGATTGTCCCAGTCGGCCTCCTTCAACTGGACGCCGATTTCCTTCAGTGTTACGGCAGCAGGCGAGCTCAAGTCACGTGTAGTTGCATGCACGTTCCAGTCCATCTCCCGAAGCTTCTTGGACAGAGCCAATCCTTGATAGCCAGTCGCGCTCGAGATGAACACGGTATGCTCTGCTGAGGACATGATGTCAATTGCTGAAAATTAGTCTCGTGGGATATCTGAAAGATGTTCGAGAACTAATTCAGTGACGGTGCCGGTTTGTGACCATTCAGCCCTTTACACCCTAACCCGTGCGGTACTGGACTTCTTGGAACGCGCTTGATCACATGGAATCGAGACTCGCAGCAACGGCGCGAGCGATCGGCACCATCTCTCCCAGTGCGTCCGTTATTTACCCTGACTAATCCTAACGATTCCGGTAGATGATGAGGAATTACCAGGGCTAGCATGCAGGCGGCAACATGGAAAGCCGACATGATAGTACTCTAACTTGCTCACTGCGTCAGCCTTCCGGTCGCCTTCTTGCCGTGACCCTGTCCATTTGCTTCCGCTCTTACGGTCGTACAACAGACTGGATAGATAAGCTGACCATCGCATGACGCCCGAAAGGTGGCACCGGTACCACATGCGCCCTGAGCAGGCGATCGGGATCCATGCCTTTTTAGAGGCATCTGTAGAGGATACGCAATGCAATGTAGGTGCCAGCACGAAGTGGGTACGGCTGCCAGAGACTACAGGATATTCATTCCATCCTCGATGCATTAGCTTCATTCCATAGATTCTACTCCCCTCGAATAAGAGCAGAAGCGCTTTTTTGGCTTCTGATGCATTAGCTTCGCACCGTGCATCCTTGCAGCTCTCATCTCTCCCTTCGATGCCTATATCCGGTGTGCACACATGCGACGGAAAATCATGCATGTTTTGGTGCATGCCAAGAAATGCATGGATATCGTTTTTCACGTCCGCGCTCAAAGAGACAGTTGCTGGATTCTAACCCCCTTTGCGTAGTTTCGCGACCTCGCTAAATAGTTCCCTTCTCCGCATTTCTCTACGGACCCTGCCGTGAAGGCCCCGCTTCGTAGACCCACCCTGGCCACGGGGCGCCGGACCCGCTGAGAGGAATTTAGCTGAGGCAGGTGATAATCTGGTTCCATGCAGCCCCATGTCTGATCTGCGCACGCTAAATAAGGCTCCACATATGTTTGTTGGGGCAGCGCTCACCGGCAAACTAATGATAGTAGGTACAATACACAGTAACACGGCGACTGTGGTAGGTCGGGTGATGCTCGCCCGTCAGCACACGCTGATGATGTCACTCAGTGGGCTGATAGCAAGAGGATACTCCATGGGGCTGCTAGAAAGAGGATGCTCCATGGGGCTGGTAACAAGGTGCTTCATGAGACCTCTTCTCTTGCAGATAGATCCATCCCGGACTGGGCTCAGCCCAAACAGATCTTTCAGTGCACGTGTACTGCACGGCTGCCGCGATAAGACGAAGACAAGCTGCGAAAATAGCAACTCGAGGCATATAGCGATTTTTGATTCTCTAGGAAACCAGCGTCACCTGTAGCGATTCTTAACAGCGAAGGAAAAAAAAAATTCTTTTCTACTCAATACAAGTCCTATTCATAATTGCTTCGTGAAGATGCAGCGCAACGTGACAAGTGATAGCGAACCCTCCGCGCTCCAAACCAGCCATCGCAGCCCTTTCAGAACATCAAACCATCGCCTGATCAGACCGCACGTCGAACTGATCCGTCCTGCGCACCGTGCCCGGATCAATACTCCCCGTCTCCGTCTCGCTCCACGTCGACTTCTTAGAACTAGCTTGCACATTCCCCACCGTCTTGCCCGCAACCCCGAGCTCATAGTAAATGCCGTTGCTCTTTGCGCCCAGCTCGCTCGATGCGGCGGTCCGGCTCCTCGAGCCACTGGTCGGCACCATCTTCTTGATGGAAGCGCCTAGGCTCGACACGAACGGGACGTTGAGCTTGGTGACGGAGCTCAGCGGTGGCGCACAGCCCATGATGATGACAAAGGTTTGCTCTGTGACAGACCACATGAGGCTCAGCGACGCCTTGTACTGCCTGTCCTGCTTGGCCTTTGTGCCGCTCTGGGCGTTGACGGCTTTGGCGATGGAGCAGCCCATGGTGAAGATGGAGAGGGCGAGGAGGATGATGAGGCCGATTTTGCGGCGCATGGGCATGGTGAGCTTGAAGACGACGATCACGGGGAGAAGCACGTAGAGGATGTCGCCGAGGGCAAAAAAAGCTGCGTTGTCGTTGTCAGTACGTGCTCGAGATGCATCCGAGTGCCGCCGCCGACTTACCTCCCGCTACGTTGCCCTCGCGCGCGACTACTTCCGGACTTATCCTCTTCGCGGGGATCGTGGGATCCCAGAGCCCTTGCACCGGCCTGACCTGGAGCCAGCTCGTCAAGGCTAGAACCACGCTGCCCACGACTTGTATCACGGTGATGACAATCAACGACCACTTGAGCCAGGTATGGATGCCGAAAATGCGGACGAGGAGGAACGCGATGGATATCCTCGACGCGATAGAAGACGTGATACCGGGCGTGAAGGACATCCAGATCCATTTAGCGATGTGAACGGCCTGGTAAAAGGTGAGGCTATGGTCGTGTTTGCCAAACCCATAGTGGAAAGCAACAGTGAGGCATGAGATGCAGACGGTGTTGAGAATCTACACGTGCTGTGAATTAGACTGGGACTTGATCATCGTGCTGGTGGGAGATGCCTACCACGGCAAGCAACATGAGCCAGTCCTCAATCTTCGTCTGCTTGGTCACCGAGATGCGGACCCAAAAGCGCATCCCAACAGCGATCAGTGCGAGGGCAGAGAATGACCAAGTCAAGCCCATGACTAAGGGCCCGCGCCCTAGGTCTTCTGGGTGGATGGGAGGAGGTAGCACCACGGAAGGCATTGCGACGAGCTTGTGGCGTGCGTAAGGCTGCGGTTGGAGAGCGGCGGCGGCGGCGGCGATGGTGCGACAGAGGAACGACTCTAAATGGATCGTGTACTCGTAGTTGCGGCTCCCATAAATGGGCGAACGACGTACAGCCTGTAGGCTGGCAGGTGCCGCAAGTAGGATGTGAAATATGTTTTTCGAGGGTGGTCACTCCTTACATTCGGGGTAACGAAGTGTTGCGACAGTGACCCGTAAGCAGTCCATTTCGCTCGTTGAGGGGCGAGGGGCTATAAAACCTTGCCATGGACACCGAAGCCGGCCCCTCTGTACAACCTCTATGCCAAGAGACTCGCCTCGCCCGTCAGCTGAAGAGATCCCCGTCACTTACAGGCCCCCAATAACAGGAATAGCAACGTGTATTTTGCCACGACGAAGAACGCACGTTTTAGGTTGACATGTCGTATCAAGAAGGTCGTTATCTTCATTCGCGAGAAATTACCGGTTCTGAGGCAAAGCTACCGTATTGGGGGAAACTTGGGTGTCTAGACGAAACTCCGTCAGCTAAGCGCCGAAGCAGTTGCTAAGTGCCTGGCTGTGTAAGGCGCTTCGGAAATGGCCTGTCTGCGGATGATTGGAGGAGACCGACTAGCGGGGAGACGTGCAAGGCAGGAGCTAAGTTACTACATTTGTCGCCGCATCCCCCACCAAGCTGTAATGACTGACACACTAAGTATGAGAGGGAGACCCAAAAAGGATTCAGTGCCCACAAAGTCCATCATCTGTGATGACCCGAATGTGAAAATGACCGGCGCCTGGGGGAAAAGTAGTGCCTTGCCTGATCTCCAACAAGACCGATCCCTTCAACCGTTCCAGTGAACCTCAATGATACCCAACAAAGATTCCTCAGGCACAAATACCTTATGAAGAACAAATCGTTCATCAGCGGCAGCAAGAAGAGCTTTCCATTCCTCTAGGTATCGTTCACGGCCGTTAGAGAAGGCCTCGATAGCCAAATCCACTGACCTGTGAGATCCCGTTAGTAAACGCTTCCAAGTTTTACGATCCATTCCAGCACGTGGCGACATACCTTGCAACTCGGTCTCTCCACAAGGGAATGGCTTCCGGCTCCGGCATCACCACATCCTGGATAAGAATCTTCACTCCAGGTCGGAGAGCCGGAATCTGTGCCTTCAAAGCCTGAGCCGCAAACGCGTCACCAAAACCTCGGAAGACCATGCGGAAGAAGTAGACATCAGCCTCAGCATCCTGTGGCGCAAAGAGCTCGTGTTCCTGAAACTTGACTCGGCTTGCCAACTCTGAAGGGATCGTTGAGTTTACCCCTGCGAGCGTGCCCTTGGAGTCTTGGACGATAAACTTGAGATTTGGAAACTTCTTGGCCAATTCGAAGGCAGCTTGGCCCCGAGATCCCATGCCATGGACCACAGTCGCGTTGCCGAGGGATGCCCAGTCATAGACCGTGCTGACGTTCTCAATCGAGTAACCTGGGACGAGGTTCATAGCTTCCATACCGGCTCTAAAGCGCCCTGCTACTTCAGGGTTGGAGGCGACGACCTCCGGGACTGTCTTGCCATTATTGGCAAGAACAAAACCCTGTGAAAATCAGTAACGGCTCTCGTTTTCCAATCTAGATTCAAGATGCTCTGGGAGATGGAGTGCATCATCGACTCTACGATAGTGGTAAGCTCACCGTCTGGTTTGGCAACTGCGAATTAGGCCATTTCTGGAGTGCATCTATGATCTACAACAGACGATTGGCGTTAGTTCATTTGTACACGTTCCTGGAAATGATTCGGACACTTACTCGCGTAGTAGCAGGCCAGGTGTCTCGAGCCTCAAATTCGACCCAGCCATTGATGCTGGGATTGGTCAAGAACTTTGAAATTTTGCTGTGTGTGATGACTTCATGCTCTGGCTCATCAAAGATTCGCATGGTGATTGCGTGTCGCACAAGACGTCTGACAGCATATTTTTCAAGGCCCGTCTTTTCGGAAATCTCGTCGAAGGTGATTTTGTCTCCTGGGGAGATCATGTCGGGGATTTTGTATCGGCATACTCCATCGAGAGTGACTAGATTCTCAATCTGTGATTGTTAGCCCCATGCAAAGCGCGACGGAGTGTGCGCAAGACGTACGGAGGCGAATTTGAAGAGCACGAACAGAGGGTCCAGGAGGATCTCGTGCAGCTCAGCAGTTGCATCAAGCACGGCATCTTTGAGGCTAGAAACATCGTCGGGCAACACCTCGGGGCCGTTTTCAGCAAATGACGGGGTGGCCGCGCCTTGTGCTGATAGCTTGTCTTGCAGCTTGGTGACTGAGCTGCTAATCTGAGCGGCGAGCTCGATGATTCTTGGAGTCGTATCGTTGCTTGAAGCCATGGCGAGGTAGGGAAAGAAGAGAAGTGCGAAGATTGGCCAGGCGCATAGCATGGAAACAAGAGGGACGATCATTCGTTCTTTCGACAATTCGGCCGGTGTAGCTCAGCTTGACTGCAGTTGCCTAATTCCAGATTAATCGCTGCAGTGGGTCCAAGGAGAGACAGACAAACCTGGTGTTCCGGGTGGTTGGAAAGGTATGACGATTCTGCAACTGCGGGCAGCGGAGTCACCTTCTTGGTTCTTGGCCTTGTTGTTCGCTCACCAGGTCGCTCTGCCCAGGTGGTGGTTGCAAGGGTTCGTCTTACACGAAGCGGCGTCGCGCTACGGCAGCCACGGGGGGCGTAGGGCAACCGGCACGGGCACGCGGCACGGCGCACGCGGCAGCCCGGTAGCCCGGTAGCCCGGCAGCCCGGCAGCCCAGCACGTCGGGGTGTCTGGGCCAACCACAGACGGCCTTGGGGTTCGCAAGCAAACAAGGCTGTCCGCCTGGCGCCTTCTGTTTCAGCTGTCGTCACATGGTGTAGGCGAGCGGGCGCAAGTGCGGCTGCTGATTGGTGGTATACGAGTAGGGTTAGAAGTCCTGGGGTTGCCCATTGTACCGGTACGGTAGCCACCGCCGCATCTGCTGTCATGCACACGAGGTGTGTGTTGAGCTAACCGGGCGAGGCTGCCCAAGACAGACTGCAAGAAAAACCATAGGACACAGCAACACTGGACAGCGCAAAAGAGCAGCACTGCATGTGCCCGGATTCTCACCGTACCCCGAGAATAAAACAGTTGCCTGGAGATAGATTGCACATGCGCAGCCCTCGAACCGACGCTTGCCTCCTTCCGTCTTCGACGAACAGGGTCGGCCCGTGCGCTGCCCGCTGCAGAGCCAAGTCCGGTTCCGCCGTGCTGGGTGGAAGGAGCGAACGCCGTCAATGCTGTGCCTTCGCGCTTGCCCAACAGACAAGGATTGATTGGGCAACCAGGCAACTAGAGGCAACCATTACACTGCAATCACCTCACCGATAAGCACTGCTGACCACCTACCCCGCTCATGCTTACACCCCTATTGTTCCACAACCCACTTTGATCTCGTTGGCCGACACCAAGGGGCAATCATTTGTCTACCGGCAGCTCACTTGGTTGGGCGCAGCTCCAGACGAGAAAAGTGAGCGGAGCTTGGAGCTTGCCCTCGTCGACAGACCCCACGCTTACCTTACCATCGGCGCTAGATGCACAGCTTCGATCCAAGCCTGTTCATCATGGCTCTACAGTACTACGCCAATATGAATCGTATTGAACATGTCTATAGCATGCAGAGCGGACGACGCCGACTGGTCAAAAAGGACTTGCGCCGTTCACTTCTCCAGACCAGGCGACGCGTTTGGCTTTAGAATCCGGCTCCCAAGTTCCCAGACTTTCTAAACCAGCGGTTGGTCGTACCTTGCCTTGCATCATTGGCTAAAAATTGACTTGCTGTCTCGAGCTTGCAATGGCTTCCAACGATATCAACTATGAAGTACTGGCGCACCAGATCGAATCAATTCTGAAGGACTCTGAAACCGCCACGGCCAAGTTAGGCAATGAAGCAACACGTCGCCGCTTAGTCGAGGGCGCGCGTAAGCTCTCAGTTGCCTTGGAGACGAACAGAGAGACACTGCGCAGAATCGGCTATGCAGTATGTTGCACATTCTTTCCACGGTCGCGTAGCTAAAATCCACCACCACCAGCATCTCCAGCTACCTTTCGCACTCGTCGGCGTGGAAAGCAAGTTGTTCGCCACGTTAGCAGCCGAACCTCGTCCCTTCAACATCACAGAGATATCCGAGAAGACGGGTATTCACTTGAACCTACTGAGTACGTGTATTCATAGTCTTTTGTCTCTTGGAGCAAGAAATATTGATTATCCCCAGAGAGGCTACTACGCTATTACCAAGCCACAGAGGTCATAACCCAAAGTGACGACGACAGCTACCAAGCAAACAACATAACCCGAGCTCTCAGCAACGACGACCACGCCAACTCTCTCCGATGGACGTGAGTTCCAATTCCCAACCCACAACACCCAGTCTTGACACTAATCCTCCTGATAGACGCAGAATCACCGCCCACGGAGCTCTCAACCTCCCTGACTGGCTCGAGAAGATCGAATACAAAGACCCTGTCGGCATCCTCCCCACCGCCTGGAGCAGCACCCTCAACATTGAAGACAAGCATCCTTACGCGTGGCTAGCCGTCAACCCGTGGGCACTGGAACTCGCGCAAGCGCATATGAGGGTCCAGCGCAAGGGCCGCCCTTTGTTCTTCGACGGACTGAACTTCGAAGAGCGCTTCGCGCAGAACACGGACAGTGAGACTGTCTTGTTCGTGGATGTTGGTGGCTCGACGGGGCCGCAGTCGCGTGAGCTACGGAAGAGATTCCCGAATCTAAAGGGTAGGGTGATACTGCAGGACAGGCCGGAGGTTGTCGCGCAGGCGAAGGAGGAGCTCAAGACTATGGACATCGAGGCGGAGGTGCATGATATCTTCACCCCGCAGACTGTCAGGGGTAAGATACGCGCTTGGCAGAGTCGAGAGGAGAGTCCTCGGTTGACACTTTGCAGGGGCCCGGACGTACTATCTCCGCAACATCTTCCATGCTTGGGGTGACCCTACTTGCAAGCAGATCCTCGTCAATGCCAAGGAAGGGCTGACTGAGGATTCGGTGCTTCTGATCGACGAGATTGTTCTGCCTGAGCGGGACGCGACAGCGCAAGGGGCGCAGCACGATGTTGAGGTTATGATCTGCGTAGGTACGTACAGCGATTCCTCTTCGCGCGGAAATCCTATACGCATGTCCCACACGATATGGAGCTCCTAAGCTAAAGGTCTTCCAGGCGGTATCGAACGCACAAAGGCTCATTGGGAGAATTTGCTCAACAGCGCTGGGCTACAGTTGCGTGAAGTGATCAATTATGACACAGAGTTCGAGGATTCGGTGATTGTTGTGGGTCTCTGAGCATGTCGCCAATGGTGTCGCGTCATCAACTGACTTGTGGCCGAGATCTATTGGTCTGGAAGCCTATGGTAGAAGATGTTTGAGAACACATTTGAATTCCTCACAAATAGAAGCTCGCAGTGTACATCCCGTACAGCCTCGATGTCCCACATGTGTACAGATCTAGTAGAGTATGGCAGAAGGAGAATCCGCATTGCGACTCTGTTTAGAACTTCCAGTCAACCCATACGTGATGCACCATGATCTAGTTACCGTACTTTCACGAAAACTTACATTACGATACCTCAGCTCCCTGCGGGCATTGCAAACTCAGAACGCAAAATCAAAGGTTTCTAACTCAAGCAACCTTCTCCACGTCCCCCTTCGCGTGATCCGAGTCAGCGTCTTCACCCGTTGACTTCGTCCCATCCTTGCTCCCCCCCGCGCCCCCTTCCTTCTTCTTCCTCAGATCATGCCAGCCCATTCCCCACAAGAAGACACCACACACTGTCGCCAGCGCCGCCGCAAGGTAAAACGTGCGATCGATGCTATTCGCGTACGCCTTCAGCACGCCGGGCAGATCCTCGGGCGCCACGATGGCGCGGAACCCCGTGGCACCCGCATTTATGATGATAGTGGGTTTGAAATTGGGTGAAAGTTTCGTGATCTGCTCCTTCATGCTCTCGAGGAAAACGACGTTGTAGAGCGACATTGCGATTGTGGGGCCGAAGGCTTGGCTGAAGACGACGAAGGCAATGCCTGAGGTTAGCTCTTCGCTGTTCATTGCTGCTTGCACGGCTATGATTGCCTGTGCGGAGGGGCTGGGTTAGCGGGAGGGAAAGAGAGTGAAGGGGAGGGGGAGGGGGAGGGGGCCATGCGGGAGACGACGAACCAATTGTAGGCCAGCGCCGAAGCCGACGCCGCCGATGATTTGGAAGCCGATCCACTTGCCGCTTGAGCTGCCTGGCTGGAGGAGGGAGTATAGGCCTGTTCCTATCGATAGGAAGACGGTCGAAAAGACGGCTACTGGGATTATGTAGCCGATCTTGGTTACTGTCGGCGGTTTATTAGCTTTTGTTTTGATCTTCCAGATGTCTGGATCTGCGATGGACTTACCGGCGACACCCGAGAAACCAGCCGTTATGAGCTGTGATATGATCAATGGAAGGAGATACACGGCGCTCTTGATTGCGCTTGCGCCATTCACGGCCTGGAAGTACAGGGGAAGGTAGTAGACGCCTCCGTAGACCGCAGACGTGAGAAACGCCACGTAAAGCCCAGAGCACAAAACATCTCTCCGGGTGATCATCGAGCGAGGCATCATCGCATCTTCCCCGCGGTATCGATTCCAGAATCCCCAGACGACAAAATTCGCCACGGATCCGCAGAGCAGGCCGATAACTACTGCTGAGTTCCACGGATGATCTTGGCCTCCGAATTGAAGAGCAAGGAGGAGTTGTAGAACGGCGGGCGCTAGGAGGGCGAAGCCTACAAGATCGAGGTAATGATGTATCCGCGGCAGTAAGCACAATGCTTTCGGCTTGATCATCTCTTCGGGGATGCGTAGGGGGAGCATGCCGAGCACTGCAAGTGCGCCGACTGGCAGGTTAACGTAGAAACCTAGGTCAATCAGTCAACTCTAGAATAGTGAGGAGGGAGACGGAACGTACACCAACGCCATGTTGTATAGGATGTGAATGCGCCACCGATGAGAGGTCCCAGAACAAGTCCAAGAAGATTGACTGTTCATTACAAGTCAGCAAGAGCGGCCGTGATCGAATGAAGCGCGCTTGACAACGTACATCCCAACTTCAACCCTATCAGAGCTGGCCAAAAGCGTCAGTAGAGAACTCGACATCGTAACAGGCTTCGCTTACGTGGGCGTTTCTCAAGAGGCGCACACAGTGAAATGATGGTGATGGATCCGGTCGCGACGCCTGCACCACCGAAGCCGGCAACAAACCGGCCTGCAATAAACATGGCAGACGAGGTAGCGGCGCCACATATCACTGAGCCGACTTCGAATATGAGAAAGAAGACCAGGAATGTCCACTATTTTGATAAGTTCAAGGCTCGAACCACGAACAAATCACTCATGTCACGAACCTTGGTGTTGAAGTACTTGTATATCCTTCCTGTCAAAGGCTGCGGCGCTGAACTGAACAAGCAATGTTAGACGTTTGCGCGTCTGTGTACATGTAGCAATGCATACCTTCCAAATTGGTATGCACTGGCGTACCAACCGACGTCGGCGAGGGAATGGAACTCGTCGGTAATGCGTGGGATCGCCTTAGTAACACGGTCAGCCTACTTCGACTTCTACCCTAAGAGGCGCCTCATACCGTGCTAACGATCATGTTGTCTAGGAGCATGAGGAAGCTGACAAAGGTGATAGCCGCCACAATGATGTACAGCTTAACGCCAGTGACATACTCGCGGTTGGGTATTGGTCTCAAGACGTACAGATCCTCCTTCGCATCTGCGTTCGCGGATTCGGCACTTGCAGAGGCGGTTTTTGGCGTCGGGGGCCTGTCTAGGGAGGATTTAGCGGCCGCCATTGCCGGCGGACTCGTAGGTAGAATGGAGGTGATGTCTAGAAGTCTAGCAGAATCATCGACCGGCGCGGCGTACAAGACCTAGCCGTGGGTGAGAGGATCGCTGGTCCGGTCACGTTTTCGCTGGCTCGTAATAAATCTCTGTACTGAAAGCTGTTGATTGTTTCCACTTTCGCCGCAGGCCTGTGATCGGTAGCCCTGAAAAGGCCGTAACGCTCATCGGGAAGCGCTAAGCCTAAACAGGCAAGCTGCTCCTAAACCGGTGAAATGCAGGTGGCACAGTAGGCAATATACGTAGTCAGGGCGCTTATATTGGAAGAACCAATCCGTCGGTATTCGAAATGAGTTGGGTGTAAGACACCAAAACGGAGCTGAAATGAGCGGCTCGAATTTGGTGCAGAGGTCCTGTTTGCCTGGAATGCTCCGAAATTGATGCACTCGAGTTGCATGAGGAGATATCAGCCGGCATGCAGTCAGCGTGGTATGCATGGGATTCACTGCAGGACTAGCCTCACACCATCAAAAAGCCACACCCTTGCTTATACAACTGTGTTGCAGACTGCAAGTGTTCCAAAATTGGCCCCTGGAATGCAGCGCCTGCAATGCAGCCACCCCGCATTAAAACCCCGGGCCGGGCATCACTTAAGCCAACGGGCGCCCGGAAAGCCATAGATGCAGAATGAAGGGTCGAAAAACAAGGGTCGAAATTCTAACACGAAGCTCGCGGACCGACCTCAATCGCTCACTGGTTATGTTTGTGACTCAAGTAAATGGAACCCTTCTGCAGCAGTTGGAGATGCCCCGCCAACCCGTGCAAGAGAACTATCTAGTTGCAGGTGCGCAAAGAAGGCAACCAGTACCACTAGGATACCGTCTATCACCCGTTCTAGGCATTTACGCAGCTCGGCGACTGCATGGTGGGGCGCTGTGGATAGTAGGGTCCGTCTAGGCGCAGAAGGCAGCTGAGGGGTGTGATTGATGGATCTTAGCGTGGGGACTATCGGGCCCTTCGTGGCCGAGATGCGGCTAGATAACATACCAAGGGGGCATGGCTAAAGTATGCATACCTGCAGCATATATGATATAGCTCGAGGATGTGGATGAGACAACCCAGTAAGTAATTAATCTACGACTTCAGTTCCACGGATACCTGGACTTGGGACAGATAGCATTCGTAGTTACCGTAAGATTTCGAAAAATACGAAGCTGTGATTCTTTTAAGCAATAGTTTGAGCGCAGGACCACCATTCGGCTGAATCTTTCCACATACAGCCATCAGGTTCGTCTGCCTCCCAGCGCGAGTTCAAAAAGCCGAAACAGGAGTTCGTCTTGCGAACAACTTCAAATCATCATGGATCCGTACCATCTATTGTCGTGGAAAACTGCTGCGGCGGTGCTCGTAGTCTATTTTGCGAGCCTTGCTTTCTATCGCCTTTATTTGCACCCCCTTGCCAAGTTCCCTGGGCCTAAGTTGGCTGCCATCACTCGCTGGTATGAGCTGTACTATGATGTGATCCGCGAAGGACAATATACCTTCAAGATTGCCGAGTTGCACAAAGTCTATGGTAGTAATCCAGTCTATTTTCCCTTTTAAAGGCATCAATTTGTTATCGAATATTATTCTAACTCGCTGTTTATCTGTGTTTAGGGCCTATCATCCGCATTAGTCCGCATGAACTACACATTCTCGACCATACCTTCTACGAGAAGCTTTACTGCCACGAAGGCCGCTGGAATAAGTATCAATGGGCATACAATGGGTTCATTGCCGAGGGTGCTACGATCAGGTTTGTTGCTTCTCGTTTGTCTCGCAGTGACTCCCAATGTTCATCTCTTCAACCTGGAAACGGAAGTTCTATGCGTTGATGAGTAAATAGTACTTCTGAACACGAACTTCACCATGCCCGTCGTAAGCCGCTTAACCACTACTTGAGTAAGGCCAGAGTAGCATCTCGGCAGGATGTCATTCTCCGCAACGTCGACAAGCTCGTTGCTAGGCTGGAAGGTCGCGTTGGTACCTTGACCAATTTGGGAGCTGCAGTTGGCGCACTCGTTCAGGATCTCCAGTGTGACTTCTTACTCGGTAAAGCGTATGGGAGTCTCGATCGAGATGATTTCAATGTTGCTATCGCGGATATGTGCCAGAGTGTGGGGTTCCTGTGGCGCTTCACCAAACACTTCCCCCGGGTGGGCAAGTCGTTAAAGCAAATGCCACTTGATTATGTGTCGAAGTTTGCCAACGATGATGCCCAGACCTTCTTTGCGTTTCTCCAGGTAAGGCGGCTCCTTCTTGTTGTACCTGGGATGGGTAGATCACTGACACACCTCTAGGAAGTTGACAAAGAAACCGAAAAGCTTCTCACTACCGCCAAAACGTCCACTCCCAACAAGGATACATCCCATACGGTTATCGGAGAGATCGTCGACTCCAACCTTCCGCCTTCTGACAAGGAACTACCACGTGTTCTCAATGAAGTTCAGACCTTAGTGGGTGCCGGCTTAGAGACTGTCTCCGGTGTCCTGAGATTGATGTTGTATCATGTCTTCAATGATGCTGAGATTCTGCAAAATCTACGGGCTGAGCTCAAGACGATCGATATCTATCCGGGTGGCGGCGTAGATCTGAAAACGCTCGAGCAGTTGCCATACTTGACGGCTTGCATAATGGAATCCATGCGACTGAGCCCGGCCATCGCATCACGCATGGCCCGTATCGTTCCTGACAGCGACCTCTACTATGCGAATTGGTGCATCCCCAGCGGAACACCCGTCGGGATGACGACCATTTGGATGCACCTTGACGAAAATATATATCCGGAACCACACAGCTTCATTCCTGCCCGGTGGATGAATGTGGAGTATCGTCGGGCGTCTGGCAAAACCTATGCCCCCTTCTCAAGAGGAACGAGGATGTGTGCGGGCATGTAGTACGTACACCTTTCTTCTTACATCCTACTCTCTATACTCTGTCCCATCTTTTGGCTGACGCATGGTACAGCCTTGCATGGGCCGATTTATATTTTACTCTCGCCGCCCTTGCTCCTCGGTTCAACTTCAAATTCGAATGCATTCAAGAGTCAGACCTCCGAATGTCAAGCGATGAGTTCGTGATTGGAACAAAGTCGAAAGCAGTACTTAATTGTTACGTAACCCGACCGTAGATTTATTGTTTGTGTTAAACCGGTCTGGCTTTAGGCTTATGGCTGTATGGGCGAAATCTTGCTATTTCCAAGTCTGAGGAATGTATCCTCCAAGCATCATCCGTCCGGAAAGTGATCGTGATTCCTGCTAGGACAGATCGCTGTGAGCAATTGGTGTGCGTTGAAGCATATGAATGGTCGTTTATGACCATAGGTGCACTCCAGTATGAGACTGGTAGAAGATAGGGAAATCAAAAATAATTGAGTGAGCTTCATATCTACCTTCCAAGCGCAGGACGTGGTGCGATCTAGCTTCCGTTTAGTTTTAGATGGTTACTACTCATCAGTCATAAGCAACGAGCCGCCCAAATGTATAAAACGGATGTCACTGATGGATTCACTACCCCCAAGGCCTTCGCTCAACTCCCACTGCATGATGCAAGTCGCATCGGTAGATGGTGGAACGGGCTGGCATTACAAAACGCTGTCGACTAGTGCCCACTGATGAAGTGGGTCAGCTTCACCAACCAGCATCACCGTGAATGTCCAGCCCGGGATTTTGTGGTTGAAGCCATTTCGTCGACAGGGCTACCGTATGCCATCTTGCCGTTGAGTAATGTATATCTTATAGTCTGTCCAGCAACTTTTACTACCGTACCATCCGGTGTCAGGTTGGCGATCCAACTTTGAGTGAATTGGTCGCCACGCGCGTTCACGATGCGTCCGTCAGGAGTAAATTTGAGCATTTCAGTGAATTGAGCCAAATTGAATAGGGGCCGGATCACTGGCGGCTGCTGGTGTTCGCGACGTGATTCTGGCGGTAATGATGTGGCCATGGACTTCCAAGCTCGGGCCTTCTTCTCTGTCGAGGACCGCAAGCTTGCCCAGTTTCTCGAAATTCGGAAGAACCCAGTCTCTGATCGCGTTACTATCAATCGGCGGAGGTGCGACGCCAGAGGTGCTCGAGCCTTTGGTAGGTTGTCCGAAGCTGATGTCCCTCATCGTGTCCGTAAGCATGGCCGAGAGATAAATGATCCGCTTCGATCAGGCGCCTATTGCGCTTCTTGGCAGACGACAGATCGCCGTCCACCAAAGTCAGAAGAAACTTGTAGCTGAACCGCAGGCTCTATAGAATGGCTGGGTCTCTATTAGAAGGATAATTAGGGTTGACGAATAATTTTTGCACGACATCAGCCAGGTCCGTATAAGTAATACCAGATCTCGGAAGTAATTGTTTCTTCACGATAGACAGCCCGAGATTATCACCCGAGAGTATGTGCTGCTCCTTTATATAACTTCAACACTTATGCACTCCCTGCGTCGATGATCTTTCGATACTCTTCCTATATCAGCGTCATGCCCTTAGTAGGCTCAAAGAAGCGTAACGACTAGAACACCTCCTTGGTCAGTATTGGGAACTCCTCCTAGATCATGTTCAGTCTCTCGCAATTGACTTAACTGTTAAGAACCTCTTGCTGATAGAGGACTATCTCTCTTTCATATATTACTGCGTTCGAACCTTGAATCAAAGCTGGTATATATGCGAGGTCGAGTCTCCGGCGGAAAGCACTAAATAGGTCCGCACGTGGGACCTTCATAAACTTGAGCAAGACTCGCTGGGCGTCCAAAGGCTGCGTGTAAGGTAGCGTAATAGTGTACGTGGCCGTAGACAGTTCTTGATACGCCTATATCTTAATGTTCTGGGACTGAGAGAGCAGGCCATCGGATGCCTTGCCTTTAGTGACGTTGAAAGTGGTAATATGCGCCTGTTTGGGGCTGTTACCGTCGTTTAAGTGTGAAAGCAAGTTAACCACGAAAGACTCCATAATATCGTTAGAGGGGTTAATGTAGGGAATGGCAGTGTTTGTGTTCTTAAGAGTTAAAAGCAGGTTACTTGTCTTCGACCAAAGAGATACTCGAGAACTATTCGATGTATATTATCAGGTTGGCGCTTCTAGTTGCTAATGGTACGGGATTGCCCAGTTGTGCGGGGGTGTGACGCAGATATTGGAGAAGATCTGCAAGATAGCTTGTAAGACCGAACACAGTGGAAGCACCATCGATTAGAGATTGGTATAAGCTGCTAAACAAACTCTCGATGCTAACGTTAATGCTCTAGTGCTTCTAATAGTATTCGTCGAGCGCAACTTTAAGTTCATCTCGGAAAATCTGTAATATCGTCTCACCCAACAATTGCACAATTGGTTCCAGGACAGAGAGCAACAACGGCATAGCAGATGGATTAAGTCTGAGGTAAATCATTACTCTCCTCGCAGATAAGGCGCGTGCTCGGTTTGGTAATTCTGTTGGCTTGCTCTAGACTCGATTGGTGGTGGTGAAAGCGTGGCGATGTATTACCTCGATGCCACTTAGACACGAAGAAGGTTGATTTGTAGTGATCACGCAGTTCTTGTGGATCTGACGTAAACCTCGGCGGGTCGACCGTGATCCTTAATGAGTAAATGAAATATAGTACTTGCCAATGTCTTCTGCTGCGCTACCTCTCTAGGGTCATTAATGGTGGGTTGGAATTTGTAGGAGTCGTGGCTGCCTACTTACTCCTGTAGCGTGTGGAGCGGCGAGGCGTCATACAGGCCTTTCTTATTGCTTACGTAGTCCTGCTATGTAGTTATCACGTTAGTTGTGGCTTGCTAGCTAAGCATAATTCATATGGCTGCTATGTGAGCCATGATATATATAGTGGAAGCCGACTTATTAAATATAAGTCTGAATATGGGCTAAACATTAGAATTGCCCCTGCGTATATGTAAAATCGCACTAAGGACGTCTGTAGCGTTTGAAGATACTTAAAATATAATGAATATGGCAACTGTAAGCCAAACCGTGATTGAATAGACTAGACTAAGATCATACCTATAGTTTAGATATTGGAGGATCCCGAGAACGGGTGGCTGTTTAAGCTTGTCTTTGATTGTAGTGAGCACGACGAGTAGAGTCCACTTCCTAATAATGACTAGCATCACTCTATAGACCTGCGTAAAGATGCTTTTTTAGAGTACGTACTAGGTTTTAAGAGGAGGATAGACTGGCTATATAAGAGAGTCCTTATGTATTAATGTATAAGGCGGACCCTAGAATAACGAAATACTAAGCTTGGCATAGTGTGTATTGGAGTTCCGGACGGCCTTAATATATATTGCTATTATAGTAACGATCTTATACATTACTAAGAGCGCATAGGCACGAGTAGAAAAGGAGTAAGAAAGGGTATAAAGCCGTAGATAGCGCAATTAAGTAGATAAGAATTCGTGTAGGCTAAAGATGTAGTGGTAGTAGGAAGCTATGAAAGACTATATTAATCTATAAAAGTTGATACTTAAGACTGCTTTTATACTTGCTTATAGGTGCCCTAGAGACCTAGATACCTTAGAGGCTTACATACGTTAGCTTGTGTATTCCCTATTAACTATTATAAGGGGTTTCCACGTACCTAACCGTAGGTTCGGACCTTGTGGGTATTTAGTAATTCGAGCGTAAGGGATGGTAGTACTAATAGGGTTAGGTGAATATCCTACACCGTATAATAGTACGATGCAATAAATATTAAGAGAAGACTAATGGTTCGTATAAAGATGAGTGGCTTTAATTTAGATATAAAAGTAAGCTTTCAAAGTTAACTATAAAGAATAGGAAATGTCTAAAAAGTGTCCTACACTATATACTATTTATCCTATTCTTTTATCTCCTAGAATCCTAAGGGCTCCCTAGGATTCTACCCTCTTAGTAGGATACCTTCGCTATCTCCCACCAAGTCTTTAGTCTCCTGGGATCCTCTAGTCTTAGCGGGATCCTGGTCATGTGACTAATAATATAATTCTAATAGGCGTCTAGCGTGTTGAGATGTATTAGCCTCTAGCCTAGGGGGTCCTATTATCCCGCCGGACGTCTTTGTTTTCCTACCATTATTCTATGTAATTATAATATTACC